GGCATGGAACTCGACAATCCGGTTCAGCTTTCTCAGCCCAATTATCTTTCCCTCCTCCGCAGAATTACTGGCTGATGAAATGAAAGTAGATAATTGCCGCCCTATTACCTTTCAAACATGTCATAATTAATCTAGATTTAGAATATATAATATCTGAAAATCTTCTCAGGATATAATCATAATCTATGTGCATGCTAAACAATATGTAGTTCTCTATCTATTTATATATCTAACACATTTCTCTTCATCTAAACAGACAAGAATATAATCCTTGTCCATGTGGCTCTCCCTTAGGTTAACTAGGCATGACCTTCTATTCATTAGCTGCATTTCCTTGTAAACTTTTCTTCAGTGCTGTATAGAACTCGCTTCTTTCTTCAAAGACACAACACTTCCATCACTGGTATGAGCTTTGTAACGTCTCTCTGCTTTTCAGTGCAATGGATGGCAGGGATGCAACATTTGGACATCCACAGTGCATGGTACAATGTATGCATCAACTTTCCTTATACCTCTAGCTCATAAGGCGCCACTGATCACTCGAGGCATGCATGAAATCCTTGTCCTGCTCTTCATGGTATCTTCTGTTCCTCTTGCTCAATAGTCTTTGTCTAATACACCAAAAGACAAGCCTAATGGACAGGATGGCTATAAATATGGCACATAGACTCCGGATAGCTTTCACTCTCGGACTATCCATGCTCCAGGAAATTCTTCTGGTGACCTGACTAGGAAAGTAAAGAAATCTCCTAAAAACACTTGTATTAAGAGCCTTTCTGAGATCAGCAACAGTCTTTTCCAGCACTGCCATCCTGAAAGAGGAAGCTTCCAATGACTCCATCAGGTCTCTAAACTGACTGGGAAATTCAGCATGGTTGGTGCTGATGCTTTCACAGCACTTAAACCTCTCGAAAACCTCACTGATGGAATCAATGGAGAAGCTGATGGCGTTCTCTGCATTACGAAGAAGCCTCGGTGCTTCCCGCTTCTGCAAGCCCTCGGGAAGATACTCAATGGACTGCCTCAAGACATCGAGCTCCCCTCCAGAAAAATCTTTTAAGGTTGTATAACAGTCAGTAGCAAGCTTATGAACCCATGGCCTAAGATGCTCAATACTTATATGCACAGCATTCTTGTGAAAATCCCTGCAATCGTCTAAAAAAAAGCCAATGACATCCACTATTCTTTTTGCAACAGCAGGCTCCTGATTCTTGATAACCACAGTTGCACTCTCTTCGTCCATGGGAATGTACGGAGCAACCTTCTCAAGTGCCATTGCAAGGCCCTCAAGCTTTCCAGAGTTTTCGACACTTAGCGAGGTATGAAACCTGATGAAAGGGGCCTCCTTGTGCTCAGGTGCAGGGCCAAAAAGAAACGAACAGGTACTGCGCAAGAACCTTTGTGTACTGGCCAGTGCTTCCTTGGCATTGACGATGGCATCTATTGCAGCGTTCCTCCTGGGGTAACTACTGTCAATACTACTCCAATACGTGTAGAGTGTTTCGAGGGCAAGGCCGCAATCGCTAAAGCCATCAAGGACCTTACATACTAATTCCCTTAGATCTTCTCTGCAACTGCGTTTGATGTTGTTGGCATCCTCTGCAAAAACCTGAAGCCTCCTGATTATACCCTGATCCATGCTATGGGTTGATACCCAAATTTGCTTATAAAGACGTTTTTATGTCTATGGCAAGTCCTTGTGGAACCAGTGTGAGATTAAGGATTATTACAGGAGTACTGCGTCCTCTTGGGATGGGCAAGACAGATGGGGCTGAGTTTGGAGCTGTATGACACCTTTGATCTTGGAGAGACATTAGATATACTGGGAAAATGACATAAATTGATTTAATTTAATTCAGTATCAACGCAAAAAAAGTATAAAAATAATTTTTTTTTGCGAGATATGGAAAGTTGGAAGCTCCTAGCGTACTTTCTGGTGTTTGCAGCACGGGCTGTGAGGCCTAGGAAGGAGAGGCTGATGAGTGTTGAGAAGGCCGGTGCGCTGATGGAGAAGCACTGTGTGAGGGCTGGAGGCCCCATGGACCTTAGGCTTGGAATAATGGGGTGCAAAGTGAATGCAGAGAGGAATGGGCTGGTGTGGCTGGCCAATGGACAAGTTCCGTTGACTCGTGACAGGTTCAGGGTTGGGAGTGGATTGTCTGTCTATGAGGAGATAAGCAGCCCTGAGTATGACGAAGTAAGGGGTGAGCTTCTTGCAGTGCTGATGGGGCTGTCGCTTGGATCCAAGGTGGGAGAAAAGTGGAAGCTTGACGGCAATGGGAGAGCAAGGAAGGTTGTGATTACTGTAGGAGGAAGTGAGGATAGGGCTGAGAAGGGGCTAGGAGTGACCTTCAAGGCGAGGATAAACTCGAGGGTCCTCAAGTTTTTCAGGGAGATAACGGGGTATTTTGGGAGCAGTTGTGAACGCTTTGGATACGTGGACTCTGACTTGCTTCCACTCCACATAACTCTGGCCAGGGCCCTTGGAGATGACGAGAAGGCATGGTCGAGGTTTTTCTTGCTGGTGCGTGAGGGAATAGAAGGAAACGAAGTAGCAATGAAGAGGTGCTTTGTGGCGGAAGGAGATGAAGAGAACGAAGGAAGCGAGAGGGCCAAGGCGGAGATTGAGGCGCTATGGAGGCTTTATGAGGGCAAAGGCTTTGCCGAAAAACTAACGGATGAGAATCTCTTTGCAATTATATTCATGGAGTCTGGGAGTGAGAAAGACAGAGTGAAGGCTGTAAGGATGCTCTGCAGGTATCTGAAGGAGTGTGGCGGAAGAGATGGAGATCTGAAGAGGAAGGAAGATGCAGAGATGCTGATGAGGAACATACTTAGAGAGATACACAAGAACAGTGCCAAAGAATGGGCTCGGATGGTCCGTATAGTGTGCTCGTACAAGGTGCCCAAGGTTATTCCCTGTGAGACTGGGCTTTCTGCTGTGGAGGCTGAGATGAGCATATACGAAAGCATTAGGGGGGGTGTAGAGGATGGAAGTTACATAATCGACAGGTTTTTCAAGGGATTGCGTAACGAATGGAACTGTAGCAGTGACGGAGACAGGAATTCTGTCTGGAGGCGAGGGATGAGCATGATAGCAAGGCTTGTGAAGATCTGTGGGGACGACGTGTACTATGCGCTGAAGAGAGAGGAGATCCGGCTGGGGGTCGCTGGCGATCTATGGAAGTCTCGCTGTGAAGGAGGCAAGATGATCAAGGAGATGATAAAGAGCGTGGTTTGCAGTATATCTCTGGAAAGTGGAAAGAGCGTAGAAGATGTGGAGAAGCTTCTGAAAAGTAGGAAGAGCAGGTTTATCCAGAAGGAGTTTATGAACTTTTATGTTATAAGAAACAACGGGATCAAGCTTGCACATAGGATATACAAAGAGGGTTTTATACCTGATGTGATCTATGTCGCACTGCGGGGTGGCGCCTACCTTGGGAATGTGGTGAGCGAATACTTCAATGCGGTGTGCGGACGCAAGATACCATACGCTGCTGTGTCCGTACACTCCTACACGGATGTGGGAGAGAGCTCAAGCGTCCAGGTAGAAGGATGGATCCACCACCCCTCCAAGCTGAGGAAAGGAAGTAAGGTTCTGTTTGTCGACGACATTCTTGACTCTGGGAAGACAATAAACCGCCTGGCCGAGATTATCCTCAACGAGGGGATCCCAAGAAGCGACCTGAAGATAGCTGTGCACGACTACAAGTGTTTCCCAGACAGTGAAAAGAAGAATGCTATTCTTCCTGACTACTGGTGCCGCAGACAGGATGTGTCTGTTTGGGACGGGCCCCGGTGGATTGACTACTCGCTCTATGAGCTGATAGGAACCTCGAAAGAAGAATTTGAGGAACAATATTATACTCGGGACCCTGAGCTAAGAGAAGCCCTGAAGGAGATAACGAAGTAAGTCCATGCCATTATAGGCAGGGTCTCTCGTTGGCATTCATGAAGAATACAAGCACATGAAATGCCAGCAGCAGAATTGTCTTTAATTAAAGAGACTAACTTAAAGCGGCGCTTCCAACTTTCTTCTACCTCATGGACACCGTTCATATGACCTTCACTGCGCAAGCATTATAGATATTTTAGTACTAATGATCCTACAACAAGCTTTTTATAGGTGCCATTTTATTTGTTTTATAGTTTTCTTTTCTGCAAAAACATTTACATGCAATGTATACTATATTCTTAGCTTTAATTGCTTTTTTGCACACCATTCTAGGCGGGTTCGCCGAAAGTTTTATTCAGAAGTAAAAGTATGTGGTTGTGGATCTTCTTCCTCTTCTCCCTTGATTTGGGAAGTCGAAAAATCTGAAATTTCCAAATCCTTTGAATATTTTCTGGAATGGGTCATTTCCAAAACCTGGCGAAGGTTGCTGAGGATTATCTGGGTCTATTCCTTTATCATACATATCTCGCTTCTTTTTATCCCCAAGCACCCCGAAAGCCTTATTAATCTTCTTGAAGTTTTCCTCCCATTCCTTTTCTTCATTTTCATTCTTTTTCTTCTTCTTGTTTTTAACAACTATCTTTCGATATGCCTTTTTTATTTCTTTTTCGTCAGGCTTCTCATCTTCTTTGAATCCAAGCATCTTATAGTATCCAAGGAAATCTCCTTTGTTTCTAGGAATTCCGCCGTAGTTTTCTTCCATGTACTGCTGTCTTCTATGCCTTTTTTCTTCCTTTTCTCTTCTTTTCTTTTCTCTTTCCTCCTTTGCGACTTCCAAACGATGTGAAATGTGATTTCTGAGCTTTGTATTTCGGAACTTAAACAGTCTAAATTTCTCCTCTGCCTCCTCAATATTTCCGTCAAGAGTCAGTGCCATAGTATACAAATACATTGTGTCATCATTGTTTCTTTTCGAATGAAGATACTGAGCCCTACTTGTTAGTCCCTGCATTCCACCCTCAACTCCGCTTTTACACAGATCAAAGATCACATTCAACTTCAAGGTTGAGAATATACTCGGAAAGAAGTTACTATCGCTTTCTGCCAACGAAATAGTTCTCACCAGCCTGTCCAATGTTTTGCACTTATCCTTACTGCTTAGATTGCTTTTTTTTATCCTTTCATAATCCTCCAGAATAGATGCAAACAAAGATGCAATCTCTTTGTATTTCAAGTTATTCAGCATCTTTATACCCGTAGAGAACATTCCTCTCAAGAAATACAATTGCATCTCTTGGCGCAAAAATGCAGACTCATTTGGAAAAAAAGACATTGACTTTTTGACGAATTTTTCTGCTTCCTCCAGTTTTTCGTCTATTAAGCACACCTGGATATATGCTTCTAAGACAGCCTTAGAGTAAGGGCTTTCTTTTATCAGTGTAGCAATAAGTCGTACATTATTGCTAATGAGTATGGACAAGCATTCGCTGGCTCTCTTAGTCTTTTCCTTTATTTCTGGATCCTTTTCAAATCTTTTTATTACCTCACTATACTCTCCTCTGGACATGAGAAACTCTGCATACTTTTTCCGAAAAGCACTGTTGTCTCTAAAATGCTGAGAGATCGTGTTGTATATGGATTCTGCCTTGATAAGATCTCCGTTCTTTACACTTATATCTGCCTTGAATATTTCACTTGCCAAGTCCATCTGTGCCTTTACAATTCCCAGAAACAATCCCATTACAGCCTTAAATACTACATTCCTTCCTCCGCTTATCATGCAAAAGAAGTTCTGGTGCTTTTCTTCTCTTTTCTGTGTATCTTGGGCTGCCATTTAAGGATACCGGCCTAACAACTTTTATTAGAAACCAGGCCCCTCCTTATTTACTTCTTCCACCAAGAGGTTGTTTTTCATGTTTCTTTTTACCCATTTCCTTATCTCCTGGTAAGAGTAAGTCACAAGCAGCACTACGAAGAGTATTCCTAGGTACTTCAGCATGCCCTCTGGCCTTATGACTTCAATCTCCTTTTTAGGGAATAGGCTCATTTTGTTTACCGATGGAACACAATTTAACAACACTTTTGGAAACAAATCAGTGTGTCAGCATCCATGGCGTTGGTTGTATTTATTGTCTGGATGGCTCCGATTCTTGGAGACAAAGTGCTGAAAAAATTTACCCCCAATGAGCTTTGAAGTTCTTTTTGATATACCAGTGAAGAAGAATGAGAGGAGCGGGCCTCATTCCCACAGAATGCCTTTTGGGAAAGGTTCAAGGAGTTGTGTGTCTTGCTACACATTTCGTGGAATAATAAGGAAGCTAATGATGTGTAGACGATGCTTCAGGGAATACGCCGGTGATATAGGATTCAAGATTTATGATTAGGATATTAAAGACCTTTATTCATTTTGCTTGTTTGAGTGTATCTTGAGCCTTCTGGGCTGCTTTCCTCTTCGGAAGCTTAATTCTTGGGTATTTACCTCTTTCTTTTTTCTGCTTCTTCTGTGAGAAAAGAGGCAGCGAAAGCATGTACTGGACGAAGGGCCCGAGCGAGACTAAGAAAACCACCAGCATCATTGTATAGTCTGGAAGGCGGTACAGCCTTCCTAATCCAAGCCCTAGGATCAGTATGAATACCTCCCCTGCCTTATCTCCACTAATTTTCATCTTCTTGTTGAAAAGTAGCTTTTGTATGAGCACTCCAGACATCTCTAGAGCCATTAGCCATCCAATGACCAAATGGAAAGGCTGGTTATTGTTCTTCAGGGCAATAAGCATGAAGCCCCTGCCCATCACAGGAAATACAGCTGTTGATATCCACAGAATCCTCATCTGGGAAAACATTGAGAATATAATTGTTCCGATGAAGTATGATATGAGAGACATCCTTGACAATTCTGCTTGCTTATAAACTATGTTAGCACATAGCCCTGGGCCAAAGAAATTCATAAATCCAGGAAGAATAAGGTCTGACAGCGTTGCATCGACGCCGTTTTCTACTAATGCGTAGCTTGCCTGGATGACGCTTCCTGCAATGACTACTGGCTGCAAATCTTCAAGGTTTTGCAAAAGAACTTTACTCTGCATTATCATCTCAGGGTTGTTTTGGATAAAACAAAGGGAGTGTTGATAAAATCAACCTGAAACCTTATTATTTATAGGTATCAAATGGTAAGGGCTAGGCTTCTAAAATGTAAAGCAAATAAAAAATATTTTAACGATTAGACTGGGCTATTCTCTCGATCTCTTTTTTCTTGTTAACTGCATAAGAGTTCTGTGAGCTTGTTGAGGCTGCAATTAATTCATTAGCAATTGCTTCTGCTAATGTTATTCTGTTTCTAAAGGATGCGCTCCTAATTCCGGCAGAAAGATTAGCTATTGCTATACTTATTCTCTTTAGGGGGGAGACGTCCACAGACGTTCTTCTCATCGACCCTGCCCTTCCAATTCTTGCTGTGTCTTCTCGAGGCCCCGAGTTGACTATGGCGTCCACAAGAACCTGAAGCGGGTTTTTCTTTGTCATGGAGTGGATTATGAAGCAAGCGTCTTCAAATATATTGATCGCAAGCCTTTTTTTCCCGCTGTTTCTCCCGTGCCTCATAAGAGAGCATACAAATCTTTCTGCGATCGGGATTCTGGCCTTCCCCGTGGTTCCCTTGGTGATGGTCGTGGCTGCATGCGGAACTATTCCGTGCCGAGACAGGTTTATATATGGCCTTAGCGATATGTTGTCTACCTTGACGTCCTCGTAGCTATACTTCTCGAATAGCTTTATCTCGGTCATTCCTTGAGGGTAAATTTTTTTATGATTTTTATAGGAAATAGATTCGACTTTGAGTTTACAACAACAACATCCAATCCAATAAGGTGTGCATTTGGAAAGCAGTTTTTTATACTCCTATTTTCGGATAACACTGGTGTTTACAAGGGATCCTCCCATCATTTGTGCTTTGTTGTTCCTGTTCACTATCCATCATTTGTCAGGTCTGTGTTGAAGCCAAAGGACTTGCCTCTGAAAGAATCTGTGGACAGATTGTTCAAGTTCAAAAGCCCGAAGGATCGAGATGAATTTTTTCTTTATGTCTGCAGCATATCTAACGACCACTTTGAAATAATAAAGGAGCTGGGACCACCGAAAAAAATCTCTAAAGAAAATAAAAGAACACAGTGATATTTTTGAATTTTATTCTAATGCTTGAATTTCTCAATGTTCTGAAATAGCTCATCGCAGGATAAAATGAATTCCTCCATTGGCCTTATTTCAGGTACTCTGTGCCCTTTTATTGCCAACTCAATATCCCTTTCCATCTCGGCCTCATTTATCTTATCAAACAAACCCTCTTCTTCTTCCATGGATTATTTGAACATACAATATTTGAGTTCTCGAGCTTAGTCGGCAAGCTTAAGCACCCCTACAATGGATGTTTTGAAAGTCACGTCGACATATCTTTTTATTTTAGGCCTCGGTGTTCCCAAGCATTTCAAGAATAAGGCTCTCATGCTATTCACATCTACTCTTATGGCTGTGGCTTTCTTTTATATAGGATTCGGTTACGAGATTCTCAACTTCATTGTTAATGGAAACATTAGGATACTCAGTGTAGGATTTGTCTGTTTTAATCTAACTGCATTCTTTGCAGGGGTTTGGATTTCCTGTATGGTTCACGAAGTTGTAATGAGCTTCCGCTCTCTGTGAAGTCATAGAGATTACAAGAATACTTTACTATCTGAAACCATTGCAATCTGTATGGGTATGGGCAAAGGAGTTGCAATATCAAACATACATCCAAGAATAAGACTGAGAGATATAGTGGAAATGTTCGGTGTGTTTGACAAGGTAGTTGGGTTCCGGCCATACAAGGATGGATTTGTCTTGAAGTTTGAATCCTTTCCAGAAAAGTCCCTAGCTATGGACAACTTTCCCTTGGCACGCAGAAGAATGAAGGTTAACATGATAGACTGGAATGATGGATATGACACTTTTGAGAAGGGAAACATTGTTGTGTTTGAGTCTTGCTTTGACGTGGATGAAATAAGAGACGAATGCTGTATGTTTGGGTGTGTAACTGAAGTATTAAGAAGAGATGGCTCCATATATGTCATCTGTAATTCCACTGAAGATGGAGAGAATATATTCATGAATATGTATGGAAGATACTACAACAAGGAAAGAATAAGATGCCGCATGGCGAACGAAAAGACACCTCTTATGAACGAATAAATACATAGGCGCTTTATTTTGAAGTTAAGAGTTTCTCTGGTGTATAAAATAAGTCTGTTACTCATGATTCACAAGCCACAGATTTGTCGGACAAAAAGAGATACCCAGCGCGGGACTCGAACCCGCAGCCTACAGATTAAGAGTCTGTCGCTCTATCCTGTTGAGCTAGCCAGGCTTGCCACTACCCACAGAATGTATCATCTACCCTATACCTCGGCTTGTTTACACATATATCCATGTCTAATTACGTTTGATTAAATAATAGATTAAAACAATTGTTTTAAAAAATCTTATCATCTATCCTTACAAAAACAATGCTATGGATATTGTCTGTGCTTCTGGACATAATTGTGGCACTTAAGCTGGACTCCATTGATCGCTCGGTTTCTAGGGTCAATAATACAACATATAAGAACCTTGAAGCACTCGTTTCAAAGGACTCGTACTCTCTTGTGAAGACAAAAGATCTTGGTGAGTTCCATTCTAAGTCCAAATGTACATTGCTTTCCTGCCTTGTAAAGAAAAAATCCATTTTTAACGAGGAGCACATAAACCTGCTGGAGATCAGAGAAGCATATACAGGATTTAAGACTGGAGACGGGTCTGCAAAGATATGGAAGAAAATATGGGAGATCTCGAACGAAGACCCGTTGCTTCCAACCCTGGTGAGTGGTCTCCAGTTTTCTATACTTACCCATTTATCCTCCTTCCACAAGAAGTTCTTCGGAACTTACTTTCCAAACCCTACTCTTTTTGGGAAGAGGTTTCAAGATAAGCATCGGCTGAACTTTTACTTGACTTATCTCCTTGTGAGAAACTGTGTGGGAAGCATCACCATTGGCGAACGAGAGATGGATGAAGGGCTGTCAATCATAACACAGACCATAAAATCCCAAGGCTCTACAGACTGGGTCAAGCAATCTGTCGACCTGGAGAAGACAATACAGAGAGTTGAGGAAATGGCTAGACTGCTGAAACACATAAACTGTGAAAAATGCCAGCTATGGGGAACAATCCAGCTCAATGGCCTTAGGGCTGCACTAAAGGTGTTTTCTGGATCTACAAACTTAGAAAGACTTGAGAGATTTTTCCTTATTAATCTCTTTATGAGGCTCTCTGTCTCTGTGAGGGAAAACATCAAACTCAGGAGATATAGGATCCCACTCCTTGTAACGGCCTCTCTCTACTGGGTGGAGATTCTTTCCTTTGTGACCTCTCTCATGGCAATCTTCCTGATGTCGAGAATCAGAAACAAGTTTAAGAGTAGGATTGCTCTCAAAAGCTGCATGTAATACGTATTAAATTCTGCATTGCCTATCAAATACGTAAGGTAGTCCTCTTCCATCAGAATATAAAAAAACTTGATTTAATCTAACCCTTATGGACCAAGTAACAAGTTTGGAGGAAATTAAAAGGCTTATAAAACGCAAAGATCTAGAGGCCCTTGATTCCGTCTTGTCTGCTTCCAGGGGCATAAGCGCCTCTGACCTCGAGGAGCTCATTAAGCTGTCCGATTCTAAAAAGATCCAAAGTCTTATAAAGACCAAATATCCAGAGATTATAAGGGGGGAGTCCACAAATAAAAAAGAGATGGAAGAAAAGACGCCTTCTGTCTCTAGAGATGATACCGATTCCTCCTTAGCTCTTGAAGAGGTGGCAACAGGTGAGTCACAAAAGGATAGGTCTATTAAAATGTTCTTTGAAGCTTTTAAGACATCTATTTCTGACTGCAGCAATAGACATGCAGCATTTCTTGCAAAGCAGATAACCACTGAGATATTTGGGAGGAATCCATCGGACATTGCAAAGCTCATACGAAGCAAATGCCTTAACTTGAAGGACAAAAACAATCCGGTTCTTTGTAGAAGAGTTTATGATGGAGAAATTTCTCCGTCGAGATACGTTGATATGACATCAGAAGAAATGAAAAGTGAAAGCTTACGTAACGAGGAGGTCAAGATGATAGAGGTCAGTCTTTATGAGTGCCAGATCCCCACACAAAAGGCAGAAACAGACATGTTCAAGTGCAACAAGTGTGGAGAAAGAAAATGCTCTTATAGGCAGCTACAGACAAGGTCTGGCGATGAGCCCATGACCACCTTTGTAACCTGTGAATGTGGAAATAAGTGGAGGTTTTGTTGACCCAGCCACCGCATGCTCTGACTAATTCCTATCTCCCTTTATACCGGGAATATCCTCGGCAATTTATCCTTAAAATTAAAAGTATTTAATTGATGCCTCTATAAATTATATCTGTGATGTGACTGCATGCCTTTTGAACTTGATCTTTATCGCCTCCAGAAATGGCAAGCGCCTTTGATCCACCACGGCTTCCATCTATTACTCTTATAATAATCTTAAAGTCCTTTTGAAGTCTGTATATGTTCGTTCCGTTCCTTCCTATCACAAGATCCTCCGCCTCAGGGGGGACATCCAAAACCTTGACTTCTTTATCGGTCTGGATACTTCCAGAAAGCTTGTTGTGTATGTATTCCATTTTTTCCCTGAAGGACTCAATGCCTGTGGTCGTTCCTCTGACCAAGAGGATCATTATTCCTGGATCCCTATTGAACTTGTCCATGCTTATAGAGACATTTGCCTCGCGAGCCAACATCTCCAGCTCGCCTTCATTCATCCTGGGAATAACCATTTCTTCTTGGGATTCTTTATCTTTTTCTAGATACTCATTAAGTCCCATTTTTCTATACTTCTGAGGCTCTTTGTAAAAAACAACCTTGTTGTGTTCTCTTCTTACTTCTCTCTTATATTCTCCTCTAAGCCTCTCAAGAAATTCACTGGAAGTCAATGCTATATCTTCTGGCTCGGGTATTCTTTTATTCATAAGGGATCGAGTTTCCTACACGATATCAATCTGTGCGATATCAGCCCTCCCAGTGTGGGTTGCAGTTCTGGTAGCTCAGTCGGTTAGAGCGTCGTGCTAATAACGCGAAGGCCCAGGGTTCGAGTCCCTGTCGGAACATTTTTGTCCCGCTCAAGTTCAATTATTTTTTTCTTTTTCCCACCTGTCTTTCCACTTCTTTACATTATGCGTCTTCAAACATTTCTCAAACAGTCTATGGTCCATTTCAAGGATGGCATGGAGGATCTTTAATACTCTATTCACACTCTCAGCCCTCCAAAGCTTCTGGGACGCTCTGTAAATAGACCCAAAAACCTTTGGTACAAACGTTTCTTTATGTCTCGATACATTCCAATGATTCAAAAGCAGCATCTCTGCCATCGCCTCAATCACTAAGTAATGGTTTGAATCAAAAGACATCCTTATAATCTCACAGATTTCGTCCTCGAGACATATGTACGTTTCGTCACACATGATTCGAAGAACATCACCTACAATATGAGCAATCGAAACCTTTGTATTCGACCATGCCTTTTCAAATGTCCCCTTCAGATGCTTTATAGTTAGAGGAATTGCTTTGGGATAGTTTATACAGATAGTCCTTATCATTTTAGGCATCTCTTTGCTTTCTCCGCAAAACCTTGTCTCAATCATGCGGAGAATTATCTGGTAGTGAAAGGCAACCATGTCTTCATATCCAATAGCTCTTTTCTTTACAATCACTATTATAATCCTCAAAGCCTCTTCTAGTCCAACATGATTCCTGTTGTTATCTATAAAGTTTACAAGCTCGTTGGTTAGCCCAAGGAAAACAGCATGAAGGCATCTCGAGCAATTAGAAATGCTTATCAAGAGCTCTGAGAGCTGCATTCTTTCTTTTGGGTCGTCTGTTCTGATCATCCCCACCAGTCTCATAATAATTTCTTGTGTAAGTACTTCTCCAACAGTTTCTCTATCCACTTTTCTCAATGCACAAACTAGTATTCTAAAGGAACCGTTAACATCTGAGCTTCTAAGATGCTTCAGACTTACATCATCCACCATTGAATACATTTGTCCCGTAGGATTGATAGATTTAGGAAGCGTTCTTATTATGTGTCTCAAAGCCATCCTGGATATGCTCGAAAAAATAGCCTTTCTAGTATCTGGATCTCCAAAATTCCCTTCAAGCATTCCCAATATATCTCTATGTGTCTCGGAACTAGCAAGCGCAGCCATTTTATCTTCATTAAAAAGAGAAACCTTGCTTATGTCATTCATCTCACATTTATTGCTTTTCTTCATAGCATTAAAGGCATTACTTTGCACTTTGTCGATCTGAGCCAGAAATGGAATACATTCCAATTTACTTAAAATTGTCAAATAAATTCTAACCTTTCAGATACGTTTAAGACAAATCAGTATATAATCAAAACAAACCTCAATCCCTCAATGAATACAATAGAAATACAAAAGTCAGTCTACTACTCAACAGTGATGGCCTCCATGTCATCCGTGCTGTTCGGAACATCACTTACGGTGATGGGAAGCATGTATCCGTATGTCTCAAAAATGTGGAGGCAAACAATGGATCAGGCAGAAGTGGACAATTTGTGGGGGTTGGCATCAAGCAGTATATTCCTCGGGTGCCTGGCTTCAAACATTCTGTCAAGCATAATCAAACCAAACATGAAAAGAGCCTTAATATTTAACAGCATTTTCTATGCAATGGGATACATGACCTTTTTCTTTTCTCAGAGTTTCATGTCTATCTTTTCCGGGAGATTGATCATAGGATTTGCTTCGGGGATAACATGTGCAATCGTGCCCATATATACCTCGTTTATTTCGCCGGTTATGCACAGGGGGTTCCTGCTGTCTTTCCATCCACTTGGAATCACTATCGGAATAACCTTAGGGAACGCCCTTTCTTGTCTCAATTCAGAAAGCACCTGGACAATTCCGCTAATCATAACTCTATTCTTAATAGGGCTGAATTTTGTAGGGCTCTTCTGGGCAATAGACCCTTTCCATCAAGAGAAACCTTCTGAGGTATCTCTTTATGCCTTGATCAGGAACCGCAAAGCGAGAAGGTCTGTCTTCCTTGTGATGTTAGTCCATGTGTCCCAGCATCTTTGTGGTGTGGATTATATAACCCTGTTTCTCAAAGATCTCTTCCCTGCAGATGTATACTCTCCAGAAGTAACTGCCATATTGATCTCCTTGGCCTCTGTTGTAATAACTGCACTTTCAGGAAGATACGTCGATCGTGTTGGAAGAAAGCCTTTGATCATCATCAGTTCTCTTATCGCCGGTGGAGCAACAGCCATGCTTACATTCGGCCTGTATCCAACCGCTGCAGCCTTATTATTCGTAGCAGGATATAATATGGGCCTTTGCTCTATCCCATGGTTCATAACAGCAGAAATATTCCCACCGAAATACTCAGGCCCTGCAGGACTTTTGGGTGTTTCTTTGAACTGGCTGTCAGCATACACCACTCTATCAGCTCTTTATCCATTGCACATCAGGTATGGAAGAATTGTATTTTCCTTCTACACAGCTTGCATGGCCTTGTTTGCCGGACTGATGGCCGTCTTTTTCAAGGAGACCAAAAATAGAGCGCCAGCTTTTCAGTAGGAATTACAATTGTATTATTTATTTTCTTTTTTCTCCATAAATCCATGCTCTAGAAAGAAGTTGTATAAAGAATCGGTTTCTTTCAAAAACCCGAAGAGTCTATTGAAATCTTCTTTTGTGCATCTCTTTCCCCCGGTTAGGCAAGAAACCATTTCTTTCCTTATTCCGATGTATGTGTCGAGTGGTATCCCATGAGTTTTGCACAGTCTCCTTTCCTCTTCGTCGACAAAGTACTCTGAAGATAAGACATCCTTGAAATTTGGCACGCTGCTGCCTTCCTGCTTACATTTGCTTAACAGCTCACGAAGCTTCTCCTCTATGTATATCCCACGGAAAAAGGTATTGAAATCTGACCTGGTCAAATATGGTGCAATCCATCCAATCCCATCTACAACCTTGCAATCCTTATCCTTTTTCTCTAGAGCACCCATGTCTACTAGATTTTTCTCTAGTATAGCGTGCTTCCTTCTATTTCTAAACTTAATTACCTTCATATACGAGTCGAGGACAGCATCCACAACTCTCCTTTCTATTTCTCCTTCATCTGGGCTAAGGTCTTTTATGGTGCCTTCGTATTCATTCATGTATTCAACATCAAAGTCCCTTCTATAAGGCATATACGAACCGATTGTTCCTCTATAAGGATTGCTTGCCCTCTCTGCCACCCGAGGCAACTCGTCTTCTCTCTTTTCAAACTTAAACACTTTGTAAAAGTGTTTCTCAACATCCTTTTCCTTTCCGATATATTTAGAAATCCCAGACCAATTTCCTATTCCAGAAACGCTAAGACCTTCCATGAACAAAATTTCTTCCATAAGAGTCCATCTTTCTTCATGAATCTGAGTGTCCATTTTTGACACCACTCTATATTTGTGGTATTTACTGTGTAAGGATATCTCCACTTGGTTTACAAAGCACGAAAGACATAGATCTATTTCACATTCAAAGCACTTTATATATGTAAGGCTTGTTGTTTCAACAAAGCAGTTGTCACAAAGTATCGATATTCCTCCAAACTCATCCGAGAATGAAAAGGCCATGGGAATGTTTTATTCTTGTTTTTTGAATGATTCCACAGTTATTTCCATACTAGCAATAAACTTGAAGATCCAGCTGGTTTCTTTATAGCAATTGGAACGGGTGCAAATAAAGTACATGTCTACAAGACCCTTGCATAGGTCCCTATGGTAGTATTCGATGACACAGGAGAGGATGAGTTGGAAAGTACCTTGTTAAGCCATATCGATATCCCATACTTCAGGAACAATCCATCGTATATATCTCTCTGGCAGAAGTACTATTATAAGAACAATAGCCCGCATGTGCTCTTCCTGATGAAATACAAAAAGATATCTCAATACTATCATTGGATTTATGTAGAGTTATCGAGGTTTTTTATGAGGAATAATCACTACGGAGCATGTAAAGCAATTCTTAACATGGGAATAGCATGCAATGCATATGACCGAAGGGTCTTGGAAGACGAGCTAAGGAAGATTCCGGCATCGGCCAATCTCTTCTCTGAAAATGAGGTTAATGCTTTGCTGAATCCAAAGGGGTTCACTGTGCTGGGGAAGGTTTGGAACTCCTACCAAGAAGCCTTGTTTTACAATAGAGAGTTGTTTATTTTCGATCATGAAGAGATGTCTTTCGAAGAGTATAGAAGCAGGTCATACATTAAAAAACCAAGGCCATCTCCAGAGGAATGTGTGGCAAGGATTGGCATGAAGCATTTGGCAGATTGCTCGAAGTCAGGCGGAGATGGAGAACTTGAGAACAAGAGAAAATGTAAACTGGCAAATGCAAATAGAATTCTAGTTGCAGGACAGGAAATAGTAATCGATGGGTATACTTATTACATCAAAGAGATTATGGATGGAAATAGATACAGAATGACATGCTTGTCTGAAGAAGCTCCCGAAGATCTTGTGCACAAAGGAGATGTCATGCTTCAAGAGGTAACAAAGACCTCCATAGATCTGGCTTTGAGGCTGAATCCTGATTATGTTCCTAAATTTGTTGTAAAAGAGTTAGGTTCGAGAACGTTTTTACTTTATGAGTTTTGTACATTTGGAACTCTCAAAAACTGCCTAAATATATCTGATGCTATAAAATCTCGAATCGCTTTATACTTTGTAAGCCAGCTTGCTGAAATACTCGATGAAATGAAGGAAAAGAAGTGTAAATTTGTAGCATTCTCATTGGAAAGCCTCTGCGTTTCTGAGGATTGCATGCTTAAGATAGCTGATTTTAACCTATCTTCAGAAGATCCAGAAATGAGTTATGAATATATAGTCAAAGATGCTCTGTCACAATACTGCAGAATTCCTTCTGACGATCAGGATGCTGTCCAAAAAGCCAGAAGTATTCTCCGAAACACAGACTTGAAGGGGCTTATTACGGGATATAGAATACATCTATACGAAAGGATATGTGGGTACTGCTGAGGGATTACCTATACTAATACTACCAAGTACAGCCAACGGCCCTTTTTCTGGGAGGATACTGTACTTTTGTAAATCCTGCTTTGAAAGGCTTTTCATATCAATTCAATTTTCAGAAGGCCCTAGGAGATGTCCCCATATTTCTATAGCTTGCCAATAGAAGAGCACAAGAATAAAATACTAGATGAGATAAGAAGATCCAAAGTGTGTATAATAAAGGGCCCGACTGGCTGTGGAAAGTCAACATATATCCCATATCTACTATCTCTCTCTTTTCCTTCCTGCAGAATTGCCATCATAGAGCCACGTAGAATAGCTGTTACATCACTTCATAGCACCCTTTCCAGTACTATGGAAGGTGTAGGATACAAGATGAGGTTCAGCAAGAGCATCAAGAAAGACACCAAAACAATCATATATACCGACGGTAGTTTCCTAAACGAGGTCATCGAAAGAGAGTTTGACTACATCATTGTTGACGAAGTGCACGAAAGATCAATTAGGACGGATGTCATTCTAGGGCTGTTCAAAAATAGCATCAGGAATATGAAGGGAAAGGTGATACTGATGAGTGCAACTGTTGATACACAAAAGTTAGCTAGTTACTTCAAGGCCAGCGTGCTAGACATTCCCGGCGTGCCACACCCCGTAAAGATAGAATATTTGCCTGAATGCACAAGTGACTATATTGTAGAGTCTTACAGCACTATCAAAAGAATACTTCTTTCAAAAGAGAATGTGTGTGAGGGACTTGAGGTCAGAAACAAAGACATTCTTGTCTTTCTACCTGGAGAAGAGGATATCAATGAGCTATATACACTTCTGAAAAAGCTTCCTGTGATCAGGGTCTACAAGATATTTTCTGCACTAAGTGACAAAGAACAGAACAAGATCTATGAACCCTCCAGTCTAAGGAAAGTTATTCTCTCAACCAACATATGTGAGACTTCGCTGACAATACCTGGAATTGGATATGTCATAGATACAGGGCTCCACAAAGTGAAAATATATGATCAAATGAGTTGTTTAGGGATACAGGCCATTTCTAAGGAGTCAGCAGATCAGAGACTAGGAAGATGTAATAGAACAGGCCCTGGGATCTGTTATAGGTTGTACACAGAACATGTGTATAACACATTGCCTCCGCACCAGAGTCCTGAGATTTGCAGGTCTGATTTGTGCCAAGTATTTCTACAGCTCTTAGTCCACAGAAAGAATCTACTTCGATTTGAGTTCTTGGACTATCCAACACGTGCAAATGCTGTTGCCACTTTATCCTTTCTTTTGGAGAAGGGTTGCATAAGTATTAACAATGTAAAGGAAGATAACAATCCAGATTTAAGTGCAACCTTAGTTCAACAGGATGTCAGCTTGGACTCAATAGAGCTAAATCCCGACGACATCAGATTTAGGATAACAAAGTATGGAAGGCTTGTCCTTAGGCACCCATTTGATGTTCATCTGTCTCATTTTTATCAGCAATGCTTGGACAAAAATGCTGGATACTTGGGTTCTATCCTTGTGTCTTTGATAGGCCAGGATGGCTGTAACTTCCTGAAGCACAAAAACAAGAGTCAAAAAACAGACATCGAGTTTCTGGTATACCTCTTAGAAGGATATTTGGAGTCTGAGGACACAAAAGAGTACTGCATAAAGCACGAGGTGGGGATGAAATACATGGAAACTGCAAAGAAGATTTTTTTGGGGCTGAACAGAAAGAAGAGCGGAGATATTGAGATGGTGGAAAGGATTTTCAGCTTTGCATACAAACACAATCTCTGTGAGAGAATGAAGGACGGAAGCTACAGGCATCTTGGGAGTAATGAGGTGGTATGGATACATCCAAGCAGCTGCTTTTTCAAGCGAAAAGACAGATTTGTTGTGTTTGTGGATGCCTTCTATACAACTAAGGCGTATGCAAGAATTGTAGGAAAGTACTTTAAATCAAGTTAAGATAATAAGCAAAACGAGAAATAAATTGTTGAAAGGTTTATTTGAATTTTGAAGGTTTGTTGCGGTTTCTAAAGCAGTTCGTATTCATCATAGTTTTTTGGAAACGATATTCCGTTCCCAGGGGTGGAATAGCTAGGAGCAACCCAGTCTATAGGGTTACTTCCAAATACCTGCTTCCAGTTCTGCTTTAGGCTAAGGTTGTAAGGATTTAACACCCTTCTATCTGTGATATCTGTTAATGTTGTCATTGGGCCCTCTTGGAATATATGACTGAATGAATGGTCTGCATTGATGTAGTCATTGAGAGCATAGTGTTCTATTGTTGTCTCATTCAGTCCTATGAGCCATGTGTGGAATATCAGGAGTGACAAATTAAAAATGAATTCGATTCCCAGCAGTGTTATTGACACTATGTAATTCACCCGATGAACTTCAGTCTTAGGACTGCGTACTATCATATAAATAGATATGGTCATTATAAAAAAAATAACCGATATCAGATTTACAACCATGAACTGGTAGAAAAACTTGTAGTTGTGAAATCCAATGCAGGTATTTAGCAGCGCACAATGATGATCATATCTAAGATAACATCTTTTACATGTTCCACAATGATGGGCTCGGGGCGGCTTGTATGTTTTGCATTTACTACACAGCTTAATCTTTGTGACGCTCTGCTTCATCACTTCTTCTTCCACAAACTTGTTCATCCCTTTCATCTTAAGATCGTATCCTTCTTGAGGAACATCCGGAAATATCTCTAAGGTGCTCACACCCTCGTTTATGAACAGCTTCATGTAGAACATTGCCTTGTAAGTCACTATTACATGGTATGCAACAAACACAACAAAGACTGTCCAAGAATCAAACTCGGTGTCTTCCAGGCATAGGAGCCCAACAAAAACAAAATATATGTAAAGCTCCAAGGCCGGATATATTATAAAGACAGCTACTCTAAAAGCTTCGCTCCAGAATTCTTTCCATGCCATTCCTGTTATTTTTATGGGTTCAGGTCCCAGACACAACCATTTAAATCAACAATACAAAGTAAAGACTGATAGAAAATTCAATTTCTGATTTAGTTGCCATATATATTTATTTGTTTTGATAAAATAAGAAATTAGTAACTTTATTAGAATTATAGATGGGCATAGATAAAATATCACGCATGCTGCATCTTGGGAACTACTGCCCTGATGCTGTGCTACGGCTCCCCCACCTTCTTTCCAACAATCTTTGGATTCTGTGCAGAGAGCTTTGCTATTGCCATTGCTTTATAATCAAATGTACAGCCATGCTGGTCATGGAATCTATGCATAATGCAGTATGTATTTCCACATCTACAGCTATAGTTGTTCGTTAGTTTTAGTCTCTTGCCACACTTTCCACAGGACATAGCTCCACTCTCCTTTTTTTCTACCGTGTTGATCTCTGCAACATGTTTTTTTCTTTGCAGATTACATGAAGGAATGGCTATCTTTCTCTTCTTATGGATCTGAGGATCGCCAATGTGCTCACAGCGTACCGACTCTTCCTTCTTAACATCATCCTCGCTTCTTATCTCTTCCTCCATTCTCCGAACAAAGTCCTCCATTTTCATCGGCTCCAAATAATCCATTTTTTAAGTTTATTCTTTAGCCTCAAAAGACGGGGGAGGATGCCAATAAAAATCGTTACTTTGTAAGAATGGTAGGACACCAGGGCCTTCATGGCCAAACAGTTTTCTTGGGAACAGGAATACAAAAGAACATGGGAAGACAGAAATGATAGAAAGGTGAATGAGTTTAACATGGAGACCGAAACCTTTTACAGTAACAATAGAAAGGGGATAGTGAGGCACCTCCATGTCATAGTAGATGTCTCTGAGGCAATAGACAAGTCTGACTTCCTTCCCACGTTCAGGACAAATGTGGCAAGGATCCTTGAGGACTTTATTCCATCGTTCTACAATGAGAACCCTTTGTCGACCCTCTCTTTTCTTAGTACTAGAGATGTTTGTGTGAAGTACATAAGTAGTATGGACATGGACATTCATGCATTTCTCGGACAGACAGGTTCAAAATGGTTTTCACTGCTAAATGGACTCGAGGGATCCATAGAGATCATGGAAAACACCATGCATGTCAAAGAAATCCTTGTAATCGTTGCAAGCACATCTACCAGAGATCCCCATGGATACACTGAGGTACTAAATAGACTCAAGACACATAACATAAAGGTCCATTTCATAAGTCTATGTGGTGAGGTTACTCTGTATAAGTCAATATCTAAGGCCACTGGAGGAAGGTTTTATGTCCCAATCGACGTGGGCCACCTATCCATGATCATGAAGGAGCTGTCCCATCCCACAGACTTCAATGGGACAACGCTCAGTCTAGTCAAAATAGGCTTTCCTCTGCCAACAATGGAATCCTCGGTATGTGCCTGCCATTTGGAAGTGAAGAGCGTTGGATACGAATGCCCAGTATGCAAGACCATGGTCTGCTCGCTTCCCATATCGTGTCCAATATGCAACACTCAGCTTGTATCCACGTTGAATCTCTCAAAATCCCTACGATTTATTTATCCACTAAAGCCATTTATCGAGAGGGCAGAAGACGCATGCAGAATATGCCAAAACAAAGGCGCGTATCAATGTGATCTCTGCAAGAGCACATACTGCAGCTATTGTAATGGGTTCGTTCATAGCACTTTGAGCTTCTGTATCTACTGTGAATTGCCACACAACTAGAGCATGCATACTTTCACCAATAATCTGATATTAAAATGTCACTAGAAGTATCTCTAACCTCGCCTGGAGAAGAAGCCCCTGGATCTTGCCCGTGGTGCCAATTAATTCTGTTCCACAGGCTTATTTGGCCGACAACTTCTTTTCCCAGTATCCTTGTAGATGATCTCATTATGAGATCCCTATTTGAATATAAATAGCTTTGGAGGTTGGCTTTTCTTATGAACCTAACATCAAAGACACTTGGAATCAGCCTCTTCAATACTGCGTATGCATTGCAGGATCCAGAGATCCTTTCTATCTTAACGATTCTAAGTTTCCTATGGCAGCCTTCGATTTTTGTCTTGCAGAATATTCTATTTTCTCTGAGAACAAACTCCTTAGGGAAGTTTACGCTAACAGGTGTTACAAACTCTATGCAACTGTCGCTCGCCAAGACACTTCCGCAGCCGGATGTGTAGATAAGAATGCTATACTCACATGCCTCAAATTTTCTTTCACGCATGAATGCAGGAATACTACTCATAATAAAATGTTCACCCTGATGACTGTAAACAAAGAATTGAGAGATATCCTGAACGGGTATCATGACAACATAAAGTCGAAGATCGGAGAAAACAAGCTGGACGAAGCCATATACCTAGTTGATTCGTTATCAGCAACATTCAAGTTTCCACCTTCCTCCTATGATAGGTCGCCATGCACCCCTTATAGCAATGAAGTGTCCGAAAAATATGAGATTAAGGAGTATGTGAACGCATCCTTCATTCCAACGTCGGAGACGTTGTTTATAGCTGCACAGAATCCAAAGGACGAAAAAAGAGATGCTTTTATTGATCTCCTGGTGAAATCGAAAGCCAATCTTGTTATATCTCTGATCAATGACCCGAAATACTTCGAAGAAGAATGGCTCCAGAGCAGGAAGGTCATAAAGCACATGGGCAAGGACCTGTTTATCGATGAGGTCTATAATGTTCGAGGAAGAAGTGTAAGAAGACTTAGGTACATCAACTGGGTTGACTTCTCTGTGATCACGCAGGAGGAAATGGAGACTTTCCACTCCTATTTCGACTCAATCCGCACAGACCCTGTGGTTGTGCACTGCATTGCAGGTGTTGGAAGGACAGGGACGTTCATTATGTATGATATTCTTAAAAAAATGAAGGGCATCACTCTAGATACATTTGTGGATGTCTTCCTAAATCTTAGGAGTAAAAGAGCGCATCTTGTGACGAACAAAGCTCAGCTGGAATTCTTAAAAGATATTTTCCTGAAGGATTAAGAGGAGTCAATAAAGCAAGGTTATTATTATAGCCGACATGGGATTCTTTTTAATTCTTTTTAACGATCAACACATCCTCGATGTATGAAGTGCAAACGTTCTCGTCTGTCTCTGCCCTTGTTTTCTCGTTAAGGACAACGGGTGACGTGTGTATCTGAACAGAAGAGAGCTTCTTGGGCTCCCCTACCATTCCAACTGTATTTATCGGATGCCCAACCCTTATGTTTATCTTCTCAGAGCATACAACGTATTTTTGAGTGCATGCCTGGCAAAGCAAGAAGAACATGTATGTATGGGAAGAAACTAGCGGGCTGATAGAAGAGTCCAGGAGCATGAATACTGTAGAAAAAAGACCTATGATGTTTTTTGGCATAAAGGCCGTCTTGTCAAAGCACAGGGGCGAAATACTCAGCAATCCCTTCCCTAAAGACACAAGGCCTTGTGCAATCTTAAGCATGGGAAGGACCTTTGAATCCTTGTAGTAATAGGAGTATTGCTGGTCCAGAATCTTGTTTATGCGAGAATTCAGCGTACCAGCGCCAATAAAGCCCAACGATATGATTGTAGATATGATACAATTTGTTTCTCCGATATTTAGGGACTTTTCTAGAATATCTAGAACATTTACTTGTGGGTTCGATGGATACAATAGACTGTAACATAGAGGGAGAACACTTCTTAGGTGAGAGGAGTCCAGCAGCAAGGAAGAGGAAACAATTCTTGCCACCATCTGACTTGATGTTTCATCCCCGATCGATACCAGGGCACAGCTTAGCAGCCCAAGAGATTCAAGAAGTGCATCTGTATCTCCGGTGAATGAATCAGTCAAAATGGATTCGATGATGTTCGAATCTCCAGTCCCCACGTACTGAAACCCCCTGATCAATATGCTTTCGTGTTTACTAAGAGTACCTCCTATCTCCATTATCCCACACTCAACGTCCTTTCTACGGTAAAATAGACATGCTAATCCTAGCATCAAAAACCTAAAAAATTGTGTCTCCGACTCTTTTTCTTTTTCCACAAATGTCTGTAGCATAAGAGACGTGAGGTCCTCATCAGCGCTTCCACAGAATACACTTCCTAGTGTGAAGGCAGTAAAGAATACAACCTCGTTGCTATCAGAAAACATAAGGGGCTGAAGAAGATCCCGGACCTCTTCAGACCGTGTTCCAGAAAACATGGACTCAATTCCTAGGAGAGTGGCTATGACATGAATGGTATTCGTAGATTGCAGATTGCTTGACAGAAGTGCGAGAATCGCCGGTCTCTCCTCAAAGTTCTTCAGTCCAGATAGTGCGAGGCCTAGAAGGCTTCCTGTCTTCCTATGCGAAATATCTGCAAATATATGCTCCTGAAGGGTTTCCATCACCTTTTCTGAATTCCATGATTCAATCACTCCTATGGATCCAAAGACAGAGATTAGATCGGGCACATCACATCCAAGGATGGTCTCATAGTCCAAAGGAACTCTAGGGTCTCCCTCCTGAGGCAGAAACATCGGGTCTCGCCCATATCCCATGTGAACAAACCCATTAGCAATGGCAATCGATGCAAGCTGTTTTGTGTCTTTGTCGTATTTAAAACCCTTAAGAATCCCGTCGATTTTGCTTGGCTTATCTATTTCCAACTCGGCCCCAACACTCCTATAGACATCCTTGACATATCCATTGGAAAGTATGTATCTTTCGTTGGGGTCAGAGGTCTCGTAATACAGATCGCATCTGGCAAGTATGTACAGACATTGCTCCTTGTAGTCTTTGTCTTCTATGCCTCTCACATATTCAATAGCCTCTCCAATCCTTTGGCGTTTTATCAGTCCAACAACATACCTCGAATGGTCGTTCATTTTGAGATAGACCCCGAGAATAACATCAGAAAGCTCGACAAATGAGGCCATATCTTCTAGGTAAAGTACTATTCTATTGTAGTTATGAGTGTCGACGTAGTCTAGGACAACTTCAACCCCGCCAATCTCAATCAGAAAATCTATTGCTTCAAATTCTGCATTGTGCTTAAATAGAAAGTCAATACACTTCCTTCCAACATCCTTAGTTCTCTCAAAGGGAAAATCCATCTTACCGACCTTTGTATCGGCAATACATCCCGTCAGCTTCTTAACATATAAGTGTCCCCATTCCTTGAGGTCAATTATGTTTCCTTCAACTCTATATTCCAAAAGCTTCTTCTCATCGTCAATGACACATATTGCACTTATTATATCACACAGTCGCCTCCTATTATCTCCAACAATCTCTTTGCATATATCTTCAAGCACAGGCAAATTGTCTGCAAGATATTGAAAATTTATTGTGTCGATGGATTTTGAATGAGATGACTTTGTTATATCGAATAGCATGTTCAATGCATTATTCTGGATGTCTACGTCAGAATCCCTGATTCTTTCAACTATTATTTTCAGCTCGTCTTCCTCCATTTTCAGGGGTTTGTTTTTCGCAAATTAAACCTGAAGAATATTGAAGGACACCTCTAGACTGCAAACTTGGGAGATGCAGATCGAAATCTATTTTGTTTCACAAGCTTCTTGTTGCAAGATTGTAGGGAGTACTTTTAATACACTGTTTAATCACTTCTTCTTTTTCTCAAGCATGTCGATTCCGCTATCGATAACAGATGCTATGTGTCCCACAGTGTGATGTTTCGGCGAATGCTTAATGAGAATAATCTGCTCAAAAAACTCCTTGTCCACGGACTTAAAAACAACAACGGGGTTTTCATTCTTGCTGAGAGAGCATCGAATCCTTTTTATGTGTATAAGCTCTCCTGGCAAGTAGAGCTTCGGGTACATGTTTGTGTCCTTAAGATAAGACAGAACCAGATCAATATCTTTATCAACCTCTCCGCTGAAGTCTAGTGGGCCATGTCTTTCTCCGATCGAGCAGCAGAGAAACTTGAGGTCTAGCATGCTTCCATAGCTCATCCGAGGTACTATGTCATTTCCATAGCTAATTATAGTTATTCCGTCTCCAAATTTGGATGCTATTTCCTCAGAAACCACAGGAGGACTTGAAAAGACCACCGCCTCCACATTTATGCCTTTTAGAAGTTTCATTTCATTGATCATTATTTTAACCAGGATCGAAATCGCTCCTCCAAGAGAGTGTCCTAGCAGAAGAAGCTTCTTTACGCTTAACCTTTTTAAGATACCTTCAATCTCATCTATGTGATTACTTATAAAGTGGGTTGCCAACTTCTTGAATCCATTGTGTACAAAGCCAGTTCCAAACTCTGTGTACTCACAGTTTATATCTTGGATGGTTTCCTCAGAGTTTGTAGTCCCTTTAAATGAAACTATGACTCTTTCATATTCCCTATCGTAAAAGACAATGTGCTGAACTACCTCAGAAGGTTCCAGGTGCATCAAAAGCAAGTCCCTGTCTTCTATTCCTATGAGCCTGAGCACTGCCCTTCTATCGCTTGGAATTAATTCATCAACCTGTGCTTGCGATGTAAGAAAAATGCTGGGCCAGCTATTGGCATACGACCCCATTGCGAAGTAAAACAACCTCTTTATCTTCCGAAGCATCTGCAAACTGCATAGTAAATATCCATCGCTGGATAGTATACTTGCCATGCATACAGACCTTTTATACATGTTATTTTTATCGTACGGTGAGCGGCCCAATGGCAAATTCAACCTGAAGAATCGTTTTTTGTTGTCCTCTGCTTTTTCTGCATCATCCTTCCTAGTGGGAAAGCTTTTATTGTAGCTTACTTCGTGGAAGATTCTTGGAAGACATTCATGAGTTATCTCTAAAATAAGATCAACATTCCTGGTGGACAATGCATTGATCTCTGTTATAGTCTTTTCAACCAGAAGCCCTCCAAATAGTATGTTCAGCCTGCATCCATGGCTTCCTCTGTTTACATAGTCCAACAGCTTCTTTATGTTCAAAATCGTCCCTGCTTTTTCGCTGCTAAAAAAAAACCCAAACACTTTCTGGACAAATCCACTTATCTCATCCTCTTCCTCTACCCCTCGTTCTCCATGCAACCTTCTCTCAAACACATAGTGTAGCCTTCCTATTACTTCTCTCTCTTCAAAGTTATAGCTACTTGCCTTATCGCGGTACCTTCCATGAAAAATTTCCAGCGAGTGCTCCTCTTTCTCGTTTCCATTTCGGAAGAAAGAATGGTTTAACATAGCAAATCCAGTGCATAGGTTCCAAGGAAAGGATCTTTTCATCAGTAGGATCTTGCTGTCGCCTATAATTGTGTTGTGAAATTTCTTGAAGGTCATGACAACCCTGTCCTCAAAGATGACTTTCTCGTCGTCATAGCACAGGACTAAGGTGTTGTAGGTGTTCTCGGGAACCTCCACCCTCTTGATTTTTATATCCACTTCCATGTCTGCGTCAAAGGAGAGAGGGTATCCCTGGCACTTATATTTCATCCCTAGTCTCAGAATGTAAACACCCCTTTGTTCGCAACCTATCCTATCAAAGGACTTGGTGAAACATAGCCTACTTTTTACCAGTGGAGGGAAAGCTGCTGGAAAACATCTAAGGTTTCAACAGTATCAGAAAACTTTAATGATCAAAAGCTAAGGGATGAAAAGAGGAACTTGGCCTTGCTCTCTTTCCATGCCTTCATCATCGAGTCTTTTGTCTTGTCGGTGAGCACCCTCTTGGTTTCGGCGTTCTGATCAATTCCACTGTAATCGATTGCTGATAACCCCAGGTCTGCCTTGTACCTCGTAGCGATAAGGTGGCTGATGTTGTACTTCTTGAGTATGACATAGAACTTAGAGTTTCTGCGCTTTATCCATTTAGGCTGGTAGTCTTCGGACTCCTTCGGGACCCTGACAACGCATGCAGTCAAGACATATCTCTCGTCAAGCTGCTTTATCACAACAGCCTTCTTTCCTGCATTCTTCCCACTTGTTACAACAACTATCATGTTTGGCACAAAAAGCATTTCCAGGGCAAATTTTTTACGTTAACAAATCTACAGGCCATTATGGAGAGGATTGAGCTTGTAAAGAGTATAGAAGCAAATGCAGAAAGGATTCTAGAGGACTTCACGGAAATCCTGCAGTACCTGCGGTCTGAAGGATCTGATAGGTGTGACGAGGTCCAGAACCTGCTTTTTGCAACAAGGAGGATGGTTGATCTTATTGACTCAGCTCTAGAAATATACCATTATCTCATAAGACTTAAATATCTTACAGCTGATACTCAGAGATCGGAGACTGCAGAGAGTCGAGATAGGGACAAGATGCTTGAGGAGATGTTTCGAGAACTGAATAGTAACCTGGGTGTTTAGATGGTGTGGGAGAAGATGTCCTAGTTCCTGTTAAATAAAGCATGATTTTTTATAAGAATACAATGCTCGAGTCCTGAGAACATACATGCCTCTGCAGAGAGCTATTTTACATTGTCCTAAGGTAGAAAAACAGACCCTTCTGCATCCTTCGATAAATGAAGACCATTGAAGAGACATATCAAAAGAAGACGCCTGTGGAGCACATTCTTCTCAGGCCTGATTCCTATATAGGGTCTGTGGAGAGGGAAGCGCAGCAGATGTACATATGGGACGAAGAGAGTGGCAGGATGATCTACAAGAACATAGAGTATGTTCCCGGCCTATACAAGATATTTGACGAGATAATTGTGAATGCTGCGGACAACAAAATACGGGATCCAAAGATGAATGTTATTAAGGTTTCCATTGACCCTGAAAAGAATGAGATATCTGTCTATAACAATGGGAAAGGGATTCCAGTTAGAATTCACAAGGAAGAAAATGTGTATGTGCCTGAGCTTATATTTGGAAACCTATTGACATCATCCAATTACAACGATGAAGAGAAGAAAGTTACTGGGGGAAGGAACGGATATGGAGCAAAGCTGTGCAATATATTTAGCAAGGAGTTTGTCGTAGAGACCGCAGATTGCGAGGTCAAGAAGTATTACAGGCAGAAGTACAGGAATAACATGGGCATCAAGGAAGAACCAGAGATCAGCAGATATACCAAGGAGGACTTTACAAGAATAACATTTAAGCCGGACTTGAGGAGGTTTAAGATGGATAGGCTAGATGATGACATAGTAGCATTGTTGAAGAAAAGGGTCTACGACCTTGGGGGAATTGTTAAGGATGTAAAGATATTCTTAAATGAAAAAAAAATCAACATCAAGGGATTCAAGGAGTACGTGAAGCTCTACGTCCCGCCTGAGGCCAATGTTGTACACCAGGTTATCAACGACCGATGGGAGCTGGCTCTTACTGCGAGTGAAGAGCAGTTCCAGCAGGTATCGTTTGTTAATGCAATATGCACAACCAAGGGAGGGAGTCATGTGAACCATGTTGTTGAACGGATTGTGGAGCCACTGTCGGAGGCAATACAGAAGAAGGAGAAGGGGCTTTCTGTGAAGCCCTTCCAAATCAAGTCATGCATGTTTATATTTGTGAATTGCCTGATTGAAAACCCAGCATTTGATTCTCAGACAAAAGAGAATCTCACCCTGAGAGTTTCTGCATTTGGGTCAAAGTGCGATCCAATAGGTGATTTTGTGAAGAGCGTCATAAAGAACACATCCATTGTTCAGAGGGTTGCTTCCTTTGCAAGGGCCAGACAGAGTCTACAACTGAAAAAGACGGATGGGGCAAAAACGAGCAGGCTTTCTGGGATTCCAAAGCTGGAAGATGCCAACTTTGCAGGAACAAGCAGGTCGAAAGACTGTACTCTGATACTAACCGAGGGGGACTCTGCTAAGACACTGGCAGTTTCAGGGCTGAGTGTGGTTGGGAGGGATATCTATGGGGTTTTCCCGCTAAGAGGAAAGCTGTTAAATGTTAGAGAAGCCTCTCACAAGCAGATAATGGAGAATTCCGAGATTTCGAGTATAAAGAAGATTCTCGGGCTACAGCACAACAAAGTTTATGAGGACACGTCAAGCCTTAGGTATGGGCATGTCATGATAATGACTGATCAAGACCATGACGGCAGCCACATAAAAGGGCTGATAATCAATTTTCTGGACCACTTCTATCCCTCGTTGCTGAAAATACCAGGGTTTCTTCAGGAGTTTATCACTCCAATCATAAGAGCCACGAAGAAAGGCCAGGTCAGGGATTTCTTCACCTTACCTGAATATGAGGAGTTCAAAAAGAGCGAGGAAGGATGGAATATAAAGTACTACAAGGGCTTGGGGACATCCACAAGTGCAGATGCCAAGCAGTACTTTAGCAACCTGCCCATCCATGTTAAGAACTTTACCCCGCTGGTTGATGAGGATAAAGAACTCATTGACCTTGCATTCAACAAGAAGAAAGCAGATGCGAGGAAAACATGGCTTTTGAGTTTCGAGCCTGGGACATTTCTAGACCAGTCACTGCCACAGATATCGATTTCGGACTTCGTTAATAAAGAGTTGATTTTGTTTTCCATGGCAGACAACATCCGGTCGATTCCAAGCTTGGTAGATGGACTGAAACCAGGGCAGAGAAAAGTAATGTTTAGCTGTTTCAAGAGAAATCTTAGATCGGAAATAAAGGTGGCACAGCTGGTGGGATATGTTTCCGAGCAGTCTGCATACCACCATGGAGAGCAATCTCTTTGCTCCACAATTGTGAACCTAGCCCAAGATTTTGTTGGTTCCAATAATATAAATCTTCTTCTCCCTATTGGCCAGTTTGGAAGTAGGCTTCAGGGGGGAAAGGATGCAGCAAGCCCTCGTTATATCTTCACATCCTTGTCTCCACTCACAAGATTGATATTCAATGAGAATGACGATGCAATCCTGAACTATCTCAACGACGATAATCTTTCGATAGAGCCGGAGTTCTATGTGCCTATCATTCCAATGGTATTAGTCAATGGAGCAGAGGGTATCGGAACTGGATGGAGCACATCCATTCCCAACTTCAACCCAATAGATATAATTGAGAACATTCGAAGGATGATTAGAGATGAAGACCCTGTGGAAATGACACCCTACTACAGAAACTTTAGAGGAACCATCGAAAAGGTTGGAGAAGGAAAGTTCCAGGTCTCTGGGGTGTATGAGGGAGATATGGATCTTGAAATCACGGAGCTCCCTGTTGGCACATGGACCCTGAATTACAAGGAGTTTTTGGAGTCTCTTGTCCAGGCTGGTGTTGTGAAGGACTTCAAAGAGTACCACACAGAGAAGACAGTGAACTTTACTGTGAAGCTTGCCAAGCATGTCAGCAATCTGAAGCTAAACACCACCATCACAATCAACAACATGGTGTGCTTTGATGAGAAGCTTGGGATTAAGAAATACTCGACACCCAAGGATATCCTGAAGGAGTTCTATGATGTAAGGCTCAGATACTACTCGATAAGGAAGGAGAATATGCTGAAGGTAATGAAAGAGGAATTGGTAAGGCTGGAAAACAAGGTGAGATTTATAAAAGAGGTTTCTACAGGGGGACTTGTTATCAGCAGAAGAAGGAGGGCAGAGATTGTCTTTGATCTTGAGGCAAGAGGATATGCAAAGGCAGATGATTACGAATATCTTCTAGGGATGTCGATATTAAGCCTTACTGCAGAAAGAATTGAAAAGCTAAGCAACGAGCACTCAAAGAAGCTTGAGGAGTACAATAGATTAGCGGGGAAGACTCCCAAAAAGCTTTGGCTTGAAGACCTGGATGCTTTTGAAAAGGAGTACTTGAAAATTGTTGAAAATGAAACCAAAGAATATGACGATGAATTGAACGGACGTGTTAAAAAGAGAGGTGGGAAGCCAAAGTCGAGAAGTGGGGCCGCCAACAGGCCAAAGAAGGCCAAAGCAGCCCAAAAGCCCAAGGCAGCACATGTATCTGAGAACTCAACAGACTCAGATGCTTTACAAGAAAAGCCCTGGAAAAAGTATAATCTTACATAAATTTCCAGTGACTCAATCAAAGACAGATCTTTTATACACGCTTTCTTATCTTTAAAAGATAGCAGAAGACTGAGTAAAGTTTATTGTTCCTTTCGTACTTTCCTGTACATCGCATCTATTTTCTTCTGATATTCAATGGAAGCCGATTTTTCCCTCATGATTTTGTGATATGCAGATATCTTGCTTTCTTTTTGGATAGCTTTTCTCGTGGTCTTTGACTTTCTCTTAGTGCTTGCATTGAGTTTTGGCTTCAAGCTTTTGAACACCACTGGGCCTTTCTCCTGTACAATCGGGCCTCTTTTTTCCCCATGCACTCCAAATGCCTCAAATACACCGGGGTTTTTCAGAAACATACGGGCATAGCGTTCATAAAGAGCCCTGTCATTTTCAAAGAGATAATTCTTCACTTCATTCAAGTACATCGGTTTTGCTTCTGCTGAAATAAAAAGCTCAATCAGCTCCATGACTTTGGAGTGGGATGCTTTTGAGGAAATCTCGTCCACCAGTATTCCAGCTATATTCTTGTATTCTTTCTCACCTACTTTGAGATTCCTATATCTGTCTATAGCCCTATCTATCCTGCTTATGGTGATACTCATGCCAAGCCCTTCCAGAGTCAGATATTTTATTATTCAGTTACCATGCCCGAACCCTGAAACGAGAAATGATTTACAGAATAGATAAGAAGTCGATTAAGAGGCTCTATCTATCGAGGAATGCAAAAAGTTCCCATGTCCGTTCTTCCCTCATCACACTTGTAGAAATAGGAAATCCTTATTTGACTTTTATGCTTTATGCAATGTTTCAGGACATGCTTCCTGAGATGTCATGCCCAGCACCGTTTGGCATTCTTATGGAAAGCAGCAAGATAGTTAGCTACATGGTTGGAAGGATTATAGGAAAAGACGTAGCATTTGAGCCTAGAGAAGAGCGCAGCAGTGATAGATGGAGCGAAAGCGATTACATTGAAGTCATGAGGTTTCTCTTGAGCCTCGAAAGAACCAACAGAAGGTTATCATATATCGATCAGCCCTTCATTCTATATGTGGTGTCGAAGATATCGGAGACAGAAAAGGCAAAGCTAATCAGATTCTTAGAAGTCTCTCCTCTCTGTATATTAGTAATGAAGACAATGAGTACCAGCAGCCTGAAGGGTATTCACTTGGAAGTTATCACCTTCCTGAAGGCTAAAGATATGGAATATGAGGAGGGGTTTAAGTATGTGCATGAGTCAAGTGTAGATTTCAGGGCTCTAAAAAGAGTGTTTTTGAGGTCTAACTTCCCACAAATACAAAACTACTTCCATGCTCTGGTAGACTTCTGTCCCGAAATGATGTTTGGAATAGGAAAGCCCTATACTAACAGGATGGAAGTATTTGGAGATCCTCTTTTGATACCAATCAAGCCGAAGCTATTATGTGCCTATATATCTGCCTGTGTGCACTTTATCAAAAGAAAGTACAGGGCTCTTGAGCAGGAAAAGAACTTGGATGTGTTGATAAAAACCATTTACATTGAAAGAATCCTCTCAGCTTGTCCTAAAAAGCGTCTCTTGAAAAAAGTGATCCATCAAATGATTCTCGACACGCCTATTCTCGTGAAAGTTATCGTAATGAGAAGATTTCCATCTAATCTTGTTAAAAGAATAGTTAGATGTGTACCGTCCTTTCACCTTGCATATGAGATGTCGCTAAGGATTCTTTGTAAAAATCCTAATGATAACTTCTATGAAACACTAGTTGAAGAGCTCCTCAAGAAATATCCAACTGAAAGCAATGTGAAGAAGTTTGGAGCATGTTCTCACTTACTTAGCAAGCCACTTCTAAAAAGGTTGAAATATCTTACCGATGCCTGTTCTAGCGAATAGGGAGCGAAAGAAGCGAGAACTGAATATCTTTGTCTTTTAATAATAAACAAATAGTCTGCATTGCATAAAGTCTCTACATTATCAGAAATATCTCGTTATATTTATCAAATTAGTACGGCAGAGCAATGGTTAAAAATTATGTTTTACACCAAATGTGTCTAGAACAATAACTACTGCTAGAAGAAAACCAGCAGAAAGAACATCTGAGACCGAAGTGATAAACGGGAGAGCCATAACGCTGGTATCCTCTTCTTTTTTGTCCAGATACTCGATAAGAATCGAAATGCCTTTCAGTAAAATTGTAACATGGAGGACAAAGGATATTGTGAATAATATACAGAACTCTGTGGAGTATTGGAGCCCCATTAGCATTGCCACTACAAGATATATTAGCGACATTAACAAAGAAACTAGTGTCAGTGTTATGTAGGACTCTGTACTATTATGGATTGTTTGATTGTTGATCGATGTAAATATCTTGTGGAGATGAATTAGTGCTATTGACACAGACATCCCACTAAACACAGGAAACGATGGAGCAAGAATTGGAAACCTGACAGAAAAATTCTCAAGGACATATCCGATGGCTGTGCTGATCACATATGTCATGACGAGAACCTCTATAGGCTGGATGGGGATCCGCTTTTTGCCGGACAGTGCAAAGCAGAGGCACAAAGGCACAATGGAAACAGACAAGAATATGTATGTAAGGGACAACGGAATCGAAATACCCCTAAACCTCTTTGTGAAGTACATCAGTGACTTTACATTCATGTAATCGCCAAAGGACGATATGGTTGGGAGGATGATATTGTCTGGATTGATGCCCATCACCTTGGATATCTCTATGGATATTACGAGAAGCACTATGAACATAGCGGTGGTGAGTATGCACGAAACAAGTGAACCTGTAACCATGGACATTACCAATTCTGTGTGCAGCTCTCCTGACAAAGTGACCCCTATTATGCCTATTAGCCCTATGGTAAGTCCTATTATGGCAGATTGCGCCAAGACTAAATTGGAGTTAACAAAGACATATCCGAAGTACTTTTTGTACATAAAGAGAGGAGACTGGCTCATTGATGAGAGATACATTGCAAATATGACCTCTGTGTTTCCTTTGAATGCCAGAATGCAGTTTGTTTCAAGAATGATTGGGACATCTTCCAAACTAGCATCGTTGGTAGCATCTATGAGTGCTGATCCCGTCATTATCAGCCCTACCAAGGATATGAGCAGCCCTGGGACGGACTGCAGCAACAAGGAAGTGTTGCATGAAGACAGATTGACCAAGTCTTTAAACATCGATCCTGGACCCCTATCCCATTAAGAAGAATAGCTTTTGAGAACACCAATAATATTCCATACTGAGACCTAACGTTCTATCCCATACGGTTTCAAATATTTGATGCCCATTGATAGCTGTTGTGGGGGAGAAAGAGAAATCCCATGAGTGGTGCATATAGGGCCTGTGTTTCATTTTCAAGCAAAATGCCCTGTATTATGAAGGCCTAAGCACATTTGTGGAATCTATGAGACTTCTTTTAGATTGAAACCTTTCAAAATTAACACCCTAATCAACTCATATTATGGAAAAGCCGAGTGCAAGCTTTAACTTTGATAAGATACCAAAGTTCATAATGAAGCTTTATAAGGCCACCAGTGACGAGAAGTACAAGGGAATATGCTGGACGCCTGATGGGCTCAAGATTCACATATATGACAGAGATGTATTTGTGAAGGAGACACTTCCTCTTATATCCAAGACCAGAGAGTTCGGAACGTTTGTCCGGATGCTGAATAGCTATGGATTTGTTAAGTCCAAGGACATTGAGGAGGAGGATATATACTATAACAAGAACTTCAGGAGAGGAAGAGAGGATCTTCTAGGGATTGATGACTCACTTAGGATGATCAAGAGAAAGAAGTCGAACGACATTCGGATGGGAATTGGAGATGGGTCCCTGAAGGAGGTTGTGGAGTACCTATATGTGCAGAACCAGGAGCTGTACACAGAGCTGTCTGCCTGCAAGGAACGGATAGAGAGGCAGGAAAGGACTCTCAACGGTCTTATAGAGATTCTTTCGAGGGTTTTTAGGACAAATTCCCAGGACTTCGGGGCTCGACTTAAGCCCAGTAACCTTAACCTTCATAATGAAATGGATCTTTTCCTTGGGGAGCTGTCCGGGCCTCTTAAGGACGGATATGAAACATCATCATCCAGGCCTCAGGAGAAAAGTATCCCAGGGCTGTCCTTTAAGTCCGGAGAGAATCCTCGTGGAGATTCTGATTCCAAGAGTGATGGATACGATGCTTTCTTTTAAATGTGTACATATTACCGTATAACATTACATTACATTACCTACATATGATATGGATGTATTAGAAAATAAAAATAACGTATAGTTTTAGTTTACACGTCAAGATATATTGGCTTAATGAGTTTTCTTATTTGGGCCAGACTTATATCCTTGATGAAAGTTGGGAGAAGAAGCAGGGTGGCAAGTGTAGCCTTAGGCATGCTTGTCCTCTTGACTGGGGCTGCTACGACCATTGGCCTTGTATTCAGACTGCAGGACTATGCAAAATCATCACTACCGAATGGAGGGTTGAAGGAGCTGCGTTTTTGCGAGCCAAAATCACCGGTAGTGCCTGTTGAGGAGTTGGGATGTATTTCTCTTAGGTTTTGGGATGTAAAGGGGGAAGATTTCAGCATAGAGCAGGCCGCATGTGGAGAGAATAGTGAAAGGTTGTATCTTGAATTCGTTATAAACACCCTGGGCGGCATTTGTGATCTAGAAAATGAAGCAGGTGTGATTGAGGAAGAGGATATAATGAAGAGAGAAAAGGAAAGCCTCAGAATTCTAATCTGTGAGATAAGATACAACCTATGTGAAAACTCGAGGCTTGTAGAAGTCAAAAGCACAGGGACATGTATTGATGCTTCCTCGACAGCATTAAGAAGATTCCTCGGGTTAGACGTGGAGTTCCCCTCAGGACAGGATTTGGAGGCGGTGGAGACTGGAGAAATGGTCAAGGTCATTGAAGCGTACTGGCCCAGGGACCTAAACGGCGTGAAGTGCAAGATTTTTACAAAAGTGCTATCATTGAAGAGCTATGTGGCGAGCATTCTTGCTAGATATTTCATTGAGTGCAAGATAGAAAGGCAGAAAAGAATGGAAAGAGATTCAGATGTGCTTATGAGCATTGAGATGGGAAGAGCGCTAGGTGATAAGAATGTAAGCCCATTTGTGATTCTAAGTGGAAAAGGCTGCCTGAGCCCAGGAACATACATGAATGTTATACGAGAGATCCTTTTCTTTACTAAGTATAAAAGTATTATTTCCAATATGAATGCTGAGGAAAGCGGAAGCTTCCGCGATATTAGTGAACTATGGTTTCTCCTACAGAAATGCAAAGGCAGCTTCAACAGAAAACTTTCTGACAAGTTCAGAAAACTATTTGAGAAAATATCCAGAGATAGCTCGATGTCTAACAGCGATAGAAGCCATGTGGCCTACAGAACCTTGATGGGCTTTCTTGGGCTGACTGAAGGCTTCCAAAACGGGACAATGAGGCAAATAAAAGATCAAGACATGCCTGTTTTCGAATACTATCGAAATCTTCTTTCAAGCCTGGTTGATGAGAAAGCCTACTACCATATTCTAAATACAAGGAAGACCATTAAGGTAAAGGATTATATGGCAAGCTTGCTTCTCCGGGGCTATAAGGACAGAGTTTACAAACTAGCAGCAAAACTCGAAGTAAAGAAGGTTTCCAAAATGGAGGTGAAAGGGGGATTTCCTCGAATGAAACACTACTTGTGGTTTCTAGTTAGGCTCATTCATGATGCCGAAGTCGTGGACAGAAAGACTGGCGGAAAGTTTAAAGATGAATTAGGTAGGCTGAGAGAGAACTTTACACTTTGCATTGAATTAGTTGTGCATGGCAGAAAGATATATGCGTCTGAGCCCTCTACTAAAGCTGTTCTCAAGCTAGTAGGAATAGGCAAGAACACAGATACTTGTACCGCCGGAGCGGAAGATGAACATGGATACATGTTTGAAGGCGCGAAACGGCATGAGCCATCAAGAAATGGCATTTCTTTTGCAGGGTGTATTTTGGATAGGATGGATGCTTCTCTTGGAGAATATGCTGCTGCTGTGGTTTCGCAATATCTCAGAGAATGTAAGGAAAACAGTAGGGCACAGGAGGATGTGGACTTGAAGGTCTTCCGAAGCATGAATGAAGACTTTTCGATAAGGTATGAAGATGGAAAGCCTGTTGGCGTGGAATACTTTGAGATGGTAAGAAACATGCTCTGCAGAGTGTTTTGTAGTGAGATTGAGGGGCTTCTAAGAGGAGCAATGCTTGAAGACAGCTTTCTTTCAAACACACTAAAGTATTATCTGGACTGTAAGATGAGAAATGTCTGCAATCTTTTTTCAAGGGCCTTCCTTGCTGTGGAACATGGCTTTCACACTGACGAGAAGAAGGTTTCTGCGCACGATGTTACTATGATCAAAAGAATTCTAGGGAAAGACAAATACTTTATGCGAAGCACAGATCTTCAGGAAGGCAGCAAGAGGCTGTTTAAATCGATCCTATCGAAGTTTCCAAGAAAATACAAGAAGATTAGATGCTGGATTGGAGACAAGGAGTTCGAGCTGGTCTATCTCATTGCCAAAGCAATCACAGAATACCTCAGGATAGACACTGCTGAAAACTGCAAGCTTGTTTCTGAACTTGAAAGGAGCCCCATATGCAATGCAGCATTTTATGACGAAAAGTAAGTGCCTGCGATTGCACACGTCACATATATGAAAACCTCAACCCCAAAGTCTCATGGGAGCAGAGAAAAAAAAGTTTCAAATACAACTAACAGCCTTTGTTATCACTATGTTTGTGTCGCCCATAGCAGTTCCCGTGCTCGGAAGAATGGCAGGATTTGACTCTCCTTTAGTTTCATTTACATCTCTATTCCTAGTTCTGGGATCTATGGGGGCGATATGTAAAGTTGCGATTGATAGAGAAAGAGAAAAGAAGAATAAAAGGATGAGGAAGATTAAATCCAAGTGAAGTTTGTTTCGATGTCTGTGCTCCTGGTGTGTGAGCCCTGCCTGGCCGCTCCCAGGTTCTTGATTTAAGTTTGTTTATTTCTGTCTTTTTTATATCTGGCGAGAATACCCCAAATGAATGAGGTATCGGTGATAGTTCATCCATTGGTATTACTTTCTGCAGTTGACCATTACAAAAGAAAAGGAACAAGGCGAGTTGTCGGGATATTGCTTGGAAATGAAGACGGAGAGGTTCATATCACAGAGAGTTTTGCCTGCATATTTGAGGAAGACGAAAATGAATGGTTTATAGACACCTCATACATAAGAAGCATGTTTGATTTGTTCTACAAGGTTAACCACAAGCTCAAGATAATAGGGTGGTATCACACAGGCCCGAAGATGTATGAAAATGACCTCGACATAACAAGGTCTTTATCCAAGTTTGTGGAGAATCCCTTTCTTGCCATTATCAATGTCCATCTCGGAGAAAACGATCTTCCTGTGCAAACATTCAAGCTGGACGAGCAAGATGAGTTTATACACGTGGGGTGCAGTATAGAGGCCGAAGAAGCCGAGGAAGTCGGTGTTGAGCATCTTATAAGAGACATCAGGGAGGAGGCTAGTGGATCGATTGCAGCCAAAATTAATGGAATAAAAGAATCGCTGCTTGTCTACAAAGGGGTTCTTGCAGAAATAAGATCCTACCTCGACGACGTGATAAATGGAGGAATTGCCCCGAGCCAGGAGATCATCAACCTCTGCCAAGAGATCATCAATTCTATTCCAAAGCTTGAAAAGCCTCTGGACGAGAATCTTTCTGATTGCTATGTCTCTGTGCTTGCAAAGACTGTGGTTGCACTTAATGATCTAAGGAGAAACAGGCTTGAGAATGGAATTGAGACGAGTGCATCGTAAATTTAATAAACATGTCATATTCCTGATATTACAAAACTTTGGAGCGCAGCACCTTGACTTTTTTGTAATTTTTCTTTGGGGATAGGGTATGGAGATCAGACATATAGTTCTTCTGAACTATGGAGATGCTGGAAGAATCAACCAGCATGTGTTGTGCAATGGCTGCCTTGTATTCAATTCTCCCTGGAGTGATTCATCTCCAGAAACCAAGGTGGAGAGGGACGGTGATAAACTAACCATTGAGTCAAAGGAAATAGTTCTTAGGATCATCGGTCGAAAAATCGTTTACTTAGAGGCCGTCTACTCAATAGACAGTAAAGTTGAATTTATGGAGCTCACCCCTTCCCCATATCCATATGATTTCTTCTTGATGAAGAGGCACTTTCTCTCGAGGCTGAAGGGAACGCCTTCCTGCTCTATAGACAAAGAAACAGTGCACCTGAGCAAAAGAAGGATAGGATGCTTTATCATACCTGTATTCTTGTATTTGTTAAGAAGGACTGTTAAGGATTTTCTTGTCGGACTTCCCCAGCACATAGTTGATTACATAGTGAGTTGCCCAGCTGAGAAGGGGCAGGCTGTAACCATAAAGACAACTCTGGGCACTTACGTAAGATTCTTTTGTTCTATGCAGGGTGTGTTTTTAAGACTAGGGGTTCCAGTTGTATTTATTGACGAGGTTTTTCTTATTCCAACCATTGCATATCTGCATGCCTTTTCGCATGTATGCTCTTTCTTAGTAAGCTTGCTAATAGAATCTGTCCATCTGCTGAACAACAGTAGCTACAATCCCCTAAAAAGGCGAAGAGACACCATGATCCTTAATACAGATCAAATATTCATGTCTGCATTGATTTTTTCATTTGTCCTGCTAATCATGTTCAACATTGTGCACTTCTACATTCTTTGTAGCTTCATGAGACTATGCCTAGCCGGCCTGAGGTTTACTAGGAACTTCATAGACTTTGTATTGATGGACTTCTCCAAGTGCCGTACATACGACCTTTCAATTGATTACGATAAGGCCCCCGCAATTAAGCTCAGGTATACCAAGGTTTCTATCTACGATAGAATCAAGCTCGCAGTGCAGGCAAGCTTCTTGTCTTTGGGATTATTCAAAGATAGCATCCTAGTTAGGTTTTTAGCTGAAATAAAGTAACATCTTTCTTACGTCTACCTTGTTCTGAGGTGCCTGTGCAGCATCATGCCTCGCTTCCATCAAATATAGATGCTTTTCTTTGTATTTTTTCCTTGTCTCTTCTGCACCTTAGTGCCTTCAGAATCTCGTCGTCAGGTATCTTTCCTACCAGCGAGCTATAGAACGACTCGAAATCCCCCTCAGAAATAGATATCAAGATGGCTAGGCTCTGAAGATCAGTGAGCTTCTGGATAGCTTCGATGCTCCCGAGCTCTTTAGCAAACTCTAGGATCTTGGCGACATACTCGACCATGTTCTTAGATTGCTGTTCATCGAATGTGATCTGTAATATTCTAGCATGCAATGCTGAACAGAGCAGACAAAGAATCCGGTTCACCAAGATCTTGAAATTCTCTCCTTTTATAGATGCCTCAGTTGCTTTTCCGATTTCATGTCTTATAACCTCTAGCACCCTTTCACATCCCTCGAGACTTCCAAACGATTCCTGCTTTATCCTAACTCCAATCCTCATGCTACATGTTTCTATCTGCTCTTCAAATGCATCTCTGAGCTTCCTATTGATTTTGTCTATGAAGGTTTCAAGCCTCCAGAACTTGTTTCCAAAGTACTTTCTTGTCACCAAATAGATGAACTGCAGCACCCTCACAACCTCAAACTTATTCTGCGTTGAGTCATAAACAGATCCAACAAACCCGTTTATCTTCCGAGCAAAAAAGTCAATAAGCTCATCCTCTTCGATATCGCCGTAAAACCTCCCAGACCTCCCAAAGGCAAAGCTCATGGTGTTGAGGAGTTGTTTGTACACAAATATGTTGTCAGCATTTGCTCCTGCCTCCTCCCCAAGAATGATGTATCTTGTCTCGCTCTTCTTCTTCAGAACAAGAACCTCATAGATCTGCTCAAAAAAGGCCTTCTCCTTATCGACCGCAACTCTGGTGTACTGGGAAATAAGATCCTCAGTGGCATGCGACCCATCAAAGTCAGGATCTATTGTCTCAATAAATGATCCGAGGATCTGAAGATTCTTGTAGCAGCTCTCAAGCCCCAGAAGAAACATGCATGGGCTCATTCCCTTGAGATAATCTCCCAATGCTGTAGAAATTATATCCCCATACACTTTCTTATGTATTATCTTGTACACGTCCTTTGTATTTACAAAAATGTCTCCAAGACCTCTGAATTTGTCGTCATATGTATCTCTGATCTTGTTTATCAGATCCACAAATGTGCTGTGGCTCGTCATGTGGAAGTCAAGATCTATTATGGCTTCGTTTCTGCTCTCCATACTTACAGGTTCTTTAAACAGATCTAGGGAATATATGTATGAATGGACAAGAAAGCTCTCTTTTCCCATTTCAAGTAAGGAATTGTATGCAGACCTCATCATCGTTTTGTTGTTCTGCTTGTTCCCTGTTTCAAACACACTAAGCATCTTATCTTCAATTGCCTTGTTATATTCTTGAATTTCCCCATCGTCCTCGACAACCTTCGAGATGTTGTGCAGAAGGAAGCACAAGAATCTCCAATCCTCTTCGCTATCACTTGTCATAAGACTATCAAGTACCTTGAAGTTCCCTTTTTCAATCTCCATCAAATACTTCACTGCCTTCTCCATCCTTTTGAGATGGTTTATCTCTTTATTTCTTTCTAGCACATCCTTCGACGTCCCAAGCGGCTCCAAGACTATCTGGGCTGTCTCTCTGTTCAAATCATCAATCCTGTCTAGCTTCAGCCCCTCCTGGATCGTACGAATCCTTGTGTTAAGCTTTTCCCTCTTGAAAAACAGACCTTCCCTTATGTTCTCAAGGTCTCCAACAAGCTCCATCAGGTTCGCATGCGTTTGGAATATGCTGTCTTCCTTAATGTCAACAGCTTCCTCAACAAGGCTTGTAAGATTGAATGACCCAGACCTCAACTGGCTTACATGGATGTTTTTCATCTGGGGAGGCAGAGACAATTCACATAATTAAGCCCCTAGCCTTGCTGGGCCCGAAAGAAAAAACATAGCTCAAGATAATTTAATCCCAATGACTAGAAACCATTCCATTCTTCGACACTTCCTCCAACCATGTTGCTTAAAACTTCTTCCTTTCCAACATTGAGGATGTTGTTTGCCGAGTCCATGAGCTGCTCCTCAACAAGTTGCTCAAGCTCAACACTGTCTCTAAACAGGAAAAGCTCAACTTCCTTCATGTCTCGAACAAGCTCAGCCCCTGTCTTCATGTAGTTGATTAGCCTGGACAGGATGAAGAACCCCGCAGCAATTGCAGACGGCGACCTATTGTTCATGGGAATTGCAATGTCTACTCCCACCAAGGAATTATCTGCATTAACAAATGCAATTGTAGGAAGGTTGCAGTGCTGTGACTCCAAGATGGCCTGTTTGTCAGCATATGTATCGGAGACAATAAGGAGCCTTGGATCGTACATCCTCTTTACCTCTGAGTTTGTAAATGATCCGGGAATAAACCTTCCTGTTATTGGAGTCGCACCAACAGCCTCGCAAAACTTGACAACAGGCTTTCTTCCAAACGTTTTTGTGGAAACAACAGCAATGCTAGAGGGATGCTTTATTCCACAGAAGGCTCTTGCTGCAATGATGAGTTTCTCCCACATTGCGTTGATATCGATGATGCTAATCTTATCTTGAGACCTTGTACCGTACATGTACCTGGAAAAGTTCTTGTTTGTGGAGGTTCCTCCAAGATGTGCCTGGCTAAGTATCAGTAGCTTAACAAACTCGTCTGGGATTTTGATGCTATCTGAGATCCTGGTGTTATCTTGCGGCATTTGAAGGGTACAAATTTTTTCGGGATTATCCATTTGATATGCGGTGAGGTATGAAAATATCAAAGGACGTTATGATGGATGCCTCTTTTGGCACGTCCTTTGGGCTGTGTTTTCTGTAGATTTTAAGTGGTCTGTCGGGATTGAATTCAACCCTCTTAGGGCGAATTTACAGCCCCCGTAGCTCAGTCGGTTAGAGCGTGGTACTTATATGCTGGAAAGCTGTGCAAAACTTGGTTTATACTGCTAAGATATGCCAAGGCCGCGGGTTCGAGTCCCGCCGGAGGCATTCTTTTGTCACAATCACATATAAACTCTTTTAATCGTCTTGGCTCCCTTTCAAAAGTAGATGTTCACCTTTCTGAATTCTAATAATAGAGCAAGAAAGTCATCGAGATCCATCTTCGAGGCCCTTGCTCCATTAAGATCGGCTTTCGATAGGACTCTTTCAAACAAGTCTTCGGGGGTAGTGTTCTCAAAAGCCGGGTTGTTTTTTATCTTATTGAGTAGGGACGAGTTCTTGAAGTTTGCTTTGAGTGTCTTGTTCTTTCTAAGAAAGCATATCTTCAGGAATCTGTCGAACTCCTCAAAATCTATTGGTGGCCTTGGCACTCGAGGCTCGATCCTCACAAAACTTGACTCAACCTTTGGCGGCGGTACAAAGCTATTTTTTGAGACTTTCAGAACATGGTCTATTTGCGCAAGCATTTGTGCTCCAACAGAGAGCCGGCAGTATTCAGGACTCCCCGGCCTTGCCACTAGCCTGTTGGAAAACTCTCTCTGAAACATTACATATGCACACTTGAAGTCATACTTCAGAAGCTTGAACACAAACGGGCTACTAATCTGATACGGCAAGTTGGTTATGCAGAGATCAAAGTGGGGGAAGTCATGCTTTAATGCATCTCCCACAAAAAGTTGAAATTTCTGTGCCATCCCCGGAACACCGTTCACTCTTTTTGCCAGTTCTGCTGCAAGTCTAGGATCTATTTCATAGCATATTACTTTCTTTGCCTTCTGGAGCAACTTCATCGTAAGATTCCCTGTTCCCCCACCTATTTCCAGCACAACGTCCGTTGGCTTTATTCTTGCTCTTTCTATTATCGTGTCAACCACCCCTAAGTTCTTCAGTATGTGCTGCCCATGCTGCTTATTAAACTTTGGATTCACCATCTGGATACCCCATCATATGCAAAAATTTAACAATACTCAAGATTTAATCGCTAAGGCTCCCTGAAAAAATCCCAGCTAGAGTCGAGATGTACATGGTCTTTCCATAGCGCTCGATCCATCTTGTATCCTTTGGAACCCTCATACGGACCTCCTTGAGAAGATCTATTGCAATTCCATTCCAGCCTATAACTCCATTACCAATGACATTCAAGCCCTCAATATTCTCTCTGAAGAGAACTCTCCACTTTATAGCATCATACTTCAGAAGCATGTTCCCTTCAGTCACTACATACAAATACTCTCTGTTCGGGACTATCAGCTTCACTGTGTCGAAAACCTTTAGCACCATCTCTGAATCCTTGTAAACATGGCCATAACAGGTGGTGTAAAAGACAGAATCTCCATGAACCCAGAAGTTCTGTATCGTCGGATTTCTGCCTCCTACTGCATGCATAGCAGAATCCTTCATATACCTTACATCTTCAAAAGTCGATCTATAAAGACAACCATCAGAACTTAGAAAATGCATCCCTGAGCTGTTGACCACCGCCTTCTTGATGCACCCTTCTATCCCTTGGAAGTTGATCACAACTTCTCGACGAATTACATCGAAAACAATGATCTTCGAAGTCCTAAACACAAGATATATGTAATGTCCATGGACCCCCATCTTCAGTACGTCCCCATAAAACTTGTATTCCTCTCCCGAGGATAGGGCAATCAATGTGTTTCTGCCTGTCAAGCAAAACACGTTTCCGTCATATACCACAAACTCCTTACAGTCCACAACTCCCTGTATTAGCTTGAGGGGAATGTCTGGAGCATCTGCAAAGAGCTTACCTTCCATTCACCTTTACTTTCAGGGGAGCTCTAAACAATTCCTGAAGGGCCCAGGCAGGAGAACTATACAGCGAGTCTTTAGTCGTATACTTTATTTTTAATTAGATAACATACCATTCGAGAAATAGTACACCCGGTCAAACCTGCTCAGCAGTCCTGAGTTCTGCATTATCATTATAACAGTTTTGTCCGAAAGATGCTTCATAATCATGTCAACTATGGCATTTTCAGATTCTTTGTCCAAATGCGAGGTCACTTGGTCGAAAATGTATATGGGTGCATCCTTAACAACAGTCCTCATCAGGCTAACCTTTTGCCTCTGTCCTCCGCTTAGTCTGTTCCCCCCGTTTCCAACAATCGTTTGGTATCCGTCGCTAAGACTTCTAAACACATCATCCATTCCATATCTTTTGCAGTATTCAACAATCTCCTCGTCACTAAGATACTCGTTCCCATCCTTTATGTTGCTGATAATCGACTTGTTAAACAGCTGTGACTCCTGGGGAGAGTATGATATCATGCTCCTCAGGCCTTCTCTGCTCAGTGTGTTAAGCTCTACATCGTCAACAAGAATACTTCCGTCGTACTCAAGAAATCCAAGGAGGGCCCTAGCAAATGAGGTCTTTCCTCCCCCATTGTCTCCAGATATCCCTATCTTCTCCCCCTTCTTTATCCTCATGTTTACATTCTTTAACAGCTTTATGTCCCCAATCGATATTTCCAAACCCTCGATTTTGATTTCATTTTCAAAGTCTTTCTTGTAATAGCCAAGCTTCTCCGTGTCCAGTTTGATGGCCTCAGCTCTGTTTTGTGATATATTTGTTAGATTCAGTAGTATCATCACAAAGCTGTTGCTTATGTCAACACAATACATTCGAAGCTGGTTGCTCAATGAGAATATTAAGGTATAATCCTTGAAGCCAACACTACCCTCCCCCCTACTCGAAAATTGCACAGTCATGATAAACATCGCCATCATAAATATGTTTTCTCCAATAAAGTTCCCGGCCTGCAGCCAGCTCCAATACATCTTTCCGTACCTCGTTTCTGCATTCATGCGCCTGTATAGCTCATCTGCCTCAAACTCCTCGTTGTTGTATGACTTTATAATGTCGTAGTTCAGTATGCTGTTGTACCTCTTCCTCTCCGTCATGTCAATCTCTCTGTTCATCTTCAACCTGATAATGTTTCTATAATGATTTATGATGATCACACACACCCCATATGCAATCACGACGCCCCCCATAAGCAGCCCATAGTAGCTTTCAACCCCACTTCGGATCTTAATCACCGTTATTAGAATGCAGCAGAAGCTCATGATAAAACACTTTATAGTAGACTCCAGAATCCATCGCAGGGATGAAACCTTTCTATTCATGAACGATATCATGTCTCCAATACCTATTTTCTTGAAGTCTAGGAACGACATGCAAATGTGCTCTTTATATAGATCTATAATGTAATCTCTGCATATGGTTTCTACATAGCTGGACATTGTAAACAAGGATACTAGCCCAAGCACATACGAAGAAAGTGCAACAATTAGATATGTCCCGATCTTTTCATTCACCGCCTCCTTATTATCGGCCTTTTCTTGGATGTCATTTAGGATCTGTGTGATGAATATCTCCCCATATCCAGCGGCCACCAGTGCTACTATGATGGGAAGAATCATGACTCTTACAACCGGGGATCCAAGAATATACTTGAACAGCACGGTCTTTATCATTATCATTTTGCTAGTTCTCTTTGCATCCTCCTTCATTTCCCGGGGTATGATTTTCTTCTTCTTTTTGCCTACTGAGTCAACTGACTTAATCTGGGAAGCCTTGGAAGTTCGTGGAGAAGCGATTATTGGACGGTTTCCAAAAGTAGCATCTTGATTGATGCCAGGGGATCCCGAGGGTATATCCGCATTTCGTGAGATGGCAGTAGTACCCATAGGATTTATTGGCCCTTAAAATGGCTATTGTGCAATACATTCTGCTCAGAGGCGATTTGAATTTCTCGAGAGGCGCCCTAATTGCTCAAGCCTGCCACTCGAGTGTTTATTCCATTGAAAGATACAGAGATCATCCTGACACAGTAGAGTATCTAAAGAGTGCAGGGCATATGACAAAGATAATCCTCAAGGTAAGTGGATGATTTAATTTCAGATAAAAGAGGAGGATGTAGAAGAGATAGTAGGCCATCTTGTTTCAAAAAATATCGACCATACTGTTTGGGTTGAGGAACCGGAAAACATAGCCACATGCATATCTCTGAGGCCCTACAGAAAGAGCCAGGTAGCAGATACCGCCGAGTACCTCAGAAGATTCAAGCTATTCTAGTGATTTTATGCAATAAAGGGAGGCCCTTATTGCCTCCTTAGAGGCTCCTTTTACAGCAAAGAAAGGGACTTCAGGATGGTTGTATATTAAGGCTAAAACAAATCCCCTATCGATATGAGCCCATGCCTCAAGGATAAGTATAGACGGCAGTTGACGGGAACCTGTGACAAAGTTCCCTGCCACAAAATATTCTGTCGATCTGGACTAGGAAACGAGGCTGCCGAGGAGCTGTCAGAGCTGCTTTCGAAATACGGAGACGTGTTTTTGTGTGAAAACATATGCAAAACCATGGACCGTGCCTCTCATGTAAACTTTGGCAGAAATGGAAATGTATTCCTAGATTTCTTCTTTTGCCTAAGCAAGATGGGGTCGAGAAGAAATACATCTTCTGAAGAGAGCAGGTCTGGAAGTAGAAGCGAAACATCAATACTTTGCATCAAGAACGAGGAGGGCATAAAGCTGGAGAAGAATGGAATGCAGTCTGTTGAATGGGCTAGGAGGAGGTTTAGGAAAAAAAGCATTCCCTCATTCAAGAGCAAGACTGGAAACAGATTTGGATGCCTGAAAATCAACGAGATGAAAGATGAGTTTGACGGTGCAACCAGGCTTGACCACTCCATTTGTACACTAATATCTGGGAAGGATGGCGTCACTGCGGAGGATAGATATATCCTTATTGGCGTGCTTCAGCTATTACTCAAGAAATACGAAGACTCACTACACCTTACTCTTGGAATGGTCATTATTAGAATTTATTGCTCAATAAGTAAATATGGTGATGTCGAGGAAGTGTACTACCCGATTTTATACAAGATATTCCACAACATCCGTGGGTTGTACAGTGAGATGCTCAAGAAGAATTCGCTCAGCGAGGGAATTACATGTAAGGGGGAAAAGATAGGCTCGAGGGGAGACCATCCTGTCTGCATATACCTGCCCAGATTTACAAAGCTTGATCTTTCTATGCTTGTAGATAATATAGCAGGAATTCTCAACTCCGAAGAGACTGCTGACAACAGAGAAAGCAAGAGAGTTGATAACCTACTGAGCATATTGCATTTGCTCTACCTTATAAACGAGGAGTGCGGGATACTTAGCTATAAAAGATTCTATTTGGCATCCTTTTGCACCCGCATGAACTTTCGTGAGGAGTTTAAGCACTTCAGAGCAAAGTCGAAGACACCCCTCAACTTCCCCTTTATCCTTCCGGTGCACATCAAAGCTGAGCTTATCAAGTATGAAAACAATGACATGATGAAGACCTCTCTGCAGGACTCGTTTTTCAAATCTCTGTTTGAGGGGCATGTGGATCCGTATCTGTTTATCACTGTGAACAGAGAAACAGTATATAGAGACAGTATTGAGATATTCAAGAGGATGAATCCGTTGAATGCAAGAAAGCAGCTTAGGACCACATTCAGAAACGAGGAGGGGGTGGACTCTGGAGGGATAAGAAAAGAGTACTTCCAGCTATTGAGCCAAGAGATAAAGGAGGATGGAAGACTATTTGAACACACAGAAAATAGAATCTGGATCAGGCCGCACGAGGGAGATGAAGAGGAGTATGAAGCCATTGGAAGAATAATTGCCATAGCACTCTACAATAATGTTGTCCTTAACATTCCTTTCCCAAGCTTGTTTTTCAAGAAGCTCCTTGGCAGAAGACCAACTCTCGATGACCTGAGGGAGATATCCTCTGGAATAGCTACATCGCTGAGGAATCTGAGAAGATTGTCAAAAGATGAAATAAACGGACTAGACCTACGGTTTGTTGCCGAGCACAATGTTGATGGGGCCACGAGAGTATATCCTCTTGTGAAGAACGGGAAGAATATAAGGCTAACATCGGAAAACATGAGGCTGTTTATTGAGAAGTACATCGAATTCCATACAGACACCCTTGTAAAGCCTCAGTTCGAAGCCATTCAAAAGGGATTCTATTCCATAATAGATAGAGACAAGATGATGTATCTTGACCCAAAGGAGCTTGAGAAGATAATGATGGGGTCAAATACATTTGATATCAAGGCAATAAGATCCTCTGCTACGTATTCTGGATACAGAGAGGATTCCCCCATCATTCTCTACTTCTGGGAAATATTCGAAGGATTCAACAGGAAGAAAAGAAAGAAACTTCTTCAATTCATCACGGGAAATGACAGGATACCTGTTTCAGGCCCTGCATCGTTGAAGCTTGTCATAATGAAAAATGGATGTGATACAGACAGGCTTCCTTCTTCGCAAACGTGCTTTAATACACTCCTGCTTCCTGAATATTCATCTAAGAGCAAGCTGGAGAAAAAGCTCGAAACCGCCCTGGAACTAACAGCAGGATTCTTCCTACTCTGAACTGAAAATAAATTATTTTTGCACCTTTCCATTCATCTTCAAAAAAAGGTTTCCTCGGATTCGTCACTGCTGAAATCTAAGTTTGTCGCAGGATCAATCGTTCTATGTTTCCCTGCCGTGTATGCCTTCTTCTTTATGTTCTTTCTAAGACCGCTACAGTAGGGCCTCCAGGGAAGCTTTCTGAGAAATGAGGCTTCGTCCTCCCCTAATCCCACCTTAAACTCCTTTTCTTCTTCAGGACATATCCCTGACATTCTCTTGCACTCATAAAGTATCTTGTCCTGCTCTTTGTCCATAAGCAAAGTCACCTTGTTGTTCAACACACAATACTCATAAATAGGTTTATTACTCTTCCTGCTCAATGGTGTACCCTTTCTCTCAATCCTCACAAACACCATCTTGTGCCTCCAGGCATTAGCCTTGCCAGCCTCCTCAGAGTAGGAATTTTTGTTTTCCATGTGCAAAGAAATCTCTTGGCAAAACAAAACTCTTGTATATATAAATAGGCCCCAATAGGAATAACAAAGCGTCCTTTTGAGTCATTCTTCAGGCGCAACGTACTTCTCTGCATCCTCCTTCTTCCTTTTCTTCTTTTCTCCACCGTTTTCCTTTTTTCCAGAATCAAAATCTCCGTCGGTAAAGTACTCTCCTGTCTCCATCTCAATGTCTTCCTTTCTCTTTGGTATATCAGAGGGCATGCCCCCGCTCGGTCTTCCAACAATCTTCTTCTTCGACTTTTTGTTGCTCTTCTTGATCTCCGGAAGGAATCGGCTCCAATCCTCTCCCTCCTTGGTCTTGTCTCCCTCCAGCTTTCTTTTTTCCACAAGCTTTTTAATCTGGTACATCGGATGAATGTTGTTCATGCAATCAATCACAATCTTCTTCACCTCCTCAATACCTTTGAAGCTCCCGATAATACTTACAGTCTTGCCATGTACAAGAACATAGCACTTCGTCAGAATCTGGATGGCCTTCAGTGTCATCTCCTTGGGCCCTATTAGTCTGTCTCTTCTCTTTTCAAACACCTTGTCAGAGCTTGCTAGCCTCTTTATATCAATCACTTCACAAAAGTATTCGTCCTCCAGCACTTTCATCGCCTCTTCAACTCCAACCCCCCGGCTCACAAGCTTGACAAAGTTAACCGCCTTGATAAATATAAACGGATCCCTTGTGCTCTTGTTCGTCGCCACGTCAATAATTCTCTTCTCTAAATCAATGTTGCATGATATCTTCTTCCCCTCCAGTGCCTTCACAATATATTTCTGTGTCTGTTCAATGTACTTTTCTCTGTACTTCGGATACATCACAGACTCAGAACTTACTTCTACAAACTCGTGCTTAAAGTCCGTCTCAGAAAACTTTACACTATGCTCCATATGGGGTCCTGCATCTTGATTATTTCATCAACAAAACCCCGCTTCCGTTTTCGTACGGCCTCAATGGTGTCGCCAGATAGCACCTTCCCAAGCACCACAGTCTTGTTCTAAGGCCTCTCCGGCATCCAGATAGTACATCCCTTATACTAGATGTTTTTAGTCTAGGCATCTTCAGTCTTCTTTCCGTCAATGGACATGCATTTCCTTCCGTCCTTGAAAAACTTCAGAAGTATTCTATAAACTCCGTTCCGCGAAACCCCACTTATCTCAGCCTCAAACCTGCTTGAAATCAGTATCTGGGGATTCTTCTTATTCATTTCGTTTATAGAGCCCAGGCACTCGGCCATTTTCCTTCTGAATATGTAGAAGATTATTTTGTACTCCTTGCTTATCTCAAGATTCAAAAGCCTTTCTAACATTTTGATGGACCTTTCAAATCTTCCGTGCCTCATGCATCTTAGACACCGAAGAAACTCATCCCACATCGTCTCCCCTCCCGTTTCAATCTCCAGAAGGGTTTCGAGACGGCGCAGAACATGTGGCGGATATCTGCCAGTCTTTCTTACTTCTTCCATAAGAAATTTCCTAGTAAACTTGAAATATTTTATCAAGCAAGGATACATGGAAGACAGCTCTACAAGCTTAGGCAAGGCAAGCCTTCCAAAGTATTCCTCAGGCACATTCCTTCTAATGTTTTCAAACAGATCCAAATCATTTCCAGCCTCACAATCTTTTTCATAAGCCCTGTATCTTGGAGACTGGGAAATCAGCGCCTGAATGGCATCCTTGCGATATTTACTCTTTGATCTATGCACATGGTAAAATATGATGTCGTTATCCTTAAAAAACCTTGAGAATATATCCACATACTTTACAGCCAGATCATTGATCCTTGGGTCTGTGGAGTAGAACATATGAAGAATGTTCGTGTCTGCCTCATCCACATGCTTGCTGATCTTTGCAAGGTACCTCAAGGCCAGAGATTTTGCAATCCAGTTCTTTGAATGGAATAGTAGGAACATCTTCCGAACTCCCCCTCTTATCACTTCCTTCTGCGAGGTAGACCTCACTATCTTCTTCAAGTTCGACAGGCCTATCTCGATCTCGGAATAAGGGGAATCAGGAGAAACATCCACCTTCAGAAGCTTCTTTAGGTATGTGCTGGGCTTCATGGAAATGGGCTGTAGAGAAAAGATTAAATCAGACATTAGAAAGTAGATGCTTTCAGAGTAACTATGACAATATGCATTATAGAATGCTGTTTAGTGTCTCATCACGAAGCATCAGGGCTATGAAAAAATTTATTTGATAACTTGGGACTCATTTTCTGCCGCAATAACAGAGGTGTATGCAGGCATATATAGACTTGTAAAACTGTGACAGCTAAAAGATTTATTTTGGGTGGCATGCCTCAAACACCCTTTTCTTTTTTGGCTTCCCCCCGGCTTTTGGAGTCTGCCATTTCCAGTGCTATCGACCCCAGCACGCCGAGTATTGAAAGTGCCTGAACCTTCTCGATCTTATGTCCAAACACAATTAGTGACAGGAAGATCGAAAACATCTTTCTTGTAAGGTTGACTGTGGTGAGGGTTATGGATCCATGGGATCGAACCATTGAGTATATCACAATCTGGCCTAGTATGTTGAATGTTGAATATAGGAATAAATCTGGTACAACCTCGGGAGTGGACTTTATAAATCCAATTGAGTACTTCAAGTTGTCTGTTAAGAGGATTATTGTGAAGGATATAAGGAACCGAAATAGATTGGTGTAGTACATCATCTGGAAGGATGAGATCTTGAATGTCCGGAACAAATGGTCTTGGCCTGAGTTTATGATTCCATCAGCAAGGAGGCTTGTGACAAGAATCAGGATCCCTATGATGCTAAATCCGGATGTTGATGTGCTTCTTTTATCGAAGAACGAGAAAGAGAGGACAGACAGAGATATTAGTCCCAGAGACAGATACTTTCTGCAACTCAGGGTCCTTCTGTATATCAGAAAATTCATCAAGGCAATCGGAAGCAGCTTGCAGGATTTTGCAATGATCAGGGTTGGATAGCTGAGATATCTAAGCGAGATGTATCCCAGCTGGGAAGATGTTAGGCTTAAAGATGCCAGGCAAGCATAATGGAGCAGCACCCTTCTGCTGTGAACCTTCTCCGTCTCCTTGCTAAGGCACATCATTATTCTCCCCACTACAATGCCTCCTAGGCTTTGAAGAATTAGCGGAAACAAGGCAGACTCATACTTTCGGCCACTGTATGTTGTTGTTGTTAGCTTTTCACCGTAGACACCAAATACTAAAAAGAATGCATATATCCCCACAACATGGAGTGCCAAACTGATATGCTTGTTCAAAGTTCCCATTGGCTTCAGGGAGGTCTCTGCAAATCAAAAAGTATTGCATCAAAATTTGTTAGCCTTCTGCCCATGGAGTTCAAGGCCTCTTTGAGATTACCGTGTGAAGACCCAAAGATGGTTGCAGCAGCAATTTCGAGTGAGGAGGGAGATGTCTGCAGGCCGTCTGAGAAATATGTCTACGAGGACAGATGTCTGGTTGTAGATGTTTCTGCAAACAATGCAAGGGATCTGGGAAAGTCTCTGAATTCGATACTCTCAAGGTTTAAGCTGTCCGTAGAGACCATAGGGTTATGTAAAAGGCTCGAGGGAAAGGACCAGGTGGAACAAAAAGGCCTTTCTAACACCAAATGATTAGAATAAAGTTAATTTAATGGTTCGCTATTCACGCCTGTATTTTCTTCCCGAGACTTCGCTTCTTCTGAAAACAATGCTTCTAGTCTATTGAGCTCCTCCTCATCTGCCTCTGTCTTGAATCCACTGTACATGGGGATCCCTTGAAGGTCTGCGCTTATTACTAGCGTTCCTCTTCTGCATGTGACCACAGGAATCTTCCTTTCTGTTCCAATGAGATCGGTTATCTCCGGGCAATTGCTGGCCAGAATGTAGTGGTTTTTGTTCGACTTCCTCATGACTCTTCTTAAACAGCTCAATGGCTCTCTTACCTCCTTATGGTCGCAATGCAATATCTCCAAATACCTTGCAATTCCTTTCTTGTGATCCCTTCCTATCTCCTTGAGCTTCTTATAGACACACTTTGTTACAAAGAGCTTTGGCTGAGATCTGAACAGGTCGTTTACATGTCTTAGCCCCAGAAGGCTTTTGTTCATTTCGGCAACAAAGTCGCACTCGACGATCACTTGGTAGGGGACCCTGTATCCTATCTTTGCGAGAAGCTTCACAACTTTTTTATTCTTTTTGTATACTTTTCTATTCATTTATCTCCATGGGTTAAATTGTGTCAAAATGAAGGCCCCAAATGGTCAAAAATAATAGTGAGGTTGAGCTTTCAGAGGAGGACTTCTACGTCCAGAGAGCCAGTGCTGTGAAGAATGAGCTCAAGCAGGGCACAAACATGTATCCCAATAAGTTTGAGGTGTCTCACAGCTTTGGGGAGATCATCGGAATGATAGGAAAAAGGGGAGACCAGTTTGTTGCCGAGGATGTTGTTAGATCTGCTGGGAGGATAATGAGTATGAGGCTTCATGCCAGGTTCTGTTTCTTCATGGTTGCTTCTTGTGGAGAAAGCCTTCAATTGGTAATAGATGCCAAGGAGGTGGGGAAAGACCAGGTGGTCAAATTCCTGAAGAGAGGGGATATAGTAGGGTTTGTTGGGAATCCTGGGAGGACAAAGACCCTGGAGCCCTCTGTGTTTGTTAGTGACGTGACTGTTCTTTCTCCATGTCTCAGAACGATTCCTACAGAGCATTTTGGGCTGAAGGATGCAGAGACTATCTACAGGAGAAGGTACATCGATCTCTTAATAAATAAGGAGTCGAGGGAAAGGTTCGAGAAGAGAACACAAATAATTAGATACATCAGGGAGTTCCTTGACTCAAGAGGGTTCCTAGAGGTTGAGACGCCGATGATGAACTTGATTCCTGGGGGTGCTGCTGCAAAGCCCTTTATTACGCACCACAATGAGCTTAAGCTGGATCTTTACATGAGGGTGTCCCCCGAGCTCTACTTGAAGAAGCTTGTTGTTGGGGGTCTCGATAGGGTGTATGAGATAGGAAAGCAGTTCAGGAATGAAGGGATTGACCTTACCCACAACCCTGAGTTTACGTCTTGCGAGTTCTACATGGCGTATGGGGATTACAACGATCTCATGGAGATGACCGAGGAATTGATGAGTGGGCTAGTTAAAAAGATGTTTGGAACGGACACTATAGTGTACAGCCCCAAGAAGAGGGAAGAGAAGTCTGAGCCTGTGGAGATATCATTCAAGAGACCCTTCCGGGTGATTAGCATTATTGAGGAGCTCAACAGCCGCCTTGGATTGGACCTCAGTGGAGAGACTCTTGATACACCTGAGGCCCTGGAGAAACTCCTGGGTGCCTGTGAGAAGGAGGGAATACATGTTGAGAAACCTCGTACACTGACAAGGGTGCTCGACAAGCTGATTGGGCATGTGATTGAGCCTCAATGTGTGAATCCAACGTTCATCAAGGACTATCCCATAGCAATGTCTCCGTTAGCTAAGAACCACAGATCAAAGCCTGGCCTTACTGAGAGGTTTGAATTGTTCATCAACTGTAAGGAGGTGTGCAATGCTTACACGGAGCTGAACAATCCCTTTGAACAGAGGGAGAGGTTTATTCAGCAAGCACAAGATCTGAATGCTGGGGATGATGAGGCGATGATGAACGACGAAGACTTCTGCACGGCACTTGAGTATGGGCTTCCACCTACTGCAGGATGGGGACTGGGGATTGACAGACTCATAATGTATTTGACCAATGCGGCAAATATAAGGGATGTGATTTTCTTTCCAACGATGAGGCCTGAATAAAGGTGTTCTTCTATTTTGGGTATTGTAAATAATGAAATGAGGTGAGCCCTGAAAATATCTTAAAATGAGGTTTAAGAAAGCCCCTACGAAAGTTATAAGCACTATCTTTTTTATGACTTTGATTGGATTTGACTGTGCAAGCACTAGCTTGAATGAGAATGTGGCGGGTAAAAGTACTGTGGCAGAGGAGAACAGCAATGTGGATGAGATGCTGAAGCTGATGAAGGAGCATGAGGTGGATGGATACCTTACATTTACCTCTGATGAGCACCTGAACGAATATATAGGTGAAGGAGACAAAAGGTTGGAGTTCTTAACTGGGTTTTCTGGGTCAAATGGAATAGCCATAACCTGTGAACACCCTGTCCTGTACACAGACTCGAGATATTACATCCAGGCAATGAACCAATCTAAGAAATACAAGCTTAAGAAGATGGAGGAAGACGAGGGGATAGATGAGTATATCGGGAAGGTGTGTAAATGCAAACAGGTTGGCATATGCAAGAAGTTTATTCGATCTCAAAGATATGAGGATCTAAAGAATAAGCTTGAGTCTCGAGGAATAAGCTTGAAGCCCTTTGATGATGATCTAGTAGATATCATATGGAAAGACAGGCCTCTGAGAACTTTTAACAGGGTGTACAGCATTGAGGAAAAGAGGCTTCAGAAATACCAAATGGAACTTGCAGAGCTATGCGAGGACCCTGAGCACAAGGATTTACTAGGGAGGAAGATGATTGATGAAGACGTAAGTGTTGTTGGAAAAACATTTGAAGATAAGCTAAAGGAAGTGAGGTCGATTCTTGAGGAAGGCCAGACATTAGTGATCACCGAGCTTGATACAATAGCATGGGTATTCAATCTGAGGGGATCTGATATCCTTTACAACCCCGTGTTCTACTCATATGCAATTTTGTCGAAGGACTTTGCAAAGCTGTTTACTAACGAGAAGGACATCCGAATGGAGGGGGTGGATATTTATCCTTATGATGACTTTGAGAGGCATGCGGCAGAGATTAAGGGTAGGGTTATTATTTCTGGAAGTTGTAATGCATATGTCAAAGATCTGTTTGGGGATGTGGAGTATTGCGACAAGCTGAGGCTTCTCCAGTCCCAGAAGGCAGAAATAGAGATTGAGGGATTCCGTTTGTCCTATGTATTTGATGGGATGGCTCTTGTGGAGCTGTTTGAGTGGATAGATCTAAATCTTGATAAGGGGATATCTGAGAAGGCAATTGGGGAAAGGCTAGAAGAGATCAAGAGTCGATTTTCTGGATACGTTCAAGCCAGCTTTGAGTCGATCGTTGGTGGAGGGCCTAACGGGGCGATTGTGCACCATAAGGCAGGTGATAGAAAGGTATCAAGAGGTGAGGTTATTCTGATTGACAGCGGGTCACAATACATGTTTGGGACCACGGATACCACGCGGACCCTTCATTTTGGAGAACCGACTGCCGAGGAGAAGAAAAGCTATACCCGCGTTCTCAAGGGGCAGCTAAGGTCGATGAGGATGAAATTCAAGTCCAATATGCAGTCTTCAGTTTTGGATTCGCTATCAAGGATTGATCTATGGAATGTGATGGAAGACTATGGGCATGCTACTGGGCACGGGGTAGGCCACTTTCTATGTGTACACGAGTCTCCACCAACCATCTCTTACTCAGGCGACCAAACTCTAAAGCCTGGACAGGTATTCTCAATTGAGCCCGGGTTCTATAAGGAAGGAGAATATGGAATAAGGATTGAGAACCTTGTATATCTGAAAAACATTGATGACAAATTCTACGAGATAGCCAACCTGACACTTGTTCCGTATCATCTTAAGCTTATAGACATTTCGATGATGTCTGAAGAGGAAGTGGATCATCTGAACAGAATCAATGAAGAAATAAGATCTGCATTGGAGCCGCTCATGAGAAGAAAGGTTGGGTACAGATACCTGATGGAGAACACAATGCCCATTAAGAAATAAATGCTGTTTCCTCCAAGACGAAGCTTATCTAAGGATTTATTTAACAATGTCAATGCTCAGGAACCTCTTCGATTCCTATTGATAGGGAAAATACACTAATTAGTTCAAGGAGAATAACTAATCAAACATCATACTCGGGAGGGTCAATCAGGTCGTAAAGTAAATTGATGTTTCTTTTACAAAGAGGACAGGTATCCTTTAGATCTAGCCACTCGTCTATGCATTCCTGGTGGAAGTGATGTCCACACGGAAGAAGCTTCAGTTTGATTCCGGGAATATAATTGTCAAAGCATATCGCGCAATGGTAAGTGTCATCGGAAACATCGCTCTGGTCCTTGTACATCACCTCCTGAAGTTTTGGCTTTACAAATGTTATAAGGAACAGCAGCAAAACAATGGCTATGAGAGGAGCAATGAAGGCTACAAATCCAAGCCCGACAAACACAACAGTCGTGTAGTATAGCAGAGGATTTGCAACACTACAGTTCTCGCATTCCTGGATCCAGTTAAATCCAATAAGGTACCAAAATAAAAGAAGGGCCTCTATGAAGTTGGAAAACAGGGTTATGTCTGTGTTCTCTCTGTATTCTGGTATTCTGTTAATCCTAAAGAACGGGAGATTCTTCGACATGAATATCCCAAACTTTGCTATCGTTATCACCATGTATACTAGCAGAAAAAGCTTCAAGGGAACTTCACACTTTTCGTTTCTTGTGAGAAAGAGCACGGCACAGCTGATTAAGATCTTGAGGACTTTCAGGAACCCTTCCATCACAATCAGTACTTTTAAGAACTTCAGTGCGTTGGTTCTTTCCTGTGTTTGAGAATTTACAAAGTCCTCCTCTCCTTCCCTCACATCCATTCACATCCTTTTTCTATTTTTCTTTTTATTTTTTTCAAAGGGGTAGCCCGTCTCCATTGGTAGATCCTAAAACCCGCTGTATAAATGGGAATAGCCGCAGACTAACCTCTTGGAAAGTGGCTCAGAGATTGCAGCACAGACCAAACCCTCTCCTAAGAAGGGTGCAGCACGTCTCGAGCTTGTACATCCATTTGGATGGCGACACCTTCCTCACCATCTTTACCATCCCAGGACTCAGCTGTAGACCGATCCTCGAAAATATGTACTGGTACACATCTTCATTGCTTCTGCAGAAGAAATAGCAATGGACCCGGGAGTCGCCGTTCCAAGTACTGATCTTTCTGAGATAGTCCAAGCTGTGCTCGGGAAGGTTCAAGAAGAAATGGTCTATCTTCCTTCCAGTCATTTTCTCAAGGAACTCGCTTGCAGGAAGGTTGAAGACCTCGATGTTTCTAGAGTCAAGCTTATTGATCTTCATGGACTTTTTCAAGCAACCAATTGCATGCGGATTCAGGTCGTTTGAATAGACCCTGCATCCCTTCTTCAATGCAGCTAGAGATACAGGCCCCACTCCACAAAAAGGATCGCACAGAACATCTCCCTCCATGAGCTTTCGGACAAGATCAAGCCTTTCATTCTGAAGCTTTGAGCACCAGTATACATTTCTGTAATCTATGTAGAAAAGAACGTTGCCCTCCTTATGAACAGTCTCTAGCACAGGCTCACCCCCTATTACCTCCAAATCAAACGACCTGTACTCATTTGATATCTGCCCGATCTTTGTTATCACTGTTCTGCCCGTCTTGTCATGCACAACTTGTCCAATTATATCTTTATACTTAATCTGCTCCTCATCTAAATTCAGATGGACTATAGATCCGACAATCTCAAAAGAAGAGGGCGTCTGGACTTCCTTGGGCAATACTTTCTTAAGAACTTCGTTGTAAGTAAAGTATTCGTAGCACAGCTCAAGCTCCACATCAATAAGCGAGCTTTCTTCGCCCAGGAGATCTTCGTTTACTAGAATGAGAAGATCGTGGCCAGTATTTGTTAAAACTCTGAACGTACTGTACCTCTTTTTGGCTTTGATTATTGACGGAATGCGAGGAACTTTCCTTATTGATCCCCTGATCCTCTGGATACACTCTGAGGCTTCCTTATTGCTTGTTCCCAATGCCTTCAGGCGGAGCACAGACTTCATTTCATCCCTGAAACTCATTCCGAAGGGCTCTATCCGCAAAGTCGTTCTATCAAAGGAGAATGCCGCCCGGTCGAATAAAAACATTTATTTATCGGTTATCTTCGGTGAATGGGCTTATCCCTCCTTGTCGTAAATGTCAAGGGTCATTGCAGTGAGCTCCATCACCTTTCTTTTGTACTCCTTCTCGTTCTCCCTTAGATGCTGTGCTGCATCCACGTTGGCAGGGCTTTCGCAATTCGGCGATGTAAGGAGTGTTATTATGCTTAGTATCACACTCTCGGGAGTCCTCACAGGAAGCCATCTATCTCCTAGGGACTCATATCCATACTCGTCCTCTCCAGGGTTGTGCAATATCGATATGCAGACATTTCCGTTTTCATCTATGTTTGGATGCCACATCTTCGAGCAAAACCGAAACTTTGGAGGAGAGCTTGGGTAGTCGGTGGGAAATACCATCCGCCCTTTGAAAATTCCATTTTCGTATGGCGTCGCCCTTGGACCGAAGATCAAGACTTCCCATGTGTATATGTCGCCGTCAACCAGCCCGACACTGTAATACTCGTTGGGATTTTCTTGGATTCTTTTGTAGTCCTTGAGAAGAAGTCCTTTTGAAAAGCCTCCCTTGTTTGCCATGTTGTTTTCTTGGGTTTGAAATCTTAATGGTTTATATAGTTTCGGATTCACAATGCAAGACCGTTTGACTAGCAAGACACATGAAGCCTCCTGCCGCGCATACAGGCACGGGCATCGGAACACCTTTCCATGGCCAGAGATGGCCTTGACAAATATTTGCCAAAATTTTCACCCTGAATGGAGGAAGCAAAGAAGCTGAAGGTTTTCCCGAGGCAGACAGGTGTGTACATCAAGCCATACGCATCGGATGCAGAGCGACCTGAGAGAAGGGTTCGTGCAGAGGTCTGCGGGTTCAAGGCACCGGAAACTGCCTACACCCGCCAGTACATTGATAAGAAATGCCCGTTCACAGGTGACGTCAATGTTAGAGGAAGGATTTTCAAGGGGGTTGTCAAGAAGATGAAGGCTGAGAAGACTATTGTTGTTGTTGTCAACTATGTCCACTACAGTAAGAAGTACAAGAGGTACTCGAGAAGGCACACGAACTTTTCTGTTCACATGTCTCCTTGCTTTGAAGGAATGATCAGTGTCGGGGATACTGTTATGTGTGGAGAGACAAGGCCGCTCTCCAAGACAAAGTCGTCGGTTGTCTTGGGATATACTAAGAAGGCCCTACCAGGCACATTCAAGCTTCTTGAGAGTATCTAATAAAGCTTTATTGCGTATTTAGTTAGGCATCTGTTTGTTAGCATTAGTGGCAAATATCTTTTCCACAGGCCATGGGCATTAAGGGCTCATGAAACTATTAAACGACTGGGAAAAAGAGGAGGTGATACACAAAGATAGGATACTGAACTTTGATTTCCTTGTTGAGCAGGACTTCATTGATGAAGTTGAGGACGGCTTCTATTACCTTTCCAAGGACCTCAAGACTGTTGAGACTGAGCTATGGAAAAAAGCCAATCACGAGCTGGCTGACTGTTTGGACATAAAGAACATAGATAAAGAAATTAAGAGATTCATACTTCTTCTGAACAGTTATAATGAGATAAAGGACATCGGGCAGGAGCTTATTGGTAGAATAGCTAGTCTGAGACAAACAACAGCCAAGGATATTCACGAAGAGTTAGGAATGGATACAGAATAGAACGCCCGGGTGCATAACGGCCTAATAAACACAGTTTGTATTCTTGTTGTCTTCAATTAGTACTATTTCTTCCGACAATGTGATCTTTGCCTTCATAACATCTATGGGGTGGTATATAAGGCTGTCCCACCCTCCATCCTGTATGCACAAGGACCTTCCAATATGGCATCTTGTTTCTATGCTATATCCAAGGATATTACAGGGGCTGTATGGCCTGTTACACTCTCCTCTGAACACAACGTCATTGCACATCCCAACATGCACAATATTGCTGTAGTGTTTTTCTATATCGTAGAGCCCAAGAATGCTTGCTATGTGTGCATCTCCAGGAGAGGAAAAAGCAATCACAGGCAAGCTGTTCCTGATTCCAAGCAGCGATGCAATTGTTCCTCCAAGAGAATGGCCAACAAGAATCGGCTTGTCTTCGTGGTACATCTTCTTTATAGAGTCGACTATCTTCAAGGCATCGCTGAAGTACCCGATGCTTTCGAACTCTCTGATCTTTTCTTCTTCGCATCCCTTGTCTTTACATATGGAGTACAGGATCCTATCCAGGAGCTTATCTTTTCTGGAGGTTTTTCCTATTCCTACACCCATCACCGAGAGCGTTGTCCCCTTGAATGCAATGACCACCCTCCCATTGTACCTAAAGGCTTTTGCTCGTACTCCATCTCCATCATACCCAAATCTGGCAAGTACAGTGTCCAGATCATGGGTGTGGTATGCATTCGAAGCCATTTCAATGAGCTCCATAAGATGGACTCTATCCATGAAGCCTAAAACATGCTCTTGGGCTACATCTGTGCTAGCAGTATCACTTTCCAGGGTCTGCCTAAAAGAGTGGAAAGTGCTTCGAGCACTGCCATATGCGTCGTATAGGGATCTCTGTAAGAAGTGTAGAACCATGATAAGGAAGACAAACCCCAAACATCTCCTGTTTATATAACCTGTTTCATCGTTCCAAAAAATTACTCTAATATCTGTTTCTTTCTTCCCTTGGGTTCTATGAAAAGTAGCTCATGGCATATCGCTCTATTGGACATTGTCGATGTCATGATAGAAGCGGTTGCATTAGAATTGTACAGAGATGCTCCACAGGTCCTGGAGGGGTGGATAGCAACGGTGATACTCAAGTGTGCGGAACAAAGGATACAAATCGGATCTCCACTTATAGCAGTAAGATATGCAATTGCTTCAGATCCATGTAAGCCATTGCTTGAAAAGGTATCGGAATGTTTACAAATAATTAACATCCCCAAATACACTCTTCGGACTATGGATGAGATAAGAAAAGACCCTCATGCCTTCGCAAAGATATCGGGAATATCATTAGGCTGTCTTCTAATCCAAATCCTCCTATTCAGGACATCTTGGACAAATCTCAAAAGGAAGACCTTCCACTTCTTTGCATTCCTGGTGTTCTATAAAGAATATGAGGTGTCGTTGCTACTTGGGGAGGGGCTGCTTCTCACCATGAGCCTTCTATCATCGTGTAAGTACATCAACTCTCTGCTCAGCCCTTACCTCAGCAAAAACGACAGCGGAAGAATTGTACTTTCCCACGTCTATCTTCTGTCTTCCTGCATATATCCAAGACTATTTATACGGCATGCGGAGTATGTCTCCACCTTGATTTCTATCTGTTTTCAGGACTCAGCAGCCTCAATTGTCGGGGGATGGCTAGGAAAGACAGAGAAGTCGATTGAAGGGGCAATAGGAGGAGTGGCATCGGGAATGATGGTTTATTTCGTTCTCTACAGAAGGGTTGACATGGCTCTATTCTTCGTGTTCATGGGAATTGTAGAGTATCTCATTCCAATTAACGATAACATAGTCATTCCATTCTCTGCAGTTTTATACTTCCAGGTATTGAAAAAGCTCAGGCCTAGCAGCAACCTTTCTTGGGGGTAGGTTTTACCTCTTTCAAGCTCTCTCTCCTAAACTCCACGCTCTTGAGGCGTTTCTTTCCTACAGAAGCTTTCTGGGCCTTCACCTTCTTATGAATCGTCTTGGCAAGCTCAAGAAATGCCTCCCGGACATTTTCTCCCGTTAGTGCAGATGTCTCGAAGAATGACAACTCGTTTGCAACAGCCTCGTCTTTTCCTTTCTGTGTATCAACTGCTCTATCGTCCTCCAAGTCTTTCTTGTTCCCGATGAGCACTATCGGAATTTCACTCGGAGAAAAGTCTCTAAGTTGTTTCAGCCACAGGCCAGTGGCCTTTTTGAGACTGTCTTTGTTTGTGATATCATAGACAATGACGGCACCCGATGTCCCTCTGTAGTATGCTTGAACAATGGCCTGGTATCTTTCCTGGCCTGCCGTATCCCATATCTGTGCTTTCACGACATCCTCCCCGATCTTGAATGTGATCGTGCCGAATTCAACGCCGATCGTTGCCTTTGAGTCCTTGTGGAACTCGTTCCTTGTTAGCTTCGACAGAAGGTTTGTTTTTCCGACTGCCGAGTCTCCTATCAGAACTATCTTGAACAGGTAATCAAAATTCTCTCCCTTTGTGATTCCAGGCATGCCAAATAAACATCTAGGATTTATAATATCAAGATATCTAAAACCACACCCAAAACATTCCTCCATCCATCATAAGAAAGGATAAATGCACAGTTTGTTTGGGTCCCCGATGCTCAAGAAGATCCTTCTGAAAACGCTGAACAAGTTTCTTGGGAACTATGTGGAGAACATAGACAAGCACCAACTCGAGCTTGGGATATTCAAGGGATATGTATCTGTGTCCAACCTAAAGATCAAGTCCTCTGTGATCTCGAGGCTATTTGAGGGGAGGGTTGTTTCGAACTGCATCGGGACGCTAAGAGTTCTTGTGCCATGGAAGAGCTTTTCCCGCAAGCCCATTGAGATATATGTAAAGGATATTGATATCAAGCTCGGAAAGGCTGGGTTCTGCTGGTGTTTTCTTGATGAGAGTCCGTGTGCAGAATGCACCGAGTATGAGAAGTACGAGTTCATGAGCAAGCTCGACAAGCTCAGTGTTCTTTCTGATGCACGGGAGGAGAGTCCTGCGCTTCTTGAGGACTTGATTACGAAGGATGGATTCAGGATTTTGATTGAGAATGTGAATTTAGAGTATGTGAGCGGAGAATCGATTGGTCTTAAGGTGAAGAAGCTGGAGTTTAATAAGAGAGATAAGGAAGAGGTGAAGAATGTGAAGATGATGAATGTTACTGGAATAGAGATAATGGGGGGATCGAAGGTGCTAGGGCCCTTTAATGTTTGCAGTAAGATTTGGATGTCTTCTAAAGATATGAAGCCGAAGGTTGAGGTGGATCTGGATGGGTTTCGTATAGAGATGAGGCAGCAGATGGTTGAAAGAATCCTGGGAAGTGGTACGGAGTATGTTGAAGATAGAATACGGTGGACACTCTTCAGAAATTATTTGGAGTACAGGCAAGTATTGAGAGCAGCCAGGGAGATGAGCCTATGGGAAGACCAGAAGGATCCAGCAAACTCCGAAAGAAGCGGGGTGATAGAGATGTGGAGAAAGCTCATCAAGCTACAGAAGAAGGTTATTGAATCGAAAGGCGTTGTATTAGAGGAGGTGAGTGAGATAATGGCAAGGGTGAATGAGTATAGAGAAATCCTGAAGGTTTCTAGTCTATCTTCTGACGAGATGGAAAGAAAAAAGAGATGCGAGAAGGAGATAAGTCTTGAGCGGCTTCTGAAGATAAAAAGAAGCTACTGCCGTGATTCCGAAAGGAAGTCGTGGAGAAACCTCTTGTCATTCATAAGAGAAGAGAGTAGTAGGAAGGGCGATCTGATGGCTATTCCTATTTCTTTTAACGTAGATGGAGTGGTGGTAGTTACCGATGAGAAGCATCAAGGATTCAAGGTGGTTATTCCCAGAGGAAGAGTGAGTACAAAGAACCTGCTTTCGCCGCACAAAATAGACTTCAAGGGAAATGGGTGGAAGCTGTACTTTACTGATACCAGACGTAACGAGTACGAACCCCACAGCGAGCTGATTTCCTTTCTATTGGATGTAAGGGGGGCTCTTACCTATGACGGGCCCAATGTATATGTCAAGGGGATATCTAGGGAGTGGAGGGTTTTGAACTACAGGAGGGAGCTTCCCCATTGCTTTGAGGGTTTCATGAATGTTATAAGGAGGTCATGGGTGCCCTCCTATCAATCCTCTGGATCCAGAGGTAAGATAAGGGTTGATCTTAAGGTAGACATGATCGGAATGGAATCTGATCTGGAAAGATTTGCCAAGATTGGAGCATCTCATAGGTACGGAGTTGAATGTGGAGGAATGGTGTTCTCTTATGTGAATGATAGAATAAGCGTGAAGAAGGCGGCATCGTTGACTGTGACGTCCTCTTCTGTTTACTGGATTAATCCTGTTTCTGGCGAAAAAGAGGCGCTTTCGAACAGAATTGAGACAGCTGTTCTACTTGTTGACAATGTGTTCTATGTGAAAACATCGATGGTGGATCTCTATGCGCATGGAGTGTATCCCAACGGCTTTGAAGGGAACGGCGCAGTGTTTCCTGTTGGGTTTGTTGTTCCAAACTTCGAGATATGCTCTGATGCTATAAGGATTAATGGGCCGAAAGGAAGAGCCGAGCTCCGAAGGATCAGGGTGTCTGGAAATGGAGGGACGATATTTGATTTAGAGGTTTTTAGGGGGAAGATACTGGATGTGGCAGGGAGGGTTGTATGTCGTATTCCCAGGATGATGATGGAGGCCAGAATTGGAGGTGCCTTACTTCTAGATGTCAAATATCTAAAGGTGTGCGGAGCTGCTAGGAAGATCGCCAAGCTTGTGTGTGGAATGCCAAGGATGTCTGGAAATGAGATGTCTACGCAGGTGATTTTCAAGGCTGAGAGAGTAGAAGGGATGATAAGGTGCAAGGGAAAGACTTTGAATATCAGTGTGAACGAGTATTTCCAGGGCATAGCCAGGAATGCAAGGATGGCATTAGGCAAAAGCATGGTTGATATAGAGGATCTTTGGGTAAGTGATGAGTATGCATGTAAACATGCAATGATAGTGATTGACAAGGAAGATTTCAAGAGTTTAAGGGCATTTGAAAGGATACTCGGAAGAGTAGGAAATGGTGTGGAGGGCTTCAAGGCTACTGCGGGGACTCTGCTAGTTAGGTCAAGAAGTGGAGTGGCAGTGGAAATAAAAAACTTCCATATTTCCAAGGATCAGAGATCCATAACAGTATATCCTTTCGAGCTCTCTCTCTCTGATGCGAATGGTCCTTTAAATTTGCCAGAGGACAAGAAAAAAGAAGTGAAGATATGCATCAGCAGGCTTGAAAAGTCTGGGGTTGAAACCACCATTGAGGGAAGCATTAGAGGAGAGATTGACGAAAGAACTCTTATCAAGATAAGAGATGAGCTGGAGGGCATACCAAGGCCATCGGGTATGTCTGAGGAAAGAAGCGATGTTCTACTTGATATATCTCTCGAAGTGATGTTTGCGGAAGGTTACCTAAAGGTAGAGTGCCCACTAGTTCTTTCCGGAAAGATGGGCTGGTGGGAGATATCTCTGAAGGAGCTTTCAGCTACATCTGATGATGGGCAGTATGTAAGGCTGCTTGATATTAATGCCAGTAGCCAAGGAGGGACCTTGGGACTCTCTATGAGAAGGATGGAAATATGTCTTGAGCCCTTTCGGCTTGCCTCGATGCTTTATCCCCTTTTGAACGGTGGAGGGGAAGCAAGTTTTGCGGAGAATGTAGAGATACACATAAGTGAGATATCGATAAGCAACAAAGAGATAGATGAAATAAGAGTAAGAGATGTAAAATACGGGGAGGACCTAACCTTGTGGCTTTCTATCTCGAACAAACCCGAAAGTAAGGTAACGTATAAAAAAGTGAATAACAACAGTGGAACTGAAAGTTTTCTTCTGTCTATGATGGGAGGATGCTATGAGATGGATTCTTTGATTGCTACTATTTCCTTCTACGCCTCCGAATACATGAATATATGCGATAAGTTTGGGATTCAGATGTCAAAAGAGCGGCTCCACATATTGATTATGGATCTTAAGGTGATGATATGCGATTTCAAGTCTCTTCTGAGAGTTAATATCCCCATTGGGCATTTTGACATTCAAGAGACGAATTCACTCAAAGGAAGGATTCTCTGTTCGTCTGACATTTATGATCCGAATACCATGGGTTTTGTTCCTGTTGTTGAGGAAAACGTCTTTGTAGTAAAGAAGTGTGGCTCTCTTCTGGACGTTAGGACGCTTTCAAAACTGAGGGTACTATATTTGGATGGAGTCACGGATGCGATCACCGGGATTCTTAATAGAAGAAAGGATAGACCAATGCCCAGGAGAGAGACACTTTCCTGTAAAATCGACATAAGAAACACTACCTGCACACCATTATGGATAAACACCAGAAATCAGACTAAAAGAGTTAGGAATGAGGGTGCAGCTAGTCTTGCCATAGACTATGATGAGAATAGTGTTTGTGTTGGAGAAGATGGGATGGGCACATCGATTTGCATTATGGAGGCAGGGATGCTCTCATTTGAATCTGGAGGGAGGACCTTTGTCATTGATGTGCTATGTGGCAGAAACTTGAGGACTGTAACCATTTCACACGCCCTATCGTTTCTCAATCTGTGCAGGATAGAGCTGGCTGGAAGGATGCATCGGGCTGATGGCACGATTTCTGAGATACGAATACCTCCGAATTCGCATTACACGATTCCGGAAGAAGAAGGCTTTTTCCTGGAGATAGGGGCGAATGGGAGGTATTCTAATGTTGGGAAGATAGATACAGTTGAAGGGAACGGCGATAGGGTCTTTGGAACAATATGCAAAGCAGGATGGATGGTGATAGGCGTTGATACTGTTATAAGAGGCAACTCAGGGATGTCTTCTGCCATGGTAATTCTCTATCCTACCTTTGAGGTAGTGAACCGAACAATATCTGTGCTTAGCTTGATGTTCTCTATTGGGAAGGATGACGAGTACATGGGCTCGGGAGAGGTTTTGAGAAGGAATGTCCCGTTTCTTATTGGAGAGGATGGTCGAGAAGATGTATATGACATTGACTTTTCTGAGCTTCCTTTGGTTTGGGTGCAGAACCTCAAGAACAAGGCCAGGGCTAGGGTGTTTCATAGAAAGGCATCGATTTTGATTGAGCCGGGATATTCTGCAGAAATAAGGAAGGAGAGGTGTGAGGTGGATACCTTTTTTGGAAAGTACACTCTTGTGCACAAGATCAGAATGAGCATCTGGCCATTTCTGGTGGTTGTGAATCACCTTGGGAGTGATGTCTATATCAACGGGACTAAATTTTGTCCTGGAACCTCATGTAGTGATGAGATAAAGACCATCCATAGACTATGTGCTGATGAGTATAGGACCGATGAGGCGATAACTGTCGAGAGGAAATCTGCCAGGGTTGTTGCCCTGAAAGGAGAGGGCAGTGGAAGTCAAAAATCTCGGAATGCTCACGAAGGACTAGTGTGGACCTGCGAGGCCATATTTGGAGGGCTTGGGCCTAGAATAGGAGCACGTCCCAGGGCCATCTACTTTCTTCTCTGGTCTAAAAAGGAATCTGGAACAAGAGTAATTGAGTTCAGACATGCGTACTTAGTAAGAAACGAAACCCAGATGAGACTCTTGGCAGTATCTGAGCAGGTATGCTATTATGTGGAGCCATGTGGAGAGATAGCTCTTAACACGTCTACAAACGGGTTCTACATATTTGTTGCAGATTGCATAGATATCAAGTCTCTGAGGTCTTCTGGGGCGTTTATTCCACTGGACATCAAGACAATAAAGTACTTCAGATTGCAGGGGCCCGAGGGTGTTCTGTTCAGTGTGAACAAGTCTAAGTGCTTTGGACAGAATGTGTTTAGCATAAAGAAAGAAAGAAGCTGGCCATATACGCTATACAACGATACAGATACAGACTTGGAATTCACACAAAAGCATGATGCTGTCAGGCATGAAGTGCCAAAGGGCTCTATGTATGAGTATGCATTGGACAACCTTATGCTTGACCCTGTAATTCTGCTATGCATTGGAAGTAAGAGAATTCAGTTGGATTTGGGCAAGGATGGTGTTTTGTTCACATCTGGAGTCACGGTGTCTGTAGCCCAGTCAGAGACTACAAGGGTTATTCAGGTCTCCAAAAAGGAAATGGCCAATAATGAGACAAGAGACCATCTGAGGATAACGACTGACGACCTAGTCGTATCATTAGTGAACAAAGAAGGAGACGAGGTTCTCTGTGGGCATCTAAAGGGAATAGAGATTGCGGTGGAGCGTACTTTAAGAGAGATGGAAATTCCCGGAGGCAGAGTGAATATGAAACATATGGAATGGACTATTGGGGTGGTTGTTGAGAGCATGCAGGTAGATAATCAGAACGTGTTTTGTGTATTTCCTATTGTTCTTCATCCTCTTGATAAGAGCCTTAGGATAGGGTCTAAGAGACGGTGCGGAGAGAAATTTCTTGTGTTTGAGCTGACGGTTGGAAGCTCATCTCATCACACTTCTGTGAAGAATTTGTATTGCAGGATACGGGACTTTGCATTGAATGTGGAGGAAAGCCTGGCGAGAAATATCAGCAAGATGCTTTCGCACGAGGGGGACGGCATTGAAGAACAGCAAAGGAACATAAGGATCCAAAACATGAAGATGGAAAGAATAAGAGCAAGAGTCAATTTCTTCAAGGATGTGGAGTCTGACTTTGTTTCCAATGTTGTGGGGCTTCTCATAAACAATGTTAGCGACTTTTCTTTGGAAATAGATGGGATGAGGGAGGAATGCATGTACACTACCACAGGGGAGCTTAGAAACATTCTATCTATTTTCTATACAGCACAGCTGAAAAAGAACCTCTATAAGGTCATTACACACCTGGATATCATTGGAAACATAGGAAGTCTCACTGAATCTGTATCTATGGGGATCAAGGACCTTCTCACGGAGCCCAGTCTAGATACCAGCGTAACGCACGGGATTGTGAAGGGAGGGAAAGGCTTCCTGAGAAATGCCATCTACGGTGTTTCTAATACTGTAGGGAAGTTTTCAAAGAGTATAGCAGCAAGTGCTAGATTTGTTGGGTGTGATGCAAATCTCAAGCACGTAAAGACGCATCATGCCTATTCGCATGACATGTCCCTCCTCATGCCCAAGACCCGGCACGCCAAGGGTCCTGTCGCAGCGATACTCAAGGGAACTGGAAACTTCTTTGACTCTGTAACACGTGGAATGGCAGGAATTGCAACATCGCCGATTGAAGGGGCTTCGCGAGGAGTTACTGGCGTTGTGAAAGGACTGGGCAAGGGGGTCCTTAGTGCCTTTACTAGGCCTATTGCGGAGGTTGCAGATATTATAACCGACATTTCTGATGTTGTAAAAGTGTCGATGAATGGCAAAATCAGAAGAATCCAATACCCAAGGCCTACCGGGTTTTCAGGCCACTATGATGAAGGCCTAAGCCAGGGGTTTTACATATTCACAGTGGTTGTCAAGAAGGCCAATGAAAAGGAAAAGTTTATTGACGGAACATTTGGAAACTTCAATGGAAGATGCCAGCTTATCTTGACCACTGAAAGGCTTTTGGTATCTGATTCGCTCAGTATGCTTATTGTGCATCTCGAAGGTGTGATTGCTGAAGAAAACACCCGTAGGCTAAGAATAGGGGAATTCAGTATACCTGTCGAAAGGCCATCCTTTCTAACCTCGGTAAAGTCTGTGAGAAGTAACATTGGGAGCTAAACATGCAATGAAGTGGACAGATGTAAAAAGCTAAAGATCTAATAAAATTTTATATCAATAACACACAGATCTGATGCTTTCACAGGAAGTAGTCTGGGATCTTGGTAGAGACAAGGGCCTCAATCTTTGTAGGCGAGGGTTCAAACTGTGTGAAGCTGTATGCTCCATATTCATCCATCTCCATAAGCGTGGCTAGGTTTCCGCATCTATAACAGTAGTTTGGTGCACTGAATATTGTGACACATCCCTTCTCGTGGCTCCAGTTGTATCCGCTCATTACAAGCTGATGGGCCCTACATATCATCTTGAGCCCATTTCTTTCATTGAAGGCATCCGTTATGTCCTTTCCGAAAGTAAATCCTGCACCTCTGGGCGAAGGGCCCCATCCAAGCTTCTCGTCAGGATCAGACCAGAGAAGGTCGCACATTGGACCTTCGTGCGGAATCTCAACTCTCCTATCAATAGCCTTTAGCTGGTCCAATGTGTCGAAAGATGGGCTTAGCCCTCCATGACAGCAGAATGTGTCGTTTCCAACAACGGCAGCAACAGGCAGATAATCAAAGAGATCGGTGAAATATCTCCACACAAGAGAAGACCCATACTTTCTAACACACTCATCATAAAACCCATATACCTGCGTTATCTGTCTGCTTTCGTGGTTTCCCCTCAGTAGCCATACTCGGTCAGGATACTTCACCTTTAAACACAACAAAATCGAGATGGTCTCAACTGAATGATATCCTCTATCTACATAATCCCCCATGAACAAGTAGTTCGTGTAAGGCGGAAGGCCGCCAACCTTGAACAATTCCATCAGGTCATAAAACTGCCCGTGAACATCTCCGCATATAGTCACTGGTGCCTTGACACTGACAACATTCTCCTCCTTCATCAGCATTTCTGTTGCAGTTTCACACAAGTGCCTTACCTCTGCCTCCGTTAGCAGATTGCATTTGAACAGCCTTTCAAGATAACTCTCGATCATCTCTTGTCTCTTCGGGGCTCAAATATTTTTTCTGTTTCATTTTCGCGTTTCAAATCCTAGGACTCTCCAAGCGTCCAGCAGCAGCTTTCTACAACGTGTATGAAGGCTCTGGGGCTGCATTTGGTGCGTTCACCAAAAATTAGCCGAGCATCCATTTATGTGCGATTAGTTTCATTAATTTTTAAATTCTGCAAATGACTTTTTAATATTCAGGCTTTGCCAAGCACACCCTCAGGGATCCATCAAATATGACAAATAGCTCGACTTTTGCTTCAAGTGACAACGATCAGTATTCTGCAGCAGTGGATCAGATGTATATCAAGCCTTTCTACGAAATGCTTTGGTCTTCCAGCGACAACATCGAGCTTGAGGATCCTGCAAACGATCCTTTTGTTGATATTGATGCCTTTGGCTCGATTAAAATGGGATGCCAAGGATTGTCTGCGAAGGAAGGGAAATACAAAGAGAAGGGAATGTGGATGTCTCTACACGAGGCTCAAAGCAGAGGCGGGGCTTCTGCCGAGCCCATTGTGAGGAGGCACCTTATTGACTTTTGGAAAGACTTTAGCAACGGGGAGGTGTTTTCACTTCCCACGCTTGGGCCCGGAAAAAGCGACAGCATTCAGAGGATTTCTGTCGATGTTGCCAAGCAAGTTATTGAGGGCGTGTACAACATCGACTACTTAGTCATTGATTGTAGATTCCCATATGAATTCCAGGGAGGACACATAGTGAATGCAGTGAACATAAGTTCTACCAAGGAGCTAGGCCTCCTTTTCAGAAGGCCAAAGGCTCTAATCTTCCACTGCGAGTTTTCATCGATCAGAGCCCCAAGGCTTGCCCAGTACCTCCGGAACATGGACAGGATGAAGAACCCATATCCACTGCTGACTATTCCCGAGGTGTATGTGATGGAGGGTGGATACAGGAAGTTCTACAGCAAGTATCCTGATCTGTGCGATCCAAAGGGATATGTGACAATGGACAGCCTTGACTATAGAGATCTGTATAAAAGAAACAAATTTAGATCAAATAAACGATACTAGTTGCTTGGCCTTTACATAATCCCAGTAGAGGCTATGTGCCGGAGAGATATAAGTCGTAGTCTTATGATGGTTTCATGCACCTCAAAAAACCAATCATGACTTTGATTTTTTAAACACTTCTTCAGAAAATAGATAAAAGAAGCATGTGTTTCCAAGAATCAATGAGGAGGTGGTTTCTGCTGGTAATAGGGATATATGGAGTAGATATCAAGCATCCGCCAGCCCAGGTAGTAAACAACGTGCTCGATGACTGGAGCAAGGATTTTGAAAAGTATGTGGATGACAGCCTGAAGGCCGGAAGGAAAAGACAAGGAATCGTATTGTACTCTAGCAGCTGCTCGGGAAAAGACTGCAAGTCTCGTAAGGTAGGATGTTCCGAGGGCTTTTGTAAGGGTAGGCTAGACAAGTTTTGACACGAACACAATGTTTGGGCTGATGCTTTTAATACAATTTCCTATCAAATCTTATTTGCATGTGCGCTTCATTGGCTGTGCACAATTAAATAAAGTCGGTATAGAGAATTTTCGTGTACTTACCCTCAAATGGGAGTTCTGATGACGGTAGCCGATAACTTCTGGAAGATAGCCTGTTTCTTCCTGGCCCTCTACATAGTGAGGATGAAGAGGGCTGTCTGCCAGAAGGACAAGGGTAGGAGGCCTGTTGAAAAGGGAGAGTATGGGATGAACATCATAATCAATACAGACTATTCCATGTCCAAGGGAAAAGTCATTTCCCAGATCTGCCACGGAATGTCTTGTGTGATGTGCCATCTGTTTAAGAACGAGGAGTTACTCCGTGAATGGAAAAGAAATGGAGAGGCAAAGATAGTACTGAAGGCCTCGGAGAATGAGATTCAGGAGATGATAAGGCTGGCCAAGGAGAAGGGCATATACTATCATAAGATATGTGATGCCGGGAGAACACAAGTCCCTCCAGGAGCAAACACTGTCCTTATTCTTGGGCCTGCACTAAGATCGTGTCTTTCACCCATCTCGGGACATCTGAAGTTGTATTAAACCATTTCATCCTTCTATCGACTGTATTTGCACTCTATTGAGACACAGACGGCCTGTCCTGCAGCTGTGATGGAGGAAAACGTTGGGGCATTCATTCCATCCTTTCAGACATTAGATAGGGGACATAGGGCTTTCAAAGCCACCATTCATTTTATACATGTATTTATATAATTTTTTGTGGCAAAGGCCCCTATGCTTTTTAATGGTCTAACAGTTGCAGGGTTTCTTGTATTCCAGATGCTGGAAATAGGTATTACTGACATGATGGAGCATATTTTTGTCAACCCTGCAGTACACAAAATTCACAACTTCCCGGACATTCTGGGAATCGAATATAATCCAAAAGATCCATGGGTGAACTACTATGCATTCAAAAGTGGGGTAATCTGCACCCAGATATTGCTGCTTCCGCTGGTGATTAAGTTGATTCTACTAGCCTTAACACCTAAGGCTAATGCACGGAAAAGTCTGCGTTTCTACCTTCAGTCACACATAATTTTAATGGTATTTTTGCTTCTTGCCGACATATTAGTTCTCTATACATATGATCAAGACAAAATCAGTGGTGTGCCTCATAGCCTAAGTATCTATATTTACAGAAACCACATGTGGTTCTATCTGACTCATACTATTGCTGAGATCTCTTCTCTGGTATGTACCATTCTCATGTGCTGTGGCTGGTTGCCATGGTTGACTTAGACATAGTAAACGAAGTTGTTTTTATTCTGTAAATACAAGAGGGCTTCTCTACTTCTCCAGGATCACAGAAAAGCCTCTTGTAATCTTCCGGGTTATGCTTCCATCCGGACAGCAAACCCCCTTTTTCTTGCTATTTGGAACTACAAAGTATAGCTCCTTAATCTTCTCGTTGATAAACCTGGGCGTGATGCTCACTCTCTTTGGAGACACAGAGAAACCTCCCTCCAGAGCTACCACATAGTCATTGGAGCTTAACTCTTTGCATCCAGGAGGAAGAGAGCATATGTGGCCGTCCCCACCTATCCCAAGAAAGCATATGTCGATGTCTACCAACTCTGCAGAGTACATTCTTACTGCCTCATTTAGTGGCCTTGACGTATCTATCCTATGCACTTCCCCGTTGATTTTGCTTATGAATCCTAGCGATGCAGTATAGTTCAGATGGCTCTGATCCACCCTTTCATCTGAATAGAATATCTTCCACTTTGAAGTATCTAAACCCGTGTATCTTTCGTCATCGAGGCATTGGAGCAAGGATCCCCCGGAAATCATCAGTGATAGACCTCTTCCGCAGTATTTCTTCAGAACTTTATGTATCTCCCCATTGAAGTCCTCTGTAAACAAAGTATTCATAGGGGGCTACCATCGGCTATTCAAAGACCTAAAATCCCATTGACAGGCAAATTAGAAAAAAACTCGACTTTATTCCTCCTTACCCTCTTCGACATTAATGTACCTGAGTTCAAATCCATCCGGCCCTTGTGCAAAAATCTTGATAAAAGCTCTGAGCTTTTTCATGTGTAGAAACCTTCCTGTCTGCCACTTTAGCCCCTGCTTGTTTATGAATCCTCCAGTAACGCTTACTTCAACGATGTTTCCATTCACATTTATCTGAAGGAGCTTTTCCTTCTTGCCCATATGGCACTTGATCTTCTGCTGGAGGAACGCCCCCAGGTCAGAAGGGGTGATTAGACTGTCAGATGCTGGCTTCGTGCAGTCAACGGTAAATTTCCTTGTGGTCCTTTCAGATGCTGTCGCCATTCGCCTTATTGGGGTGAAAAATTTTGGTTTCAGAAGAACAGGACTTTAGACCCTGCTCAGGCCCTAGGAGCTTAGCTCGATAAAGTCCCCTCCAAAATATCCTTGCAAGACATCCGGAACATCGATTCCATTTTCCCTCTGGTAGTTTTCCACGATGCAACACAATGCCCGCTGGATGGCACACATGGTTCCATTCAACAGGTGCACATAAACCTTCCGGTTGTTCTCTTTAACAATCCCGTATCTTATCTCAAGCTCTCTTGACTGGTAGTCCGTACAATTCGAGCAAGAAACTAATTCTCTATACTTCTCAGCATTTGGGAAGTATGCCTCAAGATCATACTTTATGGCCGCCGCATCGTTAAGCTCTCCAGACACAATACTTACAACATTATAGCTTATGTCCAGTGACTGATAAAACTCCTCGCATATCCTTATCATCTCTTCGTGGTGCCTCTGGGACTCAGAAGGCTCGCATATCACAAACTGCTCGATCTTCTCAAACTGGTGAACCCTGAACAGACCCGCATTATCCTTTCCATGTGCCCCGGCCTCCTTTCTAAAGCACAGAGATTGTCCACAGAACTTCTTCGGAACCTCCTGTGGAGTCATTCTTTCATCCATGTACAATGCTGCAAGTGCCTGCTCAGACGTCGCTATCAGATACAGATCATCTTCAACCTTATACAGCTGCTCGTCAAAATCGCTCAGCTGCGATGTTTTTGCCATCACATCTCTTCTCAGCATCACAGGCGTCTGAATGTAGGTGTAGCCCTTGTTTTCAAGAAAGTCAATAGCATATCTTGTAAGGGCCTGGGCTAGTCTAGCCATCTTTCCAGATAGATAGTATCCCCGGTGCCCTATCACCTTTGCTCCCGCAGCCGAGTGCGTGAAGTCCTTCATCAGTGCCGAAAAAGGCTGTGGGTTCTTCTGTATACTCCTCCCACTTCTATAGGACCTTACTATCGGGTTGTCTTTCTCGTCATTGCTGACCACAACCTCCTTCGAAATAATATTCCCTATTCCCTTCATAACCCTGTTCAGCTCCTCCTCGGCTGCTCCTGCCTCCTCTTTAAGTCTCTTTGCGTCGTCATGAAGGTTTTTTATCTCAGTGATCTTCTCAGCCAACTCCTCGTCCTCTTTCTTCTTTCCTTCCTTATATCCAAGCTTCACCTCTCGGTTTAATTGGTTAACTCGTGCATTGATCTGGTCAAGCTTGAATGCCGTCTCTATCCTCTTCCTGTCCAGCTCATAGGCCTTTTCGACAGACGTTCCGTCTCGAAATCGTTTCTTTTCGCTTTCAATAACCTCCTTGCGAGTCTTCGGGTCTCTAATCAGGTTGATATCGATCATCTCTGGGGATATGCCCAAACAATTTTATTCAAGATCCTAGGCCAAAAACATCTCTTTAATTCTCCTCTGGCTCCTCTCTACTTTCACGCTCCTTCCAGAACCCCGAGAAGTGTCCAACTCTACAAACCCCATCATAAAATCTATGAGGTGTTCTTATCTTCCATGCATACTCCAGCCTATCGTCATAAAAGGGCCTTGCAAAACTGTAGTTCCACATCTCAGGCGCATAGAAAACTCCTAAATCGGAACTCAGAACAAATCCCATCTCACTCCATCCGCAATCATTCCTCCTCATCACGCTGATCTTGTTGCCTATCAGTATTGCTATCCCACTCACTATCTTGTATCTCTCAAACAAAGTATCCACAACTGCTAAGTCATCTCCATTTATCACTACTCCCATAACATTGGCATCAGGAATAAACAATGAGGAATGGACCTCAGATAGTGATGAAAATTGGGGGATTAATCCAAAGCAGATGGGATTCTCCTCAATCACCAGCCCAAAGACTAATGTATGAGGATCTATCGTCTCTATAAACTCTTCGACCAGATTCAACGGAATCCTTAGAACTTCTCCCATATCCACGCTATCATCCACAGACCCGTAAGATCCTCTCATTACCATCTCAGAAGTCCACCTTGACAGCTCTCCACTTCTGACCATCTCATCTAACCTCGTGTATCTCTTTCTCCATCCTTCATTTCCCATGAAAGATATGTTCCCATGTCCCTTGAACGATTGCTTGCTTTTGACCTCTACATCTATGACCCTTTCATCTCCTTCTCCCCCCTCGCTCACCTGGAACCCAAACACTATATCTCTTACCTCGTTTTGGGATAGGCTCGAGGGCTTTATCTCATGGATCCTACAGTACCTGTCAACTATGAGATCCTTCAATTGAATCTCTTTCTTTATCCATTCCTTATCGCTGACCTCAGGCCACACACTGTCAATCCCGAGATCCCTAACCCTTGCTTCGTCAACATCAATCCCATGCATCACCAAAAGAACCCTACAGAAGTTTGTGAATCGGCTTGTTTCTTTCCATCCTTCGTACAAATTAATGCTTCGGACACTCTTCTCCATCCTAACCTCCTTGATCCTTGCCACATTCGAAAACAGCGGTATCGACGAGCATGTCTTCATAGATATAGACGGATGGTCTATAACAAAATTCTCCATTGCATTCACCATGCTCTCAGACACAACAACATCTCTTTTGTTAAGCTCCTCCCCCATCAAAAATATGTCCTTGGCTGCTAGTAACCTTATCTGCCTAATCTTCTTGCCCTCTCCATGGTAACTCTTAAAGTACAAATTCCCAGTATGCGGATCAAACACAAACAGCATCTTCTCTTTCCTGAGCAGTGCACTGGTGTCAACAAGGATCCCAGAGTTGAACAGGTCTCCACTGTCGTTAACAGTCTCAATATCCGAAGTATACAGTTGAAGTGCCTTCCTAAGCCTCTCTCGAAGCACATGGAGCATAGCATTTCCTGCTATAATCTTCTCCATGGAACTACTCAGCACAGCCTTCAGCTCTCCATTTAGACTTCCGTAGCTACTCCATGTGTTATAACATAAATCAAGCACAACTACAAACCCATTCGGGACAGGATATCGAGTCTGCGGGTCCACAAGGCTTTCAGCATACCTTGTCTTTGCATACTTATGAGGGTCCCTCTTATCATAGTCTCCCCATCGTAGCTGGACATCAATCCAAAGTCCATCACATTTTACTCCAGACCCATCAACTTCTTCAGAAATAGATGCTGCAGAGTATACGTAGAAGTCTCCAGATAAAAGTATATCTGCACAGCTGCTTCCAAACCTGTAGCTCTTCTTCCCATGAACCTCCAGCCTCTTAACATCGCAATGCTTTTTGAAAACATCACACAAGTCCTTAACAATACTCTCGTATATCCTCTTCCACAAATGGTTCCGGAAAATCTGAATAAACGAAACCTTCAGCGTAGGCAGCTTGCCATGCATCAATATCCCCGTTTGATCCAGTTGGACTTGGTATCCAACATACACATTTCCTCTATTGATAGTCGGCGACCACCACAGAATGAATCTTCTATTGGGAACCTGACTCAGCCCCATCCTCTGTGCGTTTGTCAACCTTTTGTTTCCTTCAACGCTCATATCTTCCCAGAACACCTTGCTGAAGCTTCTGAAATACGTCGCTCCAAACAATGTGTGACTCAATATCCCCTCAGCCCCTCCAAGACCTTTCAGACAATCCGCTCCATACCTATCCATGCTCCATAGCTTCCCATCATGCTTTGTGTCTGTAAACCAGAACCAGTCGGGCTTGCCCCAATGCCTCCTAAACATGCTTACCAACCTAAACCCACGGTCATAAAGTAGCCATTTGCTTCTCTGAAGAAGTGTACTCATTCGCGGAATTCCCTTCTCAGGCTCGATCTTTCCATTTCGACCATACTCCATCCATACCCTCTTCGACTCAGAAAGCTCGTAATCCCATCTGTCAATATAATCCATAATCACAGGCAATGGCACGTCCTTCTCCCCCGAAGGGTCATTCAGGTCTTCGAGAAAATCCTTTGCCCCTCCAACACTTAGCATCCCAAGTCCCCCCATCTCCTTTGGAGCATAAAACATAACAGGAGGAAACCTCACAGGCATCTTCGAGTTGATCCCTTTCTTTACAATATTCTGGATCTGCCCTTCTGCCTTTCGAAGCCTTTCAACCAGCCCCTTCGTGTCATCAATGCATTCTCTGTAATACCCCACAAATGCAAGAATCTGTGTGTTCCATCTTGTTGCCACCTTGAGAAAGGTTGCAGATCCACTGGTTTTCACAATGTGCGATATGTTGCTCTCAAACATCCCTATTCCCTCCTCATTCACAGCCAGGTTCGCATACATCCCATTATCTAACCTCCATGAGCCTCTTTCGTGGATTCTATCAGATGAGATAAGTACATCAATCCCAGCCATCGAAAATCTGATGCGTGGAAATGAGTTGCATCCTCTGAATCTGATCCTTCCCAAGGACGGTAATAGCCTCGTTGCAACCTCCGCATGTATACATCTTTCCAAAGCCTTATGCCTTCCCCTCTCTTCGTTTCCGAAGAACGGGGCATCCTCCTCATCATCAAGGCCTCCAGATAGATCGTCAAAGTAGTTCCTTTGCCCTTCCATGATCTTTTCCATCCCCGAGCTTCCAGCCCCATAGTCCTCAAGCAAGGCATCTTCTTCCTCTTTTCTCAGATTGAATAAAATGTAAATATCATTCATGTGTCTAAAATACATCTTTATGCTGCTCCTTTCATCCATGAAGACATCCTCTCCTAGTACACACAAGTCAATGATAAACGAATAGAACTTGTATACAAATGCTGAAAGCTGGAATCCCTCGATAAACCCAATGTGGTTTGTATACGCCATGTCCTTATAAAACACCCGGCAGTTGTTCCTGCTGATGATGTAATCCGCCAGAGTAGCATCCAGAACAAGCTTCAATAGTTTCGAAAGAAGATTGTTGTCCACAAGCCTCATAATCCTCTCATATCTTCCCTCATAAAGTATGAATCGTTCAGTCTCACTAGGCTTGAACGAAGACACCTTTTCACAGAAGTCCATAAGTGCCTTTATGTCTATCTCATCTCCAGGCTTGATGAATTCAGGAAACATGTTGAGTCTGTCAGACTCGTAGAACAAGTATGCACAGAGAAACGCATCCACAAGTCTTTCCATGTATGAGACATCATAACACTCAACACCTCCATCCCCATACCTCCTCAGAACAACTCCAACTTCCTTGAATGACCTTTGTGTGAGAAGCGATTTCTTTATCCTGAAAATGGTGCTTGCAGAATCCTCTAAAGCTTTGTCAAAAAACTCAGACTCCTCCGGCGTTGCATTTTTCTTGAGCCTATCCACAGCGATACTTAAGAATCTTTCCTCGTTCCTCTCGGGAAATGTTATCTTTCCTATCCCCTTGCTCCTGAAGTACTCCGCTGAGAACCTGTAAATAGCTACAGCCTCAGAAGGACTAAGAAATGGATGCCTTAGATACTCCATCTGCTCCGCCATCCTCTCCTTCATGTAAAGTCTTGTAATCTTTCCAAGCTGCTTCTTCTCCTCTTTTTTGTTCTTTTTCTCCATGTTGGTGGCATTTCCAATGTACCACTCAGACTTCAGATCAATATACTTATCTATTATCCCCTGTAACTCAAAAAGCTGCTTCTGATGCTTGACACCCACCTCCTTTCCCATCGTCTCTAACTCAGATACAAACTTGTCTGAAAATGTAACCAGGCCTCGCGAGAACGATATGGATGCATTCCCCTCACTCCTCCTTATCACATCAACCGTAGACCTAACCCTTTCCAAATCTACAGGTGTCCCATCAAAAGTCTCCTCCATACCTTTCTTTTCAAGTGACCTAGGCATATCCCTTTTTGCGCCTAGCTCCATAATATGCTCATGCACAATATGGTAAGGCACATTTGCTTTCCAACATCTCCATGCCTCACCAAAGTGCTGGAGCAGTCTCCTTATCTGCCCGTGATGGAGAATCGGCGAAACCTCTTCCATAATCTGTCTTTTCAGCGCAACATCGTATCCACTTTCACTTCTCTGCTTAGATAGAGGCTTTGGATTGTACTCTCTTCCCTCAGATATCCTTGTAACTAATCCAGAGATGTATCTTCCGAGCAGAGGAATGTGCCCTCTGAACATAAAGCACCACGTTCTCCATTGCTCTCCCCACACCTCAATCCCTGCATAGTTAGAAAGCCTCTTCCATGACTTGCACTGCTTGATCTGTTTCATAAGCTTGTATTTATACCGATACATCCCAGTAATAACCCCAACATTATTAAGTACATGGTCCACATTCCCCATCAGCTCGTAGCAATCTATATTTCCTTGCCTGAACAGAACATGGATATCTACAAGATGCTTGACAAACTTGAGCATCTCCCTTGTTAAATGGTAGGACGTCCCAACCCTCGACTTCTTTCTCTCCTTTGTTGTCAGCTGCCTGATGGGCTTCAGATTGAAATTCCAATCGAGAATAAGATAGCTGAGCTTTTTTCTTCTCAAGATCTCGCTAAGCATTCTGTGTCCCTGATACACCAACTGGAGCCCTGCCTCAACCCAATCTATCTCCGTCCTCTGGAAGTATCTTGTATTCTTTAACTCTTTAAGAATACGCGATGGTGGACTCCTCCTTCCCCTCTTCTCTATGTTCCTTGTGTAGTTTCTAAGGAGATTCCTAACCCTGGGCCCGTCTAGCCGCTCCTGAAAGCAGTGTCCCTTTAGCAATGGAATATCCACAGGGTGTTTTTCCCTTAGCTTTGCCTTATTCTCCTTAGCCTCTCCACCAAGGAAGCCTCTAAGCCCCAGATAAGCCCTCTCTAAAACCTGTATCCTTGTGCTCTTGTTGTAGAGATAGGGATAGGCTATTCTTTCACACCCCGCCTCTCTCTCCATCACACACACTCCAGAGCTACTTTCTACGACATAGGGCCCATCCTCAAGCTGCATCCCTACATGCCTACTTATCAAGAATGCCTTGCAGTTGAACATATATCTCTCCTCCATATCCTCAAAAACACTCGGACATTCCTCCTTCTTTTCATCTTTAATGGCAGCCGGAATAGGAAGCCCCATTATGCTCCCATAGTCCACCACAGGATCATCGTCGTCAAACACAGGATACCTTAGGATACGCACAAATCCTCTCCTCTTCGCCTCCTCAGAAAACCTTTTGCTTGCATAGCTCCATCTAGCTCTGTGCCTCTCCACATCCACCCTTCTCTTCTCAGTCACAAAAGTAATCAGCCCAGAAACATGGTATAGGACATCCACATATCTGACAGACTCCCACGGCATGGGCATCGACTTCATGAGGTTGTGGAGGGCATACGGCATATACCTCATTGCACCCATAAAAGAAGGATGCATGTCTCTTGAAACCTTTATTATTCTTCTGAGATGTTCTGGCGGCATCCTCTCCTTCCTAACGCTAGGCGGCATGGTGGGGCAAATCTCTCATGGCCAAATACTCTTTTCCAAAAGGTCTCCAGATTTTGAATTAAGATCTTGGCTTCCCTCAGAGAAAAGGTATGAAAACCAGAACACAGTCAACATCGACAGAGAAGCTTGTTGTCTCCAAAGCAATAGACATGTACGGTTCCTCTGACGAGGCTTCTGTAACAAGGTATATCACAGCAATGTATGGATACATTCACCCAAACAGATGGAAGGAGATCTACCAGGAGGTGCTTGAAACATACAAAGAGTGTGGATATTCATCTCCTGTTGATTTCTGTGAGGATCTGAGGTTTGGCGTTGCAAGAAAGCTTTATGCGGAAAAGATGGCGTTGAGGAATAGGCTTCTGGAGGGAGAGGATGTGGAGTGTCCAGACCAGCATGCAGGCCATAACTGGAACATTGGGTGCATTGAGAAGATAGATGAGATTTCCAAGACGACTGAAGACGCTCTAGATAACAGGCAGCTGTATCCCTCTGCTGACTCACGAATCATAAGGCAGCACATAGAGGCCATGAGCAAATGGCAAAATCGAGCTCGGGAAAGCCAGAATGGTGCCAGCAGGATGATGGAGTCCAAGAAGAGGTATCACATTGCAGTGGATAAGGAAAAAAGAAGGTTTTACAGCAGAATGACGGACGAGGAAAAGGAGCTCGACGACTTCCTAGACAAAGTAGAGGAAGAGCATTACAACACAGGACAGAGCGGGATCGGTCCAAACAGGCTGAGGGGAAAGTATCCTGCTCTGAAGGCCTCCTTGGCGGACAATGCTTTCACAGGATGTAGAGACGCAGGCAGGATAGGCACACCCCTGGAAAGCCAATACGGAGCAACAGTTAGCAGAATTGCAGGAAACATGATGCATGAGGGCAATGGAGAGACATGGAGGAGAGACCTCAGGATCATCGTCCAATACCACATGAAAAGAACAGGAATGATCAATGAGCTAGAAAAGGTAAATACGCTCATAGATAGCAGTAGCATGACACACATACTGATGAACGTCTTGATGCTCCTCCAGGAAATGATTGATAGGCCAAGGAATGAGGAGTTGGTGCCAGAGTACATATCCTTTAAGAAAGATCTCCTCATGTTTGGCAACTACTATAGAAAATGAATGGATTGTATTCTAGACAGGCTAGCTCCGGCAGATTAAAAATCCCTAAAAGCATAACTTTTTATTCAAGATCATCTGACGATGGTGTCCACTATGGCTCTTCGCCGAGCTTCCAGATCTTGATCTCCACTGAGGTCAAACACACTTTCGATCACCGTCATCTCCACATTGGTAGTCTTCGCACCGGCAATGCACATCCAATCATTCGCAACAACACCACCCCCAATGCACGAGCTCCCTCCATTGACCGTCCCTGCAATCACGTTCACCTCAAGAAGCTCACTAAGCTCCTTTTGGCACTCCTGGCTGGTGAAGGGATGGACTAGCATCCCTTGGTTGTTCAATGCTCCAAAGGTTCCAACAAGTGGCTCATGCCCTATGTTATGCCTGTATACAGGAACCTGCAGGACATCTTTGATGAGATCCTCAGACTCCCCATCGAGGTCTGCATGTATAATTGCAACATGGTCATTGCAAAGAATCACATTTCCTAAAGCATTAAGTCTCTCTTCAATTCGCCTTACCACGACATTCTCCGGCAAGGTGTTTCTTATATGCATGATCTCTTGGTCTGTTATCGTGTGTGGAACAAGCAGTCCGTGCTTGTTTCCTCTGCACTGCGACCCGACGCTCCGGATGCTGTTAATGGTTGTCTCAACAATTGGAATCGAAACGTTCTCCTGGAGGAACTTGAGCATGTTGTTCGACTGGCTCCTTCCAACAACACAGTATGTGTTCGTGAGTGCCATGTATGCACCTATCTCAGAGCTGCCTTCGAAGTCTATTCTGTACGACATGGGCCTGTGAGAATTTTTCATTTTCCGCAGAAGGAGAGCTACTCATCCAGATATCATCCCGTTCGCAGGACTTCCCTGCCCCCTCATCCCTCAGATATGCTTTTGATGTTGTTGCATCTGATGGAAACCTCTCCAACCTCCATACTTGCTTCTCCATCCTTCTCAATGCATTTGTCAAGAAGTATATTGAAATAGTTGTCTGACATGACAAGAACGCCTTCGTAGGACTGCCCCCACTTCAGGGAAACAACAACGCTCTTGCCCTTCATCCTCTGGAGGAACTGCTTTGGATTCTCCTTTGGAGGCTTCTCGGTGCAGGCCTCGTCCATCTTGCAGGGTGCATCGAGGATTCGAATAAACATCCGGGACAAAGTCTTGCTAAGTTCATTTGTTAGACAGCTTTCCATAGAACATTTAATTGAGAAGCGTTAGATTCGGGATCCCTTCTTCGGTGCAAACATGGCCTTTGTTGTATGCAGCTTGGCAAGCCCTATAATGACATACATGATCGGAATTGCAAACATGATGTATAGCCCATTCCGGATCCTCTTGGCCTCAGCAATGTTGTTTTCCTGAATTGTTTTCAACCGTGTGTTCGTTCTGTACAGGGACATAAGCTTCGCTTCCAGGTCGAGAAACAGATTCTTGATCGCCAGATTGTCATTGTCAACATCTCCAGACGACATGACATCCGTGTAAATGCTTATCGAGGCCTTCTCGGCTCCATCATTGTAGACCTCGATCTTGTAGGCCCCTGGCGTTGTGTATCTTGAGTCAACGCTCTCCACAAGCTCCTCTCCAACCTCGCTGTCCTCGTCCATCTCTCCAGGTTTGACTATCTTGTAGTACACAGGCATCTCGGAGTATTGATTCAGCTGGATGGTGAGCTCCACATCCTTACTGTCAAGAACAGCCCAGTATATCTCTTTGGCTCCTGGCCTCAATATCTTTTGAATCCTCGAGCACATTGCAAGCGAAATAACACAAAGGAATAGCATGGGTTAGCCTCTAAATCTTCCTTTTGTTTAAATTGTTATTCCTAGTTGACTAAAACAAAACACCCCATGGGATCAGGTGCAAGCACAATCCCTAGCAATCTAGAGGAAGATGCCAGGCAGTTCTCTCACTTCCCCTCAAAAGATATTCAAGAATGGTCTTCCTCGTTCAAGTCAGAGTATCCAGATGGCTGCATGACACCGGACGATCTGGAAACAATCTTCAGGAACTTCTTCCCCTTTGGCTCGCCCACAAACTTCTCAAGAAGGCTTTTCGAAACAATCAACATAAGCCAGACTGCAGCTATTGACTTCCACGAGCTGTTGATAGCATACAGCATCTTGGTCAAGGGAAGCGACCATGAGAAGTTGCGCTGGATATTCAGATTCTATGACAAGGACAATGATGGCGTTGTCTCAAAAAAGGAGATGGCAGAAGTCATCCAGTATCTTGCAGATATGACATCGCACACCCTTGACGTCTCCATAGACTCAGAGGGAATAGTCGATGAGATATTTGCCTCCATCGACGCCACAAAGAGCTTCCTTACCTTTGAGGACTTCAAGACACTCTCCGTGAGGAACGAAAAACTATTTAAAATGCTAGTTCCATTCTCTAGTTAACAAAGTAAGTAATAAATAATCACTAAAATACTATACCAGTGCAATGTGCTTTAATGTAATCATTTCGTTTTGACCCTTTTGAAATCCTTCGAGTCATCATAGAAGTCCGGCTTCACCTCGTATTTGAGCTTCTTGCTCACCTTCTTCTCACAGTTGCTTCTTGCTTCCAGATCCTTGATTCTCCTCTCGATCTTCTCCCTCATCTTCACCCCAATCGCATTCGTCCTCTCCTCTCCATAGGAATCAATCCTGGCTGCTATTGCAATCTTCGAAGCCAAGCTCCTAGCTATCTTCCCTTTGTTCTGAGAGCTCACCTGCCCCAAGAGAGAGCATCCATAGATAATGCCGTACTTCGGAGTACTCGTCTTTGACTTCAGAGCCTGGAATAAGGCCTTCTCAGCCCCCATCATCTGTATCGAAGACCCAGGCATCCTTGCTAGGCTCGACAGCGACCCTGCCTTACTTATCATCTTTGCCGCAATCACTTCCCCAACCAATGACGTCATGTTCGGTGCTAACCCCTCCATCTTCACCCGGATGTACTCCACTAGCTCGTCTCTAAACTCAAAGCTTCGAAGAACGCTTCTTGCATCCTCTAGTATGTTTAGAACATCAGACTCATCCATCGCAACACCCATGCTCTTCTCTCCTAGCGAGATAATCTTCTCGCTCTTGTCTCCGGCAATCTCTCTAAGAGCCTTCCTCTTTTCCTCGTCAATGCTTCCCTTCCTTCCAATCGCAACAACAAGCTTAAGATACTCTCTGTTGTTATCCGTAACAGAAGATAGCTCCGGAAAGTGGAATCCGTACCACTCCTTGAGTCTCATGCAGTGGAGATTTATGTCCTTGTCCATGTCCTCCAGAAGAGATACAGACTGAATCACCATTGTGTCGATCTTCTCAGGCACGAGATTGATCTTCTCCATGGAAATCTTGTGTGCCAGACACAGGATCCTCTCAGAATACTCGGCCCAGCTTATCCCGAAATACTCGTGCACATTGGACTTTATCGACCTCTGGGCATCATCGTGAGAGCACACAACCTTTCTTGAAAACCTCCTCTCCTGTGGCTCCACAAGCTTTTGGTCGCTCACAACCAAGGTCTCTTTACATTTGTCCTCCACAAGCCCCATGAAGTTTTCCAGACTGCGAGGAATCTCCCCTCTGAGAAGTAACGACGATGACTCTACTGCCTCGTCAATGCTCTCAAACCTGTATGCCCCAATAACTTGTGCCTCTTCAGACCTGTCCATCTTGTCGAGAAGTATGTATCCAACAACAGTCTCCACCAAGTAGATCATAAATAGCGGTCGAAAAAAATAGAAAAAATAGATCCATCCTCGTCAAGCCTAGAAGGCCTTGTCCTGTCCACACGAACCGCCTGGTGGCTTAACATCCTCGGGCGGCATGTCGATCTTCTCCACACAGACATCCCCCTTCTTGATCTTCACCCCATACTTCAGGCTTTCGAGAGTGTTGACCCGAAGGCATCCATGCCCTCCAATCTTCTTGAACTCTAAAACCCCGTTGTAATTTGGGCAGAAGCGGCTGAATATGTTTGAATCAAACTCGGCAACTATGTCGAAATACAGGCTGAGGTTTGTGCCTGGCATCATAAACCCAGGAATGGAAACCATGCATATGTGGCCATTGGCCCTGGCAAGCCTTCTAAGCTCAAAAAGAAACGCTATTATCTCTTTCTCCCCACATCCTGAAAGCTTCCAGACAGGCGACCCAAGCGAGAACACCGCCATCCTTAGCTCCTTCTCTTCCCTTGCCATGCTTAGGATGCTTTCAAGTGTTGCCTTCTCTCCAGAAAGTAGAATTCCTTCAAACCTCTTTTTTCTTGAAAGATTGAACTTGAAGGCAGGTTTTCCAAGAGACAGCTTCGAGTATCTCCAGGCTATCACCATCCTGCCTTCGTTTTCTTGTTCCGTAGATGATCCTGTGCCATACACCTCCACATCTCCGCTTTCCTTCATCACTGCCATCGTGCTTTCTTGACCATCAATGCCTTCTGAAAGAAAAACCTTCAGTATTGTCGAGTGAACCCGAGAGTTTTCGTCTTCTAGTAGGAGAATGGATGTTCCTCTTGTGAGGCATTCCCCAAGTATTGCATCTAGTCCATAAATCCCTGTCGACAGCCTTCCCTGCTCTCTGTGGCCTGGGCTTCTCACAAACGACTTCATGCAAGGGCATTTCATTGGATTAATCCATCCACCCAAGCTCTCCACCCGTCCATCTATATTTCCTAGGATGCTTTCAATCCTTGATGTGCGGAATACTTCTTTCTGAAGAGGGGAATCCTGTGCGTGAGGAAATGGCTTTGCTTGTGAGGAACAGAGGAGGAGACCACCATGGGATGGTGCATGTAAACGGTTCTGTGGCAATCGCCTCGGTGCTTTCAATAAGAGAGTTTGTTAAACAGCCTGTGATTGGAGATGGGTATGTGCTTCTTTACAACGGAGAGGTCTACAATGGACAGCCAAGCGACACTCTATTTATCAAGAATGTAGTCGACAGCATTTTGAACAGTGGAGCAGGTCTCTGTACTGAGAGGATAGTGGACAGAATTTACGAAGAAATCAACAGATATGAAAATGAGATGGCTGTGATATTGATGATAGAAGACTACGTGTACTTTTTCAAAGATGACATAGGAAGAAGAAGCCTTGGATATGGGCTGGACCCATTCTATGTTTCTTCTGTATGGTATTCCGAGGAGATAAGTCCGATGCTAATATATTCGTACAACAGGACGACAAAAGAGTTGAATGAATGGCCCAAGAGTAGCAGGATTGTTAGGAGATACATGTCCATGGGAGGTGTGATACTAGAGTACCTCAACAACGAAAAGTACATGAAGAAATACCAATACTTAAAAAAGCATCTGGCACCGGATTGTGGAGAAGAAGGCAAAGAAGACCTTAATAACATCGACGATGTTATCAACGAGTTCAGCAAGGCCTTCAAGAGATCCATAGAAAGAAGAACCACTAGGGGGAACATCTGCATATTTTTCAGTGGGGGCGTGGACTCAATGCTTGTGGCGGTATTCCTGCACTATTCCACAGACCCTCATCAAAAGATATACTTGATAAACACATCGTTTGGGCCATCGTGGGATAGAGATGCAGGGAGAAGAGGATTCGAAAGCCTTTGCTCGAGATTCAAGGAAAGAACCTTCATCTTTGTTCCGAACGACGTCAAGATGGAGGAGGTTAGAGCATCTAAGGAGCACATACGCAAGCTGATCCACCCGAAGAGCGGACACATGGACTTCAACATAGGTGCGACGCTGTTTTTCACAGCAAGAGAGTCAAGAAAGTACAGCAAGATTGGGTACCTTGGGTCAGGGGCAGACGAGATGTTCGGAGGGTACCACAGATACAGGGGAAGCAGGTTTAGAGAAGACATGCTCTTCGACCTTTTTACCATCTCGCATCACAACATTTGTAGAGACGACAGGGTTATTTCCGACAATCAGGTCGAGTGCAGGTTTCCCTTTCTGGATTCTGAAATGGTGGAGTATTCCTTGAGAATCGGAAGAGACATCCTTATGATGAACGGAGACAAGAAGTTTGTCATAAGAGAGGTTTTAAGGAGAGAAGGACTCGGGTGCGTGTCGGAAGTTCCAAAGAAGGCAATGCAGTATGGAAGCGGGATATTCAAAATGGAAGGAAAAATATGACTGTGCTAGAAGATGTAATCAGAAGTTTATTCTAGGGAATGGCCTCAGTGGGTGCTTCTCAATATGAGCCTTGCCTCTTTGTCAAGTCTGAATCCATTGTTCTTGAACAGGTCGCATAAATAGAAGTTGGAGGGGACCGAAAACCCAAAGGAAGAGATTCGACGCTCAAACTCGTCCACAGACACTGATTGAGAGCGGAACGCCTTCATCTTTTCATTAAACATCTCCTTCAAAAGGAAGACTAGGACATCGGTGTTGCTTCTATTGAAATACTTTACAAACTTCTTCCTCAGGCTCTTGGACATGGAGTATTTCTGAGCACCCATGAAAGAGTCAAGAACAACAGAAATGGCCTCATCAATGTCCTCAGCAGAAACAATCGAGCTAAGCCTCATCTTTGCAAATGCTTCGCTGATCCGGACAATGCTTTCCACGTGCCGGACAGTCACAGGAAGTCCTGAAGGCAAGCTTTCCTTCCGAAGCTCGGTGTACAAGCTTGAAATCTTCTCTATGTCAACGTCATTGAAGGCAGGCATGACATTGGTCCTTGCATACAGTATGTACTTCCTCAGTAGATCCTGGCTCATCATCATCCTCTTTGCATCAAACCCATTAGGTTTCTCCCTTCCACATCCGCCGTGCGAGTCTATGATGAACCTTGCTGTTTTCTCGTCCTCCCCTGCATCTATGCTATCCTTTGTAACACAAAGAATGTCAAACCTCGATATGATTGGGTCGCTGAGGTTCACATTCTGTGAGAACGTTAGAGACCCATTGTACCTCCCTCTTATTGGATTTGCTGCTGCTATCACACTGCACCTTGCATGAAGCGTCGCAACAATCCCTGCCTTCGATATCGAGATTGACTGCTGCTCCATCGCCTCGTGGATACTGGTTCTGTCGTGCTCATTCATTTTGTCAAACTCGTCGATAAGACACACACCCTTATCAGCCAGTACCAATGCTCCTCCCTCAAGAGTCCATTCCTTCACAACAGGATCCTTTCGAACAGATGCAGTAAGCCCCACGCTCGAGGCCCCCTGCCCCGTTGCCAGGACAGCCCGGTGGGACGTGTTTTCCACGTACCTGAGAAATTGGGACTTGGCCATTCCAGGATCTCCCAAGAGAAGGACATTTATATCCCCCCGGATCCTATGGCTTGTGCTTTCCTTGGCAACTCCACCAAGCATCGCCAGGGCTATGGCCCTCTTCACCTCTGAATGCCCATACACAGAAGGTGCTATCGAATTTATCACTATTCTTTTGATCTCCGGATGCCTTCCGATCTTCTTGATCTCTCTGATGTCATCGTCAGTCATCTCGATCTTGCCAGCCCTTTTGCTAATCGAACTGGCCTCAATCACTGTGAAGAACACAGGAAATCCATTCTTGATGTTCAGAGATACATTGAAGTTGTTCTTGTACACCCCAATAACCTCCACCTCCTCCCCAGGCTTCGCACAATCAATTAGGTCATAAAACAGCAGCACCTCTTTTGACCTGGGAAGAGATCCAGCCGGGATACTTCCAGGAATCTCTTGGATCGTTAGCTTCTGGAAGTCCTTATAGATGGTCTCCGTCGTGTTGACTGTAAAAGGCCCTTTCGACTGGCATTCAAAGCAATGTGTGGGCTTGAACGAAGATGCCACAAACGGTCCGAAGACAGACTTGCATTTAAGGCAACTGAACTTCACAATGGAGTAAAGCGGAAACACTCCGCTTCTTCTTGTAACAACGCCGCTAACCTTCACTAGCTTTCCAAGATGGCTATTCCTTAGCGACCGAATGGTATCGCAAACAGGGAGGTCAATGATCCTTGCATGCACCTTGGGCTTTATCATATGGTAGTTGGGAAACTGCATCCTTACCACGTCAGACAAAGCCTTATCCATCACCTCAATCGTCATCTCTGCATGCTGATTGAGAAGCTTAATCAGGTCCATAGACTCCTCCTCAATGTCCAGATAGCTTACTTCTATGCTCTCAAGATTCTCAGAACACATTTTCCGAATCTTCGCAACATACTTCTTGCTCTTAAACTCGTTAAAAAAACAAATGAACTTTTTAACCAACTTGACTCTGAAGAAGTCCTGTTCAAAGAAGTCCTTGGTCACCTCCGACGCCTTGAATATGTCCTCTGCATCGTATTCGTCCTCAGGCATGATCCCGGCCCTCGTCCTACTTTCCTCAGACCTTATGCTCCCCGCTTCCTGCCCTATGAGGTCCTCAATATCAGAATGCTCAACAGCCTCACTTTCCTCAAACACCCTCTCGGATTCATACAAATCCTCCCTGATCTCGTCCATATCCTCGCTCCCAATCTCGTTCGTAACGCTCATTCCAACGTCCGTCTCCTCTTCGGATATATTCTCGTCCTCCTCAAGCCTTCTTTTCGCCATAAAGGGGAGCCATGGAAACAAAGATATCACAAAAACACCAGAGTATTTTATTATGGCTATCCGCAAAAATCACTCTTCTTTCTTAATCAGCAATCCATTTGCATACTCCTTTAGGTGAAGAATAGCATCCTCTTCCCCAACCTCAGACATGATGAACTCGCTGCAAAACCCCATAATGTAGACATACCCAGACTCCATATCCATTCCCGTAGCCTTTACCATGAGAAGGTCAAATATGCTTCCATACACATCCTCTATTCTGTATTTCTCTATTCTTTTCTGCCCAAGAATCCCCTCAGAAAGATTCATCCTGTCCTTTAATCTCCTATCATTCGCCAGAAATGAGTTCCCCACATCCTCAAGCTGCTTGTTTACAAATCCCACAGTCTCTCGGAGCTTTGCCATCTCCTTGACCAAAGCCGGAGGATCCTGAATGCATCTTGTGCAGGGATCGACAAGGACACGCGTTAGGTCAATCGGCTCTGTTGTGTAATAGTACAAATACCTTACATTATCAAACATCCTTCTCTGCACCTCCTGGTCCACCCTGTCTACAAGTATGGCTATCCCCTTGATAAGAACCAGAGTAGACTCAAGGTAGAACCTTTCGTCGTAGAACTCTTTGCCACAGAAGGCGTGCAGCAACTCCTCAACCTCAGGAAAATTCAGATCTGAAGACCCTTCAGAAAGGGCCCTCTTAAGAACTAGATCGAGAAACATAGGCTCAAACCTTTCGTAGTACGAAATGTCCTCTAGATACACCTTCACAGGAACGCCTCTCTGCTTCTCGTAAACATCCACATATCCCTTTATAAACTCTACGGGGTCCGCAAACTCCTTCATAACCCCCTCTTGCTCGTCTAGGCTAAGCTTCATAACAGATGGGTCATCCGAAGAAACATTTATGCTCTCTCCATCCGCCTGCTCGTTAAAAATATTTTCGATGTAGAGCCTTTAATGGAGAAAGAGAACAGTGCAAATGGAACGGAGGCCCTGGGGGCGGGCCACGACTCTGCTGCCTACAGCCCCTTCAAGGCTTCTGAGGATGGATGCTGCCCCTTCGACGTATTTACCCCCGAGACACTAACAAGCAGGCTCAAGGAGCATGAGGACTGCACAGAAGAGATCATCAAGCTCATCAGGTCCATCCATGTAAGCCAGAGCAAGATGAAAAAACTGTGCAAGGTTTTCAACTCCGTGTCCAACTACAGCACTGGCTCAATAGTAGAGCTCACAAGGAGTGGAAATAGAATGTTGAGGTATGTCTCGACATATCTTATGCTCGACAAAATAAAGCAGTGGGTTATGGAAGGAAGGGGATTTGAGGTTGTGGAGACCATGTATGATGAGGTCTTTCTTGTTAGATTCCGGGACGTGGACTTCAACATAAGGAGCATCTGTGTAGAATTTATGTGTGAGTGGGTTGTTTCTGCGCCTGAGATATTCAACTTTCCCTGCTATTTGAAGTATATTGGATGGTCTCTTAGTGACAAAAATGACAATGTTAGGAGAAAAGGCATTGGGTCTTGCATCAAGCTTGTGCGGAGGAAGGTTGATATCCAAGCATTTGTGTCCCGCTTCAAGAGCAGAATGCTTGAGCTGTCGTTGTACGACAGAAACCTTGGGCTGAGGGGGGATGGAAAGGCGCTGTGCATGAGCCTGTATGCCAATGGAATGCTTTCTAAAGACGACGTGTATAAAGTGTTGGGATCGATAGACGAAAGGGACAAGAGGTTGATGGTAGAAAGCGTCATCAGGAAGATACTTGCAAGAGAAGGGCAGAACGACAAGTGCCTGTTGGATAATCACGAGGGCTTGCACGAGCTTCTTTCGAACACGTCTTTGTCTCTGTGCACCTATATTCCCCACAGCGATGAAGATGTCGAAGGATTCATAGACTTCATACTAGACTTCTTGAAGACAAAAAGCTCTTGTTGCCAATCTAGAGTGCTGTGCTACTTAAGGATTCTCGGGGTTCTTTCTATTGGCGTGGTTGACCTCAGGAAGTATCACAGTATCCTTGAAACGGTCAAAGACAGTAAGGAAAACATAGCAGAGGCCATGGCATCGATTTCAAGACTTAGCCCCGAGGTGTTTAAGAGGCAGCCCGATGTTACTTGCAGGCTTTTTGAAGTGATGAAGGAGCTTGCGGGACATCACAGGTGCGAGCAGATGTTTTCCATCCTTGTATGCCTTCTGAAGAAGCTTGAAAGCGACTTTCCGGCCTCTGTCTATCCGATTGTTGAGTCTTTCAGATCTTCCAGCATAGAGTTTATCCGATGCATGATCAAGTCGTTTGATATATCTGAGGATGTTAGGAAGGAGCACTCAACGGAGATCAAGTGCTATGCTGCACTATGGAGGATAATTGCAAACGATTATGAGAAGGTCAACGAATATGAGCTTAAGGATGTTGCTAATCCCGAGGTTCTTTGCGACTTCTTGATTTTCTTCAAGGAGAAGTGTGTAGAGTTCGGGGTAGTTGGGCGAGAGGTCGAAAGAGCTTCTGAACAGGGAGAATGCTTCAAGGTGATGTACGACAAACTGTCCATCCTTATGAACTCTGAGGCTGAGAGTGTCTTTATTGATTCAAAGTCGTGTATTTCTCTTTTCAAGCTTGTTGACGAGGGCCTTCTTGTCGACCACACCCACATTATATTCAGAAGGTGTGAGGAGAGGCTAATCTCCGAGTTTCTGAACAAAAGCAAGTCGAAAATGAATCTGGTCTCTGGATACTTCAAGTATCTTATGGATGTGGAAGAAAGGAGCATAGACAAGAGGATTGGAAGGCTGATAGGCTCGAGGTGCAGTATGGCGAAAAGAGGAGTCGACACGGAAAAGATTGTTTTCAAGGGCATGAAGGGAATTATTGAGCAAAAGAGGGTGTTTCTGTATGATGCCGTTCTCGTGTACTTTGTTTCCTCACTAACAACGAACGAGTGCATAATCCTAGAGCAGGGATTGGAGAAGTCGAAGCTCAAAACATCTCTGCTTAGAAGGATCAGGGATGGCTAGAAGGCCCAAGATATAATGCGGTCTCTGAAGCATGAACGATGAATGGATGGAGAGTTTTCAAGTACTCAAGAAGAATGGAGAGGGAAGGCGATGAAAAGTCATTCTGTGGACTTGATTTGGGAATGGTGTGCCAAGTAATACTTCATTCACAGCCGGATAGCCAGGGAGTCAAAAGGGAGAAATGGCTTCATGTGTTCACGGAGGGGAGCAAGACACTGGAACTGCTCTTGCTACCATCTATGCTAGAGGTGAGGCTCTATGTTGTTTCTGCAGCCAGGCAAGAACTGGTGATATTAGAAAGGATAAATCTCGACAGCAGGTGGGACATCCGAGCCTGTGTGAATAAGCGAGTGCTTAGATGCACATGTGAAGAAAGAAGATTTCAGGTTGTCTTCTTCAACGAGGAAGAAATAGAGGCCTTTGGAGCCAAGGCTTGGCGTTTTCCAGAACCTCATGTCTTGAATATGGAGAAGCCTGTGGCTGAAGGGCTTATAGAGGTTTCTGAGAGCAGGGAGAATACAAAAACGGCATCTAAGCACAAAGATAAGGAAGAGATTATTGAAGAGTTTTTATCGTTGCTATTTGGAACTTCAGAATGACTAATCAATAAATGCTATATTCTCCTTGTGGAACCTTACAGAGTCCAAGCATGCAAAGAACCCAATGAGGTTTTTTCTCTGATGGATTCTTGGGTATATGAAGCTTCTTTTATACTCTTCTCTGTCACTGTCGCTGACGTCTATGTCCTCTGTGGATCCGTCTCCTCTTCTCAGCTTGTGGAACACAGGCTTGTCAAGGAGGAGATACTCTGATGGGCCCTTTGGAACATGAACATTCTGCTTGTTGAACGCTATGCTGAACTTCTGGTCTACAGAGTTTCTGGAATACTTGCATAGCAGCACTGCAAAAAGCACCATTTTTCTGATTTGATGGAGTAGGAAGCTCTGTCCTGTGATTGATATCCTTACGTACTCGACATCCTCGCTTACATATGGATCTGTGATTGTGATCGACTTGATGTATCTCTTGGTGCCCTTTTCGTTGTTGAGCTTGGTGAAGTTATGGAAGTCCTTGGTTCCTATGTACTTTTGGAGAATGGACTCAAAGGCCTTGATGTCATCTGGGGAGGATCTATATCCAGTCACACTTTCCACCACATCCTCAGGATAATCTCTCTTTATTCCTCCAGCCCTATGCTCCCCATCCTTTTGCTTCAGTGCCTCTGCCTCCTCACTGAAATTGCCCTCTGTGAGGAAGAACGTTGGAACGACATACTCGTAGGTCCTTGAAATTGCTTGCTTGGAGGGGACAGTGCTTTTTGTAAGCTTCACAATGTCATACAGGTGGATTCCTTCTTGTGAAAGGAGTGTTCTGAGCCTGGAAACCAGCTCTGGCGTGATGCAGACCTCTATCTTCACTGAGATGAGGTTGAATGCGGCGTGGACACCTTTGTCCGTCCTTGAAGATGACTTGATGTGTATCTTCTTCGGGTCTTCTGCATTTCTTTCGCTGATGGCGCCCACACTGAGAAGACAGTCCACCACCTTCTTCTCAATCGTGTCCAACTCCTTGTTAAACTGAAGCCCGTGGTATCCGCTTCCGTCGTAGCCCACCAGTAGTCCTGCTCTAATCTTCATGGGGAGAAAAGAAGATGAAATTTTGAGCCCTATGCCAACTCTTGTAGCAGAGAAGCAAAGAATACAGGGGCAGCTCCAAATGGAATTTGGTGACGATCAGTTTGAGAGGATCCTATTTGACTTTGGGCTGGAATTGGACGGTGTCATGGAGGAGGAAGGGAAGACTATGTACAAGATAGATATTCCGGCAAACCGATATGATCTTCTTTGTACGGAAGGGCTTTGCTATGCACTGAAGGCGTTTCTCTCGATAGAGAAGTATGAGGACATAAAGATTGAGGAGGGGGAGATTGTTGTCCATAAGGCCGGTGGAGAGGAGAGGCCCCACATAGCCTGTGCGGTTGTCAGGGGAGTGGATCTTCTATCTGAGGGTGCTTACAAAAGCTTCATTGATTATCAAGACAAGCTTCATCTGACTATTGGGAGGAACAGAACGATAGTATCAATGGGGACACATGACCTCGATAAAATAGAGGCGCCTGTATTCTACAAGAGTGAGGTTCCCGACAAGATTGTATTCAAGCCTTTGAATGCAGACGAAGAAATGAGTGCCCGGGAACTGACCTCGTACTTCCCTCCTGGAAGCAAAATCGGGAAGTACATGAAACTCATTGAGAAGAATGAAAGGTACCCTTACTTCTCGGACTCCAACGGGACTGTCATGTCGTTGCCTCCTGTGATAAACTCCGATGCAACCAAGATAAGCCCTGAAACCAAGAATATATTTATTGATATAACAGGGACCGACTTCCATAAGGTTAATACGGCACTAAAGCTATTGCTAGGATGCTTCCGAGGAAAGAGGATAGAAAGCGTTGTGGTCATGGACGGGGATAAGAGGACTAGGACGCCTGTAATGCATAATCATTCGTACACAGTTAAGCTGGGGGAGATTAACAAGAATCTTGGACTGGACATATCGCTGGAGGTTGCAAAGACCTATATGGAGAGGATGATGCACCGTGCAAGTATGGTTGACCAAGACACCCTTAATGTTAAGGTTCACGACATTAGGTCGGACGTTATTCACAAATGTGATTTGATAGAAGACTTGGCCATTGCCCATGGATTCAACAACTTCAGAAGGGAACTGCCCTCTGTTGTTACGGTGGGGTCAGAGGTTCCCTTGAATAAGTTTTCTGATAAGCTTCGAGCAGAGCTCTCCATTATGGGCTTTGACGAGGCTCTGACTCTGACTCTTTTATCGCATGAGGAAAATATGATTGACGGAGACAAGGCAGTTGTCCTTATGAACCCAAAGTCTGTAGGCTATGAAGTGTGCAGGACGTCTCTTATTCCAGGGCTAATGAAGACGATTGCCTCGAACCTACACATGAAGCTTCCCTTCAAGCTGTTTGAGGTTTCTGATGTTGTCCTCCTGGACAAGGAGAACAAATGTGGGGCCAGGAACTCAAGGAGACTTGCAGTCGTGTACTCTGGGCACACACCATGCCTTGAGGAGATTCAGGGATCCCTTTCTCTCCTCCTGGAAAAGTGCGGGATCCAACTCTCATACAGCCCTTACGACGATCCCATCAGATACATCAAGAACCAAAGCGCACTGGTGATCGCAGGGAACACAACCATTGGGTCAATAGGAGTATGCAACCCAGAAATATGCAGGGCCTTCAAGGTTCCATACGCAGCATCATTCCTTGAAGTGGATGTTGAAAAGTTATTTTCTGTTTATACAGAAACGAATTAAAAGGGTTAAACTATGTTGTCAGTATAAAAAAGTTTAAGGATCTAGATATAAAGGGAATTGGCAAAAACTATGTCTCTCTTGATCTTTGATATCCCCAATGCAAACATGTTCTCGAGCTCGGTGTTGCCTATGACCCTGGCTGCACTGCTCAATTGCCTAAGCAGCTCCTCAAGTCTTTTGAACGTCCTAATGATGCTTCCTTCAAATATGTTCGTCTTGCTGCAGATGTTAACAAATGTGTGTCCGCACACCCACATCCGAACAACATCCATCAGCTCATAGGAGAACCTTTTGAGATACGCTGCAGGGTCCACGTCAAGAGAACATGACTTCAAGACATTACAGACCTTCTCTACAGAAGAAGACAACAGTTTGTAGTACAGCTTGTTTTCGTCACTCAAGACAAAGTTGTCAGAGTCCCATTCCTCAAACACAATGCAAGACAGCAGCGGAACAAAGTGCTCTACCGGAATTCCCGCAAAGTCTCCATTGAATATCATTTCTGTCAGGACAAGCTCGTCTCCAGACGAAATCTCGCATGCCATTCTTCCCTTGATGAGCACATCAGTATCGTTGCAGTACTCCAGCCTCTTCAGAACTTCGATCATTTTCTTGCACTCCTTCATATGGTAGATCTCCTTGAGGCTGTTGAGCTCAAAGAGCTTGTCCATGTATTTTTGCTTCAGCATCTCATTCATGAAGTATGACCTTGCCTCCCCCATCTCGCCGTTCATGTTTGTATCCAAGCATCCTTGGGATTTAGGGCTCTCTCTGTGCTTCTTCCCATTCTCTGGAACCTGGATCATAACAGAGTCTTCTCCAATCAACTCTTTGCTGCATGAGGCCAGGCATCCCATAGATGTCTTTCCACATATCATACAGAAGTCAAAGCTCCATTTCGGGTCTATAGATAGTATCTCATCCTCTATCTCTCTTATCTCCTTGTCTAGGCTGTCTTCAATCGTAATCTTCTCAAAGTTTCGAGTAAACACCCTTATATCCAGCTTTACTCTGTTGGCATACACACAGTCGATGTAGTGCAAAGGAAACCCACACATATAAACACCCTCGTCAGTCCCAACCATGCAAAGAACCTTCTCTTGGACTTTGCTGACTATTGCATTTCGTATTGTAATGGATGGCCCATTCCTGGGTACAAACAGATCAATAACCCTTCCCTTCTTCAGGTACTTGCTGAATTCCTCCGACAGCCTCTTATTTCTTTCCACCCTCTTCTGCTCTCTCCTTCCATACAGAGACGCAATCCTGTTGGGGCAAATGCTCTCCAGCTGCCTGTGCATCAAGTGCAGAGTCTCCTCCTCTGCGAGGGCCTTCTTATATGACTGGAAGTGGTGGAAGCTTCTGCTGATCAGATACAGGGGGTCAAGGCCTTCAACCCTCATGAGGTTCAGCAGCATGTTGTATGTCAGGCGAAATGCACTTACAAGATTGTCCGATGACGAGGAAAAGAGCTTTCCAACCTCCTTGTAGGTAATTGGCTCGGAAACTATGCTTATTACAACCCCCATGCTGTCTATCCCCCTTCTTCCAGCCCTTCCGCTCATCTGGATGTACTCTCCAGGACTTACCAACCTCATGGATTCTCCGTCGAACTTCTTCAGTGCAGTAAACACTACGGACTTCGCCGGCATGTTGAGTCCAATCGAGAAGGTCTCGGTTGCAAAGAGCACCTTCAGTAGCCCCTCCTGGAACAGAATCTCGACAACCTCCTTGATAATGGGAAGAAGCCCTGAGTGGTGTATCCCAATCCCCCTCATGAGAAGAGGAAGAATGTTCTGGATGATCGGAATCTCCCTGTCCTCTTTCCTAAGAGACATGATGGCATTGGTAAATATCGTCTCTACCATCTTTGCTTCCGAATCCCTTAGATAGCTCTTGTCCAGCTTCATTGCAAACTTTTCACAGTCCTTTCTTCTGAACGAAAACACGACAACGGGAAGAGACGCATCCTCTATTGCCTCGCTCACCTCCCGGGGCCCAACAACCCTCTTCTGGATGGATCTCATTGCAGATAGAAAGTTCGACTTGTGGAACTTGGTGTCTTTGATCTTGTACAGCCTATTGCTACGGAAGTAGTGGACAAGGGGCGTCACCCTCTTCTCGGTGTACACAACATGAACAACCTGGCTTTGAATGTGGCATATCCATTCTGCAAACTCTAGTGCATTTGGAATCGTTGCACTGAGAAACACCATCCTGACATGCCTTGGGAGTAGTATGATGGTCTCCTCCCACACAACTCCTCTTTCCTTGTCTCTCATGTAGTGGATCTCGTCAAAGATGATCCAGTGGATCTCACGGACAACCTCTCCTCCTCTGTAGAGCATGTTCCTAAGGATCTCCGTCGTCATGACAAGACATGTTGCTGCCGGATTGATGGTGACGTCTCCTGTCATCAGGCCAACATCTCCAAACTCCGAAAGAAGCTCTCTATACTTCTGGTTGGATAGCGCCTTAATTGGAGACGTATACACAACCCTCTGCTTGTTTTTCAATGACATTGCAATGGCGTATTCCGCGACAACTGTCTTTCCAGAGCTTGTGTGGGCACTCACAAGAACACTCTCGTCTCTTTCAAGGCTGCACACAGAAATCTTCTGGAAGTCGTCTAGCTCAAACAGATAGCTTTTTGCAGACGGCGCAGCAAACTCTTTTGGCAGAGGAGTGTAGGCAGCATCAACAGGGACCACAGCCTCGTGACGCGTTCCATTCCTTTCCATCCTATCGACCACCATGGTTCTTTTCTCCAGTCTCTCGGGTGTGGCGATGCTCTGCGGCTGCAGGCTTTCGCTAAGGATATCGAAGTATTTGTCGTCGATCATTTAGGGTGGATGCCATGGAAGTATTAGAAGTCTTTGCTGCATGATTGGAGAATTCTGTCATGGCCACAAAATCAAAATGGGACCTGGGGGACTCGAACCCCCGCACGTTACCGTATTCGATCTTGAGTCGAACGCCTTAGACCACTCGGCCAAAGTCCCTCAGTTTCTCTATCCCCACGGGTCACGTCAGATGCGCTTGGGTAAAATTTTCAGAAATATAAATTCGAATGGGTAGCCCTAAATATGAACAGCACCGAGCTATACAACGCCATGAGAAATATACCAAGACACGGCAACACATCAATCATGATAGTGTTCTATCTCCTTGATCTACTGTCAAGCCACTTGAGCATGATGAAGGAGCATAGTAGCATGCCTGTGATTATAAGCGAAGAGGTTGCTAATTACTACAAAGATGGATATTACCAGAATGCATGCAGGGAGCTTACGAGAACAAACTACAGAGCCAGGAATGAGATAAGAAATCTTCTGTCTGTTGTGGAGGAGTGGAAGAAAGTTACAAAGAACAACTTCTCGTACTTCCAAGGATACAACGGCTTCAAGTCTAGTGTATGCAGGGAGTTAAGCAAGCATCTAAACAGCTTCTTCGAGGAGAAGGATCCGACAGAAAAGATAAAGAAGTGGAATGACATGTCTGAAGTTGTTGACTTCTGCAGGTCCAGCTGGCTGAACACTGATAGGAGGAAGCATCAGTGGCTGAAGGAGCTAAACACCAAGATTCCCTTCTGCAGTGAGATTCTTCTGCTTCTGAATGGAAAGCTGTGCTTCATACCCGAGTGGTGCTTCGACAACGAAAGCTACATAATGAAGATCATAGAAACGGAGCTCCAAAACGACCCGTGGGCACCCGTCCACTATCTAGACGAGGCAAGAAACAGGTATGTTCTGATTACGCTAGCAAGGCTTCTCCTAACTGCAACAGAAATAAAAGAGGCAACAAAGCCGGTATGGGTAATTTTTGATGAGCTGGAGGATAAGGTATCCAGGCTAGAAAGAAGGCAGGCATATCAGAGGATTTACAATCGGTGTAAGACGAATAAGGAAAGAGTAGCAGCAGTAACTACTGAGGTAGTTATAGAAACGGTTGACGATGTCTTTGGCCTAATTGGGATAGGCGTTATAATAATTGTCAGCTGCGTAGTTTTTGCACTCAATTTCTGTCTAATATAATCTTCTATAGGTATTAAATTTATTTTGAGAACTTGCATCATAAATACGATTCATGTACCTTGGATCCTCTTAGAGTGTAAAAGCTTGTATACTTCTTGGGAATCGATCTGGGAAGTGACATACTCCCATGAAGAGTCCAGATGCTTATAGGCATAGTAAAGGTATTCTGCAGACAGCTCGTACTCCTTGTCTTTGAAGTGTCTTTTTGCCTCGCATATCATTCTTTCTGCCAGCTCCCTGGCATAGCCTGTTATTTTCATAAGGTATTCTTCGTCGCTCTTCATTGTGCTTTCTGCCTTTTTGTAGATCCTGTAGACGGCACATCCTGCCACGGCCACCTTGGCCACTGTGGATAACATGCTGGAAGGGATTGGGAGGATGCTTTTAGGTTAAAAAAAATATTTGCTGGGACGTTATGGGACTAGAAAGAATTGAAGTGGAGAACTTCAAGTCATATGTTGGAAGGCATGTGATTGGGCCGTTCGACAGGTTTACTTGCATAGTTGGGCCGAATGGATCTGGAAAGAGCAACATCATGGATGCAGTAACGTTCTGCCTTGGGCTTGGGGCCCGGCACCTTCGTGCCAGCAATGCCAAGGCCTTGATCAACAGCAGGTGCAGCCATGCCAGTGTGACGCTACACATTGAAGACCGTGGAGAAAGAAGAGGATTCCGAAGACACGTGAGCAATGAAGGCCGTAGTTTGTACTTTATTGACTCTGAGAATGTTGGATATGAAAGGTTCAAGGAGGCCATAGAGGAGATGAACTTATTGATTGATGCCCGGAACTTTCTGGTGTTCCAGGGGGATGTGAATGCAATAGGAAACATGATGCCTATGGAGCTTACAAGACTATTTGAGGAGATGAGCGGAAGTATAAAGCTGAAGGAGGTGTATGAAGAAAGGCAGAGGGAGCAGGCAAGGGCTGTGAGTGTGTGCAGCTCGTTATTTGAGGAGAGGAAAGAGGTGATGAGCAGGATGAGGGAGGCTGAGGAGGTCAAGGAGCAAGAAGGAATATTCAGGAGGCTTGTGGACAGGAAGCATGAGATACAAAGGGAAATAGTTCTGCATGAATTGATGGAAAAAAGAGGCAGGAAAAGGGATATCAGTGATGAGGAGTCTCAACTTGAGCTTGAGAGTAGGGGTGTACAGAGTCTGATTGATAGTAAGGAGAAGGAAGTTGAGGCATACAGGAGCAGGATAAGCGAGATAAGAAGAGAGTACTTTGAGGCCGATGCTCTGATGTCGAAGGAAAAGGAAACGATAGCGGAAAGGAGAGCATGGAAGTATGAGGCTGAGCAAGAAAGAGACAAAAGAAGGGTCCGTCTTGTGGAGGTTGAGATGGAGATCAAGAGTAAAGAGGAAATGATTAGCGGAAAGAAAAGAGAGATTGATAGAAGAAGGAGGGAGATGGAAGGAGTTGATGCTGGATACTTTGAACTATGCAGGGAGGAGGAGGAAAGAAAGAAGCGCCTGGGAGAGATGGATGCGAAGAAGGAGGTGATTGATATGAAAGAAAAGGAACTTCTTCAGATGTGTGGAGAGGACAGAGAGAAGGTGAACACGCTGGATCTGGAGGTGTTTTCTTGCCGGATGATGAGGGATGACTGCAAAAGAAGAGTGGAGGAGCTAAGGGAAAGAGACGAGGATCTTCAGGGCAAGATCAGGGAGAAGAAGGTGGTTAGAGGAAACACAAGGGTGAAGATAGATGCGCTCGAGAGATCTGAGGCTGAGCTTTGCAGGAAGGTACTGCATCATGAGGAAAGATATAAGAAGCTTGTTTCTGAGGAGAAGCAGAAGAACGAAGAGCTTTCTTGGATTCTTGGAGAAATATTGCGGATCAAGGGAAAGAGAAGGATTGATGACAGGAGGTCTATGGTGATCAGCACTGTGGAGACGCTTAAAGGGATGTTTCCTGGTGTTTATGGAAGGGTTGTTGACCTGATTGAGCCCACTCAGGATAGATATGAAACTGGGCTGTCTGTTCTCTTGGGAAGCCATGACCAGTCTGTTGTTGTTGATACGGAGACGACGGCCATGTCGTGCATCAACTTTATGAAGGAGAAGAGGTTGTGCAAGATGACGTTTCTTCCCATTCAGAGCCTCAGGGACGGGGAGGAAAGAAAAGGGATGGATGATGTGGTTGGAGAGTACTGTGGAGCGGTGAGGCGGGCTGTGGACACTGTCAGATATGATGCTAAGTACAAAAGGGTTGTGCTGTTTTTACTGAAGGAGAAGCTCATAGCAGACAGTTTGGAGATAGCCAAAGACATTTGCTATAGTAAAGGGATGAAGGTGAGTGTGTGCACGCTGGATGGGATCTATATTCATGGGGGAGGGCATCTTATAAGTGGAGGAGGAGTTGGAAGAAATAAATTCCAGTCTGAGGAGTTGGATGAGCTCCTGAAGAGAAGAACGAGGATATTGGATGAGGTCCGAAGGATCCAGGACTGTAAGAATGAGCTTTCCTATGTGGAGGTATGCAGGGAAAGGATAGAGGTGTGGAGAAAAAGCAAGGCAATGGAGATGGAAGCAATGAAGGATCTAGATGTTTGCATTGAAGGGCTGGAGCAGGAGGTGATGGAGAACAAAAAGCTGCTGAGCGAGGCAGAAGAGTCCCTAAGACATGTCGAGAAGGAGATGGAGGCGCTGGAAGGGAAGATGAAAGAGCACCGGCAGAAGATTGAAGAGGTGGAGGGATCTGTATTCTGCGGAATATTCCCAAATGCCTGGTTTAGAAGCTTTGAGGAGTATAAAGAGGCAAGAGATTGTGGAGCTTTTGGATTAAGAAGGATGGAGTATGAGAATGTAAGAGCAAAGATAGAGCTCAGAATTGAGATGCTAGAGCAGGAAAAGAAAGAGCTGGAGGAAGAGATTAGAGGACTGCGCGAGGGGATAGAGAAGCTGAGAGAAATGGATAATAACGACGGTATGGATGTGGATGTGGATTCTTCTGAGGTGGGTGTTCTTTCTGAGAAAAGAAGAAGGAAGCTTGAGGCTTTTGAGAAAGCCCGGGACGAGTTCAAGGAGATTAACGAGGAGTTCAGGAGACTTGTGGAAAAGAAAAACGAGCTAGACCAAAGGATAGTTTATTGTGCTTCTTCAAAGGAGCGGGTTGAAGAGGAGATAAAGAATGTCTTGAGCTTTGCAGTGCTTGAGGAGATCGAGATTCCTTGTGCAGGGAGGAGGCCGGCAGGAGAGATGTCTATAGATGAAATAGACTTTTCTGGGCTAGAGGGGAATGCTGAGGAACTTCGAAGGGAGCTCGAGGAGATCAATCAGAAGATAAGCAGCCAGGCACCGCTGATGAGGATAGAAGAAAAAGACGGAGATCGCTCTAGATATGCGAAGATCAGTGAGGAATACGAAAGGCAAAAGGCCGCGGCAATTTCGGCAAAGAATGAGTTTAACGAGATAAGGAAGAGAAGGACACATCTGTTTATGGAATGCTTTGAAAAGGTCAACAAGGAGCTGTCAAGGATATACAAATGCCTTACGATGACCGAGACATCGGAGGGAAATGCATACCTGGCCCTTGAGAACACATTGGAGCCTTTCAAAGAAGGCATTAGATTCCACCTGATGCCTCCGAACAAGCGATTCAGAGAGGTTCGGCTTCTTTCTGGGGGAGAGAAGACCATGGCAGTTTTGTCCTTGCTCTTCTCATTCCATGCATACAGGCCTGCGCCTTTCTATTTGTTTGATGAAGTGGATTCGGCCCTGGATAAAACCAATGTGTCGAGGATTATATCCTTCATAATCTCATCCACTGCCCAATTTATTCTTATTACCTTGAAGCCATCCCTATTCCAGCACAGCGACGGGCTAGTTGGGGTGTACAAGGACCCACATGAAGACGCAAGCAAGATCCTTACCTACAGGCTAAACGACTAGCAATTAAAACCACTTATATGCTCACATTATTTATTTCTCACTGTGAGGCTCAAGGTAAAAAGTGCGTTTACATACATCACTTGCTTACTCCTAACTTCCTCAGCAACTCAAGTTCAAGTACCTCTTTCTTCTTCTGATACAAAGTGTTATTGTCTCCAGGCCCCTTTGCTTTCTTTGTGCTTGTTGTGCTAATCTTCGAGGCGTCCTTGAAAATATCCTCTCCATACCCATGCTTGATTATATTTGCCTCAGACTCAATGCATATCTTCTCCACTTCGCAGTTCTTGCTCTCCTCATTGATTCTTTCCCAATGCTCCTCGCTGATCATTCTGTCCTCGTATAGAACACCAAGAATCTCCATGTCCTTCTCCAACTTCACCACTCTTTCCCTGAAGCACACTGCTGCCTTGAGAAGCTGCTTGAGAAGCACAGAAGAAGGCGCCCCCTCAGACTTCTGGAGAAAATACATCTCAAGCTCCGGATTCGCATTCTCCTCGACAGACGCCTTCCTTCTATTGATCCTCTTTATGAACGAAAATATTAGAATCATGGTCGACAGAATCATCGCCAACAAAAGAATCATTTCAATGGGCTCAAAAGAACACAATTTGTTTGCTCATCAAAATAAAAGGCCGGACAAGCCATAGACATCTGGAAGCAGTTTAATACCACAAAAATCACTCCTTTTCATAATCCTTGGGATCAAACGCCTTCTTTGCAAGTTTGATCTCCTCGTTTGTTATCAGCAGATGTCTGACCCGCGAGTACTTCTTCCTGTCTCTCTTCAGATAGTATAAGAGATCCTCTGTCTTTGTCTTTCCCTTCACCTGTGCCATGTTGTGGGTATTTGTTAGCAGGACGCTCATGTAGTCCAAGACATAGCCGTGGAGTGCCTCTGCAGTGTCGTATCTTGGTGCAATGACATCTCCATATCCATACATCATTACCTTTATGTCCTTCATGAAGCTCACCTTTCTAGTCTCTCTCATCCCAAGGGTCCCGTGACGATCTTCATCTCAAAAATTCACAAATATTCCGTTGTCTCCGTAGGACAGAATAGTGCATTCAACAACATCCCCCTTTCTAAACTTGTCACACAAATGCGCATTTGGATCGAAGTCCATCTGTCTGAAGATCCCTCTGTACTCAATGGCTGTTCTTCTCTTTTCTATCTCAAATATCTGCACAACCACCTGTGTGAATGTCACCTTGACCACCCTGGCCCTGGCCTTGCACCCTATCTCTGGAAATGCCGTGTTTACAAGCGGCTGTCCATTGTATGTCAAAACATCCACTCCGTCTCCAGGAAGTTGAATCATTGAGGGAGGATCTCCGTGAAATAAATTACAGTGTGGCGTGTGCACAGATACTGCCATGGCCTCTCCCCTGCCGATGGGCCTGCTAGAGGGGTTTGGAAGGCAGCAGGGGGACTCCTTGATTAAAGGGTGAAGGAGATGAAATGAAGGGGCTTGAATAGGAGCACCGTGGAGTAAAGGAAGAAAATTGTAGAATCAACTGGTTGTCTCCTAATTAAAAGCATTCTATTTTTGAATTGGGATAATGAGCAGGAAGATAGTGGAGTACAAGCTTGTTGATTCCGAGAAGGACATTGCAAGGAGCTACGAGCCTAGAAGAAAGCCAAAGAGAAGTAGGATACTTCTTCACGAGTGGCAGAGCATGACGCTGGAGCACAGCTTTAGGATGAATCCGTATCCAGACAGAATAGAAAAGTATAATTTGTTTCTGAAAACGAAGATTCCGATAAAGAACATTAAGATCTGGTTCCAGAACAGGCGTGCACGGGAGAAGTCGTCCTATGAGGAGATGGAGGAGATGTATGAGGCTGGATATAGGGGATTGGATATAAAGGCTACTGCTTTTACAGAGGAGTTTCAATATTACAAGTACTAAATGAAGAGATAGAAATGCAGTGTCTTCAGTCTAAAGACGAAGCTTGGATTCCCGGCTCCATTATCAGGGCATCAATAAATCGTCAACAACCCCGCCCTCAAAGAGCAGGGATGATTACAGAGCTTGGAAGATCAATAACAAACACTCTATCTAACCTCCTGAACTCGCCCACTACAGATCAGGACATTGAGACGGCGATAAAGGAGATATGCAACTCGCTGATTCTTTCGAACGTGAATCCAAAGTATGTGGGTGATCTAAGAAACTCGCTAAGGGCGAAGCTGGATCCAAAAGAGATGCCGCCTGGATTCAACAAGGCAAGGATGGTCCAGAATGCCGTGTACGAGAAGTTGGTTGATCTTTTGGATCCAAAGGCCGAGAGCTACAAGGTCGAGAAGGGAAAGGCAAATGTTGTTGTCTTTGTAGGTCTTCAGGGGTCTGGGAAGACAACCAGCATATGCAAGTACGCCAACTTCTACAAGAAGAAGGGATATAAGGTTGGGATAGTATGTGCAGACACGTTCAGGGCTGGTGCATTTGACCAGGTCAGGCAGAATGCGCTGAAGATCAAGGTTCCATTCTTTGGAAGCTCTGAGGCAGATCCCGTGAAGGTTGCAGGGGCTGGGGTGGAGAGATTCAGAAAGGAGAAGTTTGAGCTCATTCTTGTTGATACGAGTGGCAGGCATACACAGGAGAGCGAGCTGTTTACGGAGATGAAGGACATTGTCCGGGAGATACGTCCAAACAGCATTGTGTTTGTAATGGATGCCGGGATAGGGCAGTCTGCAGAGGACCAGGCTGTTGGATTCAAGAATGCCGTGGATGTCGGGTCTATAATACTTACGAAAATTGACGGGACGAATAAGGCAGGAGGTGCATTAAGCTCTGTGGCAGCAACGAAGTGCCCCATTGAGTTCGTCGGGACTGGAGAGGGCATGGAGGATCTTGAGGTGTTTGATGCAAGAAGATTTGTGTCGCGTATGCTTGGGATGGGAGATGTCGAGGGATTAATGGAAAAGGTTGGAAGCCTTGGAATTGATGAGAAGGAGGTTGTGAAGAAGCTGAGGCAAGGGAAGTTCACCCTTGGAGACTTCTATGACCAATTCCAGAAGATCCTGAGTCTTGGGCCTATTTCTAAGCTACTTGAGATGATGCCGGGGTTTTCTGGCCTTTCTCTTCCCGACGAGGAGTCCTTTAAGAAGCTCATATATGTATTCGATTCTATGAGCCGTGGAGAGTTAGACTCCACTGGGCAGATATTCGAAAGAGAACCGAGCAGGGTGATGAGAGTAGCTAGGGGAAGCGGGACATCCGTCCAGGGTGTGGTTGAGATTCTTACGCAGTTCAAGAAGGCCCATGCAGTGATGCAGAAGATCAGCTCCATCCCTGGAATTGAGAGTATGATGGGAAACCCCAAGTCCATGAGCCTATCTCAAAAGGCAAAGCTGAAAGAGCAGGCAAGAAATATCCTACCAAAGGACCTTCTTGATCGCATGGGTTCGATGTTCTGATCCTGGCGAGAAGCATCATTTAATTATTCTCTCTGAGTAAAAATACTTTGAATCAAACTTTACCTTACACTTGCTTTTCACTTTTAATGTTCATTCATTATGTCCAGAGACTTGATCCTCAAGAGACGAGATTTCTTTAAAAGCTATAGCACTTGACTTTTCGATGTGATTATGACACTTCTCGCCCATAAGTATTATTTCTCCTATGTGGTTTCTGACCTTATGCAAGAGACTCACGATTCTCTTTTTCCTCATGACGGTTTCCTTGACGAGGGCTCTTGTGTCGTCTGGGAGATCTATGGCGCCAACTTCGAGATCAATCAGGTCCTCTCCGTCTCTGTTGAACTTCATGCAGTAGTCAACCAACAGAAGAGAAATTTCCCTCAATCTCTTGCATCCCATTTTGCTTTGAAGATCAGAAGAGCCTCTGATGGTCTCGATGTCGCAGACAGAGATCGGCGTGTACTTGTAGTAAAAGGCATCTTCCCTTATGTCCCTTTCGTATGTCCTTCCTTCTCTCAATGCATTTATATGGAAAATAAACCTGTCAAGAATCCTGTCGGCATACGAGGGATCCAAATCGTAATCGGCATCCTTCTTTATCCAAAGCCTGCTTCGAAGGTAGGGCCTTATTTTTCTCTGATCCTCGGAGGCTGTTGGTTCTGAAGGAACGGCTTCACGGATGGCGGCATCGTTATCTGCCATGTTCGAAGAAATGGTGATCGAGCTTTCTTCTATCATCTCATTGCTGCTCCCTTCTGCTGTCATTTCTTGGGATTCTACAAGGCCAAAAATATTGGAGAAACCTTATTTCCTGAACTTCCCAAGGGCATTAAAAATGAATGGATCAACAAACAAACACGTAAGCGACGCCAGTCTCAGGCTTGCTGGAGAAGTGAGCATCAGCGATGAGATGCAGAGGAGGTTTACTGAGAAAAGGTGGGTGTGGGTGCCAGACTGCAAGGAAGGCTATATAAGCGGGTTTGTGGTGAAGGAAGATGGAGATGCTCTGGAGGTGGACTGCGGAGGTATTGTCACAAGATACAAGAGCTGCGAGATATTCAGAATGAATCCACCGAAATTCGATATGATCGATGACCTTGCGGAGCTGAGCTATCTCAACGAGCCGGGAGTTCTCCACAACCTTAGGAGAAGGTATCAGAATGGGCGCATATATACATACTCGGGACTGTTTCTTCTGGCAATCAATCCCTACAAGGACCTGAGGATATACGGGGAAAAGGATGTAAGGAAGTACACCTTGAGCAAGAAGTATGAGTTGGAGCCTCATATTTTTGCAGTTGCAAACGAAGCGTACAGGCTAATGGTTTCGAACAGGGAGAACCAGTCGATCCTGATTACGGGTGAGTCTGGTGCAGGAAAGACCGAAAACACCAAGAGGGTGGTTGAGTTTCTTGCCACTGTTGGAGGAAGTAGAGGAGAGGAGTCAAGCATTGATCGCAAAATAATAGATGCAAACCCCATTCTGGAGGCGTTTGGAAATGCACAGACTGTGAAGAATGACAACTCCAGTAGGTTTGGGAAGTTTATCAAGATCAAGTTCAATGGGGGGAACATATGCGGTGCGCATATCGAGAAGTATCTCTTGGAGAAGTCGAGAGTAACAAATCAGAGTAAGGATGAAAGGAACTACCATATATTCTACCAGCTTCTTGGATGTGATGACCCGGGTCTCAAGAAGCAGTTGCTTCTGGACGGAGAGCCCAAGGATTACAGATTTCTGAGAAACTCTAGGTACAAAATTGAAGATGTCGATGATGCAAAGGAGTTCAGAAGGCTTAGAGAATCGATGGATGTTTTGAACATCAGGAAGGAAGAGCAGGAAGGGTACTTTGGAATTGTGTCTGCAATTCTCCATCTTGGAAACATAGAGTTTAGGGAGAAGGATGGGGCAGCAGAGATAGCGAATCTCGATGTTGCAGAGAAGGTCTGCAAGCTTCTCAGCATTCCTCTTACCGAGTTTATCAAGCGGCTCATCCACCCTATGATCAAAGCTGGAAATGAGTATGTTGCGCACAGCCGGAGCAGAGAGCAAGCCCTCAAGATTGTCGACGGGCTTGCCAGGATACTCTACGACAAGATGTTTGACAACGTAATAGACAGAATCAACATGTCCCTTAGCTCGCCACACAAAGGGAATTTTATCGGTGTTCTTGATATAGCAGGGTTTGAGATCTTTGACAAGAATTCATTTGAGCAGTTGTGCATAAACTATACGAACGAGAAGCTGCAGCAATTTTTCAACCACCACATGTTTATTCTCGAGCAGGAGGTATATCGGCAGGAAAAGATCGAATGGGACTTCATTGATTTTGGGCTTGACCTGCAGCCAACGATTGACCTGATAGAAAAGAGCAATCCGATTGGGATTCTGAGCTATCTAGACGAAGAGTGTGTGATGCCTATGGCGACAGAGAAGACGTTTCTTAGGAAGTTGATGGGGAACATCCGTCACGAGAAGTTTGAAGTTGACAAGATCAGGGATGCCTTTGTTCTGAACCACTATGCGGGGGATGTGGAGTATACGGTTGATGATTGGCTTTCGAAGAACAAGGATTCGCATTCTGAGGCATTAACGTCGCTGATCCGGATGTCTAACAGTGAGATGGTATCTAAGCTAAGCTTGGACGAGGAGATGATCAAGAAAGGGTTTTTCCGGACTGTTTCTCAGAAGCATAAAGAACAGCTTGGGTCGCTGATGTGTGAGCTACGGGGAACGAATCCGCACTTTGTACGATGTATAATTCCGAACCTTGAGAAGAGCGGAAGCCGGCTGGACAACGGGGTGGTTCTAGGGCAGCTAAAGTGTAATGGGGTTCTTGAGGGGATAAGGATCAGCAGGCAAGGGTTTCCGTCTCGGATGGGGTATCAGGAGTTTGTGCAGAGGTACAGGATAATGATGAGAGACAAGGCGGGGAGCGACGAGGCTTGGGATGACGGAGTGTGTGTGGAGTTTTGCAAGGAGATGAGCGAGAAGATTCTGTCTGTGATTGGGATTGGGACGAATCAGTACAGGATGGGACGAACGAAGGTGTTTTTTAGGCAGGGGGTTCTTGCAGACATTGAAGATATGCGTGACAGTAGGATTTCCGAGGTGGTCAAGGAGATTCAAGCACTTGTTAGAAGGAAGCTTGCATTTAGGAAGTACAATCTGACGCAGAGAAGGATGGAGGGGATTCTTGTTATTCAGAGGAATAGCAGGATATGCTGCGAGCTGCAGAGATGGAACTGGTGGAGGCTTTACCAAAAGATCAAGCCTCTGCTAGATGTCAGGAAAAGAGACAATGAGATGAAAGAGAAGGAGGCGATGATACAGGAATATATACGAATGCTTGATGCTGAGAAGGGCAGGAGAGAGGAGGCTGAGGAGATGTTGAAAGAGGTGAATCTGAAGAAAGAGGCGCTTGAGAAGTGTGTCAAAGATGAAAAGCGCTTTTCGATGGAGAAGGATGAGCTTCTGATGGCGTTGAGATACAAGGCCGATGAGATGGGGCAGGAGCTTGAGAGGATTCGGAAGGAGAAGGGGAGTATCTACGAGGAGAAGAAGGTAGCGGAGGCACGTCTGAAGGAGAGTGCCTGTGTACTGGAGGAGAGGGAGTCTGAGATTTCTAAGCTGAAGAAGGAGGTGGAGGAGCAAGGGAATGTGATTCTACTGCACGAGGGGGAGATTTCATCTCTTCGGGAAGAGATAGTGAGCAAGTCTAGCGAGAAGGATGCGATGGTTGAGAGGATGCTTAGAGAAAGGGACAGCGAGGTGAGGATGCTGAAGGAGAAGATTAAGGAGAAGGATCTGGAGGCCAGGAGTGTACTTGAGAAGATGAAAAGGATTGAAACTGAAGACGAGGAAAGGAGAAGAGAGCTGAAGGAGAAAGAGATGACCATCAACGAGCTTAAGACAAGCTGTCTGAACATGAAGAGATGGAAGGATGAGTGTGCGGAGCTGAGGGAGGACTACGAGACTATGCAAAGGAAGTTAAAGGACGAGGCTGAGGATATGCTTCTAGAGAATGACAGGCTCCATGGAGAGATCCGGAAGATGAAGAAGGAGCAGGAGGAGCTAGAAAGCATGCAGAAGAAGCTTCGAGATGACCTTGAGTTTGAAAGGAATAGAGGAAATAAGGTTGAAAGGGCGTTCCAGGAGCTGAGGAAGGAGCATGAGGCTGTTGAGGAGCAGCTACAAAAAGAGAAGCAGTCGAGGGACTCTACCCAGGAATCCTTGCTGGAGAAGACCAGAAGCCTTGAGAGGAAGGTGAAAAGCCTTAGTGAGAAGCTCAAGAACGAGGAGATTGCGAACAAGCAACTCATGAATGAGAAGGATGAGATGTACAAGGAGATTCATGTTTTGCAGCAATCGAAGCTTGACGAGATTTTTGATAGAGAGGCGACGTTCAACAGCATCAAGAAGAATCTTCAGATGGAGATCCAGAGGCTGGAGATGGAGAATCAAAGGCTAGGGATGGAGATGATGGAATCGAAGTGTATGGGGGATGCGAGTGAGGACAGCTCTGTGATTGAGAGGTTCTACGGGATGGTTGAAGAGGAAAGAAAGAAGAGAAAGGAAGCTGAGCATCTTGTATCTGAACAGGAGAACAAGAACGTGATACTGAGTAGTGAGGTTGAGATGCTGAGGGAGATGGTTGAGATGGAGAAGAGAGGCAAGGAGGAGATGATGAGGGTGCAGGAGAAGGAGGCTGGGCTACGAAGAATGATTTCTGGGATCCGGAAGGAGATTGAGGATGTTGGAAGTGAGATGAGTATTGCCATTGAGGGGTTCAATGGGCTGTACTTCAACACTCTTGAGGAATATAAAAGGGACCTTAGGGAATGTAGGGAGTTGTTGGCCACCAAGGATGATGCCATTGAGGAGCTGAAGGATAAGGTTTCAAGGTTGAACTGCGAGGTTGAGGAAAGAAGGGTGGTTGAAGATGAGATGAATAGGAGGATTGAGGAGCTGAAGAGGCAGCACAGTAATGCTCTGGATGAACTTACATCTTTAGGTGTGAAATGCAGCACGCTTGAGTTGTCTGTGTCTGAGAAGGAGGAGGAGATCAAGAGGTATGGAGAGAAATGCTCTGAGTATGATGTGAGGCTCAAGGACTTGGTGTGCAAGGTTGACGAGGAGATTGAGGGTCTTCGTAAGTGTGATGAGGAGAGGAGGAGATATGTTGAGAGGCTCGAGGAGGGGATGAACGGAAGCCTTGCGGGCATAAGGAAGCTTGAGGAGAGATACAAGGCAAGGATCGAAGAGAGTGTGCAGTATGCTCTTGAGGGGGAGAGGAGGAAGCTCAAAGCCCTAGAAGAATTACATGGGCAGTTGACGAAGAAGTTTGATGAGCTGCAAGAAGAACACCAGAATCTCCTTGATGAGAAGATGAAGGACTCTCTGAGGATTGAGCAGCTTGATGGAGAGCTTTGTGCCCTCCGGGAGGTGGAGATGCATAGGCAGGATATGATTTCTATGTACGAATCTGAGATATCCACCTTGAAGCGATGCACAAAGTTCAAGGATGAAGTTCTGGGAACGCTAAGTGGGGAAAGAAGCCCTTCTGTTGTATATGTTTGTGACAAGGAGAAATACCAAGCGCTTGAACGCAAAAGAACTGCTGCAGAGAACGAGCTGGTAAGAACAAGAGATGAGAAGCAATCGCAGGTTCTTATGAATAAGAAGCTTCGGGATGAGCTGGAGAAGCTCCGGGCAGAAGTTGATGAAAGTAGGAGCAAGGCGCTGGAGATGAAGAAGAAGTTAGGATGCCAGGTATTAGCGGTGAATCGTCTGAGCAGAGAGCTCGAGGAGGAGAAGGAGATGGTGAGGTTTCTTAAGATTGTTGGTGGAGGGCGAAAGAAAAAGATGTGACTGAGGTGTGCAGGACATTACTAGTTCTGTTAATGTTCTGAAAATTTTATGCCCCTATCACATGGCCAAGAGGAAGAACCACACGAACCACAATCAGAACAGAAAGGATCATCGAAATGGAATCAAGAAGGCACGGATGCCGCAGTTTTCTGAGTTTCTGGGGCTGCATCCTGCAACCTTGATGAGGATTGAGGAGGCATCAAGTTTATGGAATGCATCTGTCTCAAGAAAATAAACGTCCTTTTTGAGTTATACTTTTTATGTAAGGCCTTGTTGATGGCCCCTGAATGGCTCTTATAGTCGATACATTTGAGGTTCCTTCAGTGCTTATATCTCAAAAGCTTTTCCGGTCTGCTGATGCCAGAGTTATAGAAGAAGTGTCATTAGGGACGATAGAGGAGGTTTTGGCGGGGGAGGGGATATACAGCATCCACAGGGAGTGCTTCTCATGTGAAGAAATTAGGTGGATGAAGTACTACTTTAATGAGGTCGTAGAAGTGTTTGCCAATGTCCAGTATGTCAATAAGAGTAAGAAGATTGTGAGGTACTACTCTATAGTTCGGGATTGCAATGGGGCTGTTATAGACCTGGCAGAGATCAAAGAAAGCGAGGATGAAGAGACGCATGACAAGACGGCGTTTCTTCCCTATATCAAGGCGCAAGAGGAGGAGATTGTTATTTTTCCGGATGATGAGGATTAACTGTGAGCTTGCGGCTGTTCTCTAATTATCGGTTCCGATCACAAAAAAAATTTTAGGCAGAGACCCTAAGAGAATGGCACTTGATTTAGCGTTTCCCACAAGAGAGAAAGTTGCATCGACCCACAAGAAGGATCGCCTGTACAGGGAAGGAAATGGGTTTTTCATGTATGTCAGGTGTGGAGGATGCAGGCACACAACATGCTGTTATTCGCACTCCCAGACAAATGTTTCGTGTGCTGGGTGTGGAGATATAATTCTGACATCCTCTGGAGGCCGTGCTATTGTGTCACCGAACTGTGAGTTCAAGAGGATCATAAGAAACATTGATTAAAGATTTTAGCTACACTGTTTTTGCCCTGCCTCTACAGGTCAAAGTTGAAAATTTTTCAAGCCCTGATGAACATTGGGCAAACGCACCTAGGTGGGCTGATATCAAATGCTCAGCAGGATGAAAAGGTAAGATATCACATTGTGGGGTCTAAGGTAAGGATGGCGTGCAACCTTGTTAGAAGCTTGTATGGCAAGTCCCAGCGAACAAAGCTCATAGTGAATGGATATGGGCAGGTTGTTCTCTCTTCACAGCCCGGTGTTATCTACGACAATGTCAAGATGAACCACCCTCTTGTGAAGCTACTGCAGGACTATGTCAAGAAGATGGATGTTGCTGGAGACGGGGCGACTTTTTTTGTGATTCTTGTGTCTGAACTGATCCAGGAGACCATGGATGTTGTTGGGAAAGGTATGAAGCCCACGTATCTCAGCCACATGCTTAGGGAGGTGCACAAGGAGGTTGAGGATCTTGCAAAGGAGCTTTTGATTGAACACAGTATCAGGTTTGATGACCGAGAAAGCATATCGAAGGTTCTCCGGGGGGTTTTGAAGGATGACGGACTGGAAAAGATAGTTAGCAAGGGGATATCGCTTGCCAGGAGCTTCAGCTCTGAAAGCATCAGGGTTTGCAAAGTTGGATGCGGGTCTATAGAAGACAGTTATGTTGTTCAGGGGATGGTGTTCAATAGGTCACCTGAGGGAGAGGTGAGGCACATGGTGAAGGGGAAGACGTCGATATACAACTGCCCGCTAGACATAGCAAGGACGGAGCTGAAGGGGACTGTTCTGATGAAGACTGCCTCTGAGCTGCTATCTTTCAGTAAGGATGAAAATGAAAGGACCAGGAAGGCCGTGGAGTTTATGAAAGGAGATGTTGTGATATGCAGTGGAAAAGTGGACAGGATATATCTGGATTTCCTGAACAAGAGCAAGAAGCTAGTCTTCCGAATTACTAGTAAGTACGACTTGAGAAGAATGCGAGAGCTAGTTGGGGGACATATTCTATCGAGCCTGGGGTCAGAAAGCGAGGGCAGCATGGGGTTTGTTGAGGAGGTTGTCACCTTTACAGAAGGCACTTGCGAGTACACGAAGTTTATATCTGAAAGTAAGAAAGTGTACACCCTAGTTCTGAAGAACTCTGTGCAGGCCGTGCTGGATGAGCAAGAGAGGATGGTTCAAAAGGCATTGACTGTCTTAAGTAAGAATACCAAGGATGATAAAATTGGCCTGGTCGAAGGAGCAGGAAAATTCGAGAAAAGGCTATCGAAGATGTTTTTCGAAAGGTCGGCGGTTTCAAGCGAGGGTAAGAATCTTGTGTACAAGTGCATTGGAAAGGTGCTCGGGGGATTTGCGTCTTCTGATGCAGAGATCTACGACGTATACAACTGCAAGGTGAAGGCGCTGAAGTACTCCATTGAGTTTATATCCACTCTGTTTGAGACCAGCGATTATCTCATAGGGAAGCCTGAGGCGATCAATATTGCGCCCAGAACTAACCAGCACTGGGATGAGGATCACTGAGTCCTCATAAAGCGCGGATTAATAGTTATAATTAAATCTTTTTTAATACAAAAGATAGCCGGAAAATGAGTAATGTTAGAATAAGAAGAACATTATTATGTTAATGAAATTGACAGGTGAATGATTGCTTTTATGGAGCATGGGACATGGAAAGGGCAATTTTGAATGCAGACGGGCATGCTTGGCTCTTATAGTGTGCTGAGATTGCGACGGCTATAATAGGAAGCTTCTCTGATTCCATTAAAAACTAGAGATATATAAAAAATATGGCCAAAAGGATGGGCTCAAGATTCGAATGCCGATTCGATCGAGACTTAACAAAGATGAGAAGAAAACTGTGAAGTTCATCGACTCGACAGAGGAGATAATAAAGTATCTTAACAAGAACGACTCGAATAAGAGATCAAGGCTCAAATTAAGCGGACACCAGATCGATGTCCTAGAGTCGAATTTCAGGATCGATAGCCATCCAAACAGCACCACCAAGAGCCTGCTGGCAAACACGCTCAGCATACCGTTTAAGAACATCCAGATATGGTTCCAGAACAGAAGAGCCAAGGAAAAGATTGCAAGGGACAACTGTAAAAGAAGGAACGGAAATGCAAGAGCTGAAGGCAAGGAGCATGAGCATGGCAAGGTGAACTATCAGGCGATGTGCCCCTTTGATTTTACTTCCCAGGAGAGGTACTTTCTTTGAACCGAAGACACATCTGCGTTATTGTAATTTAATATAGTGCTAATTCCGGACACTTGGATACATTTAATAACGAGGTAATAAAAAATTTGTGTCTTTCAAATTTAAGATATGAAAACATTTTGGATTTTGAAATCATTTTAAACCATCGGCAGACATGCCCTGCTTTTTGAGTCGCCCGCCTCTGGATGAAGGACGGGTGCTATATAAAGCAAAAGCAAGCCCGCATGTTTCTGATCGATGGAACATGCGTCTACATTTTGATGTAATTTTTATGCATGCCGTTAAAAGCCGTGTTTTGGCACAGACCCTTAAGATGCTAGTTTTGACGAACATAAGCAGGGAAATGAGATTTGAGGTTTCAAAAGTGAACGGAAGGGTTTTCCTCAGGGGAGACTTGGATGGGATTGAGTACAAAGGGTCTGAATGGAACTCGCCTTGCAGCTATTATATTGCCGAGTCTTCGGGAGGCGCAATTGACCTGAGAAAGGCCAAGAAGGCCAGAATAATAGTGTTCGAGACCGTTTATGAGACGGGGCTGTTGCATGAAAAGACGAGCATCAAGGAGCTGGCTTTTACCTTTGGAAGCAAAAGGCTTGTGGGGTATCATAAGAAAAGAGAGGCTGAGGGGTATTCAAAAAGATTCTTTGCGTCGAAATTCGGATACAGAGACCAGATACTTCCGCCAACGAATGGAGAGGCAAAGTGTCTGAAGGAGAGATTTGTACTAGAAAAGATGTTTCCAAAGGAGGTGCTGTCAAGCTTTTCAGAGATCAGGCTGGAGTCTGTGCTGTTGCATCCCGATCTGATGGAACTGAGGCAGAGCATGAGCTATAAGATCCACTTTTTACTTGCGGATTGCATAATCAAGCTTATGGAGAAGAAATACATCACCGACGACTGTCTGAATGACTCTGAATACTCTAGTTTCTTCGTGATGATAAAGGATGAGATAGAGAACAGGATGCTGACGCCATTGTGTAGAGATAGACTTGCTATTCTCTGCTACATACTATTCCTGCAGATAGAAGGGTTCTCCATCAAGTATGAGATTCTGCCGGACTTCAAGTTTTCGAAAGAAAAGGTTATTGCGATGTTAAAGCTGATAGGATGCCTTTACAGCTCGCAAACCGACACCTTCAAGATGAAAAGCAATCCGGCACCCTCCTACGACACTTCGAACTAGTCTTTGGCTCTACATGTTGAAATGCTACTCCAGTTGGTATCCCTGAGATGAAGAGTACAGATTTTGAGATGAGGCTTGTAGAGAGGTACGGGACCGGGGTGATACCAAAAGAGGATATTGAGGGCATACTGAGCGAGGCTGTTGAGAGCAATGTTATAGAGAGGGACGAGATAGGGAGATGGGAGAAGGACGAGGAATATACTGTTCCAAGGTTGCTTTGGCTGATGCGGAAGTGGAGGACGGACTTTCTCAAGGACTCGTTTAGCATAAATGACATTTCCTGTAAAGATGAGGAGTGCTGTGACGGCGGATGTACGGACGAGAGTGAGCTCAAGAAGTTTGAGTACAACGGGGAGTCCGACGCCAATGGCTCCTTCATGACGACTGATGAGGCATTCCTGTCTTCTCTTCGAGACAAGACAAGGATGATCACATCAAGAAGGAGCAACAATGGAAAGAGGATTGTGAGAAATGTTTTGAGGGCATGGGAGGAGTATGAGAGGCTTCCAACAAAAAGGAGAAGCCGAAGGTGGTATTTTCTTTGCTTCCTGGCCATTCCCATATATTTCCTGTATGCCCAAAAGCCATTTTGATTCTTATTAAAGCCCTGTTTTTTATACTCAGCCCATGTACAATGTTATCATACCAACATACAATGAAAGAGAGAACATCAAGGTTCTGCTACAAATGGTTTCCGATGTTATGAGCAATGAGGGAGAGCCGTTCAAGATAGTTGTTGTGGACGACAGCAGCCCTGATGGGACCTATGGAGTTGTGGAATCGATGGGGTTACCCAATGTGTGCCTCTTATCTAGAAAGAAGAAGCTTGGGCTTGGAAGTGCATACAGGACAGCTCTCAAGCACTGCGAGTATCCGTTCACCATTGTAATGGATGCAGATTTATCCCACGACCCTATGTACATCAGAACTATGATTGAGATTCAAAAGCAAGGGGCTGAGATTGTTGTAGGAAGCAGGTATTCTGAGAAAGGAGGTGTTTATGGGTGGTCTATGAAGAGAAAGATCATAAGCCTTGGGGCAAATAACCTTGCCAGGACGTTCCTCAACTTAAATGTGTCAGATGTCACAGGAAGCTTTCGATTATACAAAACGGAGGCATTCAGAGCATTGGTTGAAAAGTCTGTGTCTACAGGGTATTCCTTTCAGATGGAGCTGATGTGCTTGGCAAAGAGACACGGGCTAAAGGTGTCTGAGTGTCCAATTGTTTTTCACGAGAGGAAAAGGGGGGAGTCGAAGCTATCTCTGATGGAGATTGTGATGTACTTAAGGACGATAGCCTTACTGTTTTTTAGCGTTTAATTAAATCTGTGTATCAGAGTCTTTAGTGTAAGTCTTAGATTCTCGGATCCCTTGGATGAGGATATTGAATGTTGCTGAGAAGCCTTCTGTTGCAAGATCGATATCCTCGATTTTGTCGAAAGAGATAAGCGTCCGAAGAGGGCTTCACCAGTACTGCCCGAACATTCAGTTTGACTATGGTGACCAGATGATCTTTACAAGTGTTCTGGGACATCTGCTCTCAAGCGACTTTGAGAGGAAGAGCAGGTGGGACGAGATTGATCCTGAAATGCTATTTACGGAAAGAATAGTCAAGTTTGTGCATCCAGACTTTGCAAAGATCAAGGAGAACATTGAGAGAGAGGCCTTGAGGAGCGATATGGTGGTTATCTGGACTGACTGTGACAGGGAAGGAGAGAACATTGGAAGACAGATAAGAGACATTGTTCTCAAGGTGAAGAAGATTGATGTGAAGCGTGCAAGGTTTTCTGGGATCACGCTCAAGGACATAGAGGGGGCGCTGAAAAACCTAGGGGAAATAAATGAGGCTGAGGCTGATGCGGTTGATGTGCGTATGGAGCTAGACCTTAGAATAGGATCTGCATTTACAAGGCTGCAGACTCTGTCGCTGGGACTATCTGGAGAAGAGAAAAAGATAGTGAGCTTTGGGCCGTGCCAGGTACCTACACTAGGATTTGTGGTGGAGAGAGCCAAGGAAAGAGAAAGGTTTGTTCCCGAGATGTTTTGGACACTGAAGTTTAAGGCCAAGAACAAGAAGCTTGAGGATGAGTTTACGTGGAGAAGAGGATCTGTCTTTGACAAGAACTGCGTCATATGTTTTCACAGAGAACTTGAAGGAGAAAGTGCCAGGATAGTGTTGAAAGAGATAAAAGAAAGAACCAAGTACAGGCCTCTGCCACTCAGAACTGTTGAGCTGCAGAAGAAGTGCTCGTCATACTTTAAGCTGAGCGGGCATAAGGTCATGGAGATTGCTGAGGGGCTCTACAATAGGGGATACATAAGCTACCCTAGAACAGAAACAGATGTGTTTGACAAGAAGTTTGACTTTAAATACATATTAAATAAGCTAAGCAGGGACTCAAAGGTCGGGGAGTATGCCGAAAGGCTGGCGAGGGGGTTTAATTATCCCAGAAATGGAAAGAACAACGACATGGCGCATCTTCCAATATACCCGCTAAAGGAAGGGACTGGGCTTTCCGGGGGAGACAGGGACATCTATGATTTTATATGCAGAAGATTTCTTGGGTGCATATCAAAGGATGCCAAAGGCCTTGAGACGCGGTATGAGCTGAAGATAGGGATGGAGGTGTTTGACCTGAATGGAATAAGGGTGGTTGAAAGGAATTACCTTGAGGTGTATTACTATGACAAATGGGATAACAGGGAGGTTAGCGACTTTGCAATGGAGGAGCTAGTTCCCGGGGATCTTTATATTTCTGAGGGGGAGACGACTGCGCCGAAGTATCTTAGCGAGGCTGAGCTTATAAGTCTTATGGACAAAAACGGAATAGGAACGGATGCAACAATACATGAGCATATCCAAAAGATCCAGGAGAGGGGGTATGCCACCAAGGTTGGAGAGGAGATAAGGCCTTTGGGGCTTGGAACAGCTCTTATTGATGGATATGAAAGGTTTGGACTGAATGTTAGCAAACCTGAGCTTCGGAAGAGTCTGGAGATCAATCTGAAAAGAATATGCCATGGAGAGATAGATGGAAAACGGGTTGTGTATGAAGGGATTCTAGCCTATAGAGATATATACACTCTCCTCAAAAGAAACATAAAGGAGTTTGTTGGGATTCTCAGGAAGGGTATTGGGGAGGATGTAGGCCGATTGAATCCATTGGGAGGTAGAAAGTCAAGGAAGGATACGTCAAGGACCAGAGGTGTGGAGGAGAGTAGAAGCAGTGGGACGAAGAGTAACGGCAACAAAGACGGAGGCATAAGAAAGATGGAGTGTGACTGCAAGGTAGAGGCTAAGGTTCTAAAAGTGAAGAAGGGGGATAATGTTGGGAGGGAGTTCTACTGCTGCGGCAAGATACCAAAGAGCTGCTATTTCTTCCAATGGTGTGAATGTGAGAAAGCTGGAGAAGACAAGGAGATAAAGTGCTTTTGTGGGTTTGAACCCCAGCTGCTTGTTGCAAATACGGAAAGTAATAGAGGAAGGAAGTTTTATAAGTGCAAGAAGGCGTACAAGCCTTGCAAGTTCTTTCAGTGGGAGGGCTGAAGGTTTCTCCTTTAACGAAGCTAGCTGTCCCCTTTTAAGGTTCGATATAGAGCAGGCTCTCCTTTTAAAGTATAAAAGTTTACTGAAGGGGAATATGAATGTCTGAAACAAGTATTCTGTCTGAAGCTCTTCCACAAGTAAGACCGCAGAGGGAGACTGAGGCCAAGGGGTCTTCTCCAAAGGAAGAAGTCCTTCCCAAGGACATGCCTGTTGTGAATGTTAAGGACATTATGATGTATGCAGAGAATATGGATAAGCTGGAGAGCAAGAAGCTGATTCCATATGTTGTTTATTTGGACGAACAGTTCAAGGAGATTGTAAAGAAGAGAAGGCAGGATGCCAAGGTTGTTCTTATACTTTATATAGTTGTCATGTCCATATCTGTTATTGGGCTGGTTGTGTGTGGGATCAAACTCTTTGGGTATTTGCTGGGGAAGGAATGAGCTCTGGGCCTCGAGATAAGTGGCCTAAATATGGCATTAAATGGATTATGTTGAATTGTTTATTGTGGTGGGATAGCCCTTTTGATGTATATTGTAGGAGACACCACGACGGGTGTTATTGACATAGGAAGCGAGACGGTTAAGATCGGATATTCTGATGGGCTCTTGCCGATGGTGTTTGGCCCTAGTGTGACGTGGAGAAACGAGTATGTGCCACCTGTGGCAAGGTCTGTTATCAGTGATGTCGGGTCCTATCTCAGGATTTTGAGTGATAATATGCCTCGGGATGTACAATCTCTAGTGATTTCCGAGAACACGATGGAGGATGGGGGAGTAAAGAAGGAGGTTCTAGGATATCTTATGGAGAGGCGGATGTGCGAGTCTGTTCTATTTGTCAGGAGTGGGATTCTGGATGCATTTTCGTATGGAAAGACGACTGGGGTGGTTGTCAGCCTTGGAGGAGGATCAAGCCAGGTCTGCAGTGTTGTTGATGGGCTCATCACATGTAGAAGGCAGATAGACGTTGGAGGGATGGACTTAACGCTAGAGTTCAGGAAGGTACTGGAGAGTTCTGGTGTTGATATAGAGAAGTTCGTCGACGTAAAGAAAGATGAGCCTTTGCATGAAAGGAGAATGGAGTTTGAGAAGAATGAATTTTCCAGACATGGAAAGGAAAGTGCTTTGAGCCTGAAGAGTGAGGAGACAAGTGAGAAGTATGAATTACCTGATGGAAGAGTCATTGAAACGGAGGAGTATCGCAAGGCAGTACCAGGCATGCTAGGAGGGATTATAAAGTTGATAGTCGAGGTTATTGAGTCGAATGGGATGGAGGCACGGTCTACTTTGAGTGGAAATATATTAGTTGGGGGAGGATGCGGAGGAATTTGCGGGATTGAAAGCTTTATCTGTGAGGAGATTGGCAGGGAGAGAAGCAGATGGAAGGTGAAGGTGTCTGTTGAAAGAAGCCGATTTAGCACGTTCCAGGGAGGATGTGTGATTGGATCTCTGGGAAGTGCAAGAAGCTTTCATATTGGAGTTAGAGACTACGAGGAGTATGGAGAAAGTATTTTGGATAGAAAGAAATGCGAATGGATTGTAGAAGCCTTGTGATTTATTGGAATAAAGTCCAAGCGTGGAGGTTAAGTTTTTTGCAGTGTATTTTTGCACTTTGAAAACTATAAAAAAAATTTGTATGGTCCCCCCTACAATGGCTACAAAGATTGAGGATGATACTAAACCGCGTCTGAACGTCTGCTTCATAGGGCACGTTGACTCTGGAAAGAGCACCACGGTGGGAATGCTTTCATACCAGCTGGGGGCAGTTGACAAGAGGGAGATGGAGAAGTATGAGAAGGAGGCTGCCTTGAACAACAAGGACACATTCTATCTTGCATACTTAACTGACAAGACCGATGCCGAGAGGAAGAGAGGAATTACAATTACAACCACGCTTGTAAATCTTCCTACGGAGAAGTTCAACATCAACATTCTTGACTGCCCTGGGCACAAGGACTTTGTGAAGAACATGGTAACTGGAGCATCACAGGCTGATGTTGCAGTTGTGATTGTCCCTGCATCTGGATTTGAATCATGTATTGGTGTTGGAGGGATGCTGAAGACACACATCATGATTTCTGGAATTCTTGGATGTGAGAAGCTGATTATCTGTGTCAACAAGATGGACGAGATTCCTGAGGACAAGAGAGAAGAGAAGTTCAAGGAAGTGTCTGCTGAGATGCTTAGAATTGTGAAGAGGAGTCACAAGGACAAGAACCCCATTGTTATTCCTATATCTGCATTCAAGGGAATCAATCTTACCAAGAAGGGAGAGAGCTTCAAATGGTTTGGAGGATGGAAGGAGAAGGAAGGCGCACCGCTTATACACACACTTGAGGAAGCACTTGACTACCAGAATGTTCCTGAGAGGCACAACGACAAGCCTCTGAGAATGCCGATCACTAAGGTCTGCTCGATTGCAGGAGTTGGTAAGATCTTTACTGGGCGTGTGGAGTATGGTACCATCACACCAAACCTCAAGATCTCCATTCAGCCTGCAGGTGTTGTTGGGGAGACCAGGTCTGTTGAAATCCACAACAAGCCAAGGTCTATGATTCCATGTGGAGAGAACTGTGGAGTTGCGCTTAAGGGAGGAGTTACTGGAGACCTTGAAAAGGTTGATGCAGGGCATGTTATCTCTGCCAATGATGAGAACAAGGCCATAGCATACCCTGGAGCAAAGATCAGAACTATTGTCGTTGGTAGGCCAAAGGGATTGTCGCCGGGATATACTCCACAGATTAACTTTGGGAACTGCCACTCTCCAGGAAGAATTGCCAAGATTCTTTCCAAGGTGGTTGGAAAGGAGGTTCATGAATCTCCCGAAAACGTTGCAAATGGAGAGACATTCGTTGGTATTGTTGTTTTCCAGAAGCCATTGGTTGTTGACAGAATGGAGAGATTCCAGAACCTGGCAAAGTTTGCTCTTATGGACAGCAATGGTGTTGTGGGTATCGGAAACGTTATGGAGCCTCTCACCCGTGAACAACTTCTCAAGGACTATGAGATTGATATAGCTGAGGACCCCAAGGCAGCTAAGAAAGCAGCATCCAAGAAGAAGGCATGAGCAATCTTCTTTTCTGAAAAAGAAGTATCTCGATTAAACTTCTTTTAATTAATTCCTTATGTTCTTCTCAAGACCTTACAAAGAAAATGCCTTAGCTCCTTCGAAGTTTTGCTGAAGAAGGCTTCCATTTCTACTTTTTTGTTACTTTTCTTCAGAAACAGCAGGTCGTCCGTTAGGTCCTTGAACTTTGCGAGCCTGTCGATCATTTTCAAGTCATATACATTTAGCTCTGAAAACCCGCCTTCATGGCAGTTCCTCCGAAGAACATCTTCCATGCATACGCCAATCCTCTCGATGGTGCTAACCTTTATATCTGGGCTCGCCTTACTTCCATACTTGTAGACACAGAAGATATGGATACCAAATGGATCGAAATCAAAGAGTCCTGAAATAGCCGTCCTGTGCTCTAGCATTTTCAGTAGCAGCATTGTGTTTCTGCAGGGATATCCTCTTCCACACACAAGCAGCATCCCCTCAAGGCGCTTTTCCCTCCTAATCTCTGAGGCTATTCTTTGCAATATTGTATCCTTCTCAACAACCAAAACTCTCTTGTAATTACAAAGCACTTCCTTTACACCTGTCATGTCCGGAATGAGTTGCGGGATGCTGTCCCCTGAAGATATCTCGATTGTACTGAAGCTGCCGCATTTAATGAAGGTTAGATTTCCAATAAAGGTCCCCTTGAGCGTATTCTTCACCCTAAGCTCATGCCTTGAGACCTCAAGCTCCAAAACAATACTGGATATCATCCTCTTGACAGCAGATTGTGTTTTGAACACACCCACATCCATATAAAAGATCTCCCTCTCATTTCTATCAATCCCAGACTCCTGCATTTCAATGATTATTTCATGGAGCCTGATCCTCATTGCAAGCGTTCTTGACTTGAGTTCTATCAGAAGCCTCAGTGTGCTGCTTCTCAACGACCTGCATATTGTATTAGAGGCGGCTGTCATTGAGGCATAAATCTGGAATAACGAATCCCCGTGTCTGCATGATATACACTACAGAGGTGTACGAAAGAGTTAAGAAGGTTCTTGGAGACCTGTGCATGGCACAAAGTGGGGATGGCGGAGTGACATACCGGGTGGTAAAATACAGAGCCAGGGCTCCAGTGTTCCTGGTAGAAGGAAACGGAGGAGAGATGTATTTGATGGAAGACGGTGTCTTTGAACTTGAATCCAAAGGGTTTGATATTGGAGTTCCAAGGGAGAAGGAAGTTGTTGTTGTGTTTTTTAGGTTCAGCACCAAAAGGACTGCTCGAAACGCAGCATCCGTAGAGATGTATGAGGGAGGGCAGTTCATGGAAGTGGATGTAGGATCTGTGGTATGTGATGGAAGAGGATTGGGAACCTTGATTATGTCCCGGATTCCGCAAAATTTGTATGTACTATCCAATGTATTGAGAAGATTCATCCGGATCAATGGCGGAGAGGATACGGATGGGATATTCGAAAAACTGCTTGTAGATGCACTCATCTCGAATAAGATTTTATGAGTTTTTACACTGTGGTTTATTATGTGTCATTGGTTTCCAGGGAGAGGCTTGCATTTCCAGAGCCTATTATTTGTTTAGTCCGGCAGGCAGCTGAGTTCCACAAGAGATCAATGATCTGATGCACAAATAATAAATAATGAGGCACAAATCTTCTGAGGAAAATAATGCTTCTATTTCTTATGTTCATTGGAGTGGGGATCTGCAAGGAAAACGCCGTGATCCTTATCCTTTGCAGGAATAGCGACAAAAACGGAATAACGGAAACGATAAAGAATTTTGAGGAGATGTTCAACAAAAACTTTGGATATCCCTATGTTTTCCTGAACGATGAGGAGTTTACCGAAGACTTCAAGAAATCGATAAAGGATGTTACGTCAAACAGTGTCGAGTTTGGAAAACTTGATCCCGAGGAGTGGGAAGTTCCACCATGGATAGACATGGAGAAGGCAAACCAAGGGATGAAGAGCCTAGAGGACAGAAATGTTATTTATGGAGGATCTCTGTCATACAGAAAGATGTGTAGGTTCTTCTCAGGGTTCTTTTATAGGAACAAATTAGTCCAAAAGTACGACTACTATTGGAGGATAGAGCCTGACGTGAAGTTTCTGTGCCAGATAGAGTATGACCCATTTACGTACCTAAGAGAAAATAACAAGCAGTATGGATTTGTGATATCTCTAGCTGAGTTCATGGAGACGATTCCTAGCCTTTTTGGAGAGGTGATAAAGTTTGCAACGAAGAATCTGAACTTAATAAAGAAGGTCAACAGCAACAGATTCATACTGAACAATGATAGATCGTATAATGGATGCCACTTCTGGTCGAATTTCGAGATAGCAAGCTTTAGTTTTTTCAGGAGCGAGACATATCAAAAGTACTTTGACTGGCTGGACAAGGCCGGAGGCTTCTTCTATGAGAGATGGGGAGATGCACCTGTGCATAGCATTGCAGCGTCTCTTTTTCTGGACAAGGATCAGATTCATTTTTTCAGTGACATAGGATATGAGCATCCCCCCTTCCGTCATTGCCCGAGAGAAGCATCGATGAAATCGAAGTGCAAGTGCAGCGTCAAAGACTCAATGGACATCTCTTCGAACACATGCCTGGGAATGTACATAAAATCTCTTTTGTGATGAGGGTGTCTATAGGTATATTCGATAATAATAAAACTAGCAGTAAGATATTTTTGGTTTATTTTTGTCCCGGCAGGAAGATGGATTGTGAAAAAGAAGCCTTGAAAGAAAGAAAGAGGATGCTGAAAGAAGAGAAGAAAAAGCAGAAGCTCGAGAAGTTTTTGGCAAAGAAGACACAAGAGGTCAGTATTTCCAAGCCCAAGAGGGAATACAAGGGAGATGGGTATGATCCGCTGGAGGTCGAGAGTAAGTGGTATAGGTATTGGGAGGAGAAGGGGCTTTTCAAGCCTGTCGAGGGCGGCCCAAAGTACATTATTCCGATTCCTCCACCAAACGTGACAGGGAACCTCCATATAGGGCATGCCATGATGGTTTCTATCCAGGATACCTTGTGCAGATATAAGAGGATGTGTGGGCACGAGGTTCTGTACATTCCCGGGACAGACCATGCAGGAATAGCAACGCAGAATGTTGTCTCCAAGCAGATGGAGAAGGAGGGGACCCGTGTTGATAGAGAGACGTTTTTGAGGAAGGCCTGGGAATGGAAGGAAAGACATGGGTCGAGAATATATGAGCAGTTTAAGAGGCTGGGAACAAGTGTGGACTTTAGTAGGGAAAGGTTTACATTGGATCCTGGAATGAGTGAGGCTGTTGTTGATGCGTTTGTAAGCCTATACGAGAAAGGCCTAATATACAGGGAGCTGAAGATTGTGAACTGGTGTGGCAAACTATCGACGACTATAAGTGACCTAGAGGTGAACCATGAAGAAATACCACCCAACACATATCTACAGGTAGATGGGGGAAAGTATGAGTTTGGGGTGATTTATCACTTTATGTATCCAATAACAACTGACAAGAAATTTTCTGGGGACCACTTATCCTTGCCCACGATTGAGGTTGCGACAACAAGACCGGAAACCATTCTTGGAGATACGGCGATATGTGTGAATGCAAGGGACAGGAGATTTAATCCCGAGGGAATAAAGAAAATCTTTGGCGATGCTGTGTGTGGCAATGATGTTTACGGTGTGAATCCGTTAACTAAAGAAGTGATTCCCATTGTCTTCGATGACTATGCGGATATGAGCTTTGGAACTGGTGTGGTGAAGATAACGCCTGCACACGATGCAAACGACTTTGACGTGTCCAAAAGGCATGGGATTCCTTGCAAGATTGTATTTGATGAGCAGAACAAGGTGACTATTGAGGGTGAGTTTAAAGGGATGAAGAGGTTTGAAGCAAGAAAGGCAGTTGTTTCAAGGCTTAAAGACATTGGGCTGTTTGTCGAAAAGAAAGGATACTCGCAGGTGATTCCAAGGTGCTCGAGGTCTAATGATATCATAGAGCCTGTTATCAAAAGCCAGTGGTGGCTAGACTGCAAGGAGATGGCCAAAAGAGCTATTGAAGCTGTTGAAGATGGAAGGATTAAGATATTGCCGGAAGGAGCGGAAAGGCAATGGTACAGGTGGCTCGAAAACATCAGGGATTGGTGTCTGTCTAGGCAGTTGTGGTGGGGGCATCGAATACCTGCCTATAGAACACCGAGCGGGAAGTGGTATGTCGGAAAGACTAAGGCGGATGCATTTTCGAAGATGAAGAACGAATGCTTGGAGTCTGCATGCAATTTTGAGGAGTTCTGTCAGGATGAGGATGTCTTGGACACTTGGTTTTCGTCTGGACTGTGGCCGTTTGCCACTTTAGGGTGGCCCAAGAGAACAGATGACTTCTTGAGGTATTACCCCAGTACTCTACTAGAAACAGGAAGCGACATTCTTTTCTTCTGGGTTGCAAGGATGGTGATGCTGGGTCTCGAATTGACAGGGAAGGTACCTTTTAGCCAAGTTTTTCTTCACGGAATAGTAAGGGATGCACATGGAAGAAAGATGAGCAAAAGCCTTGGGAATGTTATTGATCCTATTTTTGTGATTGATGGATGTTCACTTGAAAAGCTCATTTCAACGATGAGGAGCGGGAATCTCGATGAGAAGGAGATGAAAAGGGCTGAGTCTGTTCTGAAGCAAGACTTCCCAAATGGAATACCCAGATGCGGAGCAGACGCGCTTAGGTTCACCTTACTTTCCTATACCTCTGGAATGAAAGACATTAATCTTGATGTGCTCAGGGTAGAGGGATACCGAAGGTTCTGTAATAAGATATGGAATGCTCACAAATTTGTGAGGATGATGATGGACGAAGTAGTGGATGGAAGTAACCAGGAGACTACCGATAAGAAAAAGTACGAGAAATATATTCTCTCGCCCAACGATCTTCTAGCACCTTCTGGGCAGGGGCCTATTGAATGGATTCTCAAGAAAAGAAATGAGACTGTTGAAACAATACAAAGAATGCTTGACTCCTTCAATTTCATGGCGGCGACACAGGCAATTCATCAATTCTTCATCTACGACCTATGCGACGTCTTCATTGAGGTTGTTAAGAAGAACAAAAACAAAAGATACATTAGTACTCTGCTAAGCGTGTTTGTAGACTCGATGAAAATGCTTCATCCATTTATGCCGTTCATCACGGAGGAAGTGTTTTCGAACTATTTTGATGGTTCTATTTCGGTTTCTTCGTATCCTAGGGTGGATGGGTCTGAACACGAAAATAAGTTTTCTACAGCTCTCCAGATAGTAAGGCATGTAAGAGCAAAGGCAGAATCCAATGGATGGAGCAAGGTTTCAGTGAAGATCTCACTGGGAGAGGATGTCTGTCCTGCAGACGTGGTGTTTATACGTCTATTGTGCAGAAAGATCATCGAGTTTGAGACGACGGACAGCATCCGAGACGACGAATACGAGATGGTAGGAGACTCAAAGATATCTGTGAGACAGATGGAGCAGACGGGAACAGTAGATGCTGATTAAAGTATTTAATTTAACTTCTTGGCTGAATGGGTTGAAACTAGAAAGTCCCGTCCCTTTCGATAATACTCTTGTACATCGCGTGGGCAGTTAAGAATCCACCTGTCCAAGGACACGCGCATCTCGCCAAAGACACTCCTCATCGATGGATTATTAAAGTACTGCTGCCTCACCATAGCAATAAACGTTGTGAAGGTAACGAGGCTTGACTTCCTAAGAAATATCATTAGAAAGGAAAGGGGGACAGCAAGTGCCTCTGTGAATAGGGCCAATCTTCCAAGGGAAATATGGTATGCGGATAGAGAAACACATACTGGATATATGCCTGTTCTTTCGAAAATCTTTTTGTTAGACAACACAAAAGAGCTAAGATGATATATCGACAAGAGATAAAATGGGAGAAGAAGAATCTCGTGGGGAAATGTGAGGAACACCATGATGCAGTAGATGTTTGGCTGGGACAAGATCTCTCCTATAGACGAAAAGTGTGGGAGCAGGGAGATTGAGTATGACGATATCAAGCACAAAATGTTGACAAAGTTTGGCAGCGGATATATCGGGATCCTGATCAGGTGAAGTATGATATATAGTGTGTAATTTGCCCCAAACAGCATGTTTAACATCATCCATGTTTTTTTAGTAGAGTTTAGGCGTTGCATTTCTCTTAGAAGGGCTATGGGATCGAATAGTATTTAGACGGAGGAACTTGAAGTGTTTCATGTGGTATGATAAACAATGTAGGGTTACAGGGTGATAGTTAAAACACCATGAATACATAATCCTACCTGTGACGAGGAGGCCAAGAAATGGTAACAGTCAGAGAGGCTCTGAACCAGGCCATAGACGAAGAGATGGAAAGGGATGAGAGAGTGTTTGTTCTTGGAGAGGAGGTAGGGGCGTCTGGGGGGAACCATGATGTTACTAAGGGACTGCACAGGAAGTATGGAAGGTGGAGGGTCCTAGATACACCCATTAGCGAAATGGGGTTTACAGGTCTTGCTGTTGGAGCCTCTTACCTTGGTCTAAGACCGATAGTTGAATTTATGACTTGGAACTTCGCACTACAGTCGATTGATCACATAATCAACTCATGTGCAAAGACTTTGTACATGTCTGGAGGAAAGGTCAGCTGTCCCATTGTGTTCAGAGGACCCAACGGATTCAATCCTGGATATGCAGCACAGCACACACAGGACTTCTGCAGCTACTATGGTGCAGTTCCTGGGCTTAAGGTTGTTGCCCCCTATACAGCTAGAGACCATAAAGGGTTGCTAAAGTCTGCAATAAGAGACGAGAGCCCCGTTGTGTTTCTAGAAAATGAAACACTTTACAGTGACGCCTACGACGACATAGAGAAGGAATACATTCAGCCTTTGGACAAAGCTGTTGTTGAAGTTGAAGGCACCGACATCACTCTCATCGGAGTTTCTCTTTCTGTGAGAATATGCATGGAGGCTGCGAAAGTACTGAATGACATGGGAATTTCTTGCGAGGTAATTAACCTGGTATCGATCAGGCCCATAGACAAAAAGGCATTGATAGACTCTGCTAAGAAGACAAAATGCATATTTGTGGTTGACTTTTCCTGGCCATCATTTAGTGTTGCCTCGGAAGTTTCTGCGATAATACACGAGCAATGTTTTGGGGACTTGCTAGCGCCTGTCCAAAGAATAAATGGAAAAGATGTCCCAACGCCTTACTCTGAAGAAATAGAAAGAATGGCGTTTCCAACACACCTGGATGTTGTTGACTCTGTTATGGCCATTTACAAAAGCTACAAGAAGTGATAAACTAACCTTTAATTTTCTCTAAAGAAGCTCTTCGAACTCAACAAGTCCGCTGCCTCCATCGTTAGCAGCAAATGTATCGTCATTTATTTCTCCGTCTTCTTTCAATATCTTTATTTCCTTTGGCATATACTTCCTGTCGATATCGGCTCTTTTCTCGTCGCCATCTCTGACCCGCAGAAGAACTATATCACCCGGCATCATTCTAACTCGCCTGTAGTCTCTCCCACGAACCTTTGCTGTTCTGTAAACCCCATCCGAACAACTCACCTTAAACTGCCCTTGCCCCAGAGGACATATTATTTGTCCATATACAGTTCCCTCCTCCTCTGCAAACACTAGGGCTCTGTCGTTAGTAAATCTTCCTTTCCTTCCTTTCATCCACCCCTGAGCCCCGAACAATTTTATTACAAGCAACATCTAGAAAGTCTGTAAGGCCTGGAGATTTAAGAGGCAGAGGTTTTAATTATACCAACAGATGCCATGTATTCAATCAATTTTTCACTCGCAATCCTCCGATGGCTTATACGATTCTTCTCGTCAATGGGCATACTTTTGAGGGAGACTCCAAACCCGTCCGGGACAAAGTTATTATCGAGCTCCGTGGAGTTTTCCTCGTTTGACTCTACCATTGTACCTTTGAGCTCTCCTGAAAATGTCTTCCTGGTAATTTGCCCGTCTCTGTAGTGGGCAATCCCTAGAGTACAAAATACTGTCGCACTATAATCCTCTACTTTCCTCAGAATCTCTAGTATCTTCCGAGAGCCTATCGTGAGGAAGTCTTTGAGATAGACACCGGGGAACCCGCATAATCCGTTCAAATAAACACCTGTATCGTCAACGATCACCGCATCCTCTTCGCCTATAAGCGGAATTACTTGGTTAAGCTTGTTATGCACTATCTTCTCCTGGGACGCCTGGATTTCGACCATAGAAACATTCATGTGGGATACATCCACGTTGAGGAGCTTCCTGATTTCCTTCAGTTTCTTCAGATTAGTTGTTGCAAAGTATATTTTCCCCATGTTGGAAAGGGTTCATGAAATCCTTTTATGCCGTCTTCGCCTTGGAAATGCCGCAGGAAATTTCTTCGGGAAAGACAATAATCCTAGATCTGAATAATTGAGAGTGGCATAGAAAAGCCCATTAAATCTGCGGGATCATTCCTTTTATGGTAATTGAGGCCATCTTTAAAATCGAAAAAAGATTAACCCTAAATGAAAAGTGGTTTAAGCGTTACATCGGCAATAGTAACCATGGTAACATCGATGATGGGAACAGGGATTAACTATATGCCATATGCATTTAAAAGTGTTGGATACATCAGGGGGATTCTTCTGATAAATAGCGTTGGTATACTGACATTTTTTTCTCTATATGCAATTTCGATTGCAGCAAATAGGTCTAAGGATCCAAATCCAACTTATTCGTCACTGTCAACACGTATCTCAAAATACCTCAAGGTTTTGGTTGATATGTCTATATTTAGTTCATGCTTTGGCGTGAACATTGTCTTCTACAGATATCTTACAGAGCTCATTATGATGATGCTTCCGGTGGACACGTATGTCGAGCATGAGGTTGGGAGAAAGATAATCATTGGTGTTCTTGCCATTCCTTTTCTTCTTTTGTCTCTAAAAAAGGATTTGTCTAGCCTTAAAGTGACATCCTATATAACTGTTGCCTCAGTGACATATCTTGCAGTTCTGATGGGCGGATACTGCTTATTTATCGGGGGAAAGTGTGCAGAGGAGCCTATCCAGAGATTTGGGTCTAATTTCTCAAAAGGCATCTCCTGCTTTATGCTTGCATTGTCGTGCCAGGCCAACATGGTTAAGACATATACGGAGTTGGAGCACAAGTCGCCTGGGAGCATCATCAAGGTTGCAATGGGAGCTTCATTTTTTGGAACTCTTATCTATGGAAGTGTTGGGCTCTGTGGATATATTGTATTTGGGCACTCCATAAGAAGCTCGATAATTGATATATTGGTAGATCCCAAGTCCAACATCAATGCATACCTTATGAACAACACTATTGATAAGTATGCTTTGTCTTCAAGGATAGCTTGTGTTGGGGCAATGCTTGTCCTATTTGGGGCGTTTCCCGTGCAGATGAATCCATTGGTTGGAATACCTCTTAGTTACTTTGTAAGAGAGGGGCGTGATGCGAGTGCAACAAGAAAAAAGGTAGTGTTCATACTGATGCTCATGTTCCTGTCTCTTGGGATGATTGAAAAGCTCAACATTGATACTATATTGCAAATGGTGGGTGCCACCGCCGTCAATTTGGTATCTTTCACCTATCCTTCCATCTACTATTTATATTTCGGAAAGAGGATGGACCTTATGTCCGTTCTGTCTGTGGCTGTGTGTATTGGTAGTATACTATCGATGGTTTATATGTCATATAACATAATATGTTCACAATGATTTATAACAACTAGTGAGTCTCTAGAAAGTGTTTCGGTAAGACCTCATAGCTTTTTAGAAGAATTGAGGAATTTAATTAAAATTCTGTTGAGCTAAAAAGACCCGAGTCACTCCAGCTTCTTCAGTAGCTCAAAGACCTTCTCTTGCACGTCCTTGTTACGGAAAAGAGATGTTCTATGGCATATATCGCTCATATCGATACATATCCACTTGTTAATGAATGCTGTGGGGTCCTTCCCAAATTCGTCCAGTATGCTTTCCCTCTCCTCGCATCTCTTCAACAGCTGTTTGAGAGATTCTACTTTTCTATCAAGAGCATGGACTCTTTTACTATACAAGGCAGGGCATTGATACAAATCGTCCCATTCAAACGGAATGTCGAAGATCTCTGTATAGCCATCGATAGGGGGAACGTCCACCACTAGATAGTCTAATGGCCACAGGTGCGGTACTATGAGGTTGGGAATCTCGGGGAATGTAAACCTCTCCACTCCAAGGATGTCCTTCAACTGAGGGTCACATTCAACTACATCTGAATCGATAGACATTAGTCCATTCCTATTTACATATCTCCACAGATGAGTTATCACATTTGGCTTCGTATCCGTATACTTCATCAGAAGATTGCTTAATTGTGTAGACAACTTGAAGATCTCTCTTGGATTCTCAAGATCAAAAAGTAGCTTTATATTCTTTGGTGTTTTGCTGCTGTTTACCTCAAATGCTTCGGTATCCCCACGGCACTTGGTCCACTCAAAAAATCCTTCCATAGACATTCCTCCATTACATATCGATTTCGGTAGACTCCCGTCCCCATTGCTCATCTCAGGCGCCTCTACGCTTTCTCCATGCTCATCGGATGCCTTGCAGGCGCCAAAATGTGTTTCAACTGTTGGAGTAAGATTGCTATCAAATATGATGCAAAACTTCTTCACAACATCCGAGAATTTCAACTCTCCTCCGTTCTTATAATCATTGATCACTCTACTGTCGAGACGTATAAATGTACCCTTCTTTATACTAACTTTGACATAGCATCTAAGAGACTTCTTGCACTTGATTCTTTTAAGATACTCAGCTTCCATATTCAGCTTTCTTTCCAGGCACAGTCTATCAATCTCTTCTTCAATGCTTTGCAGCCTGTCATACAAGGTAGTCATTCCCTCAAACTGGGGTATGAGGAGAAAGAGATATTCAAACACATGTACAAGGTAAAATATTTTACCACAGACTCTTGGAGTACTACAAGTTACATTTGCAAGATGGCCAGCAGAGATCTATCTGTAAAGGTATTGATATCTCCTATTTACATTCAATTGTTTTCATGCAATACCCTAGAATGAACAGAAAAGAATTATATGAAATGTTTAACTATGGAGATGTTGAAGATGTGGGACCCGTGGAAATAGACGAGGCAGAATGTATTCGGCTATCTTATATCGCTAACAACTCTGGTAAAGACATTCTTCTCAATCTGATTCCAAGGTACAAATCTTCCTACAGCCGGGAAGGAATTAGGTTCTTCATCGAGACAGTAACAATGATTGTAGACAACCCAAAGATGGCAGGGTTTTCCTTAAGCCCCATTTCCCTCATATCTCTTGTTATGAACTCCTTCGGTGCATCGTATTTCGATGTTATGGACTGCTTCGAAAAGCTAAGCGAGGCTGAAGGAATGGCAAGAAAGGTATTTCTCCCTATGATCTATGGGCTGTCATTTAAATGCTCACAGTTGGATGCAACGTCAAACATAGCCAACTATACGTCTGCACTCGAAGCATTGACTAGTCTCCACGGTGTTCTTGAAGAGCTCAAGAACGAGGTCTACTGGGGCCTAGGAGATTCCGGGCTCGGAGGCGATATTGTCTTCGACTTTCCCATATACTACGGATTCCCATGCAGATTCCCCTGTATTCTCGATGGGTTTTTCGAACCTTTTATATACAAGAAATGTGACTATTCGTCGCCTGCTCGCGAATATCTTGGGATTTCAATGAGAGAGGTCGTGGAGAAGTCGAGAAGGTCCTACCATGCCTTGAGCGATCATTCATACAAGATGCATCAGATAATATACTCCATCATAAGGTCTTCTAAAGAGCTGAAGACCAACTTTATGAGATATGTCTGCAATGTTATATCCGCGAGCAAGGAAAGAAGCAAGACTATCTTTAACTGGAAGGAAACCATAAGCGATGGATTTGCATACAACCTATCTATGGTAATGAGCAGGTTCAACAGAAAAATAATAGATGGGAACATGATTGACAAAATAAATCCGGAAAGCGTAGAAGAGGTCTCGTTGGAATCATTCCCGACGTTCTGCTACTTCTCGAAAATCCACTTGCTATTTACATCTTGTGTGAAGTTTGGTGAATACATCAGAAGCCTTGCGTACGAGTATAGACTTCTTGAAGGGGATGGAGGAGAGAGGGTAGAGGCATACAGGAAAGGAATAGACTCAAAGATAAGTGCATTGAATGGACTTCTTTTCATGACAGATTTCTTTGCAGACGAAAAGGCGTTCACTGACTTCATGACGGAGTACACTGCCGAGATTGAGTATCCGTGGACAGACAACTATTACAGAACACTTCTATGGATGCAGGAGATGACAATTGACCTGATAAAGTCAGCAACCATCTCAGGATCGCTAAACAAAGTGATGGAAACCATCATGGACTGGAGAAGTCCCATGTTCAAAAAAGAAGTTGTGAAGATACTGAGCCACAGAAGCGATTCAATTAAATTTACAATGCTCAACAGGGTGATAGATTACTACAACTCGTTAGGAAGAGATGAGATGAGAATGGAGGCCAGAAGTATTGTGCATTCCATCTTTAAGGAGGGGAGAGTGTTTTCCAGAATGAATGTCTGCAAAAGGAACATTACGTTCATCAACTGCATGATGAAAGATTTTGAGTACAGTCTGTCTGAAGGCCTTTCTTCTATCAAGGATATAAAAGAGGATACGAAAACTGTTGAAGACCTAACCAAAGAGCTAGAAGAAGTCAAGAAAAAGAATCTTGATGCGAAGAAGGCTGAGTCGATTAGTGAAAGGATAGGGTCAATAAAGAAAAGCATACGATTCTCAAAAAACAAGGCGAGGAATTCCTTTCTGTATGTCGATGGATGCTTTGACTTGTTTATGCACATCCTCGATGAAAAACCCGATCTATTTTTAGTGAACGAGATGATCTCAAATTTTGTAAGAGTTCTGAACTGTAATCTGAAGGTGATTACTGGGCCTAGATGCACGGATCTTGTGATAAGATCTCCAGAACAATATGGCTTTGATGCAAAGAATCTCTTGAGGCGGATGGTCATGATATACATAAAGATCCGCAGCAACAAGTTTGTCGAAATGGTGGCTAGTGATAAGATGTACTTTGACATTGAGTTCTTCCGCACCGCACTTCGGATATGTGAGAGCAAGTACCTCATTAACGAGTCACAGATGGAGGAGTTGAGAAACCTCATAAGCAAGCTGGAGAAAGTCGAGGTGATTGAGAAGACTGAGTGCGTTCCAGACGAGTTTATTGACCCCCTGACATTCAACCCGATAAGGAACCCTGTGAAGCTTCTGACCTCGAAAATAACTGTAGACAGGTCCACGTATGATATGTTGATGATGAATGGAGGGATAGATCCATTCAATAGAATGCCTCTTACTGAGGACATGGTGATAGAGGACATCGATCTCAAGGAAAGGATAGACAAGTACTATGGCTGCAGTGACAAGGACGAGAAGACTTGATGTTTTATTATTTGTAGCAGGGGAGCCCTTATTGGCGGCATTAAACGTTCATTTTTTATATTGCGTGCCTGGTTTGAGGAACCCCCCTGAATTTGATGTCCGAAGGAAAATTTGTTGTATTTGAAGGACTAGATAGATCTGGAAAAACAACTGTAGTCAACAGTCTGTATGAAAGTCTACTTCCAATTGCGTCCGTCAGCAAGGTCAGATTCCCAAACAGGAATGGGTGTATAGGGAAGACTATAGATGAGTATCTTCAGAAGAAAATTACCCTAAAGAGTGAAACCATTCATTTGCTTTTCGCTGCAGATAGATATGAGCATAAGGCCATGATCGAGGATCTCAGGAAGGACAGCATAATCCTCTGCGACCGTTACTCCATGAGTGGGGTGGCATATTCTGCAGCCAAGGGCTTGGATTTGAACTGGTGCGCTATGTCCGAATCTCTGCTTCCTAAGCCAGACTTAACTGTGTTCATAGACATTCCTATGGATGAAATATGCCGGAGAAAGGGGTTTGGAGAGGAGATTTTTGATAACATCGCATTCTTAAAGAAGGTCCGCTCTGCATACCAAACACTTCTTAAAGAAGAAAAAAACGTCCTTATTGTTGACGGAACGCTTTCAGTAAACGAGATTGTCAAGATCGTGAAAAAAAAGATATTCGAGTAGCAAGTCTTGTGGGTATCGCAAGAAGTGAGGGTGGTGCTTTTCTCTTGAGAATGGCTACATCAACAAGACACCTTACTCAGCACTATCTAGATCCGAAGATGCTTCATGATACCGACTCCCTTCGTCATGCTTCTTATCGTCCTCAGCGAAGCCTTTTGCCTTGCAGATTTGTGAGATATACTTTGCAAGGTAGTACTGGGTCTGTGTTGCGTTTCTACATGCCTCGGGAAATAGGTCAAGGACATTGCTGTATGCTTCTTTTCTCGCTTTATTGAAGGATGTGCCTTCTTGACTCATAAATGAAATCTTAATAAAGAGTAGAAAGTACTTACTGGTTTTAAGTAGAAAGTCTTCCTTTTGAAAGCCTTTAAACAAGGAAAGATCGTCAGAATAAAGCTGGTAGTTTCTGATTTCTTCTGAGATTGCATTAAGTGTCTCATTCATTGCAGACTCGCTTCTCTTCAGGTATTCTGCCATCTCCTCGTCTGTTGGCTTCCTGAGAGTATCAGAGGCTGGTATGGACCAGTCGGCTTCTCTCTCCTTTTGAAATTCTTCAAGGACTTTCAAAGACACATAACACTCTACACTATTGCACTCAAATTCTTCCGGGTTCCTTAAATCTTCAATTTCTGACTTTATGAGGTTGGCAAGAGAATCGCAGATTTTGGTATCACTTTTTGGTATTTTTCCTCGCCTTCTCTTTCCAGTAGGTGCCTCCAGTTTTTTCGGCTTTTCCTTCATTTCTCGCTTTCTTTTGCTAGTCTCTTTATCAGGGGAGCCCGCTGATGAACTTTTCGCGAGCTTGGCTCTTTCTCTTGCTTTATGCACACTTAGCACCTTCTTTGCACTGTACGGCAGCTCGCCCTTATATACAAAGAAATCCTCCAAGCTACACTCTATCATGACCATTTGCGTCTCCCCTTCAAAGGGCTCAATAAGTGGATCGTTGTAGTCATAATCATCAACCCTTTGTCTCCTCTTCTTCAGCTTCTCTTTCTTTCCAAGGTCAATCTCTTTGGACTCCATAATATTTACTCGAATAGTGACTTCATTCTCAGGACTCATCCCAAAACAAGAAGGGATAGACATTATCTGGAGAAACACAACTTTATTATCTGTTTTGGGCCCGAGAAAACAACTATCTCCGGCTTGAAGCACCGCTATACCCTTTGCCCTTCCTAAGCTTAATATCTCTGAGATCTTGTTTGTCTATGTGGAGTGTTCCTATCTTATCATTGAATAAATTCTTGCTTACGTTCTTTCTTGGCTTCCTGGCCTCACCCAATGCCTTCTTATAAAGCTCATCTCCGCAGTGGTAGCTCCTCACAAGCTCCATCTCAAGTAAAGGTCCACAGTCCTCGACATTGAGATCCTTGAGGACCCTGACATACTTAAGCACATATCCACCCTCTGTCTTTGCAAAGACCCAAGAGTATCGGACTGCCTCCAAGCAGGCCTTGCTACTCCTCATGTTAAGGAGATCTACCATCAGATTTTCTAAACGTTCACTGTTAATGTTCTGCAAAACCACAAAATACTTCATGTGTAGCTCTGGCCCAACACATTCGAAGTCGGACACAGACAAGTATCTATTTATCTTGAATTCAACCATGTCTATAACCTCATCATTGAAGGCACGTCCAATAACAAGGAGGTTGTCTTTAGTTACAGAAATGAACAGTCCAGACTTCTTCTTCTTCATCAATTTTTCCATCTTTTCTACACAGTCAAACGGGCTTGTCTTCTCGCGTATGTGTACAGTGTCTCCCCTGATAACTCCTATCTCCCTTTGGATCTTCTCGCCCTCATCACTGCAGATCACGGAAAGCAAGGTCTTCCTCTCACTGGGATGCTTCGCTCTCATTTGTGGGTAAAAAATTGCAACTAGATGTACAGGCAAAAACAAGCACTCACGCCTTTCTCTGGAGCTGAGTAGGCAAGAATGCCTCTGCATGCGTCAATAAAACAAAATTATTGACCTTGGATTCGCATGTTTACCCTTGAACACAGCACATCAATGAGCATAAATCTAGGCGATATATTTACAACATCAGGAAGAAGACAGTCACAAAAGGAGGACAGATACACCAAGAGCACAATGGGGATACACACGGATGTTCTGGCAAGCATAAAGCTGATGACATCTTCTAGAAGCTCACGTATAGAAAACAGGCACATAGACACATCTCCCCATAGAATACTGGATGCACCGGGCATGCTGGATGATTACTATCTCAACCTGTTGGACTGGAGCACTACGAATCTTGTGATAATTGGCCTGGGAGAGTCTGTGTATGGATACAATGTTGACGATAAAACTGTGGTGGATATCCATTCCGGGGAGAGCTACATATCATCTGTAAGGAGTAACGGGAGCATTCTTTGTATTGGAAGCTCGGATGGAACGATGCGCTTAATAGACACATCGGTAAATAAGGAGATGCATACAATGAGGAATCACAGAGCAAGGGTTTCATCTCTGAGCTGGAACGGGAATATAATAAGCAGTGGGGACAAGGCCGGGAAGCTATGCAACTACGACATAAGGTCGGGAAGGATCTCTATGGTTGAGGGGCATTCTCAAGAAATATGCGGGTTGGAGTGGAGTACAGACATGAAGTATCTAGCAAGTGGAGGAAATGACAATGTAATAAGAGTGTGGCAGATGGGAAACAACAATCCTCAAACGCTTTCTGGACATAAGTCAGCCGTTAAGGCCCTTGCTTGGTGCCCATGGAGGTCAGGAATACTGACTTCAGGGGGAGGAACAAAAGACATGACTATAAAGTTCTGGGATGTTTCAGAAAATAGACTGGAGAGGAGTGTAGACACACAATCACAAGTGTGCACCCTTACATATCTCTCAAAGTATAAGGAGATTATATCCTCGCACGGATACAGCGAGAATGACATCCGAATATGGAAAGCCTCGACAATGAACCTGATATCTTCCTTTGGAAAGCATGGATCAAGGGTTCTTCACGTGGCCCTAAGCCCGGACGGGTCTGAATTGGCCTCTGTGTCTGCAGATGAGAATTTGAAGTTCTGGAAGATATTCAGCACAGAGAAGTCGTCTGTAAGAAGGGATAGCCTTTCATTCAGATAATGTATTGTCCTCAAATTGCTGTATAATGGCATGGATCTATAGCAATAGACTCTAGAATCTATAAGTTAACATTTTTAATTAAAGTTTTTATCAAAAGCCTATGGGCTACGATCGGAACGGCCTGTCCCAGCTTCTTCATAGTAGACATCACATTCAATAAGTGGCTTTCCTTCGTATAGCAGAGCGAGGTTCCTTTCCACGATGTCCCCGTTTTTTCCATTTTCTATAAGCTTGACCAGCATTTCTATAGTTTGCACTTTGTTCATTCCATCGACAAGGGTAAGAAGAGTAGATTTCCTCGTCTTGGACGCATTCATAACTCTTTCATAAATTTCTTCTACTCTTTTGGACAGACTTTGCGGAGTGTCAATAATGAGGTTAATCATCCGATACTTGTCGTACAACCCCTCGCGTTTACCTTTCGAGGTTGAAAATACACAGAGATTGTACATCAGCATTTCGTCTATAGTAACCTTTTCGATGTATGTTATTGTAGGTACTAGGCCTCTTAGGACGGAGGTGCTGATGCATCCCATGAAAGAGATAGAGGGGACTTCTCTGTCCAAGATGACCAGCAGCAGATACATATTTTTAGCCAGAGTATCACTGCATCTTTTTCTTGCCATAACCTTCCATCTGATTAGATATCCCTTCAAAGTGTTCAAAAGCATGACTCTGGAAAATACTTGAACAGCAATCTTTTTTACAATTTCATCAAGTACGCTAAGACATATCCTTCTTATTACAGGCTTGTTCTCTTTAGAATGATGTCTTCCTTGGACTTGTGGTTGCAGGCTGGAATGAAGCTTGAGGCTCCTTAGCCTCTTCCAAAGCAATTCAGAAAGAATGGCATTCAGGATTCTATAATCAATGCATCCATATAGCATAAACATCTCGGGCCTTTTCACATTTATTTCTATTCTTTTACTGCAAGATATTCCATTTTCATTCTCTTCACTTGCCTTTCTTTCTTCAAAGTCCGCCTTTCCTGACTTCACCGCAACTCCTCTCCTTCTTAGCAACTCTTCAACCTCAGATTCTTTAGACCACAAAAGATCTCCAAGAAACTCAATCCTCACCCTTTCCGCTAGAGATTTTTTGAACATCTGTATGCACCTTATTCTAACTTCGTCTGCAAAAGATTGTGCCAGGCAGAATGCAATGCAATCAAGCTTTCGAAGCAGATTGAAGAATCCTGCCCCGTTCCTTTGCATGTATTTCTTTGCAATCTCCATTGACAACCTAATTCTTGGCCTAGAGCCCCACCTTTGCGTATTTGGGGAATATCTCTCACCCATCGATGCTAGGATGTGATAGCAATAAAACTCTTCTCTCCTGTCATTTTCAACACTGTTGGGTTCTTCCAAACTATAGAGCCTCATAAGACTACTCACCACAACCCTAAGCTGACCTAAATTCATATCCTTGTTGAAGTGTGGATGGTCATGCAAAAGGTATCTGAAAACAATATAGAACCTAACAATTTTTTCAAGTATCTCAATTGCGTCCTTTCCCCTTCCTCTCTGGACTTTCATGTCCGATATAACAGCTCTGGCCCTGTTCTCGGCAAACTTGTACATCTGAATGCTTTGGTCAGCAGCACACAGCCCGATGACATGGTTTACCACGCTTAGCAGCACCCCCATAGGCCTTATATCCTCTGGAAGAATGCAAGGTGACTCCGGAGACGTCTTGCGATATTTTTTGATCATCACCTCAGCTTCGTAAAGCGATACATCATTGTTGAGCACGCGCTCCAACCCCTCAAGCTCGGGACAGAATGTCATGCACTCTCCGAGAATATTCTCGCTCGTCTTGGCATGAGCCCGTGCCTCCAGCAATCTCTCATACCTTGCCCTTAAGTCTTCCATTAGAAACAGGGGATCGATGAGGCTCCGGATCATTTCGACCAATGCTGAATAATTTCAGAATGCAAAGCTCAAACGACAGAGTCTGCATCAAGCCCCACCCTCCTACCTATATGTCTTAAAACAGCCTTGCTTACATTCACCCTGTAGCTGTCTCCGTTTCTAACCACAAACTGCTTGTGGACCAGCCCATTAAGTTTCATCTGCAAGAAAAAGCTATTTCCTAGCTTTTCATCTATCTCTTTAGAGCAAGCTAAGATTTCCTTAAACTTACTTTTGCTCCTCACAGCAAGCATTATCACACTCTCAAAATAGTCCATCCCACTCCCAAAATGACTTTCTATTTCAGTCTCCTTCTCACCGGCAATCTTCAAAAGCTCACTGATGTTCTTGTGTTTATATGCCTCGACAATATACCTGTTCCCAACTATAGCAAGCTTTTCCTCTAGAGTTGGAATGAAAACAACCTGAACAAACTCTCTATGGCGCATGTTGTTGAACAAGACGTATCTACCGGGGTTAGGAAGGTATATATCCGAGTCTTTGAGTATAATAGAAAGTGATTCGGACTTCCCAATCATAGAACTGAAGTATTTTGCATAAGCTATCTTTTCCGCCTTCAAGGCCGCTTCAAATGTGTCCAAGGACTCAAGAGTTATGATCTGGATCTTGAAGTGTCTTTCATTTCTCACTATTTCAAAGAAGACCTTCAAAGACTCAAACCGCATTGGACAGCCAGAGACAGATTCCATTCTACAGCAAGGGTCTCTGTAAATGGTTATGGAATCTGGAGACCCATGAAAAAGGCAATCAGGATATTGTCGAAGTTAGTATTGTCTCTAGGAGTAGTTGGAATATTCATCCTGGCAATTCCGTTTTCTTTATTGGCATATCCGCTATACATGTTAAACAGGCCTTTATGCATTCGCCTGTCAACGTTTTTCACATACACCCTGTGGACCTTTACAGGCTTAATATTCAATATTTCAAACAGTGTACATGGGAGCATAGATATCGGAAGTGAAAGTTATTTTGTGATCAGCAATCACATAGGGTCTGTGGATTTCATCTTGGTTAATGAAATAGCCAGGAGAAGCGGAATGGTTAGCCATGTGAAATATGCAATCAAGGACGGTCTTAGGTTTTTCCCTGTGTTTTATCAGATAGTAGTTTACGTTGGATTTCTTGTTCTAAAAAGGAGCTTTGAAAAAGATCAGAAGAGCATTATTAACTACCTAGACTTTTTTAAGTCCACAAGTATTCCAATGTGGTTTGTGTTTTATCCAGAGGGATCGAGGTTTTCAGAGAAGCTGAGGCTGAAGAGCTGGGAATACTCAGATCAAAGGGGCATGAAAAGACTGAACAACGTTCTTTTTCCGAGATACAAAGGATTCAAGCTCGTATGCGAGCATCTTAAAAACTCCAGGATAAAAAAGATCGTGGACATCACATTCTCTTACTCGGAGAATAAGGTTCCTCCCCTATGGAAGTTTCTCCTCTGGGACACATCAGGGTCGTTCAATTGCGACATTAGAATTACTCCCATCGATGAGATAGATGACTACGAAGAGTTCCTTTACAGGAGTTTTGAAAGAAAAGATGCACTGATAGCAGAGTGGAATGATACCATAAAGCAGAAATAAAGCAAGGGCTACTTTGAATTTACTCTTAAAGATACAGGCTTGGGAGGAATATAATGTCTCTCTTCATAGACGCAGATGCATCCGCAACCTTCTCCTCTAAGGTTTTGTCCCCTATCATTGTAGACACAGCTATCAGTTCTCTGCAACATTCCTCAAGCCTTAATATGAGCCTCACAAAGGTGCCCTCGAGGACATTATATTTGGACACTATCTTTGCCAATGATGATCCATTGCACCATTCATAAACCGCATCCACAAGCGAGAAGCTCAAAGGCGCAAACGGGGGGATCATTAGCTCTTCCAGGTCTCTGGATAACCCTGCAAAATATTCTTTCATCTTCCTACACTCGTTGTGGAGAGCCTCTCCCGGTTCTTGTTCATCGGCCTCCTCGTGTATCATAGAGGACATCAGTGAGATGATCTTCCGTCCATCCATCTCCCTAAACTCATTGGAGAATATCATTTCAACAACCAGAACTTCGTTCACAGTGTGTATCTCAGCAGCTGCTCTCCCTTTTATTGTTATCTCTTCCCCAACGAAGCCTTTTCTTTTAAGGAATTCCATTCTTTTGTTGTACTCATCTATCATCCCAAGACTACATACATTGTACTTGATCTTTATCTCATCTATTTCCCTTCTTTTGAGTGATGTCTTCAATGCATTTGAATAGTGCAGATCAAACTCTTTGCATTTTTTATCCTCAGACATTAAATAATCATATAGGCTCTTTAGTCTTCTTATCTCCAATACGTCCATCACATTTGTTGTGTTATAGTCCCAGCAAGCCTGGCCTTTATCTAGAACGCAGAAAATGTGCTCAAGACTGATCTTACTTCTATCAAGAGGCTTCCTAATGCTCAAAGGATGAGACAAAAATTTGGTAGGAACAGGAGCATTATTACTTAGGACGCCATCGTCTAATCTCAGAAGAACAGTTGACCCGCAAACCTTCTCGACGGCTCCTGTAGCATTGTTTTTCAACAAAACACTAGTTCCCTCACGTAGAACATTGTGTTTTCCAATGAGCTTCCAATTCTTAGAACATATCTCTTCTACAGCGCCAATATATTTCATCAGATCACCGCAAACATCACACACTTTATCTTCATCACACTCCAGCTCGGAAAGCTTTTTCATGTCTTTCTCATAGTTCCTCTGGCTTCTATGCTCTCCATAACTTCTCCTCATCAGATCCTCAACCTTGACATTTGATCTCAGAGATATAAGAATAAGTCCAAAGCTCAACTTAAATTGGCTGGATAGACTGAATGGAGTTCCATGTATGATTCCCCGAATAGTAGAAAGTGGTGGCATCTTTGGATCTGCTATCACTACAGTTCCTACAGCATCCATCCCCCTTCTTCCAGCCCTCCCACTCATCTGTATGTACTCTCCAGATGAGATATATCTAAAGACTCCATTATCAATCTTACTAAGAGACAAAAACACACAGCATTTCGCAGGCATATTCACCCCCATTGCAAACGTCTCAGTGGCTATAAGGAGCTTCACTAGGTTCATGGAAAACAGAAGCTCCACACATTCCTTGACAAAAGGAAGAAGGGACCCGTGGTGGACAGCAATGCCATTTAGTACCATAGATGACATGCTAAGAATTTGCGGAAGGTTCCTATCCTCGGGGGAAAGGCATTTCGTAGCCTCACTAAGGAATGTCCTCACCTCCTCTCTGCTTCTTTCATCATTTAGATTCAAAGTCTTAAGAATCTCTGCATAATCTTCACACTTCTTCTTTGAGAAGCAGAAAAATATCGATGGCGTGAGCTTCTTCTTCACAACAAAATTGGCCAAGTCAAGGATCTTAAATCTTCCGGTTGGCCTGTTCTTCTTACTAAAGGGAACCAGGTCTCCCTTGAAGTTCGATGCACCTTTTGTTCTGCCTCCTTCGTCAATGGAATATACGTTCCAATCACAATATATCACATGCTCTAGAGGAACAGCCCTTTTACTGGTAGAAATCACATATATCGTTCTGTTCTTCGTTCTGCCTACCCATTCGCTGAATTCAAGACTGTTAGGAATCGTTGCGCTCAGCATAATAAAGCTTATGTTACGGGGAATCATGATTATACACTCCTCCCAAACCACTCCTCTTTCAGAATCGTTGATGTAATGGACCTCATCAAATACAACAAATTCTGTGTCTCTTAGAAGATCTCCATTTCTGTACACAAGATTCCGAAGGATTTCCGTGGTCATCACAAGGCACTTTGCATTAGGGTTAACCTGGACATCGCCCGTAATGATCCCAACATCATCATACTTCTGTTTGAAGTCATGATACTTTTGATTGCTCAACGCCTTGATTGGAGATGTGTAGATAGTTCTTGTTCCACGTTTCTGCGATAAAGAGATTGCATACTCAGCCACCAAGGTTTTTCCAGAGCTTGTATGGGCAGATACAAAAACCGATGATTCTCTGCTCAGAAAATAAAACGCTTGTTTTTGGAAAACATCTGCTTCGAATCCGATATTTAAAATCCCTTCGTCGACATATTGCGAGTAGTCAGAGGGGATCCAATCCTGCTTTACCATCACATAATACTTTTTTTCGGGTCCCCTATTCTTCACGTCGATGCTATTCCTATTTTTTGTCTCAGACAGCTCTTGGTTCATGGGCTGCCCATTGCAAAACATATTTTAAAGCTGTCTTTCATCATGAAGAACACCAAGCAGCTGTGGTTTTCCATAAATTTATTAAGATTTATTACTTTCCAGTCATTTTCTCTTTGAGAAAGCCTTTTCGTTGGAATATTCATAGTAGCACTCAGGCCCTAGCAATTCCTTGATCTTCTCAAACTTTTTGGCAAACGTGTTTGCATCCTCTTCGTTGGCATACTCTATAAATCCATATCCTCTGTTCCGTTTGTTTTCTCCATACAATATCCTTATGTCCTTTGGCTTGCATTTAGCCTCCACAAGTATTTTCCTTATATCGACTATGGAAAGAGACTTCGTTATCTTACCAAGAAAAAATCTGGTCTTATTCTCCAAAGGCTTCTTAACTCTCTCTATGTAAATCGGCTTATTGTTCATCACGATTTCTTCCTTTATCACCGCCTTCTTTTTGAAAGTTATGATTGCTTTTCCTGTGGATATATTGTCTTTGTTCTTCTTTATTGTTATTCTTTCGATCTCCCCGTACTTTTCAAACACTTTCGAAATGGACTCCTTATCTTCCTTGTAGGAAAGATTGGTGAGTATGTACTTGTTGTCCAGATACCTATTGGACCTTTCCCCCCCTTCTCTCTCCTGTCTCCTGTTTGCTTTCATGTCTACAAGTGCGTGTTCTCTGCTAGGATACTCGAGAATAAACCCATTCTCACCACTCTTCACAGCCTTGAAGTTCTTGAACGTCCTCTTTATATCCTTTAGAGTGGAAGTTCCTTTCACTACAATGGAGCATGTGGCCTCGTCAAACTCAATCTTTTGAAGCCTCCTTTTCTTTTTATTGGCGCCATCATCTTCTTTAGCAGCTCTTTTGCCAGTGATCTTCCCCTCTGCACCTTCAGACTCGGTGTTGCCATCATTCACATTCTTGCAATGCCTCTTCCTCTTATCTTTGTACTTGAGTCCATGCTTGTCTCCTTCCTTTTTTTCCATGCTGTCTCCCATGCTATATCTTCGAATGGGTTAATATATCCAAAGAAATAAAGCTTTCTCGACTCTGCCACATTAGAGCGTTTATTGAATATGCTTGGAAATGCTCTCATCTATCTGCAGCGCGTTCTCTTCCATCTGTTAAAACAAGGAAAAAATTTACCCTGAACAGATGAGCAAGGAGCTTTTTGATATAAAGCCACTTGTCGAGATAAAGGAGGCCTACAGAAAGGACAAAAAGTTTATCCGTCACCACTCTGACAGATACAAGAGAGTAAAGCCATCTTGGAGAAAGCCTCGTGGAATTGACAGCAAGGTCAGAAAGAGATGCAAGGGGCAGAGGGAGATGCCTTCCATCAAGTATAAGAAGCCAAAGGAGATCAGGCATCTTCTGCCAAATGGGCTCAGAAAGGTTAGGATATTTAACATCAACGATCTCACGCCACTAGCATCTTTGAACAGGTTTTACTGTGGAGAGATTGCACATGCAGTAGGTGCTAGGAAGAGAATTGCCATTGTCAATCGAGCAAAGGAGCTTGGGATTTGTCTTCTGAATGGAAATGCACGTCTTGTTCAGGAAATCGAGGAATAAATCTTCTAGTGCTTCATTTCTTTATTCTGTAAGTGAATTTATTAACGCCGAGAAAAACATCCTTTTCGATTGAATGAACTTGATATCGGTTACCAATGGGAGCATTGTTTTCAATAGGAACAAGACCTTGATAATGAGAAACATCTCTACTGGTACAATAGAGAAGATGGATGCACCAAACTGGATATCCTTCATGTCCGGGAAATATTTGGTTGATGGAGAAAAAAACTTATATGTTATTGACGGAACTACGCTAAAGAATGTCCTGAAGCTCAACAGAAGCATTTTTTGCCTGGTGGAATATGGAGATGAGGTGTATGTGGCAGATAGATTTGGGGATGTTTACAGAATTGGAGATGGAGGATGCGAATATGTGCTTGGGACTTTATCGTATCTAACAGGAATGGCAATACACAATGGGAGGATCTTGCTCAGCGACAAGTACGGAAGGATCCGTATCAGTGGGATGAATGGGAAAATATTGGGGTATAGGTTCGGCTGCGGGTCTGTAGTATCTCTGGAATGTGTTAATGGGGCTCTGGTTTCAATAAGCACCAAGAGAATAGTTCTGTATGACAGCGAATATTCCCCAAGCCATATATATGAATTTCCAGAAGGTACAAGTGCTCTAAAGGCCATGGGAAAGGGAGAGAACGAACTCGTAGTTATCTGCTCGAACACCCACCTCCTGTTCAGTATAGGAGACAAAATCGATCTCGTTTCCTGCACGGAAGAGACTATTATTGATGGTGTTTGCAGCGGGTCTGCTTTTTACAAGGTACTCCCAAACTTCACAATTGTGGATGACAAGCAGAAAGTCTTCTATGAATAAAGATTTGGATAATCCTGGAATGTAGGCGCAGTCACTTATTTATGTAGTACTTTGTCCAAAGCCCCATGGATAACAGTAAGAGATATAAAAATGGGGCGGCCGTTGAGGATTCTGGTGATGCGCTGGAAGGAGGGACAAGCGAATCCAGCTCTATTTCGGAGACGTTTTCAGATGATGAAATTTCTTACGAAGTGGCAAGCCTTTCCCCATCGAACTTTTCAGATGTATCCACTATTACGGAACAGTCGAGAATATTTCCATCTTCCGAAGAATTTCTTTCTTTATCTGCTTGCTCCAAGGTCTTAATCAGTGGAGACATCATTTTCTCCTTCTGTGGATTTTTTCAGCTATCTAAAGTGCTTGAGATTGCAGAGAAAAAGCTTAAAAAGGCCCTGAATACCCTAGTCTCGTCACTAGAAAACAAGGAGGCTAAGAAAGATGAGACCTATGTCTTTTACACAGAAAGAGCTGCCAACATTCCCTTAGAGATGGTTCTTGATCTATACAAAAGCCTTTCATTTGCAGACTTCAAGTACATAATATTTATTTCAAGAGTTAAGGTGTGTGGAAAGATGGAGGCAAAGGATCTTATGGAAGACTTCAAGGAATACGATCCATCAGACTTGAGCCACATGCCTGTGAGAGGAGAGGAGGTCCTGCTACTGTCATCTTATATTTCCAAGAAGCAGATCGTGGTTAACGGAAACACATTCAGACTGTTTTTAGTTGATAACCAGATGTTTGAATCATTCATAAACCTTTTTTCAAAGGAACTCTCTGAAAGTACATAGAATAAACAACTTAGGTCTGTTCTACAGTCTTGTTTTCTATTTTTCTGCACACTCCCCAAGAATGGAACGGGCAGTCCACAATTTAGAGCTAGTTCTGGAGAACGGAGTCGAAGGCCAGTCTGAAATGATAATAGATGTACTTAAAGACCTTGTACAGGCGTCTTTAAGAAGTACAGATGAGGAAATCGCAAACTATGAACTGGATGAAATGTTAATGGAATCCTTGGATAAAACATCGTATGAAGAACACAGAGAGCTTGTGGAGATGCTTCCAGACCTCATTTCATGTATGAGAGATCCGAGAAACATAGTCCCTGCAATAGAAAAATACTTTGACCCAAAGTGCGACTTTTCGATAGATGCTGCCAAAGTAATGTTTGTGATGAAAAGAGATTTCGGGTTTGAATTCGATGGTTTTTTGAGCACGCTTTTTGATTGTGTGAGTCCTAAAAATATCGAGAAGGATATAGAAAGGAAATTGCTGTTTATTTTAATGGTATTGGGGGATAACTCCGTTCCATTGGCTGTGGCCAAGGCCTTCATCAAGAAGCTATGCAGTATTTCCCTGCAAATGAAGTCTTCTCACTGTCACAAGATACTCTGGGCAGTGTTATGGATCATGAGATTCCATCCAATGGCATATATAATGGCAAGAGAAGATGGCTTCAGAAAGGATCTCGAATGGGCTGAATCCATTACAATGGATAAGTTCCAGCCATATCTTTTTGAGCTTGATATATTGAGTGAATCCCTAGAGGGAATCAAAAAGATTGTTAATCTGATAAGACGGGAGGCTGGGGATGCCAAAAGCAGGCCAAGGTTGCTATCCTTGAGTAATATTACATTTCCAAGATTAGAGATTTAGCGCACCAACCCAAATTAAAGGCACATCTGTTTCTTATGGCGTTTCCTGCAACTTCCTCATAAGGTATTTCTTCGCATCATCTTTGACTCTTAGTCTTTTTTTCGCCACAGGCACTGCAGTTGGTGATTCTGCTTCTTTAATTTTCTTCATCATCCTCCTCAAAGAGGACATGCTCATGATCTTTTCAAGATTAAACTTTCTATAGGAGTTTGGCAAATTGCTATCCTTGATGAAGTATGCCAAGCAAAGGCTATAAGGATTGACTCCCTCGTTGTTCTTGCATACTGAAATAAAGTTCTTTAGAGTGCAGTTTCCCTCAAATCCTTGTGTAGAATAAAAATCCCTTACTCTGTCAAAAATAGCCGAAAGATATTCAAAAGACGCTTCTACATGCTCAAACTCTCTTAAAAGTATTCTCTTGAACCTCAATCCTGTCCTTTCCGTAAAGGGATTCAGATCACTATAGGATATCGGATAGTGATGTCTCCTAAGCACATTGTATATTATTGATAGTATCTTGTCATTGACGCCGACTCTCTGCTTGAACCTTTTGGTCTCCAAGACCTGCCTAACTTCGTCAAAATAGCCCGAAACATTTAAAATGTTAACCAACGATTCCACATCTTTGTTGTATCTCCCAGACCTATCACTTGCAAGATATTTCATCTTTTTTGGTGCTATAAATGAGCGGAATGCATATGATGGCACATAGCCATCCTCTGCTTCCAGACACAATCCACAGGATGTGCAAACACCTTTGGAAGTTGACAAATGGCTGCAACCCTCCATTCAGGGCCATGTCTGTAGGTGAAAAAGAATAATTACAAAATGCTAGCCTCAGACAATAAAGAAGATGTTTATTTCAAACCATCACAACCGATGGCTCCTGGTTAGCCATGCCTTCTTCAGTGAAAACCAGCTCCTCTCTCAGCCTGGATTCTCCGAGTGGAGTTAATAGGAAATATGAGTGTCTCCATACATGAATCTTCTGGACATATCCATGGGAAATCATAGTCTTCATAAATACCTTCAACTGCAAATTAGGAATCTCAAGATCCTTGTGGTTCCCAAGGACAGTGTCTTCAAGCAATAGCGCCTTCTTCTCGAGCAGACGTCTCTTTATCTTGTACTTGTTTGGTGTTGGTACTAGCATTGCTCTACAAATTAGCATTTCTACATAGCTGAGTCACTTACCTTCTCAAAGCCCTTGAATAAATTTTTTTTTATTGTTTATTCAGTGAGGCATTTGAACAGTATCTTCTCAGCCCTTTATGGCAAGCGCGAAGCTACTGATGGTGGCATCAACAATGGCATATGGATATGTATTTTATACGCTTGTTATAAAGGTAAGTTATATTCCAAGTAATTTTTAGCCACTATTTTATGATCCAACTGTCGCTGAAGATATATTAATCGCGCTATCCTCTATCATCCTATCCAGCATTTTCTTGATACATGCTGTTTTAGGCTTTGATGAGGAAAAGACAAAGCCTATGCAGCAGGGATCATAGAATTGAACAAAGCCTACAACGCATCTCCCTTACTGGGGACATCCATGCAGAGTTCCATCCATTCTGAATACCTCCCAGATGCTGAATGTGCCTCTATGCCAACAATTTCAGGAACTTCATACGGGTGGCTTTCTTCTATAAGCTTCTTGACCATATTAAATAAACAGGTGAATGTTTTTATAGTCAATTTGTACTCTGTTTCCCTTTCAACGTTTCCTTTCCACGGATAGATGGATGTCACCTGGGATATCTGGCAGCAAGCAGCAAGCCTCCTAGTTATTAAGTCGCACGAAGCCTTTTCCGCAGACTCCTGGGATGGATATGTTGTAAAGACAATGAGCAAATGTGGCATAAGGATTCCCTCCAAAAAGTACTTAATATTTGCAATTTCTAGAATGTACGAATGTCTGGGGTTATAAGTATCCTAGGTCTTATCAATCCTCGGGATGCTCTTTTCAAGGCAATATTCATGGAAAAGAAACTTTCCAAGCACCATCTGAAAGAGGTTTCTATACCTAGCATTGTCCTTAGAGTGATGGAAGAATGTGTTTCTGTTAAGGACGGTGGGCTTGTTGTGATAGGGCTTAGCAGGATTTTGGTGAGGAAGATGAAATACCTACAGGATGAATGTAGCGATGCTGCTCATAAGATCTGCAGGAAAAGAGGGGATAGAGGAAGAGGTGTTAAGCAGCCATCTTCGAGGGGGATAACCCTTGGGCTGGACCTAGAAAACATATACATTGATGATCAAATGATAAGTCCTGAAGAGCTTGTGATTCTTCCTGAGGAAAATAATGCAGGCGATATCCAAGAGGATATAGACTTCAGCTTTAATGAGTTTAATGACATTTCCTATATTGAAGAGGGTAGACTTGAAGGCGAGGACAACACTAGAGGTTCCACGACCACTGAGGTTACTCAAATTCCTTTAGAAGAGCGTAGGGAGAAAAGAAGAAAGATTGTTGAGGACTCGGAGCTAGAGTTTGACTCTCAGGTATTTAGAGAAAACCTCAGAAACACGAAAGACATAGTGTATAAGGAGAAGGCCTTTGACATAAGAGAGGACCTTGCATCCAAACTTTCAATTGCGCCAGAAATATTGTCTAGAATATGCCATAGGGAGATATATTCGAGAGAAAGCGTAGAAGGCGTCCGAGACACGACTCTATTGGAATCCTATGGAGACATTAGCTTTGGTAGTCAAATCGTCGAATCACAGGCATCAGAGGAAATTACTGTGGAAGAGAGTCTCGATGTTGAGAAGTTGCCTGAGAGATTTGTCTTTAATGAAATTGCTGCTGGGCATAGCAGACACGAGAAGAGTAGAATGTTTTTGTCACTCTTAAAGCTGCTTGGAGATGGGACCTTAAAAGCATATCAAGGCTATTCCTATTCTAACATAGAATGCAGACTTTCATAATCGTGGGTAGGGGCTTTGTGAATTTTTGTGTCTTAAAAAATTTATCCCTTCAATGGAAAAGAAGGAGCATGTTATAATTGATGCCACTGGACAAGTGGCAGGAAAGCTTGCAGCAAAAGTTGCCAAGCTCCTTCTTGAAGGAGTTCATGTGAGTGTTGTCTGCTGCGAGGAGGCAGTGTTTATGGGAAGTCTAAAGAGATCTATGGATAAGTTCAAGGCATACCTTAACAAAAGATGCATTGTTAATCCAAGAAGAGGGCCATTCCACTTCCGCGAGCCAAGGATGCATCTTGCAAAGATAATAAGAAGGATGATTTCCTATAAGAAGGTCAGGGGAAAGACTGCATTGAGTAAGCTTGCAACCTACGAAGGGATCCCAAGAGAGCTTGAGGGGTTACCAAGGCAGAAGGTGACCTGTGCATTGGTCAAGTATGCAGGAAGGCCTAATAACCATGTCACCCTCGGGAAGCTCCTAAGCATGTTTGGATGGAAGCATGCAGAGGCAGCCAAAAGAATAACGGGAGAGTTGAGAGAAAGAGAAAGGCAGATGTCTCTAGAAAAAGAGGAGATCTACAGGAAGAGGGAGAAGATTAAGAAAGACAAGTCCTTTGAAGACGAGGTAAACAAGAAGCTAGCTACGTTTGCATGAGTTATTAAATGCCCTTAAGTTTATTACAATATTTTTGTGTGCCCTTGAATGAAGAAGCAGAAGATATGCTACAAGAGAAATAGTTATATAAATAGAGGGACAAAATTCAAGACACTGAAGCAGCTGATGCCAAGTCTTGTTGAAAAAGACCATAAGTATGTCCAAATTTCAAACAGGGTATCTATAAGGCCGGGAATAAAACTCTGTGACCTAACAAGCCTTCCTGCACCATACACATGCCCAAACACTAGGCTATTCTACTATAACTCTTCCGTGTATAAAAGGATTTGTGACATGCCTAGCGATCGTATCCAAAAGCTATTTCAGTTAAGAGAGTTTGGAAAAACCTTGGTTCCATTTAGAAAATGATATTATTAAGTGCTGAACAGCATGGAAGATAGAATGAATAAACTCTAGACTTTATTAGAAAAGTCTCCACTGTATATTAGATCGAAACAGCTTGTTCCACAGGCCACAGGATTACCCACTGTTATGGAGGCCGAAGGATTGGACAGTCTATCCTCCAAATGGAATGCGGCAGCCGTCTTGAAACTGGAGTAGCAGCTCTCAAAGCTCATTCTTTGGATGAGGGAGTCCTCAGCACCAAACCCATACCTACTGAAGGGAGAATAAGTTCCTTTTCTCGTCATATAATCAGCCACAAGAAGGAGATGGCGAGGGTCAATAGTGATTCCGTAAACATCGAAAACTTTCACTATTTCGCTGATAATGGCATGCCTTGCTGCTTCAATCCCAAGTGTTAGGTATACGTTGTATATGTCGTTCGACTCGGCATTGTATATGTCTAAAAAGCTCATAAGGTCTTCATAAACACCAGGACTTGTCTCCACTCTTCCGGTTAGGGAAAAAATGGAAGAACTCTCTACGAAGAGTGTATTTCCAGAAATCGAGGCCTTTTTCACATCTTTTGTTTCTCTCACCACAACTGTGGGCAGGATGGATTCAATGACTGAGGAAATCACTTCATTAAACCCAGAAGGATACAACATCTCGAATGAAAAAACATTTCTTGACTTCCTTGTAAAGTTCATAAGCTCCTCCTGGGAAACATCATTTGAGTCATCCATCTGATCAGTCTCTTCACCAGTTTCCGGGCATGTGACAGTATTATTGTCACTATCTTCTTCGCTGGCCCCATCACCAATGCTATCTACACATACATCATCGCTTTTTGTGACGCTTTCCTTGTCACTGTCGCTTTCACTCTGATCTTCACTCTCGTTCTCTTTGTTTTCATCAACCTCTTTGAAACTTTCTTTGGAAACCTCTGATACACCCAGCCTATACTTTGTCTTGGATAGTACCTTCATCTTCTTTCCAAACAGCTTTAGGAACTTCTTGTCCAGCACCTCGCTTGCAAGGTCCACAAAATTGTTGAGCTCAAACATTATTTTGATCTTTTTCTGATAAACTCCATCAACCATCACTATTTCTTCAGTTGTTGCAAATTTCTTGACGCAGTCCTTCAGTGTTATCCTTCTTAAACACTCGGCTATATCGAAGCTTGCTTTCCTCTTAATTGGAATCATGATTAAAGGCGTCTTTATCGATCTAGATGCTGCAAGAAGAATCTCTCGGAGTCTAGGAACCCCAAGTGTTACATTCTTTGCCCCAACTCCTGCAAGATGGAAAGTGTTGAGTGTCATTTGAGTGGAGGGCTCACCCACCGATTGCGCAGCTATGACTCCTACAGACTCTCCAGGATCTGCAAGAGAACAGGCGTATCTACTCATCAAAAACCCCTTAAGTTCATCGTCAAGCCCCTCTATCTGCTCTTTAAACTTTTTCGACAGGAGATCCTTGCAGTTGGCTCCAAGTTTAAAGACAGTAGACTCCCTTTCCTTGAAAAGAGATGCATTTTTCCTGAAAAATTCCGTGTCACTCAGATAGCTAGACCTTGTGCAGTCAAGCCCATCCTCCCCATAAACAAATTGGATTATTTTGCTTCCTATTCTAGCAGACATGTCGTACGCTACTTTTAGCTCCTCCATGTGCTTAACCAAGCATCTCTGCAGATACCCGGAATTTGCTGTTTTGATTGCTGTATCAATAAGCCCTTCTCTCCCTGCCATACAATGAAAGAAGTACTGCGGCAAATCGATTCCATTCAAAAACCCTTGATATATATATCCTCCAGAAGATGGACTAGGGTCCAATTCTCTGAAACAAGGCAAAGTCTTTCCACTTACCATTATTGGAACCCTCCTACCTTCCAGTTCTTGCTGTCCTAAAGCACCTGAGATTTGGCTCAGATTGACAATCGAACCTTTGGCACCGACAGTAATGATCAGCTCCATTCCGTTGTTTGGGAAGCTTTTCTTCAACCCTGATGGGACGGATGCATCGACTATCGAAGTGGTCACCTTATTCATCTCAGCTCTCATGATAGAATCCAGGTAGACCTTTTTGTCTTCATAGAGATAAAAGTCTGGATTTGCCTCCATGTATTTCCTCTGAAGCCTCTGGGCTTCTTTGTCTTTAGCCTCTATAACCATTTTTCTCCTCGTGTCTGCTTCCTTGTCAAGAATGAGATCATCTATTCCTATTGTGAAGCCATACATTTGCAGATATCTATTAGCAACCCTCCCCACGTACGTTAATAGGTCGTTTGAAGCTGCAAATCCCTTGACTTCTCCACAAGTATGAGCAAGAGACTTGAAGGTTGGGCCCAGGGAGTTCTTGTCCAGGATCCCTGTAACTATGTTTCCTTGTTTAATCCTTAGTTTGCTTTCCTCAGAATGCTCTTTCCATGCATTTGCCGGGATTTTGGTTTGAATTTCGACATCCACCAACAGCCCAAGGTTCTTTATTATCGTCGAAATCACCTGCTTTCCAGAATACAGTCTTACGGGCTTGAGAATACAAGGCTTATCCAAAACAACCCGTCTTCCGTTGATTCCAGAATTCACCAGCGTAAAGTAATCCTCTTCTGAAAAAAATGAGTTTTTCATTGTCAAAATAGTTGCAACAACAATATGGTCTTGGGTAAGCCCCCTTATCGGGTTTCCATCGGTGGGCGCCAGGTAGTTGAAGTCGTTCATTACTATATGTCTTGCCTCAGCCTCAGACACATACGTTTGAGGAAAATGGATATTCATCTCGTCCCCGTCGAAGTCTGCGTTGTAGGACTTACAGTTGGCATAGTGCATTCTTATTGTTCTTTCCCCTTTCAACACTCTACATTTGTGAGCCATTATACTTGGCCTATGGAGAGTTGGCTGCCTATTCACAAGCACTACATCTCCATCCACAAGATGTCTCCAGACAGTCTTCTTACCATCCAAAAGCTGATTGGCTAGCGCATATCTCTTTTCGTCAGCCATGTGTTCCAGACTGAGCATCACGTCTCCATCTTGCAGATATAGGCTTCCTGGATAGGTAGGGCCATTCACAACAGCCTTCTTAAGCCTACTTACGTTGAAACTAGTCACTCTCTCCGGGAAAGTTAAAGCCTCAGCAAACACGGAGGGAATGCCTATTTCTCTTGTTTCGATATTGGGATCCGGAGATATGACGGTACGCCCCGCAAAGTTAACCCTCTTTCCCATTATATTTCTGCGGAACAGCCCCTCCTTTCTTTCAAGGATCTGCTTGTGTCCAGGAGGTATTGTCGATGCATAGTTCCATTTCTTTATGTTCGCATTATCGAAAGATGAAAGAACAGCGCTCTGAAGCTCAGGCCAGTATGAAAGATCCTTTGTCATCGATATGCTGATGCTAATAATGTCACGGAGATAAATAATTTGAGGGTTTTCTATCTTCTTTCCATTCACAATGCTTATGGGACGGAATCTGTTAGGGACGACCGGAACGTTGGAGATGAAGAAGATTCCAGGCTCTCTTGTGGAGAAAATGGACTCAACCAAATCTCCTTCATTTAAAAATAGATTTTCGATGAGCTCCTTGACAACGTCAGGTGAGAGTAGTTCAAAGTCGTTTTCGTCTTGGTCCTTTCCTTCGTTTCTTCGGAAGTCTTTTAGTATTCTCATGTTTGCTCCTCTGGTGATTCGAGGGTTACTATGCCCACACCTCACACACTTTCTTCTGGAGCTTGCATTAGAGAAAAATTTGTGTGCTACCTCTTGATATCTCTCAGCCGGAGACGCAGACTTGTTTTTCTTTGCCGACTCTACCTTCTCAATGACAATCCTATACAGCTCCTCCTCTTCCTCAACCATATATAGATCATCCAGCCCATCGATTTCCTTTCCGTTCCTAAGAAGAGAAAGCTTACAGAACAAAATCAATCTATCATAGTTCGTTATTCTAAAGTGCTTGCATTGGAAGCAGCAGCATTTAACTATTGAAAGCAATGAGTCAAACAGAATAGGATTAAAAACAGGCCTTGGAAGCTTTATGTGTCCAAAGTGCCCTGGGCAGTTTAGGAGCGATAGATTGCAAGTTTTGCAGTTCGATGAAAAATCTATCGGGCCCATTCTTAAGTCATACAATCCCCCTTGAACAGGATGTCCAAACCTATCGAAAGAAACCGGTACTACAACCTCCATGCAACTAGCTCTCTCTATTTCTTCGTCAGAATACAATCCAAATGATATCTTTTTTGGATAAAATTTCATAACCATTTTGAAGAGGGGCCCTTAAGTGTTTGAATTGAAAGAACTCTACGGGACCAGTGAGATGTTCAGTATGTGAAGTGGATATAAAGCATGGTAGCGCAACGGAAGCGCGCTGGGCTCATAACCCAGAGGTTGTGTGGTTCGAATCCCACCCATGCTAGATCCTTTTGCCCTTCATGCTATCGCTGCCTCCCAAGCTTCAACTTTAAATAAGAACCCAGCTTTATTATAAAACGAAATCAAACATATGCTGTGGTGACAACCACCTCCTCGGAATCCTTGCATCCCTTTCTTTTCTTTCCCTCCACTCCCTTTTTGCAGTTTGGCTTCTTCTTGTATGAAAAAACAGTATTGTAAACAATCTTGTGGCCCCCTCTATTTCTTGTTTCTAGGCTCACTGTTTTCACCACTGTTCTTGTAACAGTCTTTACTGCATCTCTCGCTGTTTCTGAAAGTGTACTCTTGGGGGCCTTCGAGGCTTTTGTTTCCTCCGAATCCTCAACCAAAATCTTTCTAACTAAGGGGAGAAGCTCTGCTATTATGTCTTGTCTTCCAATAAGCGGAGAGCTTGGAGCAGCCGATGGAGGTGAAACCACGCTGGAGATGGTCGCCTTCTTCTCTAAAGTCTCTGGAATAGCAATAGTGGTGCATTTCTCTGTACATATCAAAGATCCAGCACCAGGGTTTGGCGGGCTAGTCGAAATGCCCTCTATTTTCTGAGATGCAGAGCTCGAGGCCTCATCACTTTTCAGGCTTGTCTGTGGCGTGCTTTCCTGTGTTTTTGTAACCGTAAGAACAGAGATGCTAGGCTGCGTTACAGTTCTATACACTATAGTAGGAGACTCTGTGGTATTTTGCTTGGAAGAAGTCTCCATTCCCTTTGTGTCCTTACCAGGCTCATCATTCTTTTTTGATGTACCGCTAGAGACCGTGTGTGTTGTTGCAGATGCGCTTGCTTCCTTTACTGCCAATGGCTCCTGGGCGTACTGAGTTTTTATGGATATAATCGTGGAGTACTGTGTCTGTACGATTGTTTCTGTTTTTGTGTTACTTTCTGTCTTTGTTGTCGTAGATATCTCCCTGACCGTTGTTAACTTGTAATTGATTATGGGAACTTCACTCTTAACTGTTGTTGTTACTTCTCTGTACAACGTGATGGGCTTTTCAGCAGTGATTGTTTTCGAAAGAACTCTAGTGACTGTTACAACAGATAGCCCATTCTTCTCCTTGTCTTCAAAGTCCTTCTCCGTATCCGTTTCGTCCTCTATTTTCTCCTCTTCACATGGAACGTCTTTGAACTTGGAACGCTTTATGGAGGCGGGAATAGAATGTGCCTTCTCAGTATCTTCTTCTGGTACTTTGGAACTGTTACCCTCACACCTCTTCTGTTTCTCTGGTTTTTCAGAGTGAGAGGAGTAGGATGTCTTTTCTATAACTCTTGGAACTTCTATAGTTTTGAAAACGGTCCTCACTTCTTCCTTCTGGGTCTCGGGGGCCCTAGTAGCTTCAGACACGTGGGTATCTCTCTTTTCTTCGCTTTTCGAGATAGTGGCAGGCTTCTCGGAGACTGTCTCTGTTTTTGTTTCAATCACCGTAACATTTTTATAGGATACTGACGGTGGCTCTGTACTTTTAGATGTGGCCATTCCACCATTTCCACTCTCCTCCTTATGATGGATCACATGAATAAATGGAAACTGAGGCTCTGAATCCTTCTTATACGAATCGATTGCCCTGTTAGCAAGAGTCTCTCTCATCCACTCAAACTCCCCACACTCATCTTTGCATTCACCTTTTCTACAATTCATACATCGATTCACATCTTTGTATACTACTGCCATGCATCTTCCCTTGTTACAGCTTGAATCGCGTACTATTGGCAGGTTAAAGCTCTGAAGGTATTCGTCATACTCTTTTTTTGGAAGATACACTGAATTCAGGCAGTCGTTCAGGCTTATTCCATATCTCCGGCATCTGGCTGTTAGCTCGTTCTGTATGGCATTCAGATATCCCATAACTATCAAGATCATCATTGTGGAACTGAGTGTTTGTTTGTTCTCTCTGCATTAGAAATATTTGTGCGGCTGGGTTTCACATCTGGATCAGACGTTTTAATAAGGGCTGTTATGGGCGTGATGGTGTAGGCTCGGTGGTCTAAGGGTATGATCTCCGCTTTGGGTGCGGAGGGCTCCAGGTTCAAATCCTGGCCGAGCCCTTTTGCCGTGCCATTATTATTTCAAGCAAAAATAGTTGCCTTGTGATACAGATATAACCATTTTATATCTCTATCCCCATGGAAGAGTATACATTATGCTCTTCGAGTACTGAGCAGGGCGAAATACCAATCATTCATGTCAAGAGATTCAAGGAAGAGCCTCCGCTGTTTCCAAGGACTAAGTCGCAGCTGCAGTACATGTACTTGCCAAACAAGCCTTTGTTTGTGGGGCCGAATACCATACCAAGGTCCTGTGACTACCAGGTAAATGTGCTCACGACAAAGCTTAAAAAGAGGCTCAAGCACGACCTTCCCTATCCATTTCTTTGCCTTTCAATGAACTTGGACAAGACGTTTTTTGAAGGAAAGTTTATTTTTGTGTCTGAGGCCCAGGAAACAGATGATGCAAATGATCTATTGCTGGTTAGAACTAAAGAAAGGATAATACATATTAAGGAAGAGGCTGGCCCGAATACCGAAGGAAGAAATGAAATAAGACTGGAGCATATAAAGGATAAGCAGCACGATATGTATAAGGATGCTTGTCAGGACTTCGTGGCAGGAAAGCTGCTTGAAGATACTGAGGAAAGAAAAGTAAATGTGATCATTAGGGACTCAACTATTAACAGTCTTTTGAAGAAAGAGGTATACACGCACTTTTACGTAAAGAAAGAGAATGGCAAGTTGTACGTAGTTTTTGACGAGGTATATACAAGAGAAATTAAATACTATGATTACCTTACCAAGTATGGAGAGGAGGTCATAAGGTCCCTAAAGTCTTCGGAGACTAGAGTGTATTGCGGTGGAGAGGCTACTGTTGTTGTATATTCATCAACACTTTTCTACAGCTCTTCTGGGATCCAAAGGTTGTTTGGAGGAATTGATGTAGAGAAGTCTGTCGATGTCGTTGTAAACATCGAAGATGTAAGAGCTGTAAAAAGCTCAGGCGCTATTGGAAATGAGGTGAAGGTGATTCTGGGGATCAGACTCGAGGAAGGCGAATATGTTTTCAACAATGGGAAAATATACGCAGCAAGTCCAGACGGTGAGAGATTTGCATTTGATGGTGTTGTGTTTACTGATTTCATGGATAACCCGGAGCCTTCAAGCGATTAATTTGTTTGGGGTTTATTTACGAGATAAATGGAAAATAAAGTGAAAATTATATCTTCAGACAATAAGGAATTCGCTCTTGACTATGATGTTGCAGCACAAAGCCAGACCCTAAGGACATTTTTCAATAGGCCTGAAATGTTTTTGGAATCGATTTCTAGGGAGGTCAAGCTTCCGATAAAGGCGCGCTATCTTAAAAGAATTGTTGAGTTTCTGGTGTTCAAGCACTTTTCTGATCCAGACAAGGAGCCGGAGGAGTTCAAAGTTAGCGACTCTGAAGCCCTAGAGCTATTGGACATTGCTGTATACCTCAAGATTTAGTGGAAATAGAATAAATGCTTTATTACTTACATAGAGAGTGTATTATACACGCTTCCTCCTGCAAACGCCTCTCTTCTTTCAATATTCTGTGCCCTTTTTTCCATTGAGGGAGATGTAGTTCTTAAACTCTTTCGATTCCAATATTGTTTCTATCAATTCCTTTCCCGGGATAGCATTGGATATCCCCATGGATTCTATCATCTTGTAAATGGATTCTGGGTGCTCATCAAACCCAGGAAGATCGCTAGATTTCATGGGGTTGTAGAACCTCATGATTATCATACCCCGGTTCTAAATCCGGAGCTTCAGAATATTCTCGTATCTGGACATCTCTGGACAGTAGGGGCATTTAAAAGAGTTAAGGACACCTTCCTGGGAAAGCACGCTTGCTGCTTCCAGAGATATTACATGCCCGCACTCAAGCATCACAGGGATGTTTTCATCAACACAAAGAGTTTTTAACACCGGGCATATAAAGAGCGAGTGATAGTTTCTTCCCTTCTCTAACTTTATCTCAACAGGAAGAGTCTGATCATCCTTATCAAAGAATAGATTCGCAGAGGAGGAAAGCTGAAGAAAAGCAGATGTTCCTGTCTCAAATAGCTCTTTGAGATAGCATCTGTTTGGCATTCCACTTACTTCAAGATACTTAGACTTGAAGCTCTCAATAAGCCTTTCCCTGCTATTTTCCAAGGCCTCTCCAACATTTGCAGGATTTACTAAGAACTTGAGAAGTGGCTTGACATCCTGAATGTACGTAGGAACAAACGATCTTAGCTTCCCAAGGCATAGCTTAAGGGCTTCATCATATCTTCCATGGTGTATAAGCAGCAGGAATTCATGAGATGCAAGATATAGCTCAAGCCTCTTGCTCGGATAGCTCCCAAGAAATTCCTTCAAGAGCCCAGTGTGGTCCTTCGATATTTCAAATACAATTTCCTTGAACCTGACATAGTCGTCCCTGATTTTTGCCACTCCCTCCTTTCCATCCTTTATTTCGCATATTAGTTTCTCAACAACATCGGCACAGTCGTTTTCAAGGAGATAGTACACTATGAGATGTGTCACTGTTTGCATACTGTTTGGGTATGCTTGGTTTCCTATCTCTATGTCGGATTCTACAGGTTTATTGTCTTCGAAGAGTGAATCTTTCCAAAGTCTAATAAGGCCAGCTTCTGCATCCAGCAAAGTACTAAGTTCCCCACCATTGTCGAGAGGCAAGGCCATCTGTATTTCGTTTATCATCCTCACTGTTTCGTCCCTTAGATGCTGATAATCTATGTTGTGGATGCCATCAATCATAATGGGCTGGAGAGCCCTATAAAATATGTTCTATTTTCTAGTCCATAAACAAATGTCCCAGCCCTACTCAGGTGATTTTCGCAAGAATAGCAGAAGGATGCTCTTCGACAGGCTAATAGAAGCCATAGAAAACCTTTCCGATACCGTAAAGGAAGGAGGTTTGGGTGCTGTCTGTAAAGGCAGCCTGGACGAAGACAAATGGAGCGATACAAAGATAAAGTTTATGAGGAAGTACGGGCATATAAGATGATCATCTGTCTGCCCAAACTTATGCAGAGGCCTGGAGTTTCACGGAGTCGGAGAAGAAAGTATGCGCAGTAAGAGATACTCCTGTTATTATTTATTATAAATCCGAAGTTAATAAAAATCAAGCAAAAAAAAACTTAACCCTTGAAATAAATAATTCCGAATGGACGCACCAGAGATTTCTTTTGAGCATCAGGATACGTCTGTTCCAAACAGGTCTGGAATAATTCCTACCCTTCAGAACGTTGTTGCAACGGTCAATCTGAACTGTAAGCTTGATTTGAAGAATATAGCCCTTCGTGCTAGAAATGCAGAATATAACCCAAAAAGATTTGCTGCTGTGATAATGAGAATAAGAGAGCCGAAAACCACGGCATTGATCTTTGCCTCAGGAAAAATGGTAATAACAGGAGCAAAGAGCGAGAAGAGCTCGAAGATGGCAGCCCAGAGATATGCAAAAATAATACATAAGTTGGGGTTTAACGCAACGTTCGACGACTTCAAAATACAGAACATAGTTTCGTCTTGTGACATCAAGTTCAGCATCAGGCTGGAGGGATTAGCATATGCACATAGCAATTATTGCAGTTACGAGCCCGAGCTCTTTCCAGGGCTGATATACAGGATGGTTAAGCCCAAAATTGTACTTCTAATATTTGTTTCTGGAAAAATCGTTCTCACTGGCGCAAAGGTGAGAGATGACATCTACCAGGCATTCAACAATATATATCCTGTATTGATACAGTACAAAAAAACATAGCTCGTTTAACGACTCGCCCAAGACAGAAAACAAATAAATTCTTTATTGTTATCCTTTTTCGGTGGGTGCTCAGGGCCTTGTCCCTACTATTGTGAAAAAAGATTTTGCCTTTAGCTTTATCTCCTTAACCATGAAATTTCCTGTGTACTCTTTGTTCCCGTCGACATCTGTGTTGAAGATGCCAAATGCCCTTCCTTCTACAGAGTTCACTATCCCACCGACTGGCATTACAAGCACTACATATTCTACGGACACAGGAGTAATCACATCTCCTGTTTCACAAATCGAGGCTTCAGCACATCCAATCTCCTTGATGTCAAATGATAAGGGAATCCCGTTGATTTTGTGAGAATATATTAATAGCTTAGATGCTATACATTTGGAGACAGCTTTTCTAGGGCTTGTGAGGAACTCCGGGCTTATTTCCACATATGTTACAGTCTTGACAAGCTTGAAATTGATCATTTACTGAGCAGGATTAAAAATTCTTGAGACAATTGTGATGGGATAGCCCCAAGAATGAATGTTATTACTGGGTATTTCAAGCATACCAGGAGAATCAAGGAAATAGAAAGCAGTGCGATATCCGAAGTGTATATTTCAAACATACTTGAACACTGCAGCCCTGGAGAGTATCTGATAACTGATGGGAAAGGTTGCATTCCAGTATTCAGATGTATTAGAAGCGGTGGTAAGACTGAGTTCAAGGGATATTTGAAATACAGGCTCGGAAACAAGAATAGAAAATTCCAACTTGTTGAAGGCATCACGGGGGAGACTGCGATTATAATCGGTGGCAAGTATCTATATGTGCTCGCACAGGAAGCAAGTGCACCAACAAAGTATCTTGTTTTCACTGAGGGCCTCTTGAAAGAAAAGGATGTTGCCTTTTCCGCCTCTCCGGAAGACATACAAGAAGAATCCAGAAAATGCAAATCGGAAGCGCACAGCCAGGTAGTCTCATGTTTCTTGAAGAGCGTAAGGCCCCAGTACCATGCACATTTCTTGTACTTCTATGTCTCAAATGTAGAAGCCATATATGGACAGGTTCTAGTTTCTTGGGTAGACGGTGCAATGGTATTCTATACGCTGACATCTCCTCTGTTTCTTAACCTCAATGAACTCTTTTCAAACCAAGCATGCCTCCCGATGGCATACGGAATTCCTTACTTTCCTCATACAAACTTTACAATCAGCCACGAGTGGCAAAAGGTCTATGACTCCAGTTCATATGAATTTGCTTGGTGCTATCCTTCCAAATTTCTTCTAGAAGTCATAAGCTTGGTACTTCTTGAAGAGAGAATAGTGTTTTACTCCGCCATGGATTCTTCCCTGAGAGTACTGCAGATTATAGAACTTATAAAGCCTTTCAGATGGCCGCACATAATATGTCTGCCTCTTCTCCCAGGAATGGAGGAGATTCTTGAGAGTCCTCTACCCTTCATAGTATGCTTAAACAAAAAGCTGAAAATAGAAGGTGTAGCATTTGTGGATCTGGACTCTCTAAGGATACGCAGCTCTAGAAAATATGCCTTGCTACCTAATAAGAAAATAAAGGACGAGGTAGCAAAGAACGATCCAAAGGAGATAAGGAGTTGTATAGAATTAATAGCAACAGAAATATTGCTATGGAGAGAATATCTGATAAAAAGATGGGGTAGCAAGATAATAACCAGAATACCAAATAACCCCCTAAAGTTTATAGGAAGGACTCATCGGTTTTACAATGATTTCTTTAGAACCAGGATGTTCTTGGCTTTTATAACGGAGGCACGTGATTATCTATGTAGATACTTGGTTGAAATAGGAAGCGACCGCACTGTCATACTTCTGCCATATGCATACCTAGGCAAGTATATGCATACAAAAGCTCTACGGCTATGGATAGAGCTGTTTGATGGGGATATGGAACCGGTGATTGACCATCTGATTAGGAATGATCTCCTTTTAGACGTTGCAGATGTAGTCTTCAGGCGGCTAAGCTATAAGGAAGACTATAGTAAAATAGATGCCATCTTATCACACATCCCGTCTCCAACCCACGAAATGTACATGAATATTAATGTTATCTCCAAAATGCCGAGGGTTATTTTCAAGGATCTTTACTCCTATAATTTATATCATCTGAAAGCCTGCGACTGTAAAACCTTGGACCTCAGGAAGCTCCATTGTGTAGAGGATCCCGAATGGAAAAAGAAGCAAGGGCTGATGGAAATTGTTCGAAAAGAGGTGAGAGGCGTGCTTGAAAGGATGAAACAGGATCTATTTGATCCTTGGAAGGAGATGTGTGAGTGTAAGGATAGAAGATCTGCTATACTTGTCACTGGACCTGAATATGAATTTCTTTGCTTTCTGCTGATACCGGAAAACACAAGCTTGGCGATAAAATGCCATGATTCAGAAAATCTTCTTGAAAAGGATCCTCAGGTTTACTGGAGTATTGTGACATATTTCTTATACTTTAACCTTCCCTTAGGGAACAACCCTGGGTTTGATGGGAAAGTCGATGTTATTATTGATGAACCCGTGCTTGACCTTCGGATTGACGGAAGACCCAGGTTTTATATCGACTTCTAGCATAGGCTATGAGCAATGGACATCCTTGATCTATGGCCTTCTAGTATCAGAAGACGTTTGAATATGCTTCTCCTTCATAGCTGGAATCCAGGCTCTCTCTTTTGATATAGGTATATATGGGAACGGTTAGGCCGTGTATCATTACACTTAGGAACACTGTGCAACTAACGAAATCAATCGTAAGTGTTTCTTGAATCTTGTCTGTAAGAAGCGCATAGTACAGTGCACCTACTCCTATAGGGCCGAACCATCCAATAAACAGCGCCTCTCTCCGGGACTTCAGCTCAGGGATCTGACGGTACATAAGACAGCATATGACAGGCCTTCTGATGAAGATTATTACAAGCGAGACAATTGCATTTGACAAGGTGAATCGCCTGAAGTCTATTCTGGAACCAAAGAATAAGAAGAATGAGGTGCTAAGAATTGTATCCGTTACCTCTTGTAGATTTGAGTTTTTGGTTTCTAGTACAAACCACTCATCAAAGGAGAACATTATTCCGGCGAAGAATATGCATATCAGCTCGCTTCCGCCTATAAACTCCATAAGTGCCATTGAAAAGACAGCAAGGATTATGCCGTGGGCAAGAAAAGACTCAACGCCCACTAGTCTTCTTGTATAGCAGTATTTCAGCCCCTGTCTTGATAGAATGCCAATAGAAAGGCCTATAGCTGCAGACAAAAGAACTCTGACGAGTATATTATTGACGACGAATGGATAGATACCCTTCCCCAGACCATTCTCGAGCAAATCAAGCCCGAGGAATAGAAGGAAGATTCCCATCCCATCGTTTATGCCACTTTCTGCAGCAAGGAGTAGCCTGATTCTTTCAGGCACCATTTTCATCGCAAGCTTTCCATGTATTATACTAGAGCTTAGTATAGGGTCTGTAGGGGTCAAGCAGGACGCCAGCGACCATGACATGGATTTGTTGTAGTTTGTAAACAGATATACTAAGCCGAATGAAAACGAGCACTTGATTATTCCCACCACAATGACAAGGAAGAATATGGACTGCCATTTCACAAGCACATAGTTTTTCGGTAAGGACATTGCAACACTCATCGTCTGGATGCAAAGGACAATTCTTGAGAAATTGTACATCATGATTTTGGAATAGGCATAGTTCGTATTAAAAACATTCAGTCCGTGGTGGCCAAGGACTATTCCTGCAAGCACTGAAATCAACGACTCTGATAGAAATAGGTTATTTTTGACGTGTTTTGAAATCATTCCAAACAGCAGAACAAATGACGAAGAAGCAAGCAATAACCTGAAGACATCATCCATTTTCCACACACCTCTGTATTATTTATACTGGGATGCCGCTCTTTTGTGACCGCCCTGTTTTAATTTGAAACGGTTCGAGGATACTTATCTATCAGATGTAGAGCAACAAGTTTTTTAGTAGAAGGATTCTTAACAAAAATATGTAAATAAATGTTTTGGACCAATTAGATAAGAGAGGCTTTATTCTGATTTCTTTCTAAAGATATGGTTAACCTTCTCGTCATTAAGCTCACTGGTGTTAGCATCACGTAAATCAAGGACTTTTTTGCCAACCGGAGCAACTCTGGAAAGCCCGAGATCGTCTTCAATGATTAGTTTGAACTTCGGGTTGTCAATAAGCCTCTGGAAGTCATCCAGCTTCTTTTCGCAGGTTTCCCTCGAGATACCACCGCTTGCTAGAACGTTTCCTGCACCTGCTCCGCTTGTTATGTCTTCTTTGCCACACAAATTTCTAATCTGGTCCTTTCCCTGTATCAAGAAAGACTCGACATTCTGGATACTGGGATAGGTACTAGTGAGCTTGAAAGAAAGATCATCTGAGATTATCTCAACCGATGCCAATTGGCTTATGTTTACCTCCCGAGAAAGATCCTCTTTGTCATCGAAGTGGCACTCGATCCTGACACTTCCTCGGTGATCACACATTTTCTCAAGGAAGCTAACAGACTTATCTCCACACTCTTCGCAAATAAAGGCACATATCACGTTCTCTGTCACATCGCTGAGATCGACAATTTTCATCTTTCCAGACCATCCACAATTTGTACATTTCATGTCAGTTTCACTAATATTGCTCTTTAGTGTCTTTTCATATCCTTCCTTGCTCTCCATTGGGGGCATCCTCTATGACTCGCTTAAATTTCCCTTCCTCCTTCCTGAAGCCCAATAGAACTGAAGCATGTCACTCCAGCATTGGTGGAATCTTCAGTCCTGTCTATGTAGATAGAAATGTACACAGGCCAACAGATTGCAAGAATAAAGGGTATCCAATAAAATAAAGAAAGCATGTGGATATGATAGTTTAATCTCCGATATATCTGATCCATATCTTACACTCCCCATTAGCGCTACAACTAACAACGCTTGGCTTTCTAAATACATTCACGCCATCTAGACTTACTATGCTTGTTTCATGGAGCTTCATTTTGGTCAGGGATTTTCCATTGTCAAACCAAGCACTTTGGGATGAAACTGCAACAAGATCTTCGTCAATCAGAGCAGCCGTCTTTATATTTTCATTTACATTTAGTATCTTGACTTTCTGGATTCGTTTATCTAGCCATATAACTTGGTTCCTGAATACCACAATAAATCCCTCCTTAATACGCTTAATCCCTAGGGCTTGGCCTTTAAGTATCTCCATCATTTCTATGTTAAGTTCAAAATCATATACATAAACCCTTTGCCTGTCTGCAAACATAAAATTATCCTCAGATATGCAGCATATATGGTGAATCTCTCCACTAAGAACCTCTTCCCGCTCAAAGACACCTTCAAGACTCCACTTCCTCATAATTCCCCCGCTGTCAAGAGAATGGATAGAGTCAAGGACTTCATAGCTGACTATTGAGGTTGTATGCCCCCTTAAAGCTCCGAAAATCTCCAAGGTTATGCACTCCTTGATAACACATCTTACCAATATAAGTTCACTGCCTCCAACACCACATACTATCGTTATAATGCCCTCACATTCTCTTATCTTCATTTCTATCACCTGCTTGTCGTCAGTTTCTACAACCGATTCACTCTTTCCAGACAGTAAATTAACAGCTGTGATGGTTCTGTTGGAGGATGCAATAAACAAAAGCTTGTGATCCCTTGCCACCGCAGAGCACACAGTCGTGTGTTCATTAGGCACAAATGCCATCACTTCCTTTAAGCCAAACAGTCTATCTCCTGTTCCAAGCACAGACTCAAACAGAGGGCTGCTGTTGCTTTGGGCTGCCGTCATGGAGGGGCTAGTTGCACTGTTGCTCTTCCCTTCATCTCGGAACTGTCTTGGAGGTATCTTTGCAGAGGACGCATTCTGATCTTCAAATCTAGGGTATCTAGGGTATCCCTGCCCTGCCTTGTAACCAGATGTGCCCATGCCTGCCTTCCTTGGATCGTAGAATCTTGGTGCAGCGTCCACAGGTGGTGAAACATGTCCATACATTTCATACATCTTTCTCTGGTCAAACTGCTGCGGCTGATAATACATAGGATATTGCTTGTATGGATCCATTGCCCCGCCATACCCCATGCTTGTTGGATCAATTCTTCCTATGTTCTGGTATCGCCTCTTTTCGTTTTCTAGCTTCATCATTATTCCTTCTATTCTGCTCAGGTCCTGGGCATTTGATGACAAACCTGACCTAACTGCTGAAATATCATGGAATGCTGCATACCATTGAGCCAGGATAGGCATTCCTTCCGTGGGTTTGAAGTCTCCAAGACTCGCCTCATTGAAAAATACCTTTGCAGAACCCTCGTACTTCATTTTCGACAAGTAATCGTACACTAGCATGTTCAGTGCATCGTAAACTCCAGAGTCCTTCTTCTTGTAGGTATGATCCCCCATCACAACTTTGCAAGGGGTCTTTAAATTAAAAACTTTAGTTACACCTAAGAGCTTCTACCAGATCATCGGGAAATGCCGGTAGCACTCCTAAAAGTCTATCTGCTGCCGAAACATGGCCATTTCTACTATTTTCATGCAACTTGTATAAGCCATAAATATTTATTATACGAGTAACCCTTACTCAGTCACTACAACAGAAAAATCATTTCCAACATCAAAATCTATCACCTTAGGGAAATCGAATGGAATTCTTTTTGGTAGGAATAGGGTTTCCTCCTCATGCCCCAGTGCGCCATTGAATCCTGTTCCCCACGAGTATAATTCGTTCCCAATCTTGCATATGTTAAAACTATTATAGGAGCGAACTGCTTCGACCCCGTAAAGCCCAAGCCTTACAGGAGACCTTATACTTTCTGTTGACTGGATGCCAAGCTGCCCCTCTTTATTTCTGCCACAGCCATATAGACATCCATCTCTAGTAACAAACAAACTGTGATTTTCTCCGCCGGCCACCTGGATTATCCCCTCCAGAGGTACCTTGTGCTTGCTAAAGGTGCTTTCAGCCTTATCATGCCCCAACTGCCCATAAAGATTCGATCCCCAGCAGTAGGCTTCTTCGTCTGTGTTGAGTGCTATTAAGTGATTTAGGCCACATCCAACCGATTTGAATCTATAGTTCTGCAAGCGCCTTCTGGGCGTCGTTACTGCATCTGGTATAAGAGCCCTTAGCTTGTTTCTTTCAGATGTTCTTCTTCCAAGCTCTCCAAATTCATTTGAGCCAAAGGTAAAAATAGCATTTTTCGAGTCAAGCGCTGCTATGAAGTTTTGCCCAGCACTCAGGGTCTGTATGTTTTTAAGGGGAACCTTGATAGGAATAAAAGAAATGCTCTCCTTGGGAGTCAATCCAAAGGCACCGTTAGTCGATCTAAACGTTCCCCACACATACACATGCCCACTAGAAGTCAATGCTGCGGAGATAGAGGCGCCACAATCCATGTCTACAATCTTTTCACCAAGGCATACCTTCTGAGGAGTAGACTCATCACCATCTCTTCCTAGCGCACCTTCATCGTTACATCCCCAGGAATATAACGTCCCTTCAGAGTCAAGTATCAACGTATGCAGGGATCCGCATCTAACCTTAGTCAGAGACATGCCGTCGAAGAAAGAAAGCCTTGTTGGGACATGAGTGCTTCCCTCGTCTTCTCCCAGTCCCAACTGAGATATAGCATTTGATCCGAAAACAAAAACACTCATTCTAAGGACTTTATTTTTCGAAATTTATTCTTCCTCAGGTCTAATTTTCTATTTTTTCGAAGCCTTATGAAACTTGAGTTTTCCAATGGTTTCGAGGATTTGGCATTTGTTCTGAGGTATTTCTGCAGAGATGCTAGCTTGGAAAATGTAGACAGTGGGGTGAGACTTTTCAGCGGAGATGATAAGCATGAGGGCTTGGATGATGTGCTGAGTGCTTTATATAAGATGTTTGAGAAAAATCATGATCACAAGAAGATCAAAGAAACGAAAAAATTGAGAGAGAATCCAGAGGTGAGAAAGGCGGATGTGAGTATATCGAGCTTGGTGTCGTTTTATGGGCTTTATTCCCAAATGATCACGCAAGGGATCCTGAAGAATAAGCCGTTTATTGACCAGATGGTAGAGAAGATTGCGCCATGCATGAAACTAGATCCTGATTTTCAATTGCTTGACATACAGGTTGGTGAGATAGTGAGCGTCGGAGATGTTCAGGATCTTGATAAGCTTTATTCTGAAGAAGTTATTGGAAGAGAGAAAATGCAAGTTCTAAGCGGGCTGAGGGAGCATGTAAGGAAGGAGGAGCTACTAGGAAACAAATTTCTCTTTGTTACAAATATGAAACCAGCCAAGTTCAAAGGACAGGTCTCTGAGGGAATGATTCTATGTGCAAAGGGTAAAGACGGAAAGATTGAACCTATTAAAATACAAAGTGAAATAGGAAACGGGTCCAGACTGGAGTTGGAAGGATTTGAAACAATTCTCAATGACTTTAATTCTGGGAAGGTTGATATGAGGAAAAGTGGATATGCTCGTGCTTTAGAGTCATTTAAGATTGTAGACCATTTTCTTACTTTTAAAGGAGTTAAGGTTACTTGTGGGGGAAAATATATCAAGACCAACACACCGGATGGCCTAGTAAGCTAATTAAATTGATTTCAAATGATAGCATTGGAAATACGGGCTTCTTTGTTCCTAATGATAAATAGAATTTCCATTATGGGTGATGGATAACAATGGAATTGGAAAAGGGAATAGATTATATCTTCTGTGGATCTAGAAAGGAAATGGAGTGCACACTTCGGATTCCGAGGCCGGTTATAACGTTGACACCGTATAAAAGCAAATGCTCTGATCTGATATGCTGGGTGGATGGAAAAGACATTGTAATGACACCCAAAGACTTGGCAAAGAATCTTGAAAGGATGGGCGGTAAACATGTGGTCGTGGAAAACTGTGAGTTGATGGAGGTGTTTGGATACTTGCCTGACATGATGTATCTGAAGAGAAAAGAAATTTCATTTATTCTTTTAAATGCTCAAAGAACACCTCCATTTGCTGAAGATCCTGTCTTCTTATCAAATAGCAGGTATTTTATAAGGGCCAGGGGAGATGAAAGGTATGCCATAATCTTTGCGCTGCACAAGATCTATAAAAACATGTGGGTTGTGTGTAAGAATGTAGAGCGAATGAGGATGTTTTCAGAGGTTTTCAAGCTAGAGCTGGTTGTTGTGAAGCATGGGGATGATGTGAAGGGAAGGGGTGTTGTTGCTGTAATGGATGGCTTTGTGAATGTTGAGTGTGAAAAGCTATTTTATGTTGGAGAAGAGTGTAAGGGAATGAAACCCATGGTACTAGAAATGGGCAAGATTGGGAAGTTCCTACACAGGATAAGGGATGTATGCAGCATGCTTTCTCCAGCTGTTGTCAAGGGGAAAAGGAGGCTTGATATCAATAGACTATGCAACATTGAAAAATAGAAATGATATCTTTAGTGAAATGGCTTACGTAAACCCCTATATTCCTATGAAGGACTCGCCGAACAATAAAGTCTTCGGCGAGAGTATTATCGACGAGAAGTTGGTGAGGAAGTTATGTTTTGGAGGTGTGTGCAGTGATTACAGATGTGTCGCATGGAGAATTATCTTCCAGGTTGTTGGGTTGAGGAGGCAATCACATGCAAATGAGATTGAGACTAGGCAAAGAAAATACATGGGAATGGCTGCAAAGATGGGGTGCTCTTGGCCGACAGATAAGGATAAGTACTCTGTGAACGAGATAATAGATAAAGATTGCCTTACAAGGCCAAACGGGACATATCATTATGGCAATATTAGACTTCACGAAAAGATAGCACACCAGATCGATCTTGACATAAAAAGAATAGATCCCAGGTACAAAACTTACGCAGATGTAGACATATCATACATGTACTATCACATACTATGGCTGATTGCACAGAGAAGACCACAGCTTGGATATGTGCAGGGAATGGCTGATATTTTAGTTCCATTTGTCCTTGTTTTTTCGCATGAGAATATTGAGAAGGCTGAAAGTAGCACCTACTTCTGTTATTCGCGTCTACTGGATGAGATACAGCATAACATAATAGAGCTCCAAGCGGGAATGATTAAGGGGATGGATCTTATTTTGCAGACTGTGGATCCAGATTTCCACAAATTTCTGAAAGATATCGGATTGGAAATACACATGTTTGCATTCAGATGGTTTAATTGTTTTTTTACTCGAGAATTTAAGATGCCTGTGCTACTTAAGGTTTTGGACACCATTTTTGCTTCTGATAACATTAGCGAATCTCTGTTGTATTTTGGGGTAGCTCTTCTGATGAGGCTCAAGCCGGTTCTGATTGAAAACAACTTTTCCTACAACATTCTGTTCTTACAGAGTATATACGAACGGGAGTGGGAGGAGGCTGAAATAGAGTTGGTTTTGTCATCGGCAAAGTTTTATAGAAAAGTGACTTCTAGACAATTGATCTGGTCCCGGTTTTGGGACTGAGGTCGGTGAGAGGTGTAATTTACATAGTATTTAACAGGGTAAGGCGGATTTGTTTTGTTTTTAGTTGACCCTTATGAGGATTTTCTTTCTTTTATTAGGAAGTGTGATGTCGGATGCATTCTCACTGCTGCCAGTGTTCACCAAGGAAGACATGGCTCTAAAGGATACCTTCCTTGTATATCTTTACTACTCAAGACCGAATGTTTATTGTCCTGCCTGTGAGACATTCAATCGAAACATTTCCGTACTGCAGAAATATATTCCTGTGAAGAAAATAAACTTCTTTGAGGATCCGGAAGTTGCATCATGCTTCTATTCATTTCTGTTTCCGTCTTTTATAGTTAGAGATAAAGGACGTAGCTACCACCTGCATGTAGACAGCTTTGAGGAGTTGGAGGAGTTGATTAAGCACGGGAAATGGACTCAATTCGAACCTGTAAGGCGGTGGATGGATTTGGACTCGTATTTCATTAAGGTTTATTCTACTGCAAATTATGTTTTTTTCAAGGCTATGCAGAAGTCTTATGTGATCTTAGACGTAATTCCTGGATGGGTTATAAACTTTGTATTTAGCGCCATCATTGCATACATGATTTATTCTATATGTGCTATTTTCATGTCTCCTGTAGAGGATAAAAAGAAGGAATAAACATATGCTATCATATCAATGGACTTTGAGCTAGACTTCCTGATACAATATTTTAGACTAGGGTCTTACCCTAAATGGAAGACCTTACAAAGATACTAAAGGGGCCTGTGAAGGAACATTCTGAGTACTTGAGAAAGTTTATCTTAGCTTTCAAAAACGAGAGGAAGGAGTTGGAGATAAGGCTAGGGAAAATAGTTAGCAAGGAAGATGGAAGTAGGCTTAGGATCGATGCAGTGGCGCCTGTTGTGTTCAGAGATATCCCTATCGATTACAGGTTTGAAAGTGCAGTCGACTTCAGTGATTTCAACACTCTCAAGAAGCATTTTTCTACTTTCAAGAGTGAGGCCAAAAATGATGTGGTTATAATCAACGAAGACGGGAGGGAAACATATGAAAACGGGGTGCTTAAGAAGGTTGAGAAGAAAATAAGATCCCAGAAGCTTGACATATTTATTCCAAATAAGAAATACGATGTGAGACTTGTTTTAAGTGAAGAGAATGAAGCATTCAAGCGTCCCAGTAAGAAGAAAGCCATTGTAAAGAGGGTTAGGCGGAGAGAAACATATTTTATGGAACCCTATGGATTCGATTTTACAGAGACTATTCTTTCTGGAGAGAAGGATGAAAAGGAGAAGAGAAAGTTTGAGATTGAAGTAGAGGTGTTCAGTTCTGAAAAACTGGTATCGAATGACTTTGTTTCTCTGATATACAACTTTAACATTGATCTTCCTACACAATGAACATCCCTTTTTAGCTTGATCAGGGCTGGGTGTATCTATAGTTGCAGAGGTGATGGTATGTGATTTTATTGATCAAGGGAGGGCTATTAGCCTGATGCTTCAGCCAGGAAGAAAAACTGAAAATTTTTGTACCCCAGATGGAAGGAAGAGAACTAACATTCAAAATATGCTTGATAGGAGATGGGGGAGTTGGAAAGACGACTTATATAAACAGAGTACTTGATGGAAGGTTTGAGAAGAATTATAATGCAACGGTTGGTGCAGTGAATCATCCTGTGACGTTCCTTGATGATAAGGGGAATGTAATAAAGTTCAATGTTTGGGATACGGCAGGACAGGAGAAGAAGGCGGTTTTGAAGGACGTATACTATATAGGTGCTAGCGGGGCCATATTTTTCTTCGATGTGACATCCAGAATCACATGCCAGAACCTTGCACGATGGGTCAAGGAGTTCCAAGCAGTTGTTGGAAATGAAGCGCCTATAGTTGTTTGTGCCAATAAGATTGACATAAAGAATAGGCAAAAGATTAGTAAGAAGTTAGTGATGGAAGTCCTTAAGGGAAAGAATTACGAGTACTTTGAGATCAGTGCAAAGACGGCGCACAACTTCGGGCTTCCGTTCCTACATCTAGCTCGTCTTTTCACTGGAAGGCCCGACCTTATATTCGTATCTAATGTGAATCTTGAGCCAACTGAGGTAAATTATGATTATCATAGCCCTGAGGAAACGAAATATATCGATTATATGGAGCAGGCTGCGAAGATGGCACCCGAGGAGTAAGATTAAAACTAATACATCTTATATCTTGTTTTCAGCAAAGCTGAGTTCAAATGTTAATTTCATCCTTTGAGGGAACCCTAAAATGGAGAAGAAGCTTCCGACGGTTGTCACTATTGGAGGAAGAAGGTATGTTAAGAATAATCTTAACAAGGGAACAGGGGACGGAAAAATTAGACTGAAGGAGGCGTTGAAATCTCTCGGAAGGACTGTTCAAAAGTCTCAAATATCCCACTGCACCATCAATACTAAGGAAAGCATACATGTGTATACTTTAGACGACTCCAAAGTTATTTTAAACAAGAACAACGACCTTGTTGGATTTATTGTTACTGGAAAGGCACAAAAAATCAATAAGAGCGTGTGCCAGGAGCTATCAAATGCGATGGGTGACAATGCAAAAGCCCCCGAGAATGATACAGTTGAAGAGAAGTTAAAGCATTGATGCCTTTTGCCTAACAATTAAATACTTTTAATAGGTTCTTTGAATCGGGTGACTTAAGAGGACTGCTGCTCTGAATGCTCTTTGATTCCCCAAATGCTTAAAAGAGTAGAAGACGAAGCAAACTGAGCATAGAATGGGTTGAAGCGGACCTTCACGTTATCAAGCCCAGGTGTCTTGAATGCATGCAGCCTTCTCCTAGTTTTAGGATGATAAACAAGTACAGAACTACCTTCGCAGCAAAGAAAGAATTTTGAGTCTGGTGTGATGCAACCACTCCCTCCCCTTTCCAAATTTAATGCATTTCTTGTTGAACCATCCGGACTAAGAAAAAGGTGGCTTTTCTCACCAGAAACTACTATAAAACTTCCGTCTGGAGAATAGAACATTTCCTTATACCTTTTTTCTGGAAGTGATGAAGTGCTTTTTGGCCCCTTTATATTTCTTTTGTCGTATATCTTGAGCAAAGTGCCATTGATCAGCATTGCATATTCATTAGAAGAAGACAGGCAGCTTATAGAGTTGGGTGCGCTAATTCTATATATGGGGTTCTTTTTTCTTATGTCCCAATAATTAGTAGAATCGTATGAGGAGGACATAATCGTATCTTCCCTTGGGCACACGGAGAGTGCATTTATTTGACTCTTATGATCAGCAAAAGTGGAGACATACTTGTTATCAAAAACAGATAGAAGGTAAAGTGAGTTGGATGCCGAATGAACGATTGTGTTAGGATACATGAATTTATACTTTTGTATAGTTGGAAGGTGAATGATATTCTGGAGGCTTCCCGATATCGATGAATACAATCTCAGTACGTTGCCCTGTGTGCTACTTATCATGAGGCCATCTGTTGAGTACTCCACTTCTTCTGGGGAGATTCCAGACCCTAAAGGCTTTGACCTCTTGAACTCGGAAAATGCTTCGTCGGTAAGGATCATCCTGCAAAGAGGGATACAAAAAGGGAGTTAAAGTGGATTTTGAAAGTTCCAGAGTTTATGCAGAATGTCAGAGCATAATGTTGTGAAATTTATTTTAAAATACAGTCCATCTTGGCTTCATTAAGATAAGTTATATGCTCGTAGTATACTAGCAGTTCTTTTGCCTCGAGGCCTATGCTTTTTATATGCCTCTTCATTGAAAGTTTTAAAGAGTTCATTCCAGGTTTTTTGCTCAATCTTTGTTTCTAGCTGGGACAGGATCTCAGAGAGCTTTCTGGCCTCAAAAACCTCTAACAAGTTCACCAGAAGTTTGTACTTCTCGTTAGCCCCAAACGACCGTGTTATTGAGACTATGAACTCTGTGATAAATACGGGGTTCCATGTAAAAATAAGCCCAGAGATTATCTTGACTCTTTTGTTATATTTTTCTTTATCTTCTTCGGATCTCCTGAAGCTCAGAACCTTGATATCCTCAACCAACATTTTTTTTGAGAAGATTATTATGGACTTCAGTGTCCAATCCTTAACTATCCACTTCACAACAACTATGAAGTCCGATGTCTTATAGTTGTCAATATACTTCTTCATATTGTATGCAACTATGCGTGCATTGTCTTCATTTCTTATCCATTCTCCGAAGTTTGCATCGTATGTATCATCCATGTAGGAGATGGACTTTTCTATTTTCTCTAGACATAACCCCATGCTCTTACTCCTAAACACCTCTTTTTATAGAAAAAGGTTCTCCTTTTAAATTACCAAACAAAGAGCAAATCAAGCCTGTAATTAATTAAGATATAGGTGACACCAAATCTTTATGAAAAAGCTTATTAAGAGCAAATTCTTCGTCTCAGCACACTTAAATACAGCGAAGAGTTTATTGTGCTTGCTTAAACTCCTTTTGTCAAATAGGAGGAATAAACAAAAATAGAGCAGAGCAAATATACCTATTTGTTTAGGAAAATCATGGGCGGAATAGTGCGGTTTGGGCCAAATCATCTGTTTCTTATAGGAAATTAATACTAACCATATCAATCAATATTCTTTTGATATTTCATATCAGAAGATATATATTAATTGTTTCACGGAGCCATACCTTAAGGGGTTACAGTACTATTGAATGTAATATGATGAGGTAAGTATTCACTCAGTAATATACTCATATAATGAGTTTTGAAATATCTATTTCGTATAAGGAGTCTGAGTATACCCACAGCCTTCCCCTGCAGGAATCATAGGTGATTGCTCTAGGTGTAAAGTATAGCCTTATAAACATCTTGTATGTATTGAGGCAGTATAGCTCTATGCTGTCAGATAAAAGAAGTATGAACAGAGCCCCGAATACTCTGTATCCCTGGTAGCCGCTTGTTTTATTTATTGACTTAAGCACTTCTTTTCCATAAACAACCATCTCATGATTACTCTCAAGGATCAATAGATCAAGCACACCTGGAGTTACAGAAATAAATTTTAAATGGCTTAGAAACTCAATGAATTTTATCGGCACACTTCCCCTATTCTGCCTCCAACCTTGAATCAAGCATAGATGTGCATCGACCAAGACATATATATCAGTCCCGACTTCTGCAAAATCTATTATTTTGCCAGGCATGGTTACAATGTGTCTAGGTTGAAACGTCGAAGAGTCAAGAAAGGACATCGTACATTTATGTGAAAAAATTACATTGGCGTTGACATGCATCTTCTCTATTCTCCATTCCATCTTTGTGAGTACGGGACTACCTATCTTGAAATAGTAATACCCATACCTCTCAATTTGAAGAAATACAACATCCTTGAACTTAAGTATCTCTTTTACTCCGTTTGAAGGAAGAATTACGTCTTCCCTTATTAAACCCTTCATGTTCAATATGTAAAGTGTATCTTTAACACACATAAACAAGTCGCATTCTATAAACTCCATGTGCAGAATGTCTCCATTGAACAAAGCAGATCTGATCATACCGTCGATCTTTCAAACAGTTATGATGCAGGATTGAAGACAAAACATGTTTGAGCTATAGAAGAACCTTTGGACGTGTAAAGACAAAACTACATTGGAGTTTCGAAAATTTATTTTTCTCCTTGTGAATCTGAAAACTTCAGCACTTGCTTTTCTACCACCTCCAGAGCTTTAGATGTTTCTCTTATCTGGTCTTCGATCAATTTTCTTTTGTATTTATCGCTGTCCTCATCCATGGCTGCAAGCTTTCCCCTTAAGGTAACTAGCTCATCTTCATAGGCCCTTTTCTCTTTGTTGAGTCTTTGGAGAGCATTCTCTGCCACAGAATGTTTCATTTCCATAGTTAACGGGTGTAGCATTTAAAAATTTATCACTTCTGAATTTCTTGCACGGATTATCTCAAGCATTGCTGCTATTTGACATCCATCATAGGCAGGCGGTAATTTATTCTGTGTGCATACCAAAATAGAATGTTTCTGCGCCTGGTAATATAGTTGAGCCTTTTCTGCGAGATTCAAAAATACACCGTACTATGCCCTTATGATAAAAAAGATCATTCACAGACCAAAGAAACCGCTTTTTGTATTTAAAAGAGAGGAGTCTTTGCCATATGGGCCTAGGGTAAAGAGTGCACCGCCAATTGAAATAAACTTTGAGTTGCCTTCAAAGGCCGAGCCAAAGCCAGTGATAAGGTTTACAAGGCCTGACGGAACACCTATAAGAGTAGAAGACTTAATAGATTCAACAGATAGTGAAGTGTTGACTGAGAGCTCAGCGGAGGCAGAAACAGAAGATGAAAGCATTCTGCAAGGAGAAAATATAGCTTGCACGCAGGAGAAGGCTGAGCCAGAATGCAAGGAGCAAAAACTTGCCCAAAAGGAAGCAGTGTCTAGCCTCGAAAGTAGGGAGTTGATGCTGAACAATCTTCTGAAGAAATTTTCTGAGGAAAGGATTGCTGAGAATAGAGGCCCATGCTACAAGGTTAGTGAGATTCTCAGTATAAAAGAACGGCAGCCGATTCCTCTTGAGCTAAAGATAAAGACCAAAAAGGAGACCAAGGGAGTATACCGGCCGGATAGCAGCAGAAAAGATACGTGCATTGAGCAGGCTAGGCTTGAATTCAATAGACTTACAGCTAAAAACATCGGCTTTGTTATAAAGAATCTTAAAGGCATTCGAGTTGGAACCATTGAGGAGATGAAAGAGATAGCAAACATTCTATTTGATAAGGCGATTTCTGAGCCCACATTTGTAAAATACTATGCGCTTGTTGTACTCGACTTAAAGAAAGAGTGGCAGTCTGAAGAAGAAAAGTCCAGGGACATAAGCCAGACTGTGTTCTTTGGAACACTTCTTACATTGACACTGAAGACATTCGAGAACAAGGAAAAATGGGGAGACGAGCACAAAAGAAAAGAGGAAATGACGTTTGAAGAAAGAATGGCTTACGAAGAAAAGCTTGAGGAGGCGGAGACGGAAAGATATATAAAGAAAAGAAAAACACTTGGGACAGTTGATTTCCTATCTTCACTATATTCTTTGAACGTGATAAGTTATGTGCATATAAATGCTTGTATAAACACACTAATGAAGTCCTCTGACTCTGAGAATATTGAAGTGTTATGCTATCTGGTAGAAAATATAGGCGAGAAGCTAGTTGTAAGTGGGAAGGAACACATCATATCAATGATATGCTCTAAACTTGTACAAAAGAAAAACAGCTATGCAAACAGAATTAGATACATGATAGAAAATCTCCTTGAAAAGAAAAACTCCTGGAAGCCAAAAGAGGTGAAGGCCGGAAACGTCTTTTCTTGTCTAGAAGTTGAAAACGATTACGGGAATGCACAAAACCAAAGTCCTGAGGAATCAAGCAAGGAAAGCGTGCTTACATTCCTCTCGTCCTTGTCAGAAGAATTGTCCATGGCATACGAGGACGACGATAAAGAAGTCCTCTCTGACAATCTGCGGATTGGGGAATCAAAGTTTGGTGCAGTTCCATTCTATTTATCATATTTCCAAGAAGCTATATCGAATCATAAGATCTCTGATCTGCTTTTCGACTTTTTCATCTCGTTTAGGAGTACAGCAAATGTCACCGAGACACAGCTGAAAGAAACACTAACGAGCCTTAAGAATGAGCTGGAGATTTTGAAGATCGACTTCCCAATATCCCCTAAGAAGTATGCAGAACTTATAACAAAACTAAGAGTGTCTAAGATAATATCCCAGCCACTGTTCGAAGAGCTCAAAAGCGAGGACTATAATGGAAGAGTTCGGGATCTGATTCTTAAATGGTACAAATCAGATAAGGACCGAGAAAAGGCACTTACTATCTTCCCAAGTGAAACGATAGAGAGTCTTGTTGCGAAATAAAGTATGGTATTTCATTTAATTTCAGGAGCATCTTGCTTCGACATCTATTTACTTCTTTTGGTATTTCAAAATTGAGTTGTAGTGGTTTAAAGCAAGAGATAGCAGGGAAAGCTCTCTCCCAACTTCCTTCCTGAATAAGTGTTTGTTTAAGATTTCTACAACATTTTCTCTTTTGATGGTGTCGGAAATTTCAAGAAATCTGGTATCGTCTATGTCCTTGTATCCTATCAGGGTAAACAACTTATCGCTTTCATTATCATCGTTCATAAATGTTCTAGCAAATCTTATAGCCTCCATATGCTTTCTCGTTCGTAATAAGTCAACAAAGACTAGCTTTGACAAAGTTTCTTTTACGGAGGCTTCATTTTCAACTCCTAAATCAAACAGCTTTAGATCTTCACATATTTTGAAAGCATCGCTTGTGTTTTTCTCCTTTATGAGAGACAAAATCCTTTTCCTTGTGGAGATTGATGAGTAAAGCTCCGCATTGTTTCCAGGGACATTTTGATCATTCTGGTACCTACCATTCCATAGCATCAATGCATTATCTGCACAAACAAATCTCATGTGGTCAGCTATCACCCTCTTGGCCAGAGATTCTATATCCTCTCCAGAGAAACGTAAGTCATGTTCTCCCATCCTTCTTTCTGGGGCAGGCCGGGGCGTGTTCAAATGTCACTTCAACAAACAAACTGGCATCAAGAATTCCTGTGTCGAAACCAAAGCAATACTAGTTTATGGACAGAACTATGTAGCTGAACAGCACTAATATCATAAACTTGATGATTTTTCGAGATGCTTTTTCGAATGGAGCCATGTCTTCTTAGAAATCCTACGATTTCTACATTTATTTTAAGGAGGTTCAACCAATAGAACATCTTAAATAAGGTAAGGGGCCTCATTTCACATCATTGACTCCTATGACCTTATCCAATGTGCTTCTTTTGTGTATGAAAGAGAATGGGTATTTGCAAGATGGTTATGTTGCCCTTATTCCTTCATGCCAACAAATATAAACTGTAAGAAGAAATGGCATCCGAGCAGATATGAAACACTAGTAAGGGTAAAAGAAGCCGAAAAAGCTGTAGAAAAAAGCAGGATTCAAGAGGATGCAAGGAGGGAGCGTGGAAGGAGAGAGACACTCGAATCCGAAATACATGGAAAGTACACAGAGAGGATGCAGTGGATGCTCTAGGTTTAAGTTACTAACACTCTTAGAAAGCAGCTAGTGCTAAGGGCCTGTTCTGCACTCACTCACTCACTCACTCACATGGAATGGCAAAGAACCAATAAAATTTTGTTATAAATATATTCTTTCAGAGGGAGGGGTAAGATGAGAGCAGAATCTGGCGGTGGATCGAAGAAGACCTTCAAGACGATGAAGCTGGGATTCATGGGACTGGTTGGAATGGTGATTGTGTACTATGTGCTTCTATTTATCTTTGGAATCAAGTACTTGGATCCTCAGTACTACGGAAGCTACTTCTACGCTTGGAGAGTGAACTTTGCAGACAAGCTGATGACGCACGGAAGATACAAGCTGATCAAGAAGAACGAGCATCCGGACACGGAGGACAGGAAGAAGTTCTATGGGATTTCGCAGGACGAGTCTGGGCCGTATCTGATACGATTTGACAGGCCTGAGCACTTCCCGCGCGGGCATGAGCACCAGTTCACGCTGAACTTCCCTGCATACAAGGACTTCTTGAAGATTCGGGAGAGGTTTATTGTTGAGACTGAGGGGCTGCAAGAGGACATGAATCTGAGCCACTCTGACCTTATGGACAGGATGAAGAAGAAGAAGGAGGGAGGGGGAATGTACTTTGCAGACTACCGCGGAAAGTCTGTCAGGGAGATGCAGAACATATTGTTCCCAAACAACAATGAGGAGAAGAACCCCTGGTTCGGTGTAAGCAACATACTTATCAAGACCATCTCGAGCATCATGTCGAGTGACGAGGAGAAGAGAAAGGGATACCTGTTTAATGGAGAGAAGGTTGGAGACGACCTGATGAAGAACATCCGAGATGCTCTTGAGGCGCTTGACGAGGGGACTGAGGAGGGAGAGGTCCTGCTCTCTGAGAGTATATCTGACTCTGACATCAACAAGTTCTTCATCAACAGCGGGAGGGTGTCTGCAACACCGCACGAGACATTTGCCTATTCAAGGGCATACTACCTGTTCAACTTCCTGACTGCAGGAATTGAGTTTAAGTCCCCGAGCCTTGCAGAGATGAGGAGCGGGTCTTCTGAAGACGACAACGAGTTCCGCGAGGCACGAATGGACTATGTTGCCAACCTGTTTGCCAGGATATTCTCGAGCATATATCCCAACCAGCACAGAAAGGATGTCAGCAGCATCGGGACCCTTGAGAAGATAAGAAACTACTACAGCCCAAAGATGGTTGTCGATGAGAAGAAGGAGGTGGATGAGGCCGACCTTGATCTTGTCCAGAAGAGCTTCTCAAACACATCAACGGTTCCTGCATAGTCATAATAAAAAGGACTTTTCTACTCATACCTTTATTTTAGGCGAAGTCCTTTGTTTTGGGCTCGGCATCTTCGTAATACTGCACAGCATTGTCTATGCAGTAGATTAGCTCTTCAACAGACTCTTCTTTGTTCCAGTTCAGCGGGTGGAAGTTCAGCATGTTGTTTTCTGAGACAAAGCTCAGCATCCTCTTGCACATCTTTGAATACTTTCCTGTCCCAACCAATGCCGAGAGATCCTCATTCGGCGTATAGAACACATCCAGATCCTCGTCCTTGATCAGGTCCATTTTTGAAATCACATTGATACAGGGAACATTCATCCTTGCCATTGAAATAAGTGCACAAAAGCATCCATTTATGTACTTGTTGATATCGACCAGGTACTGGGATTCCATCACATAGACAATTCCACATTTGAAATAACGACCTACATGATCAATGATCCTGGGCATTATATCAGAATGCACGAATAGCTCTATCTGCCCAGGGCAATCAAAGACAAGGAAAGAGCCCTCGAGGTCTTCTAGATCTAACTCACTGATGTTTTCATAAAGCTCTTCCAATGCAACCATCAGCCCTCCATTCGGCCCATAGCCGTACTCCTCCATAACATCGTTGACCGTAATGAAGTCCCTAAGGTCTAAGACATAGTCGTCGTCACTAGAGATCTGTGCAGGGTCGGGATTTACCACTCTGTAGCTTCTCCCTATGTTCTCTCCATGCTCCTTTATGTTTCTACAGAAAGTCGACTTTCCTGATCCAGCCGGGCCAAAGACAAAAATAGCGTACCCCATCCTTACCTTCCATGAGAAAAGTTAATAAAGTTGTCCACTCGGATCCGAATGTCGAAGAGCTCCTACTCTCCCTCCAAATAGAGAACGAATCCTTCGAAGAGGATCAAGAGTCGGAAGAGGCCTCAGAAGACTCGCATGCATCCTCGGATGAGATAGAGTACAGGATCATAGGAGAATCGGGATCCAGTGGCTTTTCTGCAACAGACTTTAGCGCGAAGGTTCTGAAGGAAAAGGGAGAGTATAATATTTCCAAGGGCCCCTTGCCTTTCTCGTTGTTTGAGATTGTTGGTAATAAAGGACGCACGGAGTCCACCGTCATTACAAGCCAGAAGTTTTCCATTGGGGGAGGAAGATACGACTACGGGTTCACTCCTTCGGATCTAAAGAGATACAGAATCAAGAGAAAGAAGAAGACAAAGGAGGTGTGTCCCAATTGGGAAGATATTTCCGAGGAAAAAAGAAATGAGCCCAAGAGAATATGCGTTAGGTCTTTGAGGCTAAAGAGTAGAAAGTGAAAGAACAGGCATTAAACCACTATCTTTAATTGGCCACTTCGAAGGCTTTCGGTTATGTGGTATTCTTCGGTTTAATCACTGGGGCTAAGCCATGCATGTTTATGAAGCCTTTATGGGGGATTGACGGACGGCTCAGTGATAGTACGATGATTTGATTGGGAGCCTGGATGTAACTGTGGGAAACTGCAGGTAAGTTCTGGGGGTGGTAGTTTGTAGCTACTGCGTACCGAGTAAGTTGTAGGCCTATCAGCTGGTAGTTAGGGTAATGGCCTAACTAGGCGGAGACGGGAGACGGGGGATCAGGGTTTGATTCCGGAGAGGGAGCCTGAGAGATGGCTACTACGTCCAAGGATGGCAGCAGGCGCGAAACTTGCCTAATCCTTATTGGGGAGGCGGTTATGAGAAGTAAGATGTTTAGCAAGTATAAATTTGTTGTGATTTACTGGAGGGCAAGTCGGGTGCCAGCAGCCGCGGTAATACCTGCTCCAGTAGTGTCTATGGTGAATGCTGCAGTTAAAATGTCCGTAGTTGTTTGTATGTCTTTTGAGTGATGTTTATGGTTTTTAGTGGATGTAGTTTTATTGTAGCAGAGGACGAGGGGCACTGGATAGTTGGGCGAGGGGTGAAATACGAAGACCCTGACTGGACGAAGAGAAGCGAAGGCTGTGTTCTTGGACTTTTGTGGTGATGAAGGACGAAGGCTAGAGGATCGAAATCGATTAGATACCGTTTTAGTTCTAGCAGTAAACGATGCCGACTGGACGGGACTGTTTTAGTGTTGTCCGAGAGAAATCTTAAGTATGTGGGTTCTGGGGATAGTATGCTCGCAAGAGTGAAACTTGAAGAGATTGACGGAAGGACACCACAAGGAGTGGAGTGTGCGGCTTAATTTGACTCAACGCGGGGCAACTTACCGGTTCTGAAGTGAGTGTGAGAGTGTTTTTACATGATGCTTACGGCGGTGGTGCATGGCCGTTTTAAATGGATGGCGTGAGCTTTGGATTAAGTTACGTAAGATGTGAGACCCTTTTTGACTGTGCTCTATGGGGCAAGGGAGGAATGGAACAGAACAGGTCCGTTATGCCCTGAGATGAAGCGGGCGGCACGCGCACTACGATAGATGCCTATGTGGGCTACTGTGAGGGATGAAGCTGTGTAATGGGCTTCTGAACGTGGAATTCCTAGTAAGAATGATTGAACAAGTTATTTTGAATGTGTCCCTGTCCTTTGTACACACCGCCCGTCGCTATCTAAGATGACGCAGTGGACGAAGATTGAGAGGTCTGAGTCTTTCGTGTTAGATAAGATATAAGTCGTAACATGGCTGCTGTTGGAGAACCAGCAGCAGGATCAGTATGTTGATTTGATTATTTTGTGGGGATTTTTAGTTTTTTAGTTTTTCTTTCTCTATCCATGGGATTGATTGGCATTATCTGCGATGAAGGACGTGCTGGAGGACGATATGCCGTTTTTTTTAGCGGATGTCTGAATTAGGTGTTTGTGCGCCTGTGGACCCCTTTGACTTAAGCATATTACTAAAGGGAGGAGAAGAAACTAAATAGGATTATCTGAGTAGCGGCGAGTGAAAGGATATGAGCCTGTGTGGTAATCACGTGTGTGAGTTGTGAATTAGGATGACGATGCTGAGGACGGATTGGAATCTGTTTTCTTAGGGGGTGATAGGCCTGTAAGTGTTGTCTTTTTTTGTGATGAGTAGGGTTGTTTGGTAGTGCAGCCTGAATGTGGGTGGTATGTGCATCCAAGGCTAAATATGTGATGATGACCGATAGCGAATAAGTAGAGTGATTGAAGTGTGAAAAGATTAATGATGAGAAATGAAAATGGATTGAGTGAATGGGGGTTTTTTTCCCACCCGTCTTGAAACACGGACCAAGGAGAGGATGATTACATTGTTGAGCGAGAGCGATTGGATGTGATGATCCGACCCGAAAGATGGTGAACTATGTTTGTATTGATTGAAGGGATGCGAAAGTGTTCTGGAGGATCTAAGCCATTCTGACGTGCAACTCGATGGCATGATATGGACATAGGGGCGAAAGACCAAACGAACCATCTGGTAGCTGGTTCCCTCTGAAATGTCTCTCAGGACGGCGGCGACTGATTATTTATGTAAGATGTTGTAAAGCACTAATGACTTTTGTCGTTAAACTTTGAAGATGTCTTTTAATGATGTTGCTAGTGGGCATATTGTGGTAAGCATGATGTGCGAGGAGGGATGAACCTTTTTTGCGGCTAAGGAGTCTTATGCAAGGGAAGTGAATCTGGCGGTTTGATTTTGACAGTTGGACGGTGGCCATGGAGGTTGGCATCCGCTAAGAAACGTGTTGCAACGTACCTACCGAATTGGGCGCTGGAGAAAATGGAAGGGATTGAATTGCTATCTGATGCCGCTGTGGTTTTGCTGAGTAAGAGGGCGATATTATTCTGATGAAGGTCCTCGCGTGAGCGGGGGTGGAGGGGTGATATGAGCAGATCTTGGTAGTAGTAACAAGAAAATGATTTAGGATGTGGACGAGGGTTCCCTATTTTTAGGGGTGAATCGACTGTTTATACGGAGACGCATTGACGATTGTGTGTATGTATGCTTTGAGGCGACTTGATGATGACGGATGGGGGTAACCTTTACTCTAGGATAGCAGAACTAGGGTGATTTTTGTTGTGGATTGTTAAGAGACGAAGCAACTGATGTGGGGAGTGCCTGTTCCGATGAAAAAGAAGTGTATGTGTCGTACCTATACCGCATCTGGTGTCCACTGTTTGCCACGGAAGCGTTTTATTTAAAGGTTGTAAGGGAAGTCGGCAAAATGGATGTGTAACTTTGGGAGAAGGATTGGCTCTAGCGTGCTAGAACTGTTTATTGTGGGGAATCTGACTGTTTACTAAAAACATAGCTTTGCGAAAGGACGCAAAGTGAATTCTGCCCAGTGCACTTTTAGTTATGACTTTTTAAGTTTAAGCGAGTGTAAACGGCGGGAGTAACTATGACTCTCTTAAGGTAGCCAAATGCCTCGTCATGTAATTAGTGACGCGCATGAATGGAGCAACGAGATTCCCACTGTCCCTACGACTTGTATTGTGAACCTACAGCCAAGGGAACGGGCTTGGGCTGATCAGCGGGGAAAGAAGACCCTGTTGAGCTTGACTCTAGCATGTGAGAAGTGCTGGGGGTGGTTATGAAGAGAGGTGGGGAGTTTGTGCGAGACCACTATGACTGCGCCTCAGCGGTTTATTTATGGATGTGGGGAGTTTGGCTGGGGCGGCACGACTGCTAAAGATTAACGCAGACGTCCTAAGGCGGGCTCAGCGGGGAAGGAAACCACGCGTGGAGCACAAGGGCATAAGCCTGCTTGAGACTATTCCTATTGCGGGATTGTTTTGGGGGAAACCCTGGCCTAGAGATCCCATGTCCTATTAGTGTTTGGGACATGGGTGACAGAAAAGTTACCACAGGGATAACTGGCTTGTAGCAGCCGAGCGATCATAGCGACGCTGCTTTTTGATTCTTCGATGTCGGCTCTTCCTATCATCGTGAAGCAGAAATTGCGAAGTGTTGGATTGTTCACCCACCAACAGGGAACGTGAGCTGGGTTTAGACCGTCGTGAGACAGGTTAGTTTTACCCTACTGTGATTGACTGTGCAGTAAATCTTGATAGTACGAGAAGGAACTCTTGATTGCGACCTCTGGTGGAGCGGCGTGCCTGCTGGCTGTTGCGGAGCTACGTCGGGAGTATAATGGCTGAAGGCCTCTAAGCCTGAAGACTGACTGCGCTGTATTATGATTAGCGGAAGACGACCGTTGTGGATGCAAGCTGTACGAATGGAGGAGTATTCCGACATTTTGAGGCTGTGCATTTTGTGTTTTTGTGTGTGAGAGGGTGTGTTGTGTGTGATGCGTGGTGCTGTGTGGTGTTTTTTTTGTTTTGTGTGTGTTTGTTGTGTGTTTAGGTTATGGGTGAGTGATGATGTGTGTTGTGTGAGATAGTTGTTTGTGTTTATGCTGTTGTGTTTGTGTGTGATGATGTGCGTGATGTTAGTTTTAGTTTTTTTGTTGTGTGATTCTGGCTTTTTTTTTTTTTTT